CCCAAAAACACCAAGCGCTGCCAAATGTATCCGCCGAAACCCCCTTCCCTAAAACGCAAGAACCAAAGCAAAACACCTCACCGATGTCCAAAAATTTCAATGTCAGCCCGGCCCATAGCGCCATCCGCCAAATCATCCTCGTCGGCAAGCATATCGACATCGCTATCATCGTCCTCCTCCGATTCGTCTTCGGACAAATCCACACGAGCCTTCGCGGACCCTACAACACCTTTTCCGCCTGCATTGCTAATCTGAGTATGTCTTTTCGAAGTAAGGTCCAGATCGGAATCGAATGGGTTGCTGGTGGTATTGTCGACACTGCTTCCCGAAGCCGTGCGTAATTTCGACGATGTATACGTCCGCGTCGGGTCGCTGCGCACGCTGAATCTCCGGCGATTGCTCCGGACCTCAGGAGTCAAGCCGTCAGGGAGTTCGCGATCAGCGGAGTTGAGGTAGTACCGCATAGGAGAGAGACTGCGGCTGATTGAGCTGAACATGTCATACGCGGACAGACGCGGGAAATCCGGCATGTGCTGGAGACTGCGGCGGACGTCGGGGAGATTCGGCAGGTCGGCGAGTTTGGGCATGCGCGGCATGCGTGGGAGGCTGGGCATGTCTGATAAAGAAGGGAGATTCGGAAGGTTGGGGAGATTGGGGAGACTTGGGGTGGGAAATCGGGGAGCGTTGAAGCTGGACGCTCGAGGTTTCATCTCTTCTTGAACGAAGTAGCGGCGTGGAGAGTGCGCTGAGGCCGGGAAACTTGGTGAAGTTGGAGTCGGAGGCTGGTTCGGTGGAGATTTGGGGACGTGAAGAGTGTTGTCGACGGTCTCGACTTCGTCCACGACGCCAATGCCCGCATCGCGAAGTACTGCATCACCAGTGAAATCGTGCTGACGGTGATTTTGTTGCTGACGCAGAATTCTCTCTGCCTCGGTCTCAACGCCGGTAGTTGGCGCGAGCTGGCAGGTGTTGTAGCTGTCGCATCGTTGACACTTCAAGCCTAGCCAATGGAATGGTGTCCATGACCGTCTTGAACAGTCATTACATCCGACCCAAACGTCTCGCGGCCGAGGTTGGTGAACACCGTCGGTAGCAACCACTCCTGGCACAGTGCGCTCCGCATTTCTATATTCAGGCGGCAGCAGTCCATCGAGCCCTTCTTCGTCATCAGGCATGGGCTGTGCTTGAATCTCATCGTCCAACTTCTTCCACTGTAATTCCATGTTGACCGCACTTTTGCTGCAGACCGGACACTTGTATGTCACAGACATGAGATCTTTGTAGCAGTCTCCATGCATGTAATGCCCACAAGGCAGGCTCACGACTGGTGTGCGCGAGTCGAACAGATAAACCAAGCATAGCGGGCAGTTACTTTCAGTCGCCCGCTCCAAACAAGCGTGTGACGCAGCATTGGCGATGGAAATGCATACGTTACACTTCCGACAGTGTACAAAGTCTTTTCCAAGACCTTCGCCGACTCGACAAATGCCGCAATCGTCGCAGTGGTATATCCGCTTGTTCGGATCATTCTCCCATAGTTTACATTTGTTGCAATAGTACCACGCAGCATACTCGCCACATTGGATGCACTGCTCTCCAGCAGGCTGTGGTGTACAACAAAACATACAGAGCATGTTTTTGGTCCTCTTGCGATCGAGGGTATGTGGATATGGAAGGTCTTTCGCAGAGTCGTGACAATGACGGCAAGGAAACCAGCGCTCGCAATCGTAGCATTGGATCTTGACGTTCCGTTTGTAGTGAACACATCCCAAATCCGGAACCTCCTCGTCGCTGATGGCCTCGTCGGAGTCGTCAAAGACATAGTCTGTCCTGACCGGGAGAGGGCTGAAGCTGGGCGCTGTATCTCCGGGGAGGAGTTTATACGGGTTGCTTGAAATGTCCGGTGCCTGCTCGACCACAGGCGGCGTAGCGATGTCCATATCGACGTCTTGATGGGCCTCAACAGACGAGTGGTCGTGACGATGATGATGATGATGATGATGATGTTTGCAGCCTTCCGTCCTCGATAGATAGTCCTTTGTCATCAACTCGTGCATCCGCCTCGCCTTCTCTTCCGTTGACAAAGCGAGCAATTTAATCTCCTGCAGTTGCTCGCGAAGTACTGACATGCCGTCGTTCTCTGGGAGTACCCCATCTCTAGTAGTAGCCATGGTGGGTGATGATTGATGGTGAAGCAGAGCAATGAAGTCGGCACTAGACGCAGATGCACTGCTAAATCCGGGTGAGTTTCCAATGTCCTGCAGCTGAGGACGAACTGTGTCGAAAGGAAAGTCACGCTCCTCAACAGATGTTACTGGATCTGGCTCATCGGGAGAGGAACGTTCGTCCCGAATTACAGGCGAAGGTAGATTATGGTACAATGCTGGGGCTGCGGGCCGCGCAGAAGTCAAGGGACGGCTGTGAAGATCGCGGTCAATAGTGATCGAAGCGGTAGCGTGAGCAGTGGGATTGATCGCGGTGATGGAGTTGGTGGGAGTAGTTGACGCATGGGCGATGGTGCCATTAGTGTCTACATGGGGATCGGCAGTAGCAGTGGGAGGAGTAACGGTGACATTGACGTGCAAATTCGTCGTCGAAGTCGATGATGATGGCGGTGATGATGAGCGCGTCGAGGCCCCTGGAGAAGCCGGAGAAGAATGGTTTATCGTGGTGTGATGTAATAATGTGAGAAGATCTCCTTGGCTAGCATGTGAAAGAGTCTCGCCTTGTGGAGACTGTGGCTGCGGGTCGCGATCGCTCATGATCCCGGCCATCGCTGGGACCGTAGTGCAGTCAAAGGAGTAATGATCCGGCGATCATCTCCGGGGAGGGCGTCTTATTTTCTTTTCTCGTCGGGTGATGAGGAGGAAAGACGAGACGAATGTATCAAGGACGGACTACGATCGCGTGGGCAATATACAACAATATACGTGCGCAGAAACGACTACGAGAGTGCCGGGAATAACCTGGAGGACATGCCCATGGATGTCTACGCACTGCTCGCAACTGCAACTGGGCATACGAGTGTCCTGTGCGTATGTACGTACATACACACGTGTGAGAGCTGAAGAAGTATGCGCGCAATCATGTGGCCTGGAGACTTTGGTGCACGACAGGCAGGAGGCATAGAGAAAGAGAGGCGTTATGTGGAGGAAAGGAGGGAGACACACGCCTCTCCCCCCGTCGATGCTACGTCACGAGACTACTTACAGTATTAGTATGTATATATGTATGTACTCCAGCTGGAACCACGACATCTGCTAAACCCATAGCAGAAGAGCCGCCGAGCCTTTTCCTTCCTAGCACCGGCTAGACTAGAATCCTCCCTTCCCTCATTTCTTCTGGAATCAATCATCTCCAGTGAGGATGAGTGCCGATGCTGCAATGGTAGCACCACCGGTGCAGGTGATATCGATCTAGACATACTTCCAGGGACATCCTCCACAGGAGACAGAATAATATCAGGCCTAGAACGATACTTATCGCAGTGCAATAAACCACAGAGAAGGAGGCATACAGAGACTGAAGAGAGAATTGTTTCTATTTACGGGGTCCTCCTTCCCTTTCTGCCCTCATGTGCCGCATCGCGTGGACAAAGGCGACAAGCGAAACGGCCAAGCAGCCAGAACGTTGCAAGTGAGCGACATCGGTCCAGGGGGGTGGCATCGGCTGCAGGCGTGCTGTAGTCCCGGCCTCCGACGTACACGTCTGAGAAGGAGGTCTATATCCCGCTATGTACACACATTCATGGACGCTCTTCAATAATGAGTAAAAATGAAAAGCCTATTAGCATCGGCTCGTCACTAGTAGTGTAAGGAAAGCCAACTTAGGAAGTCGCAATGTGCACATACGAGTCCGTCAGCTGTACGCGCACTGATGATGCGCTCTCCAGGGGAAATCAGACGAGACAGAAACCATGCACAGCACGATGACACGCTTCATTGACGATGCAGTCCGTTGTTCGAGTCGATTAGATTGGAATACGGTCCTGTGGGTAGTCTGGGTAGAGGAACGGGCCAAATCGAACGCCCGTAGGTGCTCCGATGACTAATCTGATGCTTCACCAACCGGATGACTAATAATTCACCTGTCCGCCAATCGTTTGAGCATTCTTTCTTCCCGATTGTGATCCCATCTGATTCACTGCTGCATTAAAAGGCACTGGCATTTTATCGATCTTTCTTCTACGTGCCTCGACATTTCGGAGTCGATATCCGCGGCACGTGACCTTCACCTTGCCCTAACCCCTGACGTTCACCTCCCTATTTCTTCTCCTCGGCCTTGTACGCCGCATCGTGAGTCGCGATGGCTCGACCGCTGGGATCCGTGGTGTTGGACCACACCGGTGACCAGCGCATGACTGTGCTGGCGCAGTAGGGCGGGAAGTGCTCGTCGAACATCGTGCGGTACCAGTACGCCTCTTTCGAATCCGGAATGTCGTCGCCCCAGTGAGGCTTCTCCCGGCGGATGTTGGCTTCCACCATCTGCTCGTCGGTAACCATCTTCTTTGCCTCGTCCTTAAGCCCGTCGATCCACCCGTATCCAACACCATCACTTGACCCGGGTTAGCACTATACAGAGAAGATAATGTTCGATGATATCGAAGAAAAGAAGTTATCTTACCTGAATTGTTCCTTCTGACGCCATAGGATATGCTTTGGCAGATAAGGCTTCGCACCAGGCTCGCCTTCGGTATCGAATGCCTTTCGGAGGATGTATTTCTCAATTCGCTCCCCGGGCACAAACATCTTCTCCTTGGGGTCGATGTTCATGGAGAGATCGAGGAACTGCTTGTCCAGGAAGGGCACACGGGCCTCAAGACCCCAGGCCGAAGTACTCTTGTTGGCGCGCAGACAGTCCGCAAGGTGAAGATTTTTGACACGGCGGACAGTCTCCTCGTGCAAGGCGTCGGCCGAGGGCGCATTATGGAAGTAGAGGTATCCGCCAAAAATCTCGTCGGAGCCTTCGCCCGACAAAACCATTTTCACGCCCATGGCTTTGATCTTGCGGGACAACAGGAACATGGGTGTTGAGGCACGGATAGTGGTCACATCATAGGTTTCTAGATGCCAGATTACGTCGAAGAGGGCGTCGAGACCTTCTTGGATGGTGAAGGTCATAGAGTGGCTGGAGTTTGAGGGTCAGACACGCGGCTTAGATACGGACCACGAAAATGACCAATGACTTACTGTTTGGTTCCTAGATAGCGCGCAACCTCAAGTGCGGCGACCGAGTCAGGAGAGCCAGGAAGACCAATGGAAAAACTGTTCAATTGTGATAGAACCGGTACTGAGTTGAGATGGTAGTTCTCATCGACACCGGCCAACTCATCCTCTCCGGTGCCATCCTTCTGCGGAATCGCACGTCCAGCGACACCATCGATGCCCGGAGAGTTGGTGCCCGACGAGATCAGCGCCTGTTGTCGCGCGTACTCCTTTTGTAAACGGACAGTCTCACGTTGTGCGATCGCTGCGACCAGTGATGAATCCAAACCACCCGAAAGGAGGACACCGTAAGGGACCTCGGCCATCAATCGTTTCCGAACAGATCGCTCGAATGTCTCGCGCAGTGCCTTAAGATCCAAAGGTGTACTAGGAATGTTGGTCGGCTCCACCAACCACTTAGGGTCGTAGTATCGCGTAAGCTGATCGGTCTTGCTGTCGTAGACGTGGCCAGGCGGGAAGCTCTCGATCTGGTCGCATACGGGATGCAAACATTTCAGCTCACTCGCAAAGTACACCGAGCCGGGAGTCGTGGACGATCGTCCGATGTAGAATGTGGTGATACCGATGGGATCTCTTGCGGCGATCAATCGATCCTCCTTCTTGTCATGCAGAACCCAGCTGAACATGCCGTCGAGGAACTTCGGCGCATCAATTCCATGCTCTTGGTATAAAGGAATGACCACTTCACAGTCGGAGTGCGTCTTGAATGGGTATGGGGTCTTGAGCTGCTTGCGCAGGATCTTGTGGTTGTAGATTTCGCCATTGACAGCGAGGGCGATGTTGCCGTCGTCGCTAACCAATGGCTGCGCACCGGTGTCGAGTCCGACGATACTGAGACGCTCGTGGACGAGGATGGTGTTGTTGGCGACGTGGTTACCACTCCAATCGGGACCGCGGTGCTTGAGCTGCTTTCCCATGCGGATTGCAGTGGGCCGGAATTTGCTCACATCCGGGTGACTTTGAAGAATCAAGTTAGTGATCACTCCCGGGAAATTATTCCGTTCGAGAACGGTTTGCGCAGGGCCAATGCCGAGACGGAGTGACATACGAATGGCATGCGAAGATACCGCACATGATGGCGGTTGTCTAGAGGAAGACGGCGAAGAAGGAAATGCAAGCAACGAAACGACAACCCAATGCCGGGGAGAGGAGAAGAAGAAGAGGACAATGATATATCCTCTGAAAACCACTGGACGTCCGAGTTGCGATTGGTGTCTGGTGTGAGTCAATCACAAAGCCGCCAATTGCACGCGCCGAATTCTTTGGATAAGAAATTCGCGTGTGGTGACTATCGCCGGTTCAACCCCGCGACGGACTCGCCGAGATTCGGCCATTGTCTTTCCCCTCCCCCTCCTGCAATTATCACGCCCTGCCTTCTCCTAATGCCGCCCATACTAATGAGATAGATAATGACAATGACTGCCCAGGTGTCCTTTGGGCCTCATTCCGCATGTCCTTCTGTAGTCCGGTTGCAATGGCGAATCGACTAGATGACAACATACAGGCCCCACCGAAGATTGAACACCTCTACCTGCCTGCATATGCATGTCCTAAACAAGAGTAGTAGTACTACTGTAAATGAGTAGAATATGACGTACTGAGAGGTCGGCCGCCATACTGTACCTTATTTTTGTCCTGGAGATTCAATGTGGTAGATTTCATCTTGTTATCGATGGAGATATTGTACTTGTAGGACTGAGGTAGGCAGAGCCCTCTACAACATCGACTGACACTAGAGTTATTATCAATTTCAAGATGTAGAATTAAAATGAGTTCACTATGTCCACTATGTCCACTCATGTCAAATTTGACATTGGCTCCGATGTTCGCGCGCGAAGGGTTGCTGCCGGCTGCCGGCTGCCGAAATGCTTTACCTGTGCTTATGTAGATATGCTCAAGACGGTTCACACCTTCACGCCGAGTAATTCCGACGAAGAGGTTGTCCATCCTTGGCTGATTAGCGATATGCGGCGAGAAGACGAGATTTGCATTGATCGTTACAATAATCCATGCTGCACGCCTCGACACGAAGAGACACGAATTGGGTTTGCAGTGCGTTGGGCTTGACATTGAGCATCGTTGTTGCATCCGGATGACTCTAGCGTCTCGTCTGCCGCCCACGCAGCCCGCCATAGCAATGAAGGTCCATCGACAAATTCATCTACGAGTCAAATTCCTCGCGCGCAAACACGTTCTATCCTAGGACCAATGAAAAGTTTTCCTCGATGGCGATCCACCTCAGCGGTCTTCCCTGCGCTCCGCGCCTCGCTTCGTCCTCGCGCCTCCATTCCATTCGGTGCCAATCCTGTCGGCTTCAAGACCTGCTGCCCTATGAGGCGATCAACGAAATATATTGAGCCTCCTTTAAAATACAATTACATCGACCAGGCAGAAGATCTCTTCGTCTATCAGGCTGGCGGCTACCACCCCGTCGCCATTGGCGATCGAATTCATAACCAACGCTACCGCGTTGTGCACAAGCTCGGCCATGGGGCATAATCCACAGTCTGGCTAGCCCGCGACCAAAACTCCGGACAGCTCGTTGCCATCAAGATTGAGCTTGCAAGCTCGACATCGAATGAAGTCGCCACTCTTCTTGCCGTACAAGCTGACTCCGAGGGCAACGGCAGAGGGATCCCTGCAGTGCTTGATCACTTCGAGATCACTGGTCCAAATGGAACGCATTCCTGCTACGTAATGGTACCCGCAATGTGCAGCCTGAGCGGTGCCAAAGATGCTGGAAAAGAACGGGTCTTCTCCATCGACGTGGCTCGTGCGCTGAGCACCCAGCTGCTCCAAGCAGTGGCTTGCGTACATCAGCGGGGCTTTGTTCATGGAGACATTCACCTTCACAACGTGCTCCTGTAGCTCCCAGAATCATTCTCTCATCTTTCAGACCAAGAGCTGTATGCAGAATACGGCGAGCCAGTCCTGGAAGCGGTGACACGCAGTGATGGAGATCACAGTCCGCTCCCGCCTGGTATCCCAGCACAAGTCGTAATGCCTCTATGGCTGGCAAGGCCGAGCGAAGGACTCTCTGTGAACGAGGCCAAGCTATTGCTTTCGGATTTTGGCGAAGCATTCGCTCCATCACAGGAGCGGCGTCTCAATCATAATGCGCCAGCTGCAAGCCGACCACCGGAATCTCGATTCGCGCCTGAGCAACCTGTGAGCTTCGCAGCGGATATCTGGATGCTTGCTTGTACTATATGGCAAATTTGCGGCCAAAAGCCACTCTTTGAGGGCGCATTTGCTACAGATGATAGCATGACTCGACAGCAGGTGGAAGCTCTCGGAAAGTTACCTGCGTCCTGGTGGTTAAAGTGGGAAACGAGAGATCAATTCTACACCGAAGATGGCACAGCGCTTTCCAGTTACCCACGAAGAATGCTCTCTATGCGTATACAACAGCACATGGTGAAGCCTCGGGCAGGCCGCAACATGAAATGCTTCGATGACGACGAATTGCAAGCGCTGGAGGCTTTGCTCCGCGCTATGTTAGCATTCCTTCCAGAAGATCGCCCGACAATTACCGAAGTCCTCGAGTCTGATTTGGTGAAAAGGTGGGCACCTGGCCGAAGTGATGTCCATAGTCGGGCATTGTAGGCTGAAAGGCAGACAAGTAAAGTGTTATTAATCATCGGAGGTTACAAGTATCAGATGAGTCATCGGAATGCGATTTGGGATAGCAGGCAGAGACTTTTAATCGTGCCGTATAAATGCTGGTGTTTCGAGGCAATCAGCATTAGCTGTGGTATGGACAAGTCGTACAGTAGAACCCAGGAGGCGCATTCTATGCGACAGATGACAATTTATCCCTCCCGAATACTACACGACATTCCAACAATAAAGACTACGAGACCACCGATATTCTCTCCTATTCCTGAATTTGACATGAAGGATCGGCATTGAGGATGAATTGGGCGGTTTCAACGCTGGGTCCGGCCCCGTTCGCAGTAGCTCGGCCCAAACGTCCACTGAATCGGCGGACGAGACCCTGTTGGACAAATCAATTCCAAGCGGGACCCTGGCTATAAATTGTTCGTCCCTCTTTGTCGATTATTACACGAATTTAGCACTCCACGCGCACGATGTGCTATTAGCTGTTAGTTTCCCAAACGTTGCTCTCCAGGGCTTTCCAGTATTCGCAGATAAGCTTTCAGTCAATCCAAGTCTCTGGTCCATCATCCTTGCGTCTCGACTCACGATTATCCTTATGCTGCAGCCCGTATCTCCAACGTGATTGCCCATGTCAATCGCACCGATCAAGACCAGCACAGTCATGCCTGTTGCTGGGAAACCCTCCACATCGAACAAAGATACCACCTGATAACACTGAGCGCAGACGACCAGCACGACGACACTTACGATCGCCTCAGGCTTTCTTTGACAGTACCGGAGCTATAAACCTCGTCACCGACGGTTCTCCAGGACTACATACAACCATGCGATCCGCTCTCCAGGCTGCTGCTCAGCTTCGCTCAGCGCGAGGCAACAACCCAACAATTCAATCCGTACCTCCAGCCGAGACCTCCCACGAATACGTACCGGAACTCGCTGCGGCCGCGGCGTCTATCCTATACCGTTCACCAATACCTTCTCGAGGACGATCGATATACATTCTCAACGCCGCGGCGTTTCCTGATGCCAATGAGGTCGATTACGATAGCCTATTATCTTACGTGCTAGCACGTCTCCCAGACGAGAACGAATTGATCGCAGGCGCCGAGTACGAGATCGTCTTCTTTGCTGGAGGACAGACTGATAGTGCCACTTCGGAGAAAAAGCAAGGAGCCAACACGGGCTGGTATCTGCAGGCATACCACGTACTGAGTCGAGCCACGAGAAAGAAGCTGCAAAGATTATACATCGTTCATCCGCGAACATGGGTCAGAGTACTCATCAGCATATTTGGGACAATCGTTTCACCCAAATTTCGAAGGAAAATCGTTCACGTCAATTCGTTGACTGCTTTGGCACAGCACTTGCCAATTGAGAACCTCCTTATACCGCCATCTGCGTACCTTCAAGATCGCAAGGTTTCACCAGATATCCACGTACCCGAGGCTACGGGCACTCGAGCATTTGCCAGTCGGCGTCCACTTCCTAAGAGCTTGACCACAGGTCAGACGCGGCTACCACGTGTATTGCGGGAAACAACTACATTCATTCTTCTACCCCATAACATCCGCGAGGAGGGACTATTTCGGATCCCACCCCACACCACTCTCATTGGCGTTCTCAAGGAGGCATATGATCGGGGCCAAAAATTCATCGTGTGGAAGGAGAAAGGCGCTGTCTTTGCGCCGCCAGGCATTGATCTATCTTTGATCAACGAAATTCGGCTTGAGGATACTTACGGAGTACATCTAGCAGCTTCGCTAACCAAAGCGTGGTACCGAGATCTGCGAGAGCCCATCTTCATGGAATCCAGCTACAGCTTTGTACGCGAGAAATTTCAAGATACACATAAAGCCGTCACTCTCGAAGACTTGACGGATCTTTTGCTGCCTTCATCGGAACTTTCACCGCTTTCTGCCACAGCACGAGAGATTCTATCACGTCATCTGCTACCAATGCTCTCTAAAGTTGCTTCACACGAATCGAACAATAAAATGAATGCTGAAAATTTGGCAATTTGCTTCAGCATGTGTCTCGTTTGCGGATCGAATCAGCTAGAGGATGGCAAAATGTCCATGATCATCAAACGAATTGTCCAAGCGGCGATTGAGAACTGGGCGGCACTGCAAAAGGCGATGGACACCAGCGCCGATTCATTCAATTCAGATATTGCTGGTCCGAAAGATCATCGAGATTATGAGGATCCTCTCGAAGCGGAATGGCCTGCTAAAGCATCTTATGAGGACGATGCCCAGAGTCAATCGAGTCACCGCATCATCATGGCGGGTGGCGATGCTTCAAGAACAAATTCTTCGGATGGAACATATGCGCCGCCGCTACCGGTCCGACGGGCAAGAACGACATCCACAATAAACGATGCATCGAATCAGCAAAATGGATCTTCTGCTCAGCAACCTCCGCCAGTGCCTAAGCGTAGGCCCACAGCAAGTTCTACTGCGCCATCGCGATCTGTCACCGATCCGCCTCGCTACTCCACTGTATTTGATGCAGATGGCATATCAATTCATTCGCCGGATTCGCCAATCATCATCACGCCAGCGGATGGTTTCGCACCCTCGCGTGCGGAGTTCTTGAGAAATCACCAGTATGGTTCGGACATGAAAAAAGTTCCGCCTCTTCCGATCATAGGGACAACCGACTCTCAAACACCAGTGAGTGTGCCCAAGCGTAAAGCTGTTCCTCCGCCTCCACCTGCTGCCAGTCGACAGGAGTCTACAACACCAACAGAATCTTCTGCGGCCCTTCTCGCTCGCATGGCCGCTCAACAAGCTGCAACCAATCTCTCTCAAAAGCTTACAATCAATTCTTCACCTACACCTCCCGACGTGACTGTCTCTCCCGCCGACGATGATTCCTCCACCAAAGCCTCCCACCTGACTACGTCCACACATTCCGCTCCACCAATCTCCCGTCGCCCTTCCTTCCCGGCGTCGGCATCTTCGACATCGTCCACACCAGCACCTCGTCCGATGGAGATCCACTCGCTTTCCAAACCGGTACACGGGACAACGCCACCCGTTGTTATCACCCACGCCGCCATGTTCGGGAACAACGAAAAGCTCCCCAATGCAAATAATTCTCAGATAACTCCACGGCATCGCGCGCCCTCGCCCGGCTTGTTGAAGCGAATGGCCTCCATGGACACCATCAACCCACAACCCTTCCAAACCTCACCCTCTCAACAGGACAACAACCCACCATATTCCACCTCCCTCTCCACTCTCTCCCCAACACCAACATCAACTCCTCCTCTTCCCCAACAATCCACTTTTTCCCCTGCATCACAGCCTCAGCGCTCAAAATCCCTCACAACCCCCACTCAGAACTCCTCGGCCCTCAAACCCCGTTCCGTCATCAATTCCCTCCGGAAAACCTCCGTCGAGGATCTCCGCAGAATTTACGAGGAACGTGCCAGCACGGTCGGCGGATTGGAAAGAGTGGCTGCAGACCAGAGGAGGAGATCGGTTATGGCCGATGGTACCGCGACGTAGAATGTTCGTTGCAACAGGCCATCTTGGGGACGTTGGGATGTTTAGGGGTGTCTAGGACACGTGATCTGCGGAGTTGAAGGAAGCGAAGGTACAGCGATGGCATGATAGCCCTTGATTTGAAAGCGACCTGGAACCCTGGAGATCTTTTCCTACTTCTTCCATCACCTATGGAACTTTACACCACCATTCTCGACGACGAGTCCATTAATTCAAGATGTTTGTCTCGATACGTTCCGACCCTTCCGGTTCATATAAAGCTCCACTACGATCTTCGAACAACGATAAAGATCGGAGTTGTGCTAATGTATGTTGGAAGAGCCAAGGCTAGAACCATCATGACAACCTTGACCTGTTCCAGCTCACCACAACAAAAGAGCGCTGCGGTATTCACATATGATCTACAACGAGGAAGCGATGGAGGGAAAGGATGCACACTCCCCAAGACCCAGCCTTCCTTTCACCCTGGTGAAGGATATCATTTCGAATGAGACGAGGAATGAAAATAAACATGTTCATCAATTGATTCATCCTTCCGAGCCCCTTCTGATAAACACTGTTTCGCTGCGTTGGACATTCAAACATTAATCATTATGTCTTTTTCGACTCTATCAATAATTTCCAGTTCAAAAAAACAAATAAGCCCATTTATTCCCACATATAATTCATACCCAATCAATCATGAGAAAAGAAAATCATAGAAACGAAATCTCGTCGCTCGTCGCTCATCATCATCATCATCATCATCGTCATCATCATCACCGTCGTCGTCGTCGTAATCATGATCATCGTCAATCCCTCACTGAAAACTCATCTCGGCAACAAGCGTGCCCCAACTGCCCGCGAACCCATCGACCTTGCCCTGGCCCACTCTCTTTCCATCCCCGACAAACCCCATAATCCACGTCGCGAGATGATCACATAAACCATACAGATGCGTGTTCGTGGGGACGTTCTCGCTGATGAGATTCAGCGTCTCCTGGGAGCCCGCGTAGAAGTTCCAGCTGGCGGAGCCGTAGGAAAAGAGGTTGGAGCCGCCGTCGATGTATTGCGCGATGGTCATGCCGCAGTTGGGGTTTTTGAGGGTTGGGGTTGTTGAGGGGCTGGTGGTGGAGTCGAGGTCGGAGTCGCTGTCGGTTGCTTGATCGGGCCCGGCGGTGGTATCGGCGGTGGGGTCGGCGTCGCACCAGGAGAAATCCGGATCGATTGATGTTGGGGTAAACGGCGAGGGAGTTCTCACGGGAGCCGTCGCGCCCTGGTTGTAGTTGGTTTCGGACTGGAAGAGGGAGGTGAAGACGTTTTCGGCGTTGTGAAAGAAGAGGTTGGTGAGCCAGAAGTGTTCGCTCGCGATGCCGACGAGCCAAGTTCCCTTGGTGGCCTCGACGAGGATGCCGTGTTTGGCGGCGACACGGGTCTTACTGCCCCAGGCGTTGTCGGCTTGGTGATCGGCGAGCCAGGACCAAAAGTTCTCAATGTAGGCCGAGGATGAGGGCGAGAGGTGGAGGCCGATGTAGGCGCCGCGACAGGTCGCTTCGGAGGAACAGCTCATTTCGGTATCGCGTGTGCCGCCGATGGTGATGAGGCTGTTGAAGACGGCGACGTCGCCAGGTTGGGCGCCGGCCATGTTGATTTGGAGAACGATGGCGCCGGGAAGGGCCTGGCCGACGGTGAAACGGATGTCTTGAATCACAGCATGACCGGTGGAGTCCGGTGCACCTACTTGAACGATAGGGCGGGGATTGCTCTCATCAGAGAAGTAGGGGCCGTAGCCGGAAATGGTGGACCAAGCGTTGCCAACCAGGCGAGTCCCGTCGGGAATCGTGATGGTCTTTTGGACGCGATAGATTCCGTAGGGGAGGTATGCGATCTTGTCCGCTGCGGCAGCGGTGTCGAGAGCACATTGCAGAGCATCACTGTCGTCGTGCCAACCGTCACCGAACAGTGATTTGCCGCCATTCTGTGTGGTGTCTTTCAAGTTGATGGTATCATCTACAGTGAAGTCCACATATTGTGGAGCTGTGATGACAGGGTACCTTCCAGTCGGTGCTAAAAGTACTGGTCGCAGAGTGTTTCGAGGTTGTGGATCGGACTGGTAAATTGGGTTGGCTCCATACGTGTTACCGACGACGTAGGTCTCGACAAAGGAGGTTCCCTCTAGTCTAGTCGTAGACCCGATAATCACCATCGGTGTGTCACTGGTGTCCTTCTGAACATTCTCAATCATGAAGTTAGGGGAGGCGACGTTGCTGCGGAAGAAAGGGCCCGAGGCCATGGAGATGGCGTCAATGACCGAGACCCATGGGTTCCCAGCATTGAGCACAATCGGGTTGGCGATATTGGTGAATGTTGGGGCGAAGATGTTGATGGTGAATCCGTTGTCGATTTGAATTCCAGTAACGCAGTCTTCAAAACGCATGTTCTTCAAAGTCGCTTGTTGGAGCCCAGCATAATGAATACCGATGCTGCCGTTGACAAATTTGGTGTCAGCGACGGAGAGAGCCGAGCCTTGACCCATCCAGATGCCCGTATGCACAGCCGGTGGCATGCGGATCTCGACATTCACGAGAGCGGTGTTTTGTGCTACCCGCCAGCTCAAGGCAACGAAATTTTCCCTTGCGGCGTTCAAGGTTGTGTCCAAAATCACATTCTTCAACATGACCGAGAAATGTAATTCACCTCCATTTCCGGCGGTGACATAGCCCGGAGCGCCGCCAACGATCAGAAACTCACCCTGAAAGCCGGGCGCAGCTTGAATAATTGGTGGATCTGTAACGTCGCCGATGATGACGGTGTCTGTCAAGAGAGTCACGGTCGCGCCGAGGACGTATGTCCCTCCAGCAAGGAAGATGGTCCGTGGTTGACCAGCAAGCCACATATCATCTCGTTGACCTTTGGGTCCTTGAGCAGTTATCGCGTATGTGAAGCCGACCGAGTCGCCGGCTCTGATGGAAAAGTGCACTGGGTAGTCGTATACAGGATCTGTAAGTCCTGATAGATGCGGGACATAGTCGCGGGTGGCCGGCGTGGTGTGGTCGATGGTGGCATACCACCAGGTAGATTTGGTTTCCTTGAAGTTGTCTCCAATAAATCCCTCTGTTGAGATTGTATCTCTGTTGATGAGAGAGATTGTTTGATGTACTGGCAGTGATGTGACGATCGAGGCGCTCCAGCACAAGAGTATTAAGTTTGAGAATATCATGAGTGCGATGTTGCATCGGCAAGAACGATTCCATTTTGGAAGGGCTCTCTCGCATTATATTGAACATTGCTGCGAGATCGACACACGTCAGAGGCTGGTTTCATTATGGCGAGGAAGCTGGACGGTGTGCCTTCGGAGCTTGACCTCCTATTTTGCCGAAGCATCGTGGGAACATAGGCCTGGGAGAGGCACGCTCATAACCCAGCAAAGGTGTCCCAGGTCTGGCCAGATTCAGGCACAAAGCCTTGTGAGACACGGACAAATGGGCTGGTCATGGCCCTGCAGTCGCGCGTTGCTCGGCCGATCGATAGAGCAACGTAGAAATGGCGGCAGGAAGGGTGTCCCTGCGTATGGCGAGGTGCAGAGATCGTTGCCATTGTGTGGCAGGTGAAGTGGCTTGCACGTCGACAAGGTGACGTCGGGATTCACCTCGCGACGTGACGTGTTGATACTTGCATGAAACCGTCGCAGCTGCCCAACCAGCCCTGGAGATGGGTCCGGAGAGGCGCGCAGCCTGCAAAACCGCTGCGGCCCGTGCGAAGGAATATGCACATCTTCGCGACACGCCCGCCTTGTGCTGCTTCTTTATGCCATTCGAAGACCTCACGTACAATAATGACATGCCGACATCTGGGTTCTGGAGCATGTCAGATGGCGGCCCGTCTATGCACCATGTGCTTGAAAATTGAAACTGTGCCCTCGCAACCCTTGCAATCAACCATAGCCTTGACTCATGTTTGCACCTGGGGCCTCCAAACTTTGATACCCGAGAAATCTCGAGTTTCATGTCGCTTAGCCTGACGGCCTACCATATATAAGCTCGCGTGTTCCTTTGTCCCGAGTCGGAGTGGCGGCCCATGCTACGGCCTCCATGGCAGCAGGTGCCATGCCGTTTGCCATACGCGCTACACGTGAGCCACAGTCACTACGAGTGCTGAGTGATAGGCGTGCAGCGAGTCCTCAACCGACGAATCCTTCAGCCGCGAGTCGAAGCACTAATAAGAATTGGTGCAGCGGCACAGCGGCGGGGCGAAGAGCCATGGCCACCACGCGGCAATTATTATCCCGATTTGGATAATGATGTTGCGTCCACAACAAGCCGTCGTCCGCAAATCTCCAAGTACAGTATCCATTGAGATACGTGTCGCGAGACCGACGACAACTTGCTGCTCTATGAATGCAGTCATCCCTACCTACCGCTTGATTCGACATGGATTCGCACGTTTGTTCCACCTTTCGGTTCATGTTCAGTGACCGCAACACGGAATCTGACTTTATTTTCTTGTGCCACGGAAATCGCATTCATCTCACCGTCACTGCTGAGGCGTTGCAAAGGTCGCCTAGTGTTCAAAGTCGATATTTACATTTCCTGAAGGTGGCTGAAGAATATGAGCTAGATGGGCTAACAGTGGAGGATTTCTACGATTGGATACTGGAAGGCTGCGCGCAAGAATTCCATCGCTTGCCCCCAAACGCGCCTGAACACCCAACACTTGAAGACTTTTTCCACTCACCGACTTGGTATTACGAATTGTCTGCCTCCGAGGACGACAAGTTTGTCCTCGCGAAGGTGGATGGTTCGGAAGACTTCATTCCGCCCGGATCGGAATTATCCGACGAACTGTTTGCGCCATGGGCTAGCTTCGCCCCATCTCAAGTTCACATTGTTTGCGACTTGCCTGAAATGGCGCTTGCCAAAACTCCCAAGAAGGTCGGGACGAGCGAGGATAAGATTCATTACTTTAAACTCTTTGATCGCTCCGATGCAATGATGGCGAGGCGAGAATTGGAGAAATACTCGCAAATCGAAAAAGCAAAACTCGATGGCTTGCCGATATCTCGGCTCAACGGTATTGTCCGGGATCCTGGTGGAACTTTTCACGGACTCCTCCTCACCTACATCGACGCGGACGCGCAAACACTCCTATGTGCCGTCAACGAGGACACGTCAAACCTCCTCCGCCAGCGATGGTCTGACCAAGTGAGTAGTGCATTAAAGCACCTACACGAAGCCGGCATCGTTTGGGGCGATGCAAAGCCAGATAATGTACTTATCGACAGTCAGGATGATGCTTGGCTTATTGATTTCGGAGGCGGCTATACGGAGGGCTGGGTTGACAAAGAGCTTGCGGAGACCATGGAAGGTGATCTCCAGGGGCTTGCCAGAATCAAGGAATACATCTTTGAGGTATTTGAGGAATAACATGTTCTGTTCATGTCTACATACCTCAGCAGCGTCTTCTAGTCATTGAATGTAGATGTTTACAGATTGTACGATGACTGCGCGACGAGATACAGTCGATGAAATCATAAATCTTCGGACAAGCTCGGAGCAGCTCGAGTGTTCCTCACCCTCTGCTAATATTCCGCGAATAGTAACGTGTAGCGCCTCGATATATGATCTGGACAATGACAATGCTTCGATCATACTCTTCCATGCTACGCTAGAGACTTGCACGCCCTGAAGGAATTCCTTTCTATCGCTATGTCAGGGGACAAGGGCTGATTCGATCGAGAATCTCGAGGCGCATAGTGAAACCACTCTCGCGCGACGAATTCCAATGGAGGAGTAAGAGCCAAAGTCAATCGACCCTTCTTCCGAGCGGGCGCCAATGCTAGTTGCATGACCTATATGCGTCTCGGGCATTCGTCTCTAGTTTAAACGCCGGATGGAAGCGTCAGTATAGCCAGAGTATGAGTTTATTTTGGTCATGCCTCGCGATATAAAAGACGTTCTGATCTCCAAAATGCTGCTGACGATGTACAATCGACCACAATCATTACTACCACAGCATCGTAAGGCAACGACTCAACAATGTGCAGGCGTACCTACTGAAAACACTGCTGCGGGCACAGGAAATACTTCGGGATCACCTATTGCCGATACACCACTCTCAGCAGATTATCTGGAAGGAAGTCGATGTGCAACTATCCAGGAACGATAATAGCAGTCGCTGAGAGCAATCTCCGTGATAAACGAGAATGCTATCTCAACCATCTCAAAGCAAGAGGCTGGACATGCTGTCAATGTGGAGAAGACCGCAACAGAATGGACGGTTGCGTATGTCCTCCAGAGGGTCACCGAATGGGCGATTGTGAACACTAGGTCTGCACTCGATGCCGATACTCATAGAACCAAATCTACCAACTTATAGTATGTCGCCGAGCCTTCTACGATACGTCCCCCGAACACCTGGGCTAACAACACGAGCAGGAGAAGATCTCCCATTCACCAAGTTGTCTAGCAGATGAGATAGACAAAGTAGCACCTGTGGTTTCGTGGCTACTTCGAGTATATGGCGCAAATGGTACCGCATCGCACGACGTCTTGTCAAGACTCTCGTTCCTCACGAGGAAAGTCCTCTCGACAGCGAGAAAGTTTTGAGTCAACAAAATCTACAAACAGTACTTATCTATCGACGAATGACGGGACGGAATAGAACTGCCAGACATGCTACCTCACTCACAGGAGGCTGTTTTCACCATGGTGACATCGTGCAACGAAACATCCTCGTCACCAATGATGATGACCACCCGGTTCACGGAGCCATAAATTGGGAAGAAGGAGGATGTTTTACAGCGTATTCAGAACAAGGATTGGAATCTGTGAACAGAGCGCGCCGCGTCGGAAAATGGTCATATCCTAGGCATCGGAGCCGCACGTAAGGTCTTGTGATATCATTGCGTTGATGTTCCTGTACCATTTTGTGCCTCAAGCACTTTGACAACACCCGCCGGGTACACAACCAGGTCCTACTTACCCCGGTAGTTACGCGAGACAAATTATTACTGTAGAAGACCTATCTCATAACAGACGAACACGTAAGGGACTTCTCCTGCCGTAAAAGGCACCATTCCGTAAGTCTTCTATCCCGCACGACCGCATATCAAGGACAGCCTCTCGGTGCAAACCACGGAACATCAATCTACATCGCGACGCGATACCCCTGGTCCATAGGTGGCACTGCATGCGCTGGCCCGGAATTCTCGACCTGAGAACAAACATGCGAGGGCGACGCGTTAGCGCCTTTCCTGGCTTTGAATCCAGTCGGTCGACATCAACAACGATGCGCGCCATTCCCTCGAGCTGGAGTCCCAGTGTCGGTCTGCAGACATCGCGGGATGACATCGAAGCGAGGCTGACGGATACTGCACCGTTCTCTCCTTCGGATGCTACATGGGTCGGATACCATTGGCCACGCGCCGAGAGGGGTCCGACGAGGAGGCAATACTCGTAACTTCCATCCACTCACCGCTTCCTGCCTAGGAACAAGCTTCCTTGTGATGTAGTTGAGCTCTATATTTTATCCTGTCATGTTGGCTGACAGGGCAGGTATTTGTCCGCCCTTGCGAACCGAGTGCAGGGATAAATCCTCACGGATTCTCATCTTTGAAGAAACAGAGGTCCCAAAAGATCGAGATGCTCGATGACGCTGACTGATGAGGGCGGTAAGCGAGCAGAATCCCTCAACAAATTAAGTCGTCGAGTGTTGAGCCACGACGACGACGACGACGACGACGACGACGACGACGACGACGACGGAGGCCGGCGTACTCTAGGTATGTCTATAGCGAAGGACTCCTGGGCCCGGCGGACCGCATAGCGGGTAGGAGAGAGGAGGTGGGAGAAATCCCGACGATTTCCTTTCGGGAGATTTCTCCTAACGACTCTCGTTCAAACCACTCACTTCCCATCTTCAGCACATGGAGCTCTCATTCACAATCTACAGTAGAAACACTGTGGTGAGGGCAATTTCCGTGCATGGCGGAGGCTGGGAGATTCAACTCGCAGGACGACGGACGACGAAGCACCAACTTTCTGCAGCAGCTGCAGCAGTGTGTTTGGGAAAGGTGTCTCACCAGCATAGAGAGATCCATCGTACAGGATATGCACAGTGTTTTTCAAGGGGAGGCCGTTGCGGCGGTCTGTCCACCTTCGTTTTCTGTCTCAACGTCTGCCAAGCAAGATGCGGCTCTTCCAACGACTCCCTCCCTCCCACACCCTGCCTCCTCTGCGATATGTGCATGCGAATCCTTCTGCACCGTGGTGAAGCTTTCATGGGTGACGATGCGACTGGATGTAGCTGGGTGTGGATGGGATGTGGAATACTGGGATTGCTACAAATTCGGGATTCGTTTTCCCTCCCTCCTTTCCTTCCTCTTTGTTTTCGATCAATGGCTCTATCACGAGTGACGCCTCTTTGCAGTAGTGTGTACGGTACATGGCATGAGGATGAGATTGAGGCGCGCCTCGTTGTGTTGTCATTAGTATTCCCTCCTCCTCTTCTCCTTCTCATTCGCTTGCTCGCTTGCTTTCCCCATGCGTTCGTTTGCACACAGACGTGCCATGTGACCTGCCGCACGGGTGTCGGCACTGGAGTCAGTCGGAGGAGCTAGCGAGTATGCTAGTGAAGTTTACATTGCGGTCCTCTCTGCTAGAGAATCGACATCGAGTCCGACTGCTGTACGGTCAATATGTAGGTAGAGCTGAGAGATTTATTGTCAAGCTTACTGGCTACGGCACGACAGCTTCTTTCCGTATATGGCGACGAGTCGTAAGCATTGTGCAGTAGTCAGTGTGTCGGTATGCTGAGGAGAGCTTAGTGGAAGACGGATTGACCGTGGGCCACATGTGCATGTATCCATCAAATCGGCGGAGCATTTTGACAGCTTAATAAAAACGACATTTTCAATCAAATCTGACATTTGATGGGCGAAAGCAGCAGAGATGTATTAGTCATCGATAAAAGAAGTATCTGATGAGTCATCGAAATACCCATCTGCATCTCATCCGATTTAACTAATGTACATGAAGCTACAGGAGATGTACGATGACAGCACACGCATGACAACAATCTACATCTACAGTACATGACATCTATAGTAAATTTTATGTACATGCTGTATGGTTGCTGGTAGATCAAGGAAACTCGCCATTGACTTTCGTCCCTCCTCTTGGGTTGGGACGGTCACTCGGGGGCAGCGGTTTGCTACCTTTCGCGACCGTTGTACACAAGGACAGTAGCTGGCCGTGCTGTCGAGTCGTGCGGGATGTCCTCCTCTCCCTCCTTCCACACGGGACTTTACACGAGGAGAAAAGAAAACAGTGCAGATCCCAGTGGGGAGGGATTCCCAGCTACAGTCCCCTTTCTGCTCTCTCAAGGAATCTCTCTCAATCGTACGAGCGTGGGACGGACGACGGACGGACGTTGAGATGTGGATCTCACCGCTTTTCGGAAAACGGAGATTTGGCGTGTGTAAGATGGTACGATGGAATGCAAGGAAGGGCTGGAGGCTCAAAGAAAAGGTCCTCTCCCGTTGAGACGAGGATAACAGCAGCCATACTCACGGGCGCGTTGAGCATGAGGATGATCGTGATGGTGACCGCAACACCCTCTTTGTTTCGCTCGCGGCTCCGTCGTGAGAATTGTGCACTGTACTGTGTGGTGTCAATGTCCTGCAGATATGTACACTTCCTCGTTGCCAGACTGCAGCCGGACAGCACAGCCAAGTACACCCCAGCACTCCACGATGGTCATCAGTACCTAGATTGCCGAAGCTTGAATGCCCCGATCTGATTCAATTCTGGAACAAGAGCCCCCGCCCAGATATGTCCGCCAAGGGTCACCGGTTGGAAAACCCAATGGAAGTGAGCTTGGCGTAGCACATCAGTCGGTCCAGTAGTTATTAGAGTCCTGTTAGTACTGGTCCTACTGGAGTTGAGTTTCCCTTGGTTCGTTCGCGCCCTTGTCTTCCCCACACTTTGGCCTGTGAACCATGCGCGCCACGACAACGACGAAGACGATGCCTGCATGAATGGAGCACGCATGGACGGTGAAGGAAGGAAGCCGGGCCAACAACCGACCATGAAGGCGGCCCGGGGAATTCGGGCATGGGGAGCTACAGGAATAAGTTTCTCTCCAAGGACACTGCTGCATCATACAGCACTGTACCTTCTCCACAGACTACTACATCCATGCGTGTGCTGTGCTGCACTGTGCTGTACTGTACGGCCCATTCCATAGCACCTGCATGCACGTATCACGGTCATTGGTGTATACTGTAGTCTCTACCGTTGGATGGGCGGACGTGCTGTTTGATTGACTTGTGGCAGATATTAATGTATTTCCTAGGCGAGCTGGGCGTACAGTATATGGTCCTGGCGCGCAGGAGGAGACAGGAATGGGCGGGGAGGGGAACGTGGTGTTCGGTGTCGTACTCGTGGGTGTACACCTCAGCTCATGTCGTGCACACTGTGTAGTACGTTCGCTCTGCTTATGGCACGGCAAAACCGGGTGTGACGATAATCAAGCATACCCAGATGATAAAGGAGGGAGGGGCTCACCATGCCTTCATCTCTGTTGCTTCGTAAGCTTCATATATATCCTCTGCCTCTGTTCTCTCACCCTCGCTCTTCTTATCTTGACCCTTCTTCGCTCCCCGAGATCCCAACCCCGAAACTCACTTTCCCAAACTCCGAGAGTCCCTCGTCGTTTCCCGATTGACATCGCCTCCCTGCATGACACGGTTCACCTGCACACAGTAACAGTAACAGTCCTGGATAGAGTCGGACTGCAGCGTGATCTCACATTGCCCACCTCATCGTCGTCATAACCCTGACGATCGACAACCAGTGAACGGGTGAATCGGGTTTCACTTCGGTACATAGCCAAGCACCCAAGGAGCGGTAAACCCTGAAGCAAACGAACTGCGAGTCTCAAACAACGCCCAAGCACATCGCTCTTGCTTGGCTTGCAGATCCACCTCCCTGACCGCAAGAACGATTCAGCCTCCAGCGACGGACCGCGTCGTGTCGATTTGACGGAAGTGTCTGAGCATCACATCATAACTGATTCGGCCAAGACCCTCCGACGAAAAAGCCCTGGATCTTCGTGTCTTGCCTATCGCACCCTTCTTTGTTCGACTTCAAGGAACCTAAGAAGAGATATTTATTTGATCTCCCCTGCGACTTATCATCCGTCCAGCACGCCTGGGAATTCCCTCGACCTAAGTCTTCAAGAACGATCATTGAAATCGCGTCCGCTTTCACAACCTCACCTCGTGAAAGAAACAACAGCGACGACAACGAAATGGCCGCTCCTCGCGCAAGCCAATTTGTGGCTCTCCGCAATCTCGCCCGTCATGGCAGCCACCACCAGCAAGTCCGCAGCTTGCACATGACCGGTCCAGCGACCTATGCATCGCCCGTCCTGACTCAAGAACGCTCCATCCTCAACATCCCTCGCGACATTGCGGGCTTGCGGGCTGAATGCAAGCGTCGTCGGATTGATGCCTCGGGCGACAAACAAGATGTAAGTCTATCATCCTCTCCGTCCTGTTTCTTGATAGGTCCTCTCGTAGATCACGCTTCACGATAATGTGACACTGTCGCTGACTCGTCTTTCCCAGCTCATCGCCCGTATCAACGCCGACCAGCTCGCCCACCATCGTGCCTTCAGCACCACCTCTCCAACCCGGCCGACGCCAACAACCTCCCCAAACACCTCTGCAGCAGCAGGAAACGGCACCCGCCACTTCAACACCTCCAGGAGCCTCAAGGCCGTCAACGACAGCTCCACCATCGACTTCGCCTACATGCCCTGGACGGCTGCCGACCACGACGACAGCCACCCGACCCTTCACAACCCCCAAACATCTTCCCTCCGCGTCCCCATCATCCCCTCCAATCTCGTCTCCTCGTCATCCTCGAGAATCTCGCGACAGGGAGCCAACACTCTCGCGCCCACCGACGAATTTTCCCAAGCAGAGACTGTCATGAAACCGACCATCAGCACCATGTCCGCCGACGCCATGAGCCTCCGCGCCGTGCTGCCCTTGGCGGAACTGAGCGATTGTCATGGTTTGCATATCGATTTCCATGAAATCGCGGAGCGCTCGGTCGGTGATGCGGTCGACAAATTGGCGCGGGAGGATCTGTCCGGAGGGAGGGATCGGGGTGTGGGTGTCCTGAAGCAGATCTGGGAGGGCATTGTGCAGGATTTCAACGGCGGTGGCACGGGCAATGGGCGGAAATTCGCCATGGCGTGAGGTGGATTGGGGAGCAATTTGATGGTAGGGAGGACATAAGGATGGCAACTAACATGAGAGTTGTGGAACAAGCAAAAGTTGCCCCTTTGATGAGATTGAACTTGTACTTGTGCATATCATGGTTCTCTCGGGTTCTTTTCTTTCTGTCTTCAACTGATGTGAAGTACTGCAGTATATGCGGTTTGCCTATCTGTCCTCCAATCTTTCCTCTCAAATAGGTCCTCCCTAGGGTTGTCGCCGTTCATGAAGCTGGACAAGATTGGATGTGAAAGAGGCATGAGCGACATGCGCGCTCAAATGCTGCATTTTGTAATATACACCCGCTGCCTCTTGACCGCCTCCATAGGACGTGAGAGAGAGATCATCTTCAATCTTGCAAGCGTCGTGACAGTGAAGTTTATGACAAGGAAGAGAGCCTTGCATGTTTCTGGAGAAAAGGTATGGCGATAATGGATGGGATCATCCGCCCTGAAATTGAGCTGATGTCGGCGTTCATGCCGCAATTCAGCCTCAGGGTCCGCAATCGGGCCTCTCGAACATTATGACGTCTGCCATTCATTCCCTAAATTCTTCATCTGTAGTCCATTCAAGAGCTTCACCAACCATTCTCCACGGCTCACGCGTGCAAACAGCAACATCACCTGCCGGTGCTCATCCAACACATCAATGCTCCTTCCAAAGACATCGGCATGATCTCCCGCTCCATTCTCCCTCGACGGAGTCTCCAACAATGTCCCAATGACCCACTCCCTCGCCGCATGACCGTCGCCGGCCGACGACCCTTCCACCAAACCTCCCATCACCTTGAAAGGACCCTCCCAAACCACTACGAGACCCTCTCCGTCCCGACCAATGCCTCGCCCACCGACATCAAAAAGCAGTTCTACAAGCTCTCCAAATCCAACCATCCGGACCTTCACCCCAACGACCCAGGCGCGGCCCAACGCTTCGTGCGCATAAGCGAAGCCTACGCGACGCTCAGCTCACCGGCCAAAAGATCCCTCTACGACCGGGACTTTCTCCAATCCACCTCTTCATCTCCCTCCTCATCATCACCACACCCGAACTTCCGCGGCAGCTACTCCTCCGCCTCGGCGAGCAGCAGCGGGCCCGGCGGCCGCCCCGCCTCGGGCCTCAGCCGGCGCAGGACGCAATTCCGCGGGCCGCCGCCGTCGTTCTACCGCAACGGCGGCTGGGGCGAGCACGGCGACAAACGCGGCGCCTACGCCTCGCAGGCGAGCCACACGCACGAAGCGCAGGGACGCTCCGCCAGCGGGGCGGACGGCCCCTCCGCCCACCAGGCCACGTCCTCGGAGCCGGGGATCGGACCGGGGGGGTTCACCGCGGGCTTCGACAACGACGTCCCGCACTTCGACCACGTGGCGCATGCGCAGACGCACGAGGAGATCGACCGCATGCGACGCAGGGCCCGCGAGCAGGCGGCTCGGGAGGAGGACATCGCCATGGGGAGGGGCAACAGCGGGCCGATGAATTTCTTCGTCATGATGGGCGTTCTCGGGGTCGTGGTCAGCGCTTCGGGGCTTTTCGCCGCGGGGCCGGTGGTGCCCACGACGGCGGTGGTAGTCGGGGGCAAGGAAAGGAAGGGCAAGACGCGGAGGGATGAGATAAGTGAGGGGTGAGAGTGCTGTGAAAAGGAGATCCACCTTGAACTGGCTCTGTCGAGAACGAGGATGCGGGCAAGGACAATTTCTCGGGATTCTGGAAGAGCATCCTGTACGAGGCCACTGGGAGCGAGAAAGGGAGGGAGAAAGAGAGGAAACGACAGCCTCTCTTCTTCACCCGACCATCACACCCTCGAGACAACCCGATCTCCGACCCGCCAACGGCATCGGTTCTTCCCAGAGAAACGCCCCAAGCGAGATTCACGAGCGGTAGTGACACCCCAAGCCACCCAATGAGCCGGAAACCACCAGCGTCCACCGCCTCGGAGAAAAGGAAAGCGACCCCCCTGCTTCGGCCGCCAAGCCCGGCGCCACGCCGTTCCGCTCACAAGCAGGGCGGGAAGAATCGCGCCAAATGGGGAGAGTTGGGCGCGAGTTCATGTGGACAAAGATCATCATCATCATCATCATCATCGATCCGCGGGGAATAAGAAACGGGAATTTCTCACATCATTTTCCGCCCTCGTTCTCGCGGAGTGAGCCGGGAGAGCGTCGCCGGATTTGGATTTTTGGGGGTTTTCCTTTCCTTTCCTTTCCTTTCTTTTCTTTCCTCGCCTTTTTCCTGATTTCGGCCACATTTCACTCGCCGCGATAATAGGTGCAGAAGAAGAAGAAGAAGAAGAAGAAGAATCCAATAACGAGAAAAAGAACAGGAAGAAAGCTTTCGCGAGAGCGGAAAGCCCTCGGGAGAAATCCCCCAACTACCCACCCAGGTGAATTCCGTATCTGAGGCGCAGGCGGGGAGAAGGATTGGAAAAAAAGGAAATACAGGTTAGAAGGTATGCATACCTGGATGCACGGTTTGCATCCCGAGGCTGTGATAGGAGAACATCCCCGAAGTTTTCTTTTTCGAGATTGCCGGACTCACGAGAGCGAAGAAAGCAGAGATCTAGGAGGGGGAGGAAGAGTCAAGGGAAGGGAAGGGAAGGGAAGGAGATTGATTGATCTCGATAGGAGGGGAAAGAAAAAGATCGATCGATCAAGACCGGGAGAAAGCATCCAAAGAAGGAAAGAAAGCATCCACAAAAGAAAGGAGGGCGCAGGAGGAGTGAGAATAACAGAGCGACAGCGCAGTCCGCAAACCTTCGGGAGCGTTGTGTGTACGATCCGATCCGACACGATAGACTAATAGACAGGTATTGTGAAATCGGCACGTCTTCGCATGGAAATCTACATATGTATAAATGATGATGGGGCGGGCATACAGATAATAAAAATCAAAATAAATAGTAGATTGAGCCCCCAATCGAGCGGAAGCTATTCGGAGATCTGGGGAGAGGGGGCAACTACAAGAAGGGAAGATGAGAAGATGAGAACACAATGGGGAGATGCGAACTCCGTCTTTCGTTTGCATCGTCACGGCGATCTCCAGGGGATGATGGAAGCGTTTCGTGCGTGCGACGGGCGACAGGCCATCTCGAGGGACAAATGAAACGGGACGAAACGAAACGAAACGAAACGACGGAGGACACTGCGCCGCATCCGTCAGGAACAAACGGCTGGACGCCAGGGGATGATAGATACAGCGGAGAGACGATTGTCTCCATCCGCCTCCAAAAAAGGCTTGAAAAAGAAAATCGCGTGTTTTGTAGGCCTCTTATCTTTTCCTTTGTGGTTTCTACAGAAAAAAAAATCGATACGAGTACATACATACGCTGCCCGTGTCTCTTCGAAACTCTATGGGAAAGTCCGCCGGCATCCCCCCGGCCTCCGTCCCTCCCCTCGCCCCTGAGAATCTTCCGACCTCGAACAATCTCCATCCCGCACGCGTTCCCGTGAGACGTCGCCCAAATCACCCTGTTTGTTCTCCCCTCCAAGAAAAGAAGGAAGACGGACAAAAAAAAGGGACAGATTCCGAAGTTCACGGGAAGGACAGGGGAAGGGGAAATGACGATGATTTGAGATCCGAAGGGGGAGAGTCGGGGAGAGACGGGTAGAGACGGGGATGATGAGAAGAACACACACACGCGCGCGCCTCCCCTTTCCAGGTGGATTGGATTTCTCTAACCCTCGAAGGTGAGCGAGGTGCCGATCTTGTGGCCGGCCTCGTTGAGCTTGTTAGTGTCGAGGGACAGGCCGAGGCCGATGGTGGTGCCGGCGTTGAGCTTGGTGGAGTAGGCGAGGGCGGCGATACCGCGGTCGTTGATCTTGGCCTGGAAAGGAGGAAAAATTCACGGAGCAATGTATTAGAAATTCAAATTCTCGAAATCAAAATACTGGGACGTCTTCCCAGGTTCTTTCATAGTCATGACCAAAAAAGAATCGGGCTCATGGGAACTCACCTTGGCGAAGGACAGAGGGTCCAACTTGTACTTGGAAGCCAACTCCAATCCGCTGGCCTTCTTGTTCGCGACATCGTATCCGGCCTTGGCGCCGACCTCGACGGAGCTGTTGACCTTCTGGTAGTAGCTGGCGGCGATGATGCTGAGGTTCTGGGTGCCGATCAAGCTGGCCGAGTAGGTCGGGGCCTGGTAGCCGAGGCCGAGGGAGTACTTGGTGAGCTTGGCGGTCTGGACGTCGTAGGCGGCCTCGGCGCCGACGAGGAAGCCGTCGTGGCCGGCGGTGACGTCGAGGATGGTGTCGATCTTGCCGGACTGGGTGCCGTAGTTGACGAAGGCGCGGCTGTGCACGTTGGCGTGTTTGTAGGCGAAGTTGACCTTCTGGGCGGCAGCGGCCGGCTTGCTGGGGTTCCACAGGTTCTGGATGTCGACCTTGGAGCCGGGGGCAATGACGTCGGCGAGCTCGACCTTGCTGTCGAGGAGGGAGGCGGTGGTCCAGGCCTGGGTGATGGTCACGCCTTTTGGATGGTGAAATGTCAGTGCCAATCTTCCATGCGAGGGGCCTTCCGCCTTGGGGACTCCCATGGCGGTGAGGTAGATTTGAGTGCGCAGTGGAGCGGGTATGCGGGTGACCATGTGAATCATGTGGAGAAAGGGGAGATTCCCGTCATGTCCATGTTTATCCTCCGGTGGTTTCTTTGCAATTCTCTTTTTGCGCTGTGTTGGTGCAGAGGTATCGGCGGATGTGAGATCAGAAGAAGGAGAGATTTTGGGCGTACCCTGGGGCTTGAGAACATGCTTGCCCTCAATCTGTGGTGAGAGATGGAAATCATTCGTCAGTCCGAGAGATGGTCTACTTCAGGATGCGCCATCGGTGGGCGGGATGGAGAGACGTACGGAGCCGGAGGTGGCACCCTCAAAGGCCTGCTTGCCCTTGACGGTGATGTTGGTGCCATTGGGAGCCTTGAGCTTGACGTCGAGGGTGGCTGCAGAAGGGAGATTGGTCAGCTTGTTGATACGAGTTCAAGTTGTCTGTCCCTCGGAGAATCCACCGACCTTGGCTCAAGTGGTAGAAGTCCTTGTTGATGAGCTATTGGAGGAAATCCCAAGAAAGAACGTGTTAGCTCGTGTTGATGTCCATCGCCGCACCGTCTTCCTCCTCTCCATTGCAGCTGCGGAAACTGTGCTCCTCGCGCGCGCATCCCTTCAACGACAGGCTGGAGGTCTCTTTTTTCTTCTCCTCCATTCGGCAATAAAACCTACGTCGTTGGCGGCCTTGCTGAAGTCACCGAAAGCCGGGATGGGCAGGGCCTTGCCCTTGGGCGCGATCTTCTCGGCGGCCTTTTCCAGACCGGCGGCGGTCTCGCTGCGGATGTTGGTGAAGCTCATGTTGACGGTGTGTGTGGTGGTGGTGGTGGTAGAGATGGAGAGAGAAGTAGGTTGATATAAAACAAAGGAGGTGTGGATTGTACGGAGAAACAAACAATGGCAATAATGATAACAGCTGGGGAGAGAGAGATGTCGAGCTTGCGCAAAATGGCGTTATTACTGGAATGGAAGCTCACCTCCTCCTCCGCTTGCTTGCTTGCTTGGGCGTGAAACTTCTCCCCCGAGCTCTCCCGAATTTGCCGGGTTTCATCTTCTTCAAACCTCAGGCAGGAATTTCCATCTGAGAGGAAGACATTGGCACGTGAAGGCAGTGATTGGGCACGATTGGATTGCTGCACGCCGAACCACACATGGGCATAATCTTACTGATGAGCACGGTCTGTTCACCGTCTGAACGTTTCCCAATGTGCGCGCAGCTCTACAACGGCACACGAATCCGTCTCGAGATCAGTTGTTTGCACATTCACGATATGTTGCTGAGAGGTTTTAAAGAATGCAGTAAATATAGGGGCACGCAGGTAGTCGTGCTTGAAGTATCCCTCGCGCGACAAGGAAATGGGTATTCGCATCCGTCTAGCTCTATGTATAATGATGAAGATGAAAATCCTAAAAACTGCCCCCATGCTTCCGAGAGACAACGATGTGTATGCATGATGAGTCCTGAAAAGAAAGGACCCACGAGAAGAAAAAAACCCCCCAGAAAAGGGAAACTCCACGCTGCTACTCGCCTCCATGCACCAATCGCACCCCAAAACACTCCCCAGCAAACGCCCAACAGCAACGCATCGAAACGCGCAGGGAAAGAGAAAAAAAAAAGAATCACTGCTTCAACCCCAGCGCGATCCCGTCGAAATACGCACAACGCGCCTGCTGATCCGCAGGGACACCCTCCATGACCGCCGAATCGCCCGTGTCGAAGCGCAAGCGTCTCGGGGAGAGGTTTCTGGTGGCGAAGTTCCTCGCGAGGACGGGCGTCCAGGCGGCGCTGCCGGGTTGGCGGAGGGAATTGGGGTTCAGGGTCTTGATGAAGCTGATCCAGTACTGTTGGATCTTGGCGGCGACGGGGGCGTTGACGCCGCCGGAGCCGTAGCTCGCGGGGATGCTGCCGGTGATGTAGGGCGTGCCCCAGATGGCGGCGAGTTCTTTGGTGTGGGAGGAGCCGTAGCCTGGGATAAAGTCAGTGATGATTACATGTGGAGGGCAGACGCGAAGGCGTGGAGTCGTCAGAGAGCGATTGCTCGGCGGGGAGAAGCTTACCTTCGCTTTCGGTAGCGGGATCGACGACGTTCCAGCGGTAGTTCCACACCGGCACGTTCTTGGCCCACGTGCGCGTGAACAGCAGCCCCGGGCAGACATATCGCAACTCGCCAAAGGCATTCGCCGCCTGGCGCCAGTAGCGACCGGAGTTGGAATAGGAGGGAGTGTTGTCGACAGGGTACATCTGAGCAATGTGACTGAGCTGGTCCGAGGTCAAATCGGGAAAGTTGTTCTTGAGGAATCTGCTCGAGTCGCTTTGTGAGCTGGTGTTGCGAGGGGTGAAGACGGTGCCTTCGTTGGTGTCGTCACCGAAGATGGCCGGGACACGGATGTATTTCCCTGCGGCGAGGAGGTTGGGCGTGTAATCTTGGATGAGGTCGCCATCGATGGTGGGGCCGTAAATATAGAGACCTGCCTCGGAGTTCCCGGAGTACGGGATGACAATGTTCTTGGATTGGAGAGCGTCCGTACTGAGACCACGGAGACAGCCCAGAGTATCAGAATGCTTGCCGCAGCCAGTGCGAGAGACGAGCGCGTCGTAGACGAATTGGGATTGGTCGACGTTCAGCAGAACTCCCATGGCTTGAGATTCGGAAGTGGTGCCAACGAAGAGGCCGTCGTTGCGACCTCCATAGGCGGTGAGGTGAAGAGTAACACTGCTCGCGCCGGCACTAGCACCTCCAAGGACGACATGGTTGGGATCACCGCCGAACTTGCTGATGTATTTCTGGACCCATTGCAAGGCTTTGCGCTGATCCTTGAGACCGTTGTTCAGCGAACCTCCCTTGGCTACCTCTTTGCTCGCCAAGAAACCGTATGGCCCGACACGGTAGTTCAATGTGACGACGACAATGCCATCGTTGCTGGCGGAGATCAAACCAGTCCCATCGTAGTTGTAATTGCTGTTGGCTTGGAATCCACCGCCCTGGAGGAAGACGTATACAGGAAGCTTCTTCTGCGATGATGCGCTGGAAGGAGCGTACACGTCGAGATATAGACAATCCTCACTCGACTTGCCTTCGGGCATGGTTGCCTTGGTGTCTAGACAGATCGGGCCATGTTCTGATGCATCCACTTTCGATGGTTCGAAATCGGGATCCTGTGGTTCGGCAAAGCGGAGGTTTCCCAATGGAGGTGCGGCATAACGAATCCCAAGCCATTTTGATATGCCGTTGTCGCCAGAGACGCCTTCATATGATGCGTAGTCGAGGTGCACGACATCGTCCACGGCGAGGGCAAGCTGTGGCAACGCGGTCGCGGCCAAGAGCAGAAGTCGTCGAGGACTTGAGAAATGCATTTTTGTCGAGATGTGCGTGAGGAGAGGAAGACGTGGAAAGCTAAAGCTCCGTCTGTCGAAGGTCGGGGGTCGCAGGGTATGAGCAATCCCAATTGATAGTCGAGCGAAGTCGCTGGTGTCGAAGAGCCCCGGTCGCCCGGCGTCTGTGACGATCTATTCTATATCTATATGTCTTCTTTTGTTCGCCAAGGTGTGATTTGGAAGCGACAGAGCTCCGTTGATCCGCAGGCAATGGCGCGAGCGCGGAGAACGAGCGGGTATGCAATGCGATGCAACAATAACACGATATGCAGAGTCGGCAAGGAAGAGCGTGTGGTGATGCTTTCTCAGATGCAAGTTGGAGCAGATGACCGATTGGGCGCGCACGTGGTGGTTGACGGGCACGTTGTTGTGTGTTGTGCAGTCGAAAAAGGGAAAAACAGAGCGATGATCAACGTCAGCCAAGCATCCAGAAGGGGGAATGGAAGGGAGGTATTTGAGTAACAATGACAGTGATGGTAATAATTAAATCTTAGCACGCGAGAGCTGGAGAGAGACGAGAATACTATAATACCTACAGCAGTAGGAAAAGAGACGGACAAGAGGAAGGGGCTTGAGGATCGACGGAGGGCCGCCACACCATCACCAGAAGAGAAGGTTGGAAGGATTGGGTGACGCGCGCGCACGACAGGCAGACAGGCGGACAGACACGACAGATAGCTCCGTGAGAGATGGATGGATGGATGCGACAACCACTACTCACACGATATAGTATATGGTATATACACTACGACAAATCCCGGACCATACAGTCAGATCTACCATACAATCCAACATGCTCACGGGCAATTGCATAATAATATACAGTGGCAGCAGCAGTAGCAGTAGCAGCAGCAGCAGCAACAATCCTGCTGAAATCTGACATGCATATATGTATATCCATAATAAGAGCAATGACAACCACACGTCTTCACGATACAGTCCGTATGTACTACCCCAATGATGAGGTTTGGTGTAACCATCGCGAGCCTCACCACTGCGGCGACGGAGCCAGGAAGGGAAGACCAAAGCCAAATCTGCGAGCTGACGACGACGGCGACGATGGCCTCGTCAGACAATCTCACGAACGCCCCACTAGGCGACATCTGGACAAGCCTGGTTCAGATCTCACCAACGTCCCAGGGAAGTTGAGAGAGAGAGAGGGACAGACGGAAACGTGGGTCGAGCACCGCCGTCGGATCGGCTAGACCGGCGAGTTTATCTTCAATTGGGAGACACAGCTCCCGTCCCTGTCTCTAGCATTATTATTAGGAATTCCCGAAAAGACGGAATGAGGAATGTCCTTCGTCTCATCTCATTCGTCCCGCATGCCTTCCTGGCTGGGCCCATGGATGCTTATCTGCGGTAAGAGTCTGCGGCGATGCTTGTTCGTGTTGATATTGTAGTTGTGGTTGGCATCGTCGTCCTCGAAGGCTGTGCATAATAAATAACAACTCGAATGTCTCGGAATAGAATGCACGGTCGAAAAGAGAGAAAGAAAGACTCAATGCGATGCGATGCGGGCAGCTGTCGCCCTGCTTCTCCTCCATCTCACCTCTCACCTACATATCCTTTCGTCGGTCGGGCGGGTCATTATCCGAGCGGTCCGCAAGACAATTGCTGTCTCGTCTCTCATCACCATGTCCGTCCTCGCCGTTCCAGCAGCGTCCGGCACGCATGGCAACTCCCATCTCTCCCTCCGCGCACAGAATAAAAATACACACATTCATATATCGCATAGCCTCGAGGATATGGTATCCTATTTCAAGCCACGAAACTCCATCATCCCACAGCTCGGTGACGAGCGAGAGTGCGGACAGAGAGTGCGGTGGGCATGTGGAAACAAAAAGCAAACAGGGAGGCTTAATCTAGAAGCCGGAGGGCGGGCGGGCAGGCCCAGGCGCAGCGAGGCGGACGAGGAAGAATAAGCTTTTGTTTCCCTCGATTCGATATTTGGGCAAGCGCCGGGGCCTGTCCATGGAAGGAGAACGAGGTCTGTGGGGTGGGTCCATGTGCCGACCTCGTCGTCAAGCACGTGTCGAGCCCGGCATTGCCACGACAGTTCGATTTTTGTTTTTGTCTCTACGGGACGACGCTCGCTCTTTTTCGCTGTCTGTATTTGCATGCATCAGGACGGCCCGATACACACACACACTACTGCAAATGTCCTTCTCTCAGCCTCATCGGATGCCTTCTAGGTCGGAGGATGAGGACACCGGCGCGAACGGACGGACGACGACTTGGCCCACGTGTCGCTGTCGCGCGCACGAGAGGCGATGAGGACGTGCCATTGCCTAATCACTAGGTATAATTATAATCGTAATTACAATCATAAGGAATTTTTGCTTCGATCTCCGCAGGGAGCAGGGTTTCAACCACTCCGATGGCCTTCGTCGGAAACAACAATAATTACGACAACGATGCTGTGGAAATTCTCCCCAGCGAGAATCGTCCCTTTAACGTGTCCCTTCGACTGAGGAGAGCGTGTATCGCCCAACGCAGTCGAACAGGCAAAGGTCCGTCTAGCACGCCGGGAGCTTCATGCAACGAGCTGGGACAGAGGGCTTCTCCACTGAGCTTCCCTAGTCCCGCCGTGGTAGAACAAGTTGTTGCTTGACGGCGACGTGAAAAGTCCTGGCGGATCCGTCACGGACGTGTGCTGTGCTGTTGCGGAGGGAGGAGCATATGGTGAAGTAGCACCGCCAGGTCGGAGGACGCTGTAGAGGATTCCGCATCGGTTGGATTTCGACGTAGGAGGAGAGCCGCCGATCGCGGGCAGGGATGACGCGTGCGAAATCGACACGGGCGTAGGAAGCTTCCTGAGGTTTTTGTCGAGCTCGATCCGCGGATGGTCTCCTCCGACGGACTCTTGGGCGTTTCCCAACGTCGGATTCCCTTCGAGTGTTTCGTTTGCTTCGCCGGCGATGTGTGTCGCCCTGGGCCGGTCATGAGGGAAAGCACATGTTGCATGTCTGCACGTATCGGAATCACAAAAGAGCCCCGTGGTGAAGCGGCAAGTCGATGGTTCGTCGTGAGAGACATCGTTCATTGAGATGCGGATGTGAAGATGATGATGGCGATGGCGACGGCGACGGCGACGGTCATGGTCATGGTAGTGAAGACAGCAAGAACAAGCTAGAGCAATCCACGTTGTCGACGTGGAGACATCTCACTTTCTGGTTTCTCTGCTTCGTGTTTTGCCGCGTTCGCAGGAATGGTACGTGGGTAGATCCACATGCGATATATATGGTGGTGGTGTCACCTTTTCCACCCGAACAAGAGACCTGGGTATATACCAAGCCCACATCGTCAAGAGAAGCCCGTGGAAACACGAGCACATCATCATAGATGAAGCAAATATTAACATCTGGACACGTCACTGCAGTCAACGAGTGATCCAGAAGATGGTGTTTTTCCAACTATATATGACTCGCTCTCTCATGCGCACGCAGAAGCGCGGATGAACAGCACTCGCGTCAGATCATGTGCCTTTCTTTCCCTCCCATTCGCTCTGTATCTCGATGATGCTCCTCCTTCCTCACGAGTGAAGCACTCTCCTGTCCACGAGAAATCACAATGGGACATCCATCAACATGCACAGACGAGTGAGAGCAAGATGTAAATATCCATATCATATATCTCTAAAGATGCGAATGTATATTACAAAATGGCACAGCATGGCATAGCATGGCATCCTCATCGACCAGAAGAAGTGATGATGATGACGAATGGGTATGGGGACGTTTATCCAGCTGGGTAATCAACCCGCAGTGCGAGAAAGAGAAAAAGAAGATCCGAAAAGCAAAAGCAAAAGCGCTAAGTTGAAGGAATGGTTGAATTGGGGGTTGGAATGAGACAAAACGACCATGATGGCTGGAAAACAGGGAACAAGGGACAGAAAGATGGAATGTCCGGGAAGAAATCGCATGAATGGGGTATCATAATATGGGCCGCCCAGGCTGTAATGGAAATGGTTTGTAGATGTTGTTGGGTGTTGGATGGATGTCGTAGAGAGCGAGGGAGGGAGAGAGGGTATGTTCGTTCTCGTGAGGTGTACATGTCTTTTTTTTTATTCATGGGCGTTCGAGCATTCAGCTGGCGCTGGCGCGCTTGGGCTGCTGCTGTTCCTCGACGTCGGCGATCGTGGTGAGATCGTGCCGGCTCCCTGAGCGGGTGAGGTTGAAGGAGCTGTTCTTCAGGAAGAAATCGAAGCGGTCGGATTTGGTGGCCGGGGGCGGGGCGGAAGATTCCAGTTTGGCGCCACCGGACGTCTTCGGGCGGTCCTCCAGGCTCTCGGCGATGGAAGGCGCCGTGACGGAGTGCTTTCGGGAGACGCCGTTGTCGCTCTGCTTGGGCTCGATGAAGAGGCTGCGGCGGTGGAAGGAGCTGACGAGTTTGTCGTGGTCCTCGCGCATGCGGATGAGGTTCTCCTCGATCCAGTTTTGCATCTCCGGGACGTCCTTGAGCTTGTAGGGGACTTGGAATTTCTGGAGGTTGGTGATGATCTTGGAGATGCGCACGTACATGTCGAAGTTGATGACGGACACTGGCCCGCCGGTCTCGGAGGTGCTGCCGGGGAGCTCGCGACGTTTGGGGTTACCGGCGATGACAAAGGTCAGATCGGTGAGGTAGATACCAACAAACGGCAGGCAAGGCGCCACCGGCTCGGCCAGACGGGATCGCAAGGAGGAGTAGTTCTTGGACATGTCACACACTTGGGCCAACTCGTCGATGCGGGCCTTGGTCTTCTTGCTGACAATCTCCCAAGTGCGCTTCAATCGCTGGACGACCGAAGATTGCAGAGTGGCCATGATGGACATGAGGGAATCGTAGTTGTGCAGCTCAAGGAAAGCATGACCGATCTTGGACCACTGCTTGATGACAGCGGCACGTTTCTTGGCCTCGTCGGGGGTTAAGATGGTGTCGCCCACAAAGTTGGCGAGGTCAGTGTTGAGCAAGCACATTTTTCGCACGTTCCTCGCCTTCTGAGTGTTGTTCTTTCCCCAGTCCATGCTGAGAAGCTCTTCCGCCCGGATGTCGCAGAAGGTCTTCATCGTCAACATAGTGATCTGTCTTGCAACCTCCATGGCCTCGAAGTCCATGATGCTGCATTGAGAGCCTCCGCCGACGGCATTGCGCAAAGAGTTCAACTGGCTCTTGCTGACTATCGGGCCGGGAGCGCTGGCTTCATTCTCGTAAGACATGCCAATGGTGAGGATGGTCTTGCCAACACCTGATACGCCAGGTCCTGTGAGTGTTCCATCTCGGTAGCCGATGCTGACCTTGCGAACCAAGTCAGCGAGACGGTCCCCCGCAGCAGGAAGATGCTGCTTGAGTTTGAACGCAGCGAAGTTTTCGATCTCGGTGAGCGCTTCTTTGTCCGCATCGGGCGACCAGTAGGTCTCCAACCAGTATTTGAAAATGTTGAAAATCCGAAGACGAGCTGGCATGCCGACAGTCTTGCTGTCACCGATATAGTCGAAACGCGCAATGAGCGCCTGTGCGAAATCCCGGGGGTCGCAGAATTTGCGGAAAGTAACGAAAAATGTCGTGAGAAAGACTGGGTCTGGAGCGGAATCGTGCTGGGTCAGGTGCTCCACCAATGCAGGCAGACTACCTCCGGATACCTGACCATCCTCTTTCAGAGTCAACTCATTGGCGTACGTCTTCTGGAGGAGAGTGGCTTCGTGATCGTTCTGCTCGTCAGCTACGAGGTATGGCATGTCTGAAAGGCTAGCGAAGCTTCCGATCATGGCCGACTCCGTCTTGGGCGAGTCTTTGGTCTGGTCGGGCGTTGTCGCGCGAGTAGACCCTTGTGAATTGTTCGTCATGCTGGAGTCGCGTACGCTGCTGGCAAAGGTATCGGTCGATCCAGAAGTGGACATGCCGATGCTGTCTTTCCTAGCAGGGCTGATCGAATCCGATCGCACAGAGTACGGTCGTCGCAGGGACTCGGCGAGGTTGCTCGAGGTCTGGGAGACGCGCGTGGCAGATCGATGTCGCGAGACCACAGGTGCGGCAGGTGTGGGCAAAGATTGTCGGATGGAGGTGATGGCCGGAGTGATTGGGGTTTCCATGACATCAATCGGAGAGGTCACCGGGACATCGGTTGAGATCGCTGTCAACACGCGTGGATTAGGGACTGGAGGGGCTTGAGGTAGCGGAGGAAGTGACTTCTTTGAAAGTCGTCGCTCAATCGAATAACGCTTCTCCATGGAGAATCGCTTCTCGACCGAGAATCGTTTCGCCGGAGTCAGTGTGATTTCTCGCTCGGGTGATTGTGGTTCCTTCGGCGGAGGTGTCGGTAGCATGTCCGACATGGGTTGGGTCGTGACGGGCGAGGAGACAACCCAAGCCTTCAACTCAAAGTCGCCGATCTGTTCGATGACGTTTCGGGTCTTCATGACACATTCGGCCGTGTTACGGATGAGGTCGGTTCCCACAGTGATAAGATGGCTGCTCTGGTCTGGCATCATAATCTCCTCGTCATCAGGTGAGTCGGAGAATTTAAAGACGTCCTTGGTGGATCGCGCAAGCTCCTCCACTTTCGACTCGAATTCCGCCTTTACTTTCCGAACCTGGGCACAGTTATGTGGGTCCCGCTCACAAACTTCGTCCACGATGATCAGCATGTTCTTGCAAGCCTGCACAAGCCTGTCGGTTGTGGCGACAAGCTCTGAACAAGGTCTCGAATGAAGATGGTGTCCAATGAATGCTCCGATATGGCTAATGCAGATATCGTGAGCCTTGGCGAGCTGTTCCGATGCGAGAGGTGTTGACACTACACTGTGACTAGTATCTCTCCTCATAAGCGATAGGCGATGGGCGACAGTACCAGCGGGAGGAGTAAAGACCACAGAGAGACGGGCTGTCTTGTCTTTGGGCGTCTCCGCTATCGGTAAAGCGACGACGGCTGGCTCAGCGGTCTGCTCCACATCATGTTCAGCTTCTGCCTTGTTGTCATCCATGAGTGCCATAGCAGAATCAACGGCGCTAGAGGGCTCATCTTTGGCAACAGCATTCGTGTCGATGTTCAGTTGTGGTGCATTGCTTGGGCTAGGCTCGTTCGCTGACTCAGGAACCGATAGCCAGCCCAGCTCGTCCCCACGAGAGCTGGTCTCTTTGGTCCAGACGTCGAGAAAGCTGACGGCTCTCGTGACCACTTTGCATGCTTTCGTGATGAGATCCTCAAGCAGGAAATGAATCACTTCCCCAGCGAACGGCTCGCTGATCGTTTCTTGAAGCCGCTTGGCGATTTGAACGAGCGACGACAGATCCGCGAGGAGGCCCTTGCGCATTCGTCGTACACCGACATGCGCTTTGACGAGCGGTACGTCGCGATGTAAGCAATCCGCGCGCTCCAGCAGATATCGCACGCCTGCGATCAGCCCGCGAATGTAGTCCTGTCGCACAAATGTCGAGAGATTGGCATCTTCGCTCGCGCCCAGGAGATCCCAGAATTGAGTCATGGCATTTAACAGATTGCGCAAATATGGGTGATCATATCCTTCGCAGTAATTCGTCGGCAGCCAGGCGCGCTCGCCAGAATTCAATACTGTGCCATCCGCCCAGCCGTTGGCGTGAATGCAGTGCACCAGGATGAGATCACCGGCCTTGAGCTTCGCGGTCAACATCGAGGCGTCTTCTCCAGGTGTTGAACTTGACTTGGGATCAAAGTCGTGTAGGGCGCGCAAGTAGTTATGAAAGAGCGACTGCTGCGGAGCGGGTTCGGCATCCGCATCCGCAGGTCCAATGGGGGTCAAAGGCGGCGTCATGGTGGAAGAGAAGCCAGCAGTCGTCACAATCGGAGCGATGAGACGCTGTGACCGGTCGTGGAGGAGATCTCCAGTATCTGAGTTTCGCGACGGATCGCCTCGAGTTGCAAAGTCCATGATGTGTACGTGAGAGGGGTTGAACGGCGGTGGTGGTTGTGGTGGCGGAAATCCGGAGTAATTGCTATGACCGCGTCGCGCCCATGTGGCTTCCGGAAGATCGACGTGTCTGCGCTTGAGTGAGATTCCTGAACCAGACGTTGTACAAGACTCCGCTACATGTAATAATGATACAGGAGTGTTGTTTCAACAAGACCCAGACTGCAGACGAGGTCAGGACACTTCGATCAGATACGCTTGGATGATAAAATTGGGTGACGTTGTGTACTCACGATCCTCTGTCTCCCGTTTTCGCTGCGGGTTATGATGATGTTGCGGGTATGCAGGCGGGCAGCATGCAGTTGGTCATGCGCATGGGTACTCGAGTCAGACCGCCCCGATAACCTGGTGGACGTACTGAAACTCTTCCGGTCAGGTCGCGGGTAACGAGAATTCTGTCGCGGACCCCGAGGCGAGGAATCAATGATGGCGCGCAAGCAAGGGAGAGGGTATGTCCTCGAACAAGTACTGCTTGTATGTATGCAAGGCGGCGGCGTCAATGTGTGGTTCCTCTCTTTGGAAATTGTTTGGTTCAAAGCCAGCCAGGGTATCGGTCTCTCCTGCCGCTTTCCCAGGATGATGCGATAGAAAGCGAATGGCAGAAGGCAATCTGTCGACTCCGAGCGATGACGACGTCCGTGATGACGATGTCGATAGTAGCAGTGATTGTATAACGAGGGTGGATTCGGTCCGGTAAGAACGGCGTCGGACTGTTGTAAATGATTGTGTGGTGTATCGCATGTGTGTGCGAATCGGTCCCAGTCTCCCGAATAGATTCCCTCTGAATTGTCACTCGGCGAGTTCGCTCAAATCAACGCGTGTTGCGTGTTGATGTTACGTGGGAAAAAAAAAGGTGATGGCTGCCGGGCGCCGTTCTCGTCGCTGGAAGTACACGCTGCCTGGTCGTTATGAATTATCGCTGTGCGCGTCCAAGTTCCAATGATCCCGAGTCAACACCAAGAAGCAGTAATAACAGCAGCAGTAAAGCAGCAACAAGGACCGTGTTTCGTCTGAACAGACAATGGTGAATGGGGAGAGGAAGAGGTTCTCGGCGGCGGTCGACAAAGAGGCGCGCCCTAGGCTAGCTATCAGAGAGGACACGGACATTCAATGGAGACAGAGAGAGGGCATCTACAGTACAGTACAGTCCGACGAGTACTACACAATCGCTCACATTATCTCATTCCTCGCGATGCGAAAGTGTCCTAGTCGAGATGTGATGGCTGGCAGCAGGCATTGCGCCAACTGTGCACCAGCAACGCCAATGGGGGGGAGAGAGAAGGAGGAGGGAGAAGGAGGATGCACACACCCACACACCTCATCACCTCAAACGCGCACACAAAACCCACACACGCACACGCACATGCACCATCATCACCATCGCCCGTCACGGTCCACCACATATCTCCATGCCTCCGGGCTCAAAGTTTCTTTTCGACCTTTTGCACGCTTTGCTACTCCGATGGGCGCTACGACGCCTCTAGCCGGACCAGACCCACCCTGATCGTCGGCCCTGGAGGCCGGCGCATACTACTGATCGGTCTACTGTACATTCGCTGCTCCTCGGGTGGGCTACTCTCGCCTCTCTTTCTCTCATCGACGGTGCTTTGCCTCGTCGATTCCCACGACCAGGACCGACCTTGTCCCTCCCAGACGGTACCGATGGCATACGAGCACACGAAAACGCTGCTGCTCACGCTGCTGCTGCTGCTGCCACTGCGACGACGGCAATCGGGAGGGACGTGCTTGATGCTAGCGACACACAGCGCGAGTCCGTTCTCCATCCCGCTTGTGCGACGACCAGGATTAATATTATTAAAAGCAGACCAGTCGGTAAACCCAATCGTGTCCTCGGGATTCTCGGTCCTGTGTCTGTCTCTCTTCTTTTGGCTAGGGACCGAAACGGAGAGCCTTGTGATGAAAGAGAATGAGATGCATGGTACACTGTTTGTACAAGGAACACAGTACATAGCAGTAATAGAAATAACAAGTATTGAACAGGGGAGTATGCTCCTGTGGAAGAGAGGGAGGGTGCCGCGGGGATTCTCATCACACGAGTACATCTATTATTTCGTGCTGTTGACCCCTGGTGGTGGGCGCGTACGACGAGCCTCTCATATCGAATTGAACCTTCCATGCTCTCCCACCACGTGTGAGACGAGATTCGAGTGATCTACCTTGTAGCGACATTGATAGGACGATGATGTCTTGATGTGGCTCGCGAGGATGCGTGAGATCGACCAATCGTCACTCCATCCATCAGCCGTCGTGATCATGCATCCTGGGAACGATGAGACATTCAAAGGGACATGTCTTCAGGCACAGGTTGTTCGGGGAATTCGGTGGTGAGATGGGGGAGATGCAGCAAAACATTGGGTGGGAAGGGACGACCGAACGAAATTACAAGGCGCGCGCGAATGAGAGAACCCCTCGCGCTTGGCAACAGGACGAAAACAAAGGATTTCCAGGGTTGTCCACAATCCAGGCACGCCAGGACATCTCTCGAGCTACCGACCTACCTACCTACCTAGGTATCTAGGTATTTATCATGTACGGGGGGAAGCCAAATTTCGTAGGAGTCCACCAATTTCATGGGTCACGGGCCGACGCCCGACTCCGTACGCACGGTCCCGCCCAACAGACCCCTCCATTCCATCGTGATGGCAACTCCAGACACATCTTCCAAGGTTATTATTATTATGATTTATCATGGTTTTAATATCCATAACAGCTGCTATTTATTAGTGTGTTATCAAAGACGAGATGGTGGTGGCGGTCGAAGGAAATGGTGGCGCGGAAAACAACAACGGCGACGCTTGACCTGCTTGGGCACTCGTCGCGGCATATCTCTCCCGTCCTCACGGAGGTCGTCCATCTCATGTCGATACTGTCCGCAGACACACATACACACATCTCGTAAGCTCGGCACTTGAGTTCACAGGCGGGACGTTCCCTGTTCCTGCAGATGTACGGCACATCTGCATTCGCTCACCACCCTCAGCCAAAACGCAAACATCCTGTGTTGTGTTGTAATTGTGAATGAATGGACAGACATCGAACAGTGCTTCAGCGTACACACACACCAACCTCAACCTGTTATGCCGTTGGAGCAAAACGAAGCAGTTGTGGTCCGTCCATGGCTCCGGGAAAAGACTGCTTATATTTGAGCCGTTTTGTACAACGTTTCCTGGGAACAAACCATGCGCGCACGACATGTCCATTATGCCATCATCTCATCACGACTGTGCACTCAACGGATTCCTTCCATCCCAAACTGCTGGTGTCACCCGCCACTTGCTTTTGCTTTCGATGCTCGTGAACGGGTGGTGGTGGTGGCATGCACAGGTCACAAAATGACATAGAACCTGCGGGTTTTCGTACTGTATCTCTGTATATTACGAGTCCGAGTGGAGAACAGAGTCCGTTGCGTGGTGATCCTGCCGAAAGGGAAAGGAAAAGGAAAAGAGCATGAGCACATCTGACGGTTCGCCGACGGTATGGGCATGGCTCCCACCACCGACCGACTCGGCAAAGCACGAAGCAAGAAGAGTGCAAACCAGACAGAGAGGGAGGCTCCGATCGCACACCCCTCCTCTTCCGTCCATACTCCTCTCTTCGATCCCCTGCTGGTGGCGCGCAACATCTGCATGCAGTGATGGGGAAAGAATCTCACATGCAGCAGATACATGTATACATATCACGCGAGAGAGTCCAATCACGAGCAGAAGAAAACTCTCTTGTAAGGCGTTCAAGCACTTGCTGCGTGCGACCAGGCACTCACTCCCCTGTCAGATCTTCGCTCACGCCAATTTCCCCATGCAGAGATCAGTCGTACACATCCAGTATGAGTAGTACAGTGCATCCCGATCCAGCACGATTCCTTCCTCCGCTGTGAAGCGAGAGGATCCTCCATGTCTTCGACTGGGCCAACATTGCATTTCCTGCGTTCCTGCCTCGGCCGCGGCCGTTCCCATCAACGACAACTCGTGGGAGGACCACACATTTGCCGCACTCGCGATTGTGTGGGAGAGAGACAGAAACTCTTTCATGCTTGCAACCAATAGGGAAATTTACTGGGGGACTTGTCTAGCGCGGATGTCTATCTCACCCTTTACCTGAAACAGCATCTGCATGGACATCACACACACACACACATTGCACACAGACAAGCGATGAGATGAGCAATATGTTCGTGACCGAACGTTTGTTGATGATGATTGCGGCGTGCGTGTGTATGCTGATCAGCTGCTGTTGCTGTTTTTCTCTCTCGAGTCCATCGCCGTCGACACGACGTCAACATCAACGTGAACCATCGCGACGCTCTGTGCGCTGGTGTGCCTGTCATGATCATTACGCCTCTCATCACGTGCTAGACACAACACTCTCACAACAACATATATGTTCATGTAACGTGGGCCCAAATCCGCTGGGGAATCCCCGACACCAACACCAACGCCCTCCCCCCATCCTTCCTTGTCCGCCCAGCTGCAATCCTACGTGCCTGCCCCTGAAGATCGCAAGAAGGAATATTGGTATGTGACGATGGGAGAGAGCAAGCAATAGGTCGCTGTGTCCCGATCCGGCAATCCCACTTCCTACTCTCCCACGCGAACACCTCGAAGACCCCAAACAAAAGATGGTGCTGTAGTCATCATCAATTGCCGTCAACCGAAACCATCGAGATGTGCTGAATAACCCTCGATGACAAACAATGTATGTATCTCAATCACACACATATCTCACCCTCAGGCTCTCTCTCACTCTCTCTCTCCCTGTGTTGAATCGACGGTCCGAATTGCCCCTCGCGCGTCGGTCGATCAAGCCGGCTAGCGGCCAAATCGAGTGCCACCCACCACCAGATTTGAGGAGGTCTCCTCAGCCGGAACAGCGAAAGATAGGAGAAGGCTTCTGAAGGAATTGGCGTGAAGAAACGATGGGGCGGAAGAGTGCGCCCATGGCGTACCAGGAATCATTATGATACGGTATGATAACACCCTACACGCTCTCGAACTTTTGCAACAGTACGAGATCTTCTTCTTCACACACTGGTTGGTAGACGTCCCACGACTTTCGCGCAGTATGCCTTTTCGACGCCAATGCCCTTCAATCAATCCCACCAGCATCACTTCATCGCTCACACACCTCGGCTGTCGAGTTTCATGCTTCTCCATCCACGCTGGGATCGGTATGTATGCACGCTCGATCTCATCATCAAAGTCCTGCCGTACATTCGTCCGACGGCAAAATTTGTATATGTGTATTGTGGCCTATACAATGTAGCAAAGTTAATCGCTCGTGCTGCTGCCCGCCGCCGCCGCCTCGTCCTGTTGTGGCTAGTGAGGATAAATTTACATATACATCCCTTGATTGAATTGATGAGGATCTAGACTCGTGTGATTGAGGCTTGCATGGATGCTGCTATATCGAGCACATCTCACCTTCGCCCTGCTCTCAACATCATCAGTCTCTCACCATCGAAGACGTGAGAACCAGGCGCTCGTGCATGTGAGGATGCTTGTTGTTGATTATGACGGCGTCGGTGGCGGCGGCTGTCTCTCGTCAGCACTAACATGAGTGAGGCTCGAATATCTCGTTGCGGACAGTCGTGTGTACTTCAGAACGGTCGGCATACACAGGAATTGGAGGGCAGGGGACGCCTCTCACGGTGGCATGTTGAGGCAATGGCTCCTTCCATCGGACACCATAGTGTTCCTAAACGAACCCTCCCCACAATCTGCACCATTGCCTCACCTCTCACCGGAGACGATGAAACACAAATCATCAGCAGCCCTGGAGACTCTGGTGAACTCTGCCCTACACATCGTCTCATTCGTACCCTAGAAACCTCGACCGATTCGTCCACATCTACCGAGACATTGTCTCACACCATGGAATTGTTCACCAGGGCCGGATCCATAGGTCATCGGAAACCCTTCGTAGCCACGTCCGCCGGCAGAAAGCCCTGAAGTCCTCACTGCTTGTGGGCGTCCGGGATGAAATTCGCGCCGCTGTTTGAAGCCAAGATGGAGCGCGAAGGGCCGGAGGGAAAACTTCCAGACGAAGCAGGGCCGGGCAAGCAGGGCTCGAGATCTGGTGTTCGGTCACATCTTCGCTTTCGGCGCTCATGGCAGTGTGGTGGAGTTTCACCATGACGGCCGCAGCCAAGTCCTATGGGAGTGGAGAAGTTTTCCAGACTTTTTCTGCACTCCAGCATTTGGGGCCATCCGCTACTGTACGCTCGTCGGCGCCACGTCTCGGGACTCTGACTATTGGCTGTGAGGTAGAATGGCCCCGTCGACGAGGCAGATGGTTTCGGTCTGGCCTGCCCTCGTCGCCATCGGGCCCTGCGCGAACGGGGGAAATCACCGACAACGGACTCGTGGATACACTATTGTAGAACTGTCTATTATGGCTAGGCTTGCGCCTTGGTCCTTGTAGACTCGTTTGGAGACGACAGGAAACTAAGGGTTGTTTGATGTTTCGAAGTGAGACCTCACGACCTTTTCTGCCCTGGATGGTTGTAACCTACCCAGTATTCTTCGTAACGCGTACAGTACGACGGCGGTACTGCTCTAGCCATAGTCCGCCACGGTCAATCGGTTCTCCACATGGGTGTTTGGCTACATGTTGCAGAACACCGCGCTCAAAACTCAACCGCTATTGATCGTGCGTGGCGCGGCAGAGTGACATGGCAGGAAACGTTCTGGAGGACAAACCTTCCTCCCTGATGCGGAATGAGGTCGCGTGACGACCCTCGGATGCCAATGCAGGCCACGCCCGGCCACGAAACTGGTTGTTTGGCACGACCTCTCATGAGAGCCACTCTTTTTCGGAAGTCTTCTTCATGATACCGGGTAACGTGCTAAAACCAACCCTGAACCACTGGACAAGACTTCGAAACTAGAACTACAACTGCGTTGGCGTGATGAACAGAAGCCGCCAGCCTTGCCACCGCCATGAAGAGAGCCAAGCTGCGGTACGCGTGTGGTTGTCAGAAAACATCCAGTACCTGGGTAGGTAGATGGGGAATCAACGTTTCATCAACTGACCAGGTGACGATGCGGAACCGTTTGGGCAGATGCCGCCAGGTTCGCAACGTGTATTCCCATCCATCCCTGAACCAGATTCCGTGAATGCGTGCGGCTGAGATGGGTGGGTAACCCTAGGCTTCCTCACGTACTGTAGATCTTCATGAAGCCACAGCCACAACAGGCAATTGCAGATAGGATTCGATGTCGTCTCGTTTATTGTACCAGAGTCCGAAAGAAAATAAACGTTTGCTTCCCCGGCGGGATTTCTTATCCTGCATTCTCCTGCCATGCGTGAGGCGTCATCACTCGCCGCGCCGCTGGAGGGACTACCATTTCCTTGCAACGAGCTGGCTGAGAGTCGAGGACTTGACATCACCTCTCGAATCGACGTTCAAGGAGTGCATTACATAACATAGGGTGTTGCCTCCTCGCATCCAGGCATTGGAAATGAATCCGTTAATGAGTGAGGAAGCCATGCCACGTGCTGTAGAGGGCCCAGCAATATACAGTACGTAAAGGCCCTCCGGACAGACGGAAAGCGATGTCGTGGTCATTCGCACGGATGATGAACCTGATCGTTGCCATGGAAGGAAACCACCCTGAGGTGAGGCGAGAGCCAGAACAGGCAAATCAAAAAGGTGACACACAGTGAGATCATCGCCCGTCATCAACGAGAAAGCACACATCGTCACATTCCCCAAATATCCTGGTCGGAGGCAAGGCACCATCCTCGTCCCGCGTTCCGATAATCAATTCTCGGGATACTCTTCAGGAGGGGGAAAGCAGACCACAAGGGAACTAGTCGACGGCCTCGAATGTCCGAATAACAACAAATAGACTACTGAATTCGTACAACTCAAGCACGAGAATCCTCCAATCCCACTAGATGTTGCTGCCCGAGCGGAAGGCATCCATCCACGCCGCTCGCCGCATCGTCCCATCTACCACCGCTACCAACACCACCCAACCTCGGCCTTGACGTAAAAGCCATAGAACCTGATCATCAAAAACACATGTCATATGCAACGCAGCCCACTCGGTATACATTGACCCGTGACCGGGCACAAGCCCTAGAGAGCAGAGGATTCTGCGATTTCTCCAGAACTGCACGACCATGAATCCAGAGATCCGCCGGTCCGAAACATTTTAATCTATGGATTTCAGCAAAGCTGGCAAGCCGATGATGTTATCGGTTTCGCCTTCGGCGAGATCTTCTCGACGAGACGAAGTGAATATATCGATTGATTGACTGATGGATTGACTGATTGATTAGACCTCTCGGTATGAGCTGGGATCATCTCGATAGATGACTAGTAGCAGGTCCGAGTGGAGCAATTCCTACAGCCATTCCGTGTCGCCGCGACGAGGTCCGGAAGGCAGAAGAGTCCATGAAAAGCTCACGGGATGTGTATCACAAAACCAGCCGCCGTCAGGTGTAGGAGGAGACGATGACCCTCGAGTGAACGTAATCAAGTGAATATGACGTCGTGCGCATTCGTCGTTGACAAGTGTCCAACTTCCGTGGAGCTGAGATGACGAACCCGACGGTGTGTTCGAGGGCCACGTCGGAAGTAACATCGAGGAAGATTTCCCCAAGCGAGAGGATTGCGAAAGGAATGGCTTCGTGAGTGACGAGTCGTGATCATGGAGGAATGTTGAATGCTAGCATTCTGTCGCCCTAAGTGGACAGACTCCGAAGCCCGGAACTGTAGATCCCCCTTCCTGGCGCTGTTTCAATTCTCACGGGCAGGTAGCATGGAATGATATCTCTCAGTAAAGCAGCGCGGAGAGGGGAAGATTCAATCCATGGCTGGCGAAGAGGAGCGAGCCCGAATCATTCTCGACGAGAAGGACAGGCGATGTGATGTACAAACGGCCCACGGGGAGAAAGAAAAAATCAAACCAACAAGTCCTGCGATCAGATGGTAGTGGGACCAGCAGGAAGAAAACGCTCATCCATCAAACCCCGAGTAGCGAGGGATAAATAAATCCTCAGACTTTCCCACTCGTATTTCGGTAAAAGATGCATTTCGGACAGCTTCGTTCCGGCACTCGCATTTCTGTTCTCAATCTATTCAGCAGACGGGCCTTCTTCCCACGCATCCATCCCGAGGGAAGCAAGGGGGGGGGGGGGGGGCGAATCCAGGCCGACTCGGCATTCCACGGCAGCGATGCGAAAGACCGATTGAAAGCCTCGCAGCAGCGCCCAGGGGTTCGTTGGAGAAAACGAAATGTGATCTGCAGGATGCCAAGAGGGCTGGTATCGCGCCTGTGGGGTCGATGACCCCCGGAGCTGGAGCGAGGCGTTGTGTGTTTTGCGATGGGGGACAGCAGCGCGATGCAAAAGGGGGAAGGTTGGAAAGCCACCGCCGCCCACGCGAAGAGGGGAAACAGAAAAAGAGAACCGTGTCGAAGGCCCTTCTCGACGGAAGCAAGACTGACTGAGTGTGAGAGAGAGGAGGAGGGAGGGAAGGAGGAAACTTGCTTCGATGGCGGAATAAGACTATCGTGATGGTCGGGGCTGATGATGATTGAGAAGTCCTTCCAATTCGGATTTCCCTCTCGCTCTACAGCATCTGAGGTACAAATAGAAGAAAAGAGTAATTTTCAGCGCTACGTCGTGATCGGCATCATTTACCCATTCGGGGGACCCCCCTCCATCTGCCAACAACACCCAACCTTCTCCTGTTTGACAAGCGACACCTCCCGCACACACGCCCCCGGGCCAGATGAACGGTGTCATACACACAAACACACATACCAAGACCCAATCTCTCTCTCCTTTCCATCACACCCTTTTTTATGAACACCCCCTCTCTCTAACCGGTTCCGCTGACGGCGAGCTTCATGAGATGATCCATGAAGGTCTGCAAGCTGACATCGTCGGTGAAGATGGTCTGGGCGGTCTGGCTGACGCCGCCGTAGCTGGAGGTGGTGTGGGTGGTGGAGGGGTTGAGTTTGGCGTAGAGGAAACGGGCCTGGGAGCCGCCGGCGTCGCAGATGACGAAGCGAGGCAAGGGGAAGCGGTCTTGGATGAGGTCCTGTGGTTTTTACGAAAAAGAAAACAAGGTTAGAGGAGGAGGAAAAAAAGACGTTGTTCGAGGGAAGTGGGGCTTGAATGGGGATCATTCTTCTTCTTTTTCTTCTTATTCTGGGGCAGGGAGGGGATATACATACCTTTGCGTCGTCCTTGGGCGCTTGGAGCAGCTCTTTGAAGTTCTCGTAGCCTTCTTGGTCCTGGTATCCGGCCTTCCGCCACTCGGCCATAGTCTCGCCGTGGAAGATGAGGATGTGGAAGAAAGAGTCCAGCAGGAGGATGGTCTGGGGTTGGATCGAGGTCGAATCCAGCAGGACCGGAACGGCGCCATCCTGATCGAACGTGTACGAGTCGAGCGTGGGTTGAATCATGATGAGCGAGTTGGAGACATCCTCGTGGTTGAGGACGTGACGGTAGAAGGCCGTCTCGTCGGGCGAGTTGTTGAAGACCTGTAAGAATTGCGAGCGACGGAGATGGAACATGAATTGCGGGTAGAGGGTGAAGTTCTTCTCGAGGCGGAAACTTGATGCGTCGTCTTTTCGGTATTCGGCGAATCGCGAGCAGAGGCGGATGAGCATGCGGTCCACCCATCGGAGGACATCTGGTCCGTCGTCGACCTCGGCTTTGAAGACGGCGATTCGGCTCATCAGAGCGGCGGCGGCTTCTTGATCGAATTGTTGAGCGATGGCCGGGTCGCCGCTAGGTCCGCTCATGTTCCTGCCGACGGTGGTGACGCGGAGATGATATTGACCCTCGCTGTGCTGGTAGTATGTGAGGAATTGGATCAGACCCTTTTGAGGGCCCTGCTGCATTGGCGCGACGGGTCCTCCTTGGTTGGCAATCTCAAAGTAGATACCATATGATGCAGTGGGGTCAACGGAGCACATCTTCCAGCTGCATGTGTTACCGATACCGCATTCGGTCTCACCGACTGACGCCGATTTCTTGTTTAATGAGATGGCGTGGCCGATCAGACCAGTCACCTTGAGCTCCTTTGTGGTCAAAACCTCAAGCGATGCATTGAAACCCATGGTCAAGTTACCATCAGCGTCACTGTCGAAGATCTTCGAGAAAGATTGCCGGAAGATGGAGGCAGTAAACGAATCGGCAAGGATGATGTGACCGCCAGTGTTGTTCGGTAGACATTTCATCTCGAGGAGACCGACCTGGTCGAGACATCCAGCGAAAATGTCCACGACGTGTCCGTTATGTGCGGTCCGTTTCGCGAGTGCATCGTAGAACTTGAGAGCCTTTTTGTAGTACTTGATGTTGTCCTTGTCGATGTCGTGGTGAGAGCGCATCTGCTCCTTGAGCTCTGTGTTGACGACCATACCTGGACCCTCGGTCGCAGGTCCACCGGTGAAGAGCATGATGCGTGCGCCCGAGTTCTGAAAGCTAGTCTCGAGCAGACCCACCGCGACCGAGAGTGCAGCTCCTGTACATCGAACAGCACGCTTGTCGTTGGCAACAGGCCATGGATCTCTCTGGAGGCTCTCCAAGATGCTGGTCAATTGAGCTTCGCACTGCTGGACTGGCAGGAGGAATCGCGTTTGTGCGCCGCCCACCGGACCTGGAGCTGGGCGTCCCGGTTGAGGCTGCATCTGAACACCAGGCCGAGCACCCGTGGCAGCCGCCAGGCCGAGCATCTCCTGAACTTGCTTGGCGCCATAGTCTTTGCTCCCGCGGAACACATATGACTTTGCACATTCGGTGTAGCCCAACTCGTGGACCTGGGCCATGGTACCATAGGTGATCAGTCCCACGAGCGCATGTGGAGGAAGGAAAGAAAGGACGGTGATGATGCTGTCGCGCAAAGCCTTCAGCGAATCCTCCTCCTGGCAGGTATCCACGACGAAGACAAAGATCGGCGGCGTCGGTGCAGGTCGCGCCAGGCGGTACTCGATCGTCGTGCTGCTCGGGTGAAGCTCCGGCGGGATGGTGGTTTCGCTGATGTCCTTGTAGTGCGGCGGCAGGCCATTTCGCTGAAGACAGAAGGGACAGATCCATATCCGAGCTCGCATGTCAACCTGACAGAAGGGATTGAGGACCGCTCGGCAGGGCGCCTTGCAGGTGACGGGCTCATATTGAAGTGGTGGATTGGCTTTCTCTTTTAGAGGTGTGTACAGGGCACCGATGGGGACGACCAGCCGACTGGCCTCCATGCGGGTGGAGGGAAAGGTGTTCCATGATAACCTGATTCCGTCATTGTCTTCGATGTCCGACCATTGCTCTTTCAAAGCTTCGTAGTCCATGGTGACTGGTGTGGAGCGGTGTGTGTGTGTTGAGAGGCAATGTGCGATTGGAATTGGATCGCAACAGCGGCGGCGGTGGGGGAAAGGTACAGTAGTTGGAATTCGGTAGATCGCTGTCGTGGCTTTCCCGATACGATTGTCGGGGGTTATCGAGTTGCGCGCCAACAGACGAGGTGGTCGATTGATGTGTATATATATATATATATATGTGTGTGTGTAGAGGAGACAGACGTCGAATGTCGTTGCCTTCCGCCTGGCAATCGCTCACAATCAACCGTGAATGCTGATGTTGGGGTGTTGTGATGAGTATGCTGGAGCGGTGATATGACCACGCTGTAGCCTTCTGTAGCCTCTCTCTCTCTCTCACACACACACGCTTTCTCACTGTGGAGCGGAGTATGGACAAGTATCTCCAACTCAGCTGCGGCCGCCATCACCCACCTTTTCGCCAAGCCGAGGGTTTCCCAGCGGCGGCAGCGGGAATCCCGTGTGCGGGCTGGAATTCACTACTATTACTACTGTTGTCGAGTTTCGTCTTCTCTTCCTTCTTTCTTTTCTCCTCCATCTACAATAAGATGCCAGCTTTAAACACATTACTACTGATCGACGGCGGGCTTCTTCGTGATGGCTTGACCGTTTTCGCGCTGGCATAGATGGAATTACGTCCCATGGCTGGGCACCTGGCCTTGAATCTGCAGGAAAGGCGAGGAATCAGCAGAGGTCACAACTCTTTTTTTCTTCTTCAAATTTGATTCTCTTCGGATCGTGTGTGGGTGTCGAGATAGCAGGAAGGATTGTGTATACGAACTATACAACCATGGATGTGTTACATTGAACTGCCATCCAACATGCTGAGAGTGTCGCGTGCTCGCTAAGCGATCGCCGGACGAGTTCGAGAGGCATTGGAGAGCGCAAGACATCTGATTGTCACGATGTAGATCACATGGCCGTCAGCGCAGTAATGTTCATGTATCAGCGTGCTCTTTGGCTATTTCACCCCAGAGATGATCAATTCTCCTCCTGTTCTCCTCCCATCGCACCCAAGCCACGCCTTGCAACAAGCAATCGGCAAGATCATCAAGTTTCCCTCCAGCAATCTGTCTCGCACTTCCTCTCACTTTTTCCGTACGAAATGCCTCCGCCATCTCCGCCGCCTGGCCCTGAAAGTCAATCTTGACATCGGACTCTCCCGTGATCCAGGACTTCACCACCGCGATCTTATCCTTCTTCTCCACTTTCTTTCGTAATACCGTGCCGTCACTATATGCATGTGCGCGCAGGAAGAGATCCGAAGGAGGCTGTAGTGGGACATCTTCGCTCGGGACCCAGAATCTCGCCACTCGCGCGGGCTCGACGGCATGCACCATAGGAGATGAGGAAGAGGTTTTCCTCTCTGACCTGGTCTCACGCAGCGTCTCGAGACATGCCCACATCATGCTCTCCAACATGTTGACGCGGACCGTCCACTCCTGAATCGCGGCGGCTCCACCCGAACGGAAGCGCTGTCGTTCGATCAGAATCGCGTCAGGACGAAGGGCCAAGAGTTCTTGCGTGACTTTATAAGCCGTAGTGGAAAGACTCTCAGGCGAGAATGCGTTTCTTTCGAAGGTCGATTTTGCCTTGACTTTACGTCGCTTGGGCTTCGCCTCGTCATCGACCTCGCTGGAAGCCGCCTCCTCCTCAAGCTCTGTTGGCGCAGGCATGGACATGCGTGCAGCCAGATCCATCCTCGTCCAGGTGTCCACTTTGAAAGACAAGGGCTTGCCGTCATATTTGGTAGAGCTTCGAGCCGGGGTCTCAATGGCACAATATGCCAGATTGCGAATGCCCATGTCGACGCTGACAATCCTCTGACTTGCTATTCGAGATTTGGATCTAGCGGAGGCTCTCTCGAGGAGGATCTTCTTCAATTCAGTCTTTGTTCCGGTCGATGGTAGGCCCGTCAGGAAAGCCCAATATTTGAAGTGCCATGATTTCAGCGCGTTCGCTGCGGATTGGCTCATGATATGAAATGAGGGCGGGATGCCTCTTCGTCTGGTTACGTGACAATGCGGGAATTACTTGATTCAACCATCTCGTTACTGCATCATCTCGTGTTGGATTCTGTTGATGGATCCACCACTCGTCTCGCCCGTGTGATGGTCGTAACCAGATCTCGTGTTCTCCAGAACGGTACTGCAGCATGTCTGGACAAACGCATGGACCATCTTCAATTGAGTCCAGGAGTTCCCAACAGAGAGGTGATTCAAAGTCTCGAGAATCCAGTCTATAATAGAATCGGATGTATGGATGAATGATCTGTGCAATTCATAACCCACCATTCCCTCCTTTTGCTGCCTTTCCAAAGCTGGTATCGTTGACCTCGTCTCAGCACAGCACATGAAACAGCCCTGTTAGCAGCGTGACAAAGGTATCCGAATCTGGGGAAACGCCGCCGAAGAAGCTTACGTAGTGGCTGGTTATAATTAGGCATGATACCTCGTCTCGACGACCGCAGTAAGCTCCGAACTATTCCCTTGGTAGTAAACCATCTCACGGCCCTTCAAATTCCCTCTTTGACCATGAACAAAATCTAAAGTTTCCGGCGACGATGTCATGGCCAACGACAATCCCACCGCCCGACGACCCGCCCAAGGGAGTCCCCAGCAGGCCCGAGAGAGCCATGCGGAGGAAGAATCCGAAGGCCTCCTGTCCGAGGTGACACACGAGCAACGACGCCAGAGTCCTTTCCAGGAGAAACCATCAGTGCCGAGGAGACAGTCGGCGATCGCACAACCGCGAGTCGACGGCACCCCGAGAACACAAAACCGCGTGCGATTCGACGTGATCGAACCTCCGCCACGAACCGGACAGATCACCACCGGCGCGGCGCACGCGGAGGATAACTGGCTAGACGAGGAGGATTACCTGAATGACAACGATGGCTCCAGGGAAGGTTCGGGCCAGCGAGCGCCTCTGTTGACGGACATCCAAGCGCCCAGCGTGGCACTGGCCAACGACCTCTCCTTCAACGCGGAAGATTTGCTCGAATCGGCGCGCCCGAAGAGCGGGCTGAGCAGCGCGTTCATGAACATGGCCAACAGCATCATCGGGGCGGGGATCATCGGACAGCCGTATGCGTTCAAGCAGGCCGGCCTGCTCACGGGCATCACCCTGCTGATCGTGTTGACCGTCACGGTGGACTGGACGATCCGCCTGATCGTGACGAATTCCAAACTCAGCGGGGCCAACTCTTTCCAGGCGACGATGGAGCATTGTTTTGGGAAATCGGGCCTGGTCGCGATTTCGATCGCGCAGTGGGCGTTTGCGTTTGGGGGCATGATTGCCTTTTGTATCATTATCGGCGACACGATCCCGCATGTTTTGACGGCGGTCGTTCCGGGTTTGGACGACCTGCCGGTGTTGTGGCTGCTCGCGGATCGACGGGCGATCATTGTGCTTTTTGTATTAGGGATCTCATATCCCCTCTCACTCTATCGAGACATCGCTATGGTAAGAAATTCCGAGGGAAAGACTCAAGAAAAGATCGATGAGACAGAATACTGATCCTCCTCCTCTTCACAGCTCGCCAAAGCCAGCACTCTGGCGTTAATCAGCATGATCATCATCATATCCACCGTCATGATAGAAGGTCCCATGATGCCTTCCGAATTACGCGGACAGCTACGAGGCAGTCTGCTCATCAACGACGGCGTCTTCCAGGCGATTGGAGTCATCTCCTTCGCCTTCGTCTGTCATCACAACAGCCTCCTCATTTACGGATCCCTCAAAACCCCCACGATGGATCGCTTCGCCAGAGTGACTCATTGGTCGACGGCCATTTCGATGGTTGCATGTCTCGGCATGGCGCTCGCGGGATACCTTTCATTCGGCGACAAGACGCAGGGGAACGTGCTGAACAATTTCCCGACCAAGAACATCATGGTCAACATCGCACGGCTGTAAGTTGCTCCCTTCCATGTCTTCCTTTTGACAACACACCCCCTCCCGCAAGCCTCCCCGACATGCATCCACAAAACGACGATCTGACGAAAGCCCGTCCTCGCAGCTGCTTCGGCCTGAATATGCTCACGACCCTGCCGCTCGAATGTTTCGTCTGCCGCGAAGTCATGACGGAATACTACTTCCCGCACGAACCCTTCCAGCCCAACCGCCACCTGATCTTCACGACGTCGCTGATCCTCAGCGCCATGGGCATGGCGCTCATCACCTGCGACCTGGGGATCGTCTTCGAACTCGTGGGCGCCACCAGCGCGTGCGCCCTGGCCTATATCCTCCCGCCGCTGTGCTTCGTCAAGTTGACCAAGAAGACATGGCGCGAGAGCTGGGAGGTCAGCGCCGCGTACGCGTGTATCGGGTTCGGGGGCGTGGTCATGGCGATTAGCCTGTGGCAATCGGGGATGAAGATCCTCTCGGGGGAGAGCGGCGGGGGGACATGTTCATGAGTGTGTGTGATGATGGTATCTCGTTTTATCGTTTGGTATTGTTTTTTCTGCTTTCTCTCTCAAGAGAGTTTTTCGTCGAATTGTGATGCCCCCCTTTTCTCAGCGCAAAACCCAACAACAACGAGCTTATGTCGTAGTAGCTGTTTTTTCTTCTTCCGAAAAGTGAAATTCCATGAACCTTCCATTCTATCCCTAAACAAGCATAATAAAGATTCTCCATAATCTCTGCCCTTCGATCCAGAGCATCCCCTTTCTCAAAAGTCCCCATCATCATCCTCTCACCCCCTCCCTCAACTCCCCCGCCAACCTACTTCCCCAAAACCTCCCCCTCCCTCCAAACGATCCTGCCCTCCATCCCGCCGTCCACGCTGAAGCACTGGCCCGAGACATGGCCGCTGGCGCGGTGGCTGGCCAGGAAGGCGACCATGCGGGCGACATCCTCGGGCTGGGCGATCTTCCTCAGCGGGACGGTGCCCTGGGCCTCGAGGTACAGCTCCCGCGGGTCGTCCAGCCGGTCCCCGATCAGCGCCGTGTTTACCCACCCGGGCGCCACCGCGTTGATCCTCGCGAGGCGGTTGACCCGCACGATCTCGTTCTTCACCGTCGGCACCAGCCCGTACTGCAGCCCGGCCTTGCCCGACGCGTATTCGGCGTGCCCGGCCTGCCCGAACTTGCCGCATTCGCTGCCGGTCACGACGATGGCGAGGTTGGGGAGTTCCGTGACTTCAGCATCCTTCTGATCGGGGTCGTGGGAGAGACCCCCCTGGGAGGCGATGGCCGCCAGGAGGAAGTGTTTGATGGTGAGGAAGGTGCCGCGGACGTTCACGCGGTAGACGTCCTCCCAGGTCTCGAGGGGCAGTTCCCAGATGTTGGGGTGGTTCTGCTCGTTGGTGATGCCGGCGTTGGCGCAGAGGATGTTGATCGGGCCGAAGCGGGACACGGCCGAGCTCATGGCGCTGCTGATGGACTCCTCCGAGGAGATGTCGCCGCTGACCGTGAAGATGTTGGGGTTGTCGTCCGTGGCGGTCGCCGGGCGGAGGTCGTGGGCGGTCACTCTGCAGCCGGCGGCTGGGGGGTCGGGTTAGTTGGACATGTTCGATGTGGTCGGGATGGGATTTGTTGGTGCTGGATTTGAAGGAGACTCGTACCGAGGAGTTCTTTGACGATCGCTTGACCGATTCCTCCCTGTGCTCCCGTCACAAAGGCGTGCAATCCCTCGAGGGCTAGGAATGACATCTTGATGTGCTGGTTTTCGTGATGACGAGAGAAGATATGGTGTGGTGTTCGAGAGGTTTTCGGACTTTACTTTGATTCCGTTTTCGTCTTGCGATGGGGACTGGATATCAGGACAAGAGAAGAAGGAGAGAACGTTGCTGACCACAGGGAAAGAATTCTATACCATTCCGATCAGGTTTATCTGCTTTATATATGTTTTCCAGTGGAAGTCCATCCATCCGCCCGGAGTCCAACAATCCTGCCCACCACCATCCCATGGGGATCTCCTTTCGCTACCAATTTTCTCTCTCCACTCCAAATCAGGACGTCCCCTCGCCGCGAAAATGACGACCGAGACGCAGCAGGGTAGAAGGAAAATGACGACCGAATACAAAGAGGACTTTATGAGCAATGACGACCGCTTACGAAACCCCGTCTCCCGAATGACGACCGCTTAGAAATCCCTCCCTCTTAGATGCATGGCAAGCATTTCCCGATGAAGGATAGAGTTTTGAGATCATCGCTTCCAATGTACGCTCGTGTAGAATAGAAGAGCAAGCCCGGAAGGGTAGACACAGGGCGTAGCATCTCTCCCTCTCTCTCTGTCTTCCTGATTCATGATGTCCCCGCTCTCCCTCTCACATTGTTTCTCTCTATAGGCTATAGGGCTGTAGTGGGGAGAGGACCCTGACAAAGTCAAGTCAAGTTCAGGGACGAACAACAACGCCACGCCACGCCACGCCGTACTTTCCACCCAGAATAAAAACATATCAAAGACCACAGGAAGCACCTATAATGCCAGGAGATGCGTGATGATGAGCGTATAAATACTGAGTCAATGACGGGAACAGTAGTGAGAATAAGGACAAGAATAGCTAGCCAGCCAGCCAGCCTGTATACGCGGAAAGAGGAGGAGGAGGACCGAAACTACCTACCACGTGGGTCTTTTAATAAACCGACCTAGAGGGGACTCAGAGAAAGTCCCTGGAGGGACATCGAGGGATTATTAACTCCTACCACTCTCCTGTAACGCTGAGAATAGAACTTTATCACGGCGTACTGCGTACTGCGCGTGGCGGCGGCGGCGACTGCTTGGCAACAGCGGCGGCGGCGGTGGCGGTGGTAGATACTGTAGACCATTTCCACCGCCCTTCGTCGCCTTTCGCCTCTCGCCTAATCCTCGGAGGAGTCGGGATCGGAAGGACCGGACGGATTCAGGCATGGCATTTGGCATTTGGCATTGGCAATGGTATTGGTGTTGTGCAATTATGCATCACAGTATTAGCAATTGTGCAATCGGTGGCAGTGACATTGGCGTGGATATCGTGCGGACAAAAGGGAAAGTGAGGTGAGAAGAAGGTCACTGATACATACATACATACATACATACATATACGCATATAGTAAATGCACAGCACAGCAGCAAACAATGATATATGCAGTACATCCCGTAATAAAGACACCTCGGAAGAAGACGAATGACGATGGAGACAAGAAATCAATCGCGGCAGTAGCATTGGTAGAATCAATAATAGAATCAATAGTAGAAGTAGTAGAATTAGTGATAGAAAGTAACCACCTAGATAGACAGATGGATAGATGAGAACAAGAGAGAAGCTCGGGGATAACAACAACAACAACAACAACGATGATGATGCAAACACGGGGATGGGGATATCATGCCCTCCAGGGCTCCTTCCATTTTCCATTTTCCATTTTCCATTTTCCATTTTTCCCCTCTCGTACTCTTGCTCTTGAATTTTTTTTTTCTGCTTAATTCTGTTCCTTTTCCCATTCCTTTCCCCATTTCCTTTTGTTGCTCCTTTCATCATTCCCTCCTGCGAGTTGGACATACATCCACTGCCCTGTAGCTATGGAGAGAGAAGAGAGAGAGGGAAGTAATCCAGCAGGCAAGCAGGCACGCACGCACGCACGAGGAGACACAAGTACAGTATATAATAAATCTTCTTCTTCCTCTGATTCTTCTGATTCTTCTTCTGATAATGACAATAACAATAATGATGATAGTGATGATAGTGATGGTAGTGACGACGATGGTGATGATGGCGGCGGCGGTGATAGTGGAGGGCGTGCGTGTGTGTGCGTGTGTTGTCGTCGTTGTCAACAAGATAGAATGATGCTCAAGAGACCGACAATGACAACGACGACAGCCCCGGGGGATTTTCGCGCGCAGTCCGTGGCCTTCCTCCCCGTGAGGAACGGCACCCGCCAAGATAAAATATTGTAAAAAAAGATAGTAAGATATGAAGAAAAGGGGAAGACACGAGAGATGAAATCCGAGTTGGACCCGTTCGCATCTAGAAGCTCCGCTCCGCTCCGCTCCCGTCCACCGCTCGCTCGCTCGCTCGTCCTCTCCCTTCACTCGATGCGTACGTACGTACGTCTAGAAATTCTGCGAGATGCCCGCGTTGCCCTGTGGGTAATTGCCCACGGGCGGCTGCTGGATGCGCGTGTTCCTCCGCGCCGAGACGTCCCGGACGACGGGCATGCCGGGGTCGTTCGGGGCGTTGTTTCCGCCGTAGGTGCCGTCGCCGTAGGGGCCGTGCTGCGTGTATCCGTAGCCGCTGTTGTAGTCGTAGGCCTGGCCGATGGGCAGGTCGGGGCGGTCGTCGGAGACGTCGGAGCGGGCGCCGCCGACGCCGGCCGCGGCGGAGTAGGTCGAGGAGGCGTTGGAGGGGCCGCGGCGCACGCCGTTGTTGTTGTTATTGGTGGCGGAGTGGCCTGCTGCGGCGGCGGCGGCGGCGGCGCCACCACCGAGGGCTGCGCCGCCGGCGATCGGACCTAGGCCCATCGAGCCCATTTCTTCGCTGGACATGGTCTCGCGGCGCGGGTCACGGGTCATGAGCGGGTCGCCGCTGTGGGCGTCGTAGCCGGGGGAGTGGGCGGAGGGACCGTACATGTTGCTGCCGGCGTCGGACAATTGGCCTTGGGTGTGGCCACCGCCGGAGAGGGTGGTGGACAATTTGCGACTGCTGGCGGCGCCGGCGACGGTGGTAGCTGCGCCCCAGCCGCGGTATCCGCCGCTGTGGTCTTCAGACATCTCGTGGCCGGCATCGCTACCGACGGCACCGATGGCGGGCAGGGTCGGGTCGTTGTTGGGGTTGTAGCCGTAGTCTTCAACTTCTTTCCGTCGGGCCTCTTCTGCGGCCTTGTTCTGTTTCCGCTTGCGCCAGAGGAGGATACCGACGATGATCAGGACGGCGACGACGACGATGGGAATCACCACAGCGATGGCGGTGATGGCGCCGGTGCTGAGACCGCCCGAGGACGACGGTGATGCGCTGGAACCTCCCGTCGCGATAGTCGTGCCACTTGCGGAGGTCGTCGAACTCGTGCGCGATGCTGTAGAAGAAGTGCTGTCACTCGTGGGTGGTACCGTCGAAGTGGTAAACACGATCTGGGTCGAGACTGGAGTTGTTGTGGCAGTGGCGGTCGGAGTGGTGCTCGTGGGCGATGTGGTCGTGATCGGTGTCGAAGATGTGGTCGTGGTCGTGGTGGTTGAAGATGGGCTGGTGGTCGTAGTCGTACTTGTGAATGATGACGAAGTCGTCGGCGATGTCGTCGTAGGTGTGGATGATGTGGTTGGGGCAGCACTGCTGGTCGTGGCCGGTGATGTGTTACCAGTAGTGGTCGCCGTGTTGGCGGTGGAGGTAGTGGCCGACATGGCGGTCGAGGATGCCGTCGAGGCTGTCGATGAGAGGATGTTATTAGTCGCGCTCGTCGCGATCGTCAATCGGTGATGGTGGTGTTGCGATTATGTCGCGGTCGTTGTATAGAAGGCCGACGACAATGGTGTATTGGGTGTCGATGGTGGTAATAATAATGAGTGGAATGATGGAGAGAGAGGATGAGAGAATGACAGTGTGCGTGTACGTGTGAGCGTGCGTGTGTGTGTGAAGCGGACCGCCCGCTTAGGCAGGATGTAGGAGGAAGCAGCAGCAGCAGCAGCGACAACAGTAGTGAAGGCCGCGAGGCGCAGTGCACGCAGCGAGACACGCACGCTAATCGTCGTTCGCCCACACGGACAGCAGCAACAACGTGCACACCCGCCGAGAAGAGAAGAAAAGGTCTCGGTTCTGTTCTTCCCTCCCCAATAATAGTTGGTTCACACGCGCGCAGGCAAGGTTTAGTTGAGCGCACTGGAAGTGTATGAGAAATTGAAAATAGAAAAGAGAGCAGGTGTACGCGGCTGTCTCTCTCTCTCCCTTGCTCGCTCGTATGCGCCCGAGGGAGGATCAGGGATCGAGACAGGCAAGACAAGGGTGGTGGGTAAACGAGTGTGTGATGAGTGACGAGTGGGAGGCGGTGGTAGTGAAGGAGAGGAGAGGAGAGAATAGAAATGATCAGCAGCGTCGTCGTCGTCGTCGCGCGCGAGCAGCCAGACACGCGCACGCAATCACCACCACCACCACCACCACCACATATAATAACCCCGAAACACGAGGTGTAGTAGTAGTAATGTTGCAGCGAGGAAGAGAGAATGGAAGAGACGCCAAATCCACCACCGCGAAATCCACCACTGCCTCGACAGTCAGGGTTATTACGAGTCGGTCCGGTCCAGTACAGTACAGACCAGTCCAGTACGGTGGTAAATAAATGAGACGAAACGAGGCAATAACTAACGCGCGCGAGAGAGAGAGAGACGAAACCATTTTCGAAATTGCACACATGCCTAGGTAGAGAGGGAAATGGGCGGTACGTACTGTTATCATTGTTATTATTGTTACTGCTGTTGTCGTCGCCGGTCGACGGTGCCAGTTGTGATAGTTATGGTAAAAGCCGACGGCGACGACGACGTTATTGCAGCAGCGATAGTGGTTGACGATGAACTGAACGGGTGTCGATGGTGATGATATTGATGCTCGACGGTGGTGAGATTGATGGTCGTCGTCGGCGGCGAATCGTCCCAAACAGCAGCAGCGGCAGCCCGCCCGTTGCGATCCAATCTAATCCAATCCAATCCCCTCACCAAATTTCGCCGGGGTGATTTTACCGCATGGGCCGTCACCTCCCCACCCTACCCTGCAGCAGCAGCCGCTTCCAACCAACCAACAAGACGAAAACAAGCAAATCCTCTCCTCCCGGGCCTGTCTGTCCGTCCGTTCGCCTGGGTGGGTGGGTGTCGGTGTGTATCTACTAGGTACAATAATAAATCTATCGGCGCAACGGTCGAGTTTCTGCTCGGCGACCGAACGGTGATGAACACCTGCAGGTACAGCACAGGATGTTCACCCAGCGGATGGATCCCTTCTTCCTCCTCCTGCTTGATTATCACCAGGGACAACTTCCGCGTCGGTGATGACCACAACAGACAACAGTCCTCTCTCTCTCGGCCTGTGATGACGGCGTCCCTTTCGAGGGAATCTCCGAAGACCCGCCCGGCGCGCGCGAGTGCTTGTGTGTGTGTGTGTGGTCGAAAGAGGATCTGTCTCACCATGTATCATCATCCTCATCACCGTGAAATTATTGCATTGATTAGTTCGGTGGTATATATTGGGCGGAGGCCCGACCATCGCCCATTCTGGACGATGGCGCCGCGACCGGACTTTTTTCCACTCCAAACAGCACGCGAGGAGGGAAGGAGGCAGGGGTGGGGGCTTTTTTCCGGATGGATTGTGAGTGCGGGTGCACTTCCCGGGAGACCACGCAACGCGCGTGCACGCGAACGCGCTCGCTCGTATACGCGAGACGGGGGTGGTAGATCTCTTGGCTCCAGATGCTTGGATGGTGAAGATGAGATGAGATGAGATGGAGAAAAGGAAGAAGAAGACGGTCTTGTTCTAGAAGATGGGGGAAAAAATACTGCAGGAGAGCACAACAGTGGAGCATATCCTCCGACGACGACGATGTGACGCGATAATAAAGGGCGAGATGACATTTATCTCCTCTCTCCATCTCTCTTTGTGTGTCTCCATCTATCTCAGCATTAATGTGTTCCCTCATTCACAGCACCAAAACATCACCGTCAAGTGCCTACAACACGCCGCCTCACACACGCCTTCCGACTCGCAATCAGGCAAGGCAGGCGAGCGAGCCTGCGAGCCTGCGGACAAAAAGCAAGTAGAATCTCCCCCCATCAGACAAAGACGGCGAGGTATGAGAATATCTGAAGGAATCGACAAATCCTCCCAAAGGATTGTCCACGTTTTCTTTTTTTTCTCCTGCTCTTCTTCCCTGGTGAACCGCATCGTAGCTCTCTTGCTGTGATTTCACATATCATGCATCTCATGCCTGCCCTGCCCTATCATCATCAAAGCTGGATGGAAGGATTCGAAATCCTCCACCGGGAAGGACCTTTTGCTACTCACCGGAAGAAGCAAAAGTTGCTGTCCGCAAAGGCCGTGCTTGCTCCGCCAGGACAGGAAACAGGAAACAGGAATTAACAGGGTAGGACATGAAACCATCGTTGCTCTCCACAGCTAGTCAGGACAAGGTTGGCGGAGCACTTCCCAGGCGAGCGAGTGATGGCAGTGCGAATGCACCTGTATTGTACATCCTAGCGAGCTGGGTACATACCAACCTCCATGGATGCATGCATACACATATCGCCATTCCCTGCTCGCACACGACGAACTTCGCCCGATCTCCCATCGAAATCGTCTCGAATGACCCAGGCAGCCGGGACCGTTCAGATACAGGAACCAGAAAAGAAGCCGCCAAAAGGAAAAAGGGAAAAACGGGCGGAGCGAACGTCCCGTCGTCAGGGCCTCGGGTGTATGTGTGTGTGCACTGTGCGGTAGATGACGATACTGTAAATCATCATAGTAATAAAATAAACAACGACGACGACCGTCCATCGGGTGGGTTCTATCGTCAGTCGGTTCAGCGGTCCATCCGGGATTTTGTTTTCTCTCTCTACGCGCGAGGATGATGTATTCCAAGGTTCCCTGTTGGTATCATTACTGTTAAGCAGGTATTTAAATAAAATAAAAACAATCCTCGTGACCTCGTGAATGATAATAATAATAATAACAATAATAATAAACAGTTCAGATCTGTACCCCGACCTAAGATTTCAGTACCAGTCCCGTACAGCATAGATGTAGATATATAAAATTGACAAAACAAAAACAGCGGCGCGATCGAGAGATCCTACGATCTTCTTTCTTCCATCTTTTTTTGGTACAGAAAAGAAAAGAAAAGAAAAGAAAAAATACTGCCCTCCCTGCAACGGTTGAGATGTATGTTCATAATCCGCGAGGGACATCATCACCACACCGTAACAACCATGATTTTTCTCTTTGCGACGATGGGAATGGGAATGGGAATGGGAATAAGAATAGGAACAGGAATAGGAATGGGGGAAAGGAAAAAATCTCAGGATATCTCGAGTTGGTTTTCACCATTTTTACGCAAGTGCGGCATGTATCATGCCTTTCATTCCATTTCACTTCGTTCATTCACTTCACTTCGTCCCTCTGCAGCGAGGGAAAACGGAACACGGCGGACGGACGGACGGACGGCATCTTCATCTGCATCTGCATCTCCGGCTTCCAACCTAGGAGGAGAAAATCCAAGCCGGAGGTCCTATGAGGAGGATATCACACACGCGGATTCACGACGGAGACGGGGAGGGAGAGATTTCCAGATCGAAACCGAGGTTTTGAATTTGTGATAATCTTTTCCTCACGAGCGAGATAGGGAGAGGGAGGGAAAGAGTGAGTGAGAGAAAAAGAAAACGAGTGAGGGATGTTTTCGATCTGATTTTCCCTTTCCAAGATTTTCTGCTTCTTCCAAAAAATAAAATAAAAAGAGCTACCCGGTCTTCACCCCTTTTCCTTTCTCTCCGTTCCATCATTCCGAAACGCATTGTTTGGACTCCATCCCGCGTGCATGCATGTGTATGCGTGGGGATTTCCTATCTGGGTTCCCTCTTTCTTTCCTTCCTTCCTTTTGTCGGGGGACTAACTGTCTGTCTATCTGTCTGTCTGTCATGAGGGGTCGTGAGAATACTGTCGAGTAAAGTCTGAGTGAGGTTCAGAGTTTTTTCTTTTTTTTTCCTTTCCTTCTTGTTAGTCGGAAGATGCAAGAATGCCCATGATGAATGTTTCGTCGCAACCAGTGCTCCCTTTTCTTTGTTGCTTTCGTGGCAAAGGTGAAAATGCTTGGGGTTTCCTTTTGTCTCTCTCTCCGGGAGATGATGAAAAGGAAAGAAGAAGAAAAAGAATCCTGAACTTGTGAAATTCTCCTTGCTCGCGATCAGGTTTCCGCATCATCGGGCCCGAGATCAACTCAGAGGGCCCAGGTCGGGGAAAACTTGTCGCACAGGGAGAGACAAGAATAGATCATCCCATCTAAGCCCAAGACCATTCGATGCCGTGCACGCGACCGTCGCCGTTGCTGGTGACCTTGTTGAACAATTGTTGCGGGAGATCGATCGAGCCGACGGCGCACACGGGGCAACGGTCGGTGACCTTGGCCTGGTAGGTCTGGCCATCGAGGCCCTTGATGTTGATCATCTTGTTGCAGGTCGGGTTGTTGTTCGGGTTGGCGGTGCCGAAGCTGTCGAAGATGAGGTGGGAGATGGCCACGACGTTCTCGGAGTTTTGGTTCAATGTGCCGCATGAGCCCAGGCCGATGCTGAAGTCGGTGTAGGTCGCGTCGCCGGTGTAGGAGGTCCCTGGGGCGGCCATGCCACCGGCGCTGGCTCCACCGGCGTTGGCCGCAGGGGAAGCAGCTGGAGCCGGTGCGACATAGGCGGAGGTGGTCGGGGCAGGAGCGGCGGCGGCGGCGGTGGTAGGTTCGACAACAGGAGCAGCGGTGGTGGCCGGAGCCGGAGGAGGGACATAGACGGACGTGGTGGTCGGCGCGGGAGCAGGCGCAACGTAGGTAGAAGTGGTCGCGGGAGCAGCAACGACCTCGGTGGGTGAAGGCTTGGTGGCAGCGGCGGCAGTGGTCTGAGCTGGTGGGGCCGCAGCGTGCTCAGGAGAGTAAGTCGCAGCAGGAGAGTGCTCGGCGGCAGAGGTCTTGGCAGCAGCACCGGCGGCGACCCAGACGGTCTCAGTGACGGGAACAGTCACGATGACTTCTTCAATCTTGGTCACCCAGACGTAGTCGCGCTTGTGGTGTTGGTGCTGTTGCATGGGCACGGCGGCGGCCAAAGCGAAGAGTGCGCCGGACACGGCGATGATGCTGTTGGTATGCATGATTGGTAACGACGAGGATATTCTTTATCAAAAAGAGGCTCGTGTGTTTTTGCTTGGACTTCCAAAGGGTAGACAGTGACCTGTATGAGGAGGAGGAAAAAAGGAGTGTGAACGGTTGGAAACGGTGGAGGTCTGAATTTCTCTTGCGAGACTGAATCGAATCGACTGGCGACTGATATATCTGAACGTTGACGGGTTCTCGGATGATGGACTGCTGCGTAATAGGCTGATTGACGTGGTCGGGCGCAGACGGGAACAATGAGTGGATCTGTCAAAGACCTTTTCTTCCAAGAAGTGACTCGAGTTTCTGTTGAGGGAATGTGAGGGTGTGATGGATATCTGCGTCTTGTGTGTGTGAGTGTGTGTTGTCGTCGTCGGTAGTAGAGACTGTGTGGTTGAGCAGGAAAGTGAGAGGCTGCGAAACCGGGTGGTGTTGTAAGACAAGCAGAGCGTCACACTTTTTGATTCGAATCGAGAGAATGTGGTGATGCGAAGATCAAAGCGAGAAGAAAAGAAGGTGGTGGAGGTGGAGCGACCTCTTTGTATGCAGGTCCAACTGTGTGATGATGGAGAAGGGGAGAAGAAGAAGAGGAAGAAGTCGTCAGGGAAGAGAGAGAGAGGGTGGGGAGGTGGAACTTTGACCTGCCGCCGTGCAGTGCAGTGGAGAGAGAGAGACACACACACAGGCAGACAGCCCGCCCGCGAGAGGGAGAGTGATGGGTGAGAGAGAGAGTGAGGGCGCGCGCGCGTCGTCGGATTCCTTGGGCTCCAGCTTTGTGCGGCACACACACACACACACTCACACACTCACACACGCCCGTCGACAACCCTGACACACACACACACCATCCATCAATTATCATTAATATTATTGTACATACAGTACTCCAAAACACACGAAACCTGTCACGCCTGAGCGGGTCGACAACTTCGGCAGGTTTGCGCCCTCACACGCGAAATTCCATCCTATCCATTCCTCACCCATTCTCTTGCGAGTCCTGTCCGTTTGCGATGACCCGCGCCGGCTCACCTGCCCGCGGCTGCTCCACCCCCCGTTTGGATGCCCTCTCTGCGCTTCGCCTGCGCCCCAACCTTGGGAGGGAAATGGGGTGGAAATGGAACTGCTCATGCTTGCTGATGAGAAGGATGGACCTTGGTCTGCTCAGATTTCAACGGTCAACACGAGATTTCCTTTTCTCGGCGCGGGAGATCTGGCCTTGAACCTCCCTCTTGATTTTCAGCTCGCTGCTAGCGACTGATGAACGATATACATAGATCTGTCCGCACTATCAATTTTTTTGGACATAGCCACAACAACGGTCGATCGTCCAGATCGTCCAGACCTGTGACTACCGTATAGGACAAAGTCAACCTCGCCATGATCCGATGATGGCCATGGTTCATCCGCGCGATCGATACTCGTAGGTCAGAGTCGCATTCATTGATTGTCACGCGCCAAGCATCCACTCAGATGCGCAGTCATCGTCAGCTGAAAGAGAAGGGACTCGGAACCTCTCATCAATGTCACATTGGACCGTGTTGAGGACCTTCCTTCCTTCCTTCCTTTCCGTCTTTCCCTCCCACACAATCAATCACTCAATCCTCCTCACCGATGTTCGTCCATGCTCTCCCGAAATGATAATGTTCCCTCCGTCAGCGGCACCCAATGTCGTGTGCTGTATCAGGTTGTGATGACAAGGGGTACATCTCGCATACACACACACACACACACACACCACACATGAAATCCTTAGCCCGTAAGAAGTGCCGCGCTCCTGGCGAGACGAAACAGGAGAGAGGCGCTTCTCCCGGCTGTCACGTCGGCCTGGACTAACCCCCAAAGGAGCTTGGCGCACGGAGGCTCGCGGCCCGACAGCGAGGTCATCAGCGATGATTGGATGAGTCCCACAGGAACAGGCATCGCTCCCTCTTTTTCCCGCCGATCCGCAGCCCGACACGTCGTTTTCCACAAAGGTTCCAAGGTTCCTTTCTCTCCCATTCCTCTTCGGCCGGCGGAAATCATCGATGATGATGCAAGGGGGAGGGCTCCGGCTTTCTTTATTGTTGTGACAAGTGTCCCACCTAATGCGTTGTCTACAGTAGTCAGGTACCCACTTGATGTGTGCTGGTGCCCTGTCGTCCTTCCACAGGGCAAAAATCCAGGCACGCAGGTCTCGCATGTGATGGGGAGACGTCCCTCGCCTCGTGAGCGAGATAATCGATGGGAGAGGAAACAAAGAAATGTTCGGGTCGCAGTCGTTGAAATTCCTCACTCACCTCACGGGAGGAATCCCCAGTGGGTCCCACTACGACACATTTCCGTGGGTGCCATCAGACCAACCCACAGCGAAGTCCTTTTCCGTCAGCCACCACCGACACCCAAAGGAAAACCCCATTCACTCCAGACCTCTCGCTCCCAACAGCAGTAGGATCTCACCGTCCCGACCATCATCGTCGTCGTCGCGCGGCCCCAACGACGGCGAAAAAAAAGTTGGGAAACAGTTCACGATTGCGGGACACCGATCGTCAGTCACTAGCAATGCCTATAGAGTGGAAGAGAAAAAATCCCCGGTAGCGCACATGCATCTGCGCTCGCTAGCCTTCCTCTACCACGATCGTCAACCATCGTTCGTTCATGTCTGTCTGCTGCAATGCGCGAGCACAACGCTCCCATCCGCCTTTCACGCCGTCGTTGTAGCTGTCTGTCCCACGATCTGTCCCTGTGGCAAGAAGGAAGGAAACAAACCGCATGGCAGGCGAAAACACCCTCTTGAAATGCACGCGTGACAGCTGAACGATTCGGCGGCTGGCTGGAGGGCCTGCGTCCTGCCTCTCCAGCGGACACAACCGCCGCGCTGGTCCTTCGTGTCAAATCCATCACGATGAAGCAGAGATCCCAATTGAAAATTATGAGCTAGTATCAACGAGAATCCGATACCTGTAGATCCCAGACTCGATAGTCCGGTTTTACAATTATACAGCATGCCGCAGATCTTCTTCGCGCGCGCGGGGCTCCCGACAGATATATTCGAGGAGGCTCGCGGGAGAAACAATGTTTCGCGGTTTGATAGACCCACTAGTCTGCGATTCACCTCTTCCTGCTTGCGCCGAGTGTGATCTGATGCGGCAATGTGTCATCGTCATTCTCGTCATGGTGTTGATCGCATCGCGCTTCACCCACTACGAGCAATCGAATCGTGTGGAGGCAGTGATGTCCAACGAAAGTTCACCCGCGAGCGGTCGGGTGCGTGTAATAAGTGAGTGGGTGGAAAATCAATCTCGTCACTTTTGTCTCGCGAATTCCTAGCCCCGCGCACCCAACATCATCCTCATCCTCATAATCATCGTCATACGTCAATCGTCACCGATGGTATCACAGTATCCACCTCACGCCCTTCGTTGGAACAAGACAACTCATTCCAATCCAATAGATCTCACCGCTCCAGAGAGCCAGAAACCAATAGCGCGAAAAACAGACATGCAATAAATTAAAAAGATAAACCATCATCGTCTACAGTAGGTATGTATGCGAGGGAGAGGATCTCCACCGACATTTCGCGGGTGCTTTACAAAACATTCCGCTTCGGTCTTGGGAAAACAGCATCTCATCAATTCCTCCCCCGCCGATTTGTCGAGAGAGAGAAAAATAAGAAGAAAAAGTGGCAGTCCGCTTTGTCGAGGGACAGACCCACATCGAACGGACGAACGAACGGCCCAGGAATTCGATGAGGTAGGTACGAGGCCTGGCTTTGTTTTCCCGCACGAGAGAGTGCAAGCTGTGTACCTACCTAGGTATTGTGACCGACCCGGGAGCTCTGGCGGTCAGCACTGTGGATACCCTCGAGGCTGTATGCGACGGCGGTGATGACGATGGCTTGCAATCAATCAATCTATGATATTATTCCACGACGCTGGCGTGTGTGCGTGTGCGTGTCGCTCCGAGGCTGAAAGGCAGTGCTGTAAAAGCTGTAGCCCAGACGCCATCAACACACCATCGATACCCGCCGTCGAATTGGAATTTTCCGCGCCTCGGGATGATACATCCTGTGATGTGGAGCCCTCCAGCTCACTACTGTACCATGGCAATAGGGTGGTGGAAAGACCACTGGAAAAGATCCTCGACAAGGGTGCCGTCGCCTCTTTGTTCTCGGCGGATTTCTGATTGGTTCGCGCGTTGCATATAAAATGGAGACTCGCTGTCCAAAGTCTGCTCGCTCGCGCGTAAGGCTGCGCTGGCGGCGGGCGGGCGGGCAGGCTGGCAAGCTGGCAAGCTGGCTGCAGCGACGGACAAAAAAAAAGACTGGAGTCGTATAGCCTCGAGTTTCCCGATTGGGCACTTTGCGCTCGCTCGCTCGCTCATCATCGTCAGGCTCTTCTCGGGGGTCCTTTCCTTCGAGTTTTCTCCTCGATGGTGTTTCTCAATGGCTGATGACCCACTTTTCTGTTTTCCTTTGTCCTTTGTCTGTCTGTCTGTCCGCCTGTCTATCCGTCGCATTCGTTTTCGGTGGACTTTAAGATCGAGAAGGCAAGGTGGAAGCAATGGCTGGCATGACAGGATGTCATTCGACATTTCTACGGCTTCCGTGCTCAAGTGTACAATGACTGTCAAACATGGAACCGCATGGTCGTCGACTGCACCATCCTTCGAGCGACGGTGCTTATTGGTATGAGACCACCGCTTTCAACCCTGCGAGATCAAATGACCGTTGAGTTTATCACATGGAAGGGAATCTCATCATCGTCGGTGGAGCAAACACACGGAAGAAACACAGGCGGATCTGATCCGCGGCCATGCGCAGAGGAGCCTTTCGTTGTCAAAGTACCCTCGGAACTGCTCTCGGTTGTGTTCTCGATGTACCTTTCGGGGGCACGTCGTAGGAACACGCATTCGATGTTATTCGTCAACGGGATACTACGGCACGGACTGACCACAGTGATGGTTTGAGAAAATGCCGTGTGATGGTCCCACCATCGGACTTGCTCGGTCGGGTGCGGCTCAAATTGTTCACTGTATCTTCTCTTCTGGAACGCTCCAATTCGACGGCCGAGAATTAGGACTTCTTCTCCAATGCGAGATAGACTGTAGAGACACTGGGTAGGGAGGGTTCAGTCGGCGAGAATACGCACGTTAAGACGGACATGCACTGCGATTATGGCATCGATGGAGATCAGGTGTGTTATTACGGTGCCCTCTTGGGATGGATGCATCTAGGGTTTGGGCTGTCGACCTCTGGAACAACCCTTAGAACCCGCCATCACACAAATTGTACGGATTGTCATCGTATGAACGCCGCATCTCTCACTCGAAGCATGTGCATGTTTGGTGATGAATTTAATGTGAACGTAGCTGCTATATGTTGCTTGCATCGACGTATATGGTCTCTTCCCACATGTGGTCCCCAAAGAATGCCGTTTCCCCGACGACTCGAGACCACTTACAAAAGCGTGAAATTATAGAGAATGCGAACGCGGAACAACATATGGTCGAAGGGGACCATTGAAAACGAATAATATATCCAAAAGATCATGAATGTCAAAAACACCAGTCCGCTACCCAGAAAACGGTCTTTTCGCACGAAGACCAGGTCCGTACTGCCATAATCCCACCATCGCCGGTACACCAATGAACAAGAACAGGAAAGCGAGCAGGGAGTTTCCCCATCCCCATCCCAAAGCATCGTACATTTGATTCGCGAACAGCGGGAACGTGCACGCCGCGATAGATCGGACGAACGCCGTGGCCGCGAGACTACTCGCCGCATATTCGTCGTAACATTCGATGATGTACGCTTGAATGCCCTGATACAGGACGATCCCGCCGAGACCGAAAATTGCTGCGCCGAGATCCGTGACGAACCAGAACACGGTATGTTCCCCCGCCCAGCCGTAGATGAACAGGCCGATGGGAAGCAATATCGAGGCCGGCAAGAGGAGGGGTAGACGATACTCGGGACAGCCCTTGCCGCCTCCTCTCGTCTCCTTGAGATGTTGGTAGATCCGATCGCTGGTCTGGGCGAATATGAGGATGCCGACCAGGTAGCCGACTCCGATGGAGATGTAGTGCAGACCGGAAATGTCCACGGGGTAATTGTAGTGCTGAGGGGATGTCCAGAGCTCCGCAAAGGTTGACAGCATTAAGTAATACACCCCATACTGAAACGCCATGTACAGGGCTAGAACCTGGACGATGGGCTGGAACAGGATCATGCGCACGGCGCGAGTTAATGTTCTTGCAAGTCGCTGAGAGAGGGTCAGTCCTCGCGGCTCTTCTTCGCATTGAGTTCCTTCTGCGATGCACTCCTTGCGGAAGCGTCTCCTCCGTCGCGCAAGCAGGACCGAAGGACACGTCTCCCGCAAGAAAATAAAGGCCAGGAGCTGGACCACTCCATCAGCAATACTCGTAGCCCGAAAAATCCAACGCCAAGTGGTATGCTGGACCACAAATCCACTGATCAAAGGACCCAACACCGGTCCGAGCAGAATCGCGCAGGAATAGCCCGCCAGAGCCTTTCCACGAACCTCCGGCGCCCACAGGTCACTCAGAATCGCCCCTCCCACCGCCAGCGGCGCAGATCCTCCCAGTCCAGCAAAGAACCTCAAGACGATCAACTGCGTGGTGTTCTGACTGAACCCACACGCGAGGTTGAACGCGAGATAGAACAGATTCGACATCTGTAGCACTCGGGCACGTCCGTATAATTCCGCGATGGGCCCCAGAACGAGCGGCCCGATGGCATATCCCAGCACGAAAATCGACAGCGTCAGCGTCTTCACCGAGTCATTCACGATGCCGAATTCGGCGGAGATGGTCTCCAAGGCGGGCGCGACCATGGAGGACGATAGCGGCGACATGAAAGTTATGGATCCGGTGATGAGCGTGAGAGTCCATTTCTGGCGGACGGCCCAATTCCGAGGATGTCCCTTGTCGTCCTCGGTCCATTCTGGTAATGCTAAAGGCTTCACGGCGAGTGTCTCCGAGAGGTCGGTCGTGGCGACATTGGACGGTTGGTCGTGGATGGCATCCTCCCCGTCGGAGGAGTGCTTACTCATCCTGGTGATGTCCGTGACGATTGCTTCGGCTTGTGTTGATCGATCATACGATTCTTGAAGTTCTGGTGCGTGGACAGCACACTGTCTCAGATCAGACGACGATGATTCACAAAAGCGAGCTCAGAAGGCCATCGAAAAGACCATTATCATCGATTGATTACTGCCTCTGAATTCAGCCATCGGCGTCGCTTCCGTTCCTCACTGGCATGTAGACGAGCACAGCATCGTGAAAATGTCCATCATGATGAGCGAAGGTTTTGCATGACGTGCGTGCTCAGGCATGCGAGTCAGCAACAAGTCTAACCCGAGGTCGCTACATCATTATGATCGACTACTGCACTTTTAACCACCGTCGATGTCGATCTTACAACGTGCACGCTGTAGCAGCCGGAATCACGGCACTGCGGACCGCTTAAAAAGTCTCGCTGCAGTTGGTGGACATTCTGTGCATGTTATATCCTCGTTGCACTTTGGCGACACCGAACGCCTTCTTGATTAATCTGGCGACTTACAATTTGACGTTATCCATGTTTGTAACATTTCGTGGAGCCTAGTCCTCTGACCGATGGCGGAGGAAATGTGCTCGATCGCAGGCAGTCTTTCGTCATGATTTTGACATAGCTCGGACTGGCGCGTTCTGGTAAGAGGCTTTGGCACTGATCGCGTTGTCGATCGTTCGGCCAATGTGTTCGGCTTTGGGAAACTCTGTGTGCCTCAGGCGTACCTGAAATCTACCTATGGCGATCACGTGCTGATAACGTATCGGCAGTTCATACTCACATTTGATGATCCTGGCGCGTCAGTGGAAGTTCATCCACCCACATCATAGACGCGATGGTTGCAACCACAGCGCAGGATACTCGACCTCCCCGGCGATTATTCAAAAAAGGAAGCGCCATTAGGCGACCAGCACGATGGACTCAGACGACCAAAACCTTGTCGAATCGAAAAGATGGGCTCCTGCTCAGTCGATGGGAACGAGCCGCGACGGCAGCAGTTGCATTAGACACAACACAACCCTACGACAGATTCGCACGATACGATGTCGAAGTGGAAGTTCCCACCTATGACGATGAGACCTATGAAGCCAGCCTCCGTAATGATGATTGGACCAAGGAAGAGACAGACTACTTGATGGAAGTTTATCGGGAATGCTGTGGGAAATGGCCCGTCGTCGTCGACCATTATTCGCGAGGGAAGGAGCGCTCCATGGAAGATCTCAAGGCTCGCTTCTATTCCATCTCGGCCAAATTGCTTTCCATTGCGACGCCAATCACATCCATGACCGCTGCCGATTACGCTCGATACGAAATTCTGTCCACTTTCAATGCGAGTCAGGAGACTTCGCGCAAAAAGCTTGCTGAAGGACACCTGTATCGTAAGACGGCAGAGGTGGACGAAGAGACGGTATTACTTGGAGAGCTGCAGCGAATCATGTTGAACCAAGCTACACTGGACAACGAGCGCGAGGTATGGCTGAATGTCACCTGTCGCAATGGAATTTGTGCTGACTTAACAACAGGAACTTCGTCGGCGCCTCGATTACCCTCATGCTTCCAGCAACGGCTACCAGTATTCCACATCTACTCAACTTACATCATTATGGCAGACCTTGTACCGAGCAGATCAGATGAAGAAGGCTCCTGCGCGGCTCAGGGCTACGGGCAATCCGGCCTACGACGGAACCGCCGCCGCAACACCGACATCTGCTCGTCCTCGAGAATCCAACGCAGGTCTTTCAGAACCCGCCAGCGCCACTAGCCGACGACCTCGTGACTCATTACCAGGGACTGCAGCAACAGCGACGTCAGCAATATCGGCAGTGGCTACTCCTCAGAGCGCCCTCCCTGCAGAGCTGACGAAAGCGGAGCAAATCCGCTACGGCGTCGTAATGCAGCAAGAGAAGCTCTCGTCCGGCGTCTCATTCGCATCCGACAAACTCTCCAAGCCAAGAATCGCCAAATCAACCATCCAGACGGAGAAGATTGCCGCCGTTCTAACGCATATTGGTGTCCCTGAGCTTATCCCTCTCCCAACTCCGGCGGTGATTGAGCAGTTTGAACAGATCATGACGAAAGTCCATGTCCTGCTTGAAATGCGAAAGATTGCGGAGAAGGAGGAGCAAGAGTTGAGAGTCCGACAGGCCGAAGCTAATGCTGCATGAGGCAAAAGGGTAGACAGGGATGATTGAGAAAAGCGATTTGTGTTTGTGTGCTTATGATACCCCGCCCACCTCATCCTGACAGAAAATAGCAAGATGTTATCCAAAATTCCTTTGACGCAAAAAAGCCCAGAAAGCAAAGCGACACTCTCAGAAGTCAACGCAGCCCGATTTTGTTTGCCCTCGACACCTACCTCCAACGAATGAGGTCAGAATTCACATTTTCTTAAAGGAATGTGTCAAATAAAGGAGTTTTTCTTCGCGTCTCAAAGCTGGATTTTCTTCTTCGGAATGCACGCGCCTGAAAATTAAAGGAACACCGCATATATCTTGGGCGCACCCAAGCATCGAGTGTTTCATGATTCTCCAGCCTACATCGTTTCGAGCTTCTGACATAAGCGAATTGCACCACCATGACGGACCGTGGTCAATATCAGCACCTTGTCGACGAAAGCAGTTCTGACCCAGGAGCAGTCAACGATGGCACGCGTGGCGCTTCTGAAAGTTTCATACTCGACGATGGCTTTCATCTGCGGTTGAAACGCAGACGCTCATGGTTGTATCGTGGGATCAGCTCTCCGATCTGGTTCTTCTGCTTTACTGTTCTGGCTATGGTCATGATTCTTCAAGCTCTGGGTTTGCCGGGAGTCATTACTGTCCTTTCCAGCAAGAATGGCGAAAGCGGGGAGCCTTCCTTTTCTTACGAACGTGGGTTTGAAAATGATTTCGGTGAGTACATCTCGCATCGATAACAAAGTCTCTGAAACATGGAGAAGCTAATCATAACAACGAAACAGAGGAGATGAAATCCGCCATCAACCTGATCCCCCAGCGTTTCAACGGCGCAGTCCGCTCCGGCTCTAACGGCACTCTCAACTTCCACTGGTCGCACTCCTCTAACGAACCCCGCTACACCCTCTCCAGCGGCGCGACCTGGGACGAAGTCGACGAGTCCTGGGAAACCCTTCTGGCCGGCCGCTATGTCAAGCTGCAACCCTCCGAGATCTCCTCCCTCGACGCCGACGTTCTCTCCCCACCTCTGCAGTCCATCGTCGGGCCGAATACACCGCCGGGAATCTACGGCGGACCAGATATGCTTCATAGCCTTCACTGTCTCGACGGACTGCGGAAGAATCTCGATCTTGACCGCTACGAGAAACATATGTGGATGAACGCCTCGCTCCGACGTCTGCATAATGATCATTGCATTGAGCAGCTCCGTCAGGCGGTTCTTTGTCATGGCGATATGACCCCCGTAACAATTCGCCCGGTGTACGACGAGCAAGGCAAGGAAGTCTGGGTCTGGCTGGGCGAGACGGAGAGGGAACATACCTGTCGTGATGGGATGGCGTTGAGGGAGAAATGGTGGGAACGGGGCGCGAGGACGGGGAGGTTGCATCATTGATTGGAATGGCGGGATACGTCAGGGGTTGTCACTTACTGGACTGCTCTGTTTTGATTTCAAGATTGGAACCTTGTCTCATATAGACCTTCGTCATGGAAACTTGGCATACTTGTGGTGAATGGTTGGTCTCACGTTCTTGCTTTGTGATGATGTTTCTTGCAAGAAAAGCCCTCATCTGCCTAGTAGATGAAAGGAATGTTGTTGATCGAGAGTGAGATTTTGAAAAAGCTCTTGCGGAGACCGGTGACGACTGCGATACCGCTGATGATTGATTAAATCGGCGTTGGCCATCGAGGTCTGAAGTGACTGTACATGAAACATCGAAGTGCTGTTCCTGTGGAGAGTGATGGCAACTGCGATGACTCGATAATTTGAGACAATCAACGCCTTGAGGGACTGCGACGAAGCACCCATGAGTTGTCTTGTGTGTGAGCAGTGTAATCCCGGCGATATTGGAATGGAAAACTGGCATTGGCAATTCTGAATGCAACCGTCATCTGAAAAGCTTCACGCCGGGGCGACAGTTCGTGATATCAGTGTGCCATGCTAGCTCTTGCTCCAAGATGCCGCCGTGTCGTCGTTCCGTGAAGTGACATAAATCACTGTCTGTGAGGTATCGCTATTGTGACTTGTCTTGCTCCGTCCGAAGATCGGAAGTGTTCGAAGAAAGCCATAGGTTGATCACTTGGATGAATAAGAACTTGTTGGCAGCACTTCTGCCGATGGAAAGGGACCACGCCTGGCTGCAATTTTGAAAGTTGTGCTGAAAGTCCCAGGACAAGTCTCAAAGATATATGAAGTTGGTCATTTGGAGTAACGGGCAGTCACGCTCTGTCGTTCGCATGATGACAGGACCAGAAATCGTAGTTCGCTCGTTTGTGAGATATGGTGATGCCTGTTCTGTAATCATGTCAGCTCTGAATCAACGTGACGGAGCGCCGCCTCCCGCCAGAAACGACGCATGAAAGAAAGAAAGAGGAAGGAAAAGGAAAGTCAAGGGCGACATGGGCAGTATATATCGCAAGCTTACAGTCAGTGAGAGCAGGCTCCCAAGTGACGAGGATTGTTGTAATCCATGGATCCATATCATCAGGCATTAGCGTGTTTCAAGTGCAGAAGGTGACTTTTATTTCGACTTTTCTCAGCAAGAAATTTCTATGTGAAAGAGGGACCGCGTTAACGGCATGGCAATGGTACAGCAATGGTCCAACAAAATGAGATCGTGACAATGCCATCTCATGCGTACAAGCAGGAATGACCAGCTTGTGACAACCCGAATGGTTCCGACCATGTTTACTCGGAGCAGAATACGACCTATGCCTGCGGCAGTACAACAATTGGGATGGCATGATCAGAGAATGTTCCTTGATCCTGTCGCTACATCCGACCCGCACATTCTTGAGAACAAACTCTGACGCAAATGAAGGCTGAAGTGCTGACTCCGTACAACATCGAGATCTGGGAAATTTTTCCTTGCCAAGTTTGCCGAGATCATCCCTGAGGGCAGTCCTGAGGTTCTTGTATGGCCCGGTCATAGGTGCATTCATCCACAGCGAGTGAAATGATGTGCGGAAGCACGCACTGAACTGCAAACTCGGGTCAAAGAGGTTTGCTGGCTGCAGCAACATCTCATGTCGCTGCTCGGAGTCGCCGATCACAATGGCATGCAGGCAGGAGGTCCGATAGTGGCTCAGCAGTCCGATGAACTCTACCACGGTGCTCGCAGTACTGTCGTCACAGCCAATGATTTGAGGCTTGAAGACACTCTTGATGAGGAGGTTATTGGACGCTTCGTATGTGCAACAAAGGATGTCAACCTGAGTGTCACCAAAGTAAGTCTGGAGCATGTCGCTTAAGTCCGACAACTGCTTGAGAACTTGGGCCGCATCGGATCGCGATGGTGGATCGTCTCCGTTTCGTACAACAAGCGACTAACACGGTCAAATTCCAAGGCCGTCTCCCTATGTTGACTACCCTCAGGTGCTTCTTGCAGACGTCTGATCATCGCAAAAAGTTGGGTGTTGTGCTTGAAACGATCCGTCATTGGAAACCCTGTGCCTGGCTGCCCTCACGCATGAGTTGCAGATCGAACTTTCTAAGAAAGAAACAGACTCTGAGATGTTCCAAGCCGCTACCAGGTCTTGCAATAAGGTCCTCCAGCTTGCAAACCAGTTCATTAACCGCCGAGTCGGTGGGCGTGCACATCATCACACGACGACGGTCGCCGGTAACATTGCCAAGCTCGATATGACCTGCAGCGATAGCGCCAGCATTGTAGTTTTCCCAGTCTTGGGTTTGGCGTTGACCAGAATCAAATCGCTTTTGCAGTCAGGTGAGCCCATGGCGATGGCGAGTTGTTTGCGGATGAGGTGATTGACAACTTGGCGATATCGACGACGACCTCGAGCGATGGGATCTTCATCATTGCTATTGGTAGTAGCGTTTGGCGAGGCTGTGTGGCCTTGGGTACTTTCGTTGCGTTGTGATTTTGCAGCGTGTTTTGGGTCTTCGTTGCATTTGGAATCTTCTTCACGCGGGAAGTCTTTGCGTCCTGGTGAGGCTTGCCCCCCCTGTGAGCATTTGAAGACTTGAGAATCATCGATATCCTTTACCTTGGCTCTGCATAGTGTCCATCCTTGAACCGTGATTTGCATAAGTTGAAACGCTGGTGGAAGTGAAGTAAAGATGAGAGTGAATAAGTTAATGGTGACGAAACCGCGAATTTGTGTTAGGTGCCCAGGTGACGCAGGCAAGCTGGAGGTGCGTTGCCTGCGAAAGCGCCCCCGACAAAGCGGATTGCATCGCGTGTTTCAAAATTGTGCTCCCGGCGAGATCTGTCATGGAGATTTGAGGGAAATCTTGAAAATGCAAACAAATGACCAGATCGAGGCACACCATCTCTAGTCATTTTGGCCAGAGCGCGCATCGTGGAATCGCTAAATACCATCTTTCGCAGATGAGCGTTTTGAACACTCATACTTCACGGGCTCCTCGTAGCAGACAGGCCAATTCATAAACCTCACAACATACCTCGAATTCCGCTAAGAATAAAGCGGATGGTAGAAAGGAACGTGATATTCATTCTTTTAGGCCTAAGGCAACAAAAGTGTCCAGGTTTTCATGAGGAAGCGAACTCGCGCACACCACAAGAGACCTATCTCCGAAAGTAAAATCCTAAAACTCCAATGTATGCAAATTGTCATCCTCGATCGATTGTGATTCTATTGTCCTTACGAGACCATCTCCTACATCGATCCCGCGAGCATAGCGCCAAAGACACCGATGGCAGCCATACCCAAGACATCCATGCCCAATCGTGAAGCGGCGCCAGTCGCCGTGCCGGGAGAGGCGCTGGTGCCGGTACCAGAGCCGGTGCCGGTCTTGGAGGGTGTTGTGGAGGTGGTGAATCCAGAGCCGTTCTGAGTCGAAGAAGTTTGGCCTGAAGTGGCTATGGGAAGCATGTCAGCCATAGTTCGATATTCGAATAATTCCATGATGAATTTAGCGTGTACTTACTGCTGCTACCGGTGCTGGAGCTGGTGGTAGGAGCGGCTGTAATAGAATAGGTCAGCATTCATCCCCAATCGTGCATTTTCGCCCCAAAGTATCACAACTCACAGACTGTCACGCCGGCGTCCTTGCAGACCGCAATGAAGGCGTTCTGGGCAGTGCTGGCGTCGCTGCCACACTTAGAGCTAAGAGTGCTCTGAATGTTGGATGGGCTGCTGCAGATGGACTTGACGTCGCTCGGGTTCTGAGTGGTGCTGATAGCGGCGATCAAGCAAGCGGGAGGTGCTGCTGCGACCTGCGCAGCGAGCATGAAGAGGGCGATGGCGGTGCTGACTTTAGCGAACATTTTGAAAATAGGATTTCTTAGGATAATGAAAGTCTTTGAAGTGTCGAATCGAGAATAATTTGGCTAAGCGGTTCGGTAGGTTGTTAAAGAATGAAAGCGTGGCGATCCGGATGAAGTAGAAATGGCGCTCCTGTAATGAATGACTGTACTCAGAGTACTAGGTGTTGGTGTTTATGATGTTGAAGACGTGTTGGCGATGTCAATTCGCGACTGTTTGAGGATGCGCCGCCGTTCAAGGGGTGTCCTCAGTGTAATCACGTGATTGACGCGTTTCAGTCCTGGTCTGTAGTCGACGCAAGATGCCTCAGGTGGGAGAGATTCGCGCCAGTCAAGCCTCAGGCAATCACAAAGCATTTGGGCCTCTCACCATGCTAACGTGAGTTTATGTGCTCTGCCCGACCGTCGATGTCAAATATATTTCATGCGGAAACCCTCACCACTCCAGTTTGTCAGGCTCATGGCGGCTTGGCTGACATATAGAGTTCAGTCCTGACAGGACTCAAATCGGGTTGAACTTCAAGGGTTTGAAGATTTCACTTACCAGCTGTTTGATCTCGACGCGATCATCACCTCGATCATGCTCACACCGCTGCGATCTCGGTTGATGGGCTCGCAATATACTCCTTGTAGCATGCTCCATACATGACTGCCCGCTCAGCGTCATCGAGTGAATTATGACCAAACGTCATGTCATCCTCTCTGCCATTCCAAGAGCAGCCGGCGTGGACAGAAACGAAGACAGCACAACTAGAGCACGGTAATGTTGTGCCTAGTCGTAAAGGCATCATCGACGCTGCTGTGTTGAAATTGATGTCATTGGACATCGATGAAGATGCAGCACAGCAGTCAGCATCTATTATGCAGTCAAGCTAGTCATCATGCGAAAATCGGGAAAGATAGAATACTAAACCTTCAAGCTCACCACACAGTCGTTCTGACTCCCCGGCTGCCTCGGCATACCGTGTGGTATTAACATACAGCCACACTTTCACAGCCACATGATTTTCAAGAATTGCAATGCTTGCCGGCTCACATGTCCAACAACTGCGCACGATAGAGCATTGATGGCGCCAAACGCAAGACAGCATCAAGGCACTACTGTTTTAAATCTGCCACGGAATGCAACATCCCCCCAAGGAAATTCTTGCGCAAATTCATCAATTGCTGTTCGATATATGTCGAAACCGGTCCTCTCGCTAGAAATGATTGGCCTTGACCACTGTAAGTACACGGTGTCAACTGAATTGGGTGGTGCTGAAGCTTGAATGCCGGTTGTCGTCAGGCTACATGTACCGTACATTTCTGCGGGTGTTAAGTCATTTTCCTTTTGCTCGCTCTCGTTTCGAAGCTGGATGTCTCTGATGAATAAACCTACATGCAGTGCGGGACCGGCGTCGGTCGGTAACAGCTCCGTGGTTGCCACCAGCGAAGAGCGCTTCAACGCTTCTCAAACGAGCGCGTTACAATGCCATTTTGGGGATTCTTGGCGGTTGCGACTGACTACAGGACTCATTGTCGCACGACTCTAGCTTGCGCTGGGATTGACGAGGTACATATATCGTTGGCATTCCAATGATCTGCAAACATCCTCATGCTTTGACACCTGTGGAGAGGGTATGGTAGGTTATTCATGGTGGTGATCTAGGCCATGTAGCGAATCAGCCACTCATATTTTCTGTCACCTGCGCTGGCAATACCTATCAGGGCAAAGGTCGCGAGCCGAGATGTACATCCGCGTACAAATGGTGTCATGTCGTCGAATGCTTCGTCAGGCGCAATCCATACTATGGTCCGCCGCATATGTACCAACCTGAACTCTGCCGACGCAAGACCTTCACGTGAAATTGTGCGTTGCAGATCTCATGGCCTTTTGCTATGCAAGTCCCGCGTGGTATATCTATAATTTTGCACATGGTGCACTCACCTCATGGTCACGCAGCAGAATGGAGATGTCGATGGACAAGAAATCTCCGATCAAATCGAGTTTCTCATTGCGGGGACGATCGTTGTGTAGACGATCAAATCAAAACGTCATAGCTTATACTTTGCAATAGTATGTACAGCATGCATACACTTTCGCTCTCCCCATGGGGACGGATGCACTCATGACAGCAAGTAAGCCAGACCCACACAGCGCAGCGCAACCCGTGCAAGTGAACCGGCTCTGTGCTCATGAATTGTTGTGATGAATGGTGACTAGGTGGGAAGAAGCAAAGTGAGGTCGGATTTACATCTGAGAGCATTGCGGAGAATGTGGGTGATCCCTGTTCCGATTGGCGTTCTACAGCGGCCCGCTCTCAGGAACCCGCTACTGAACGGTTGCGCCCCTCGGCATCTTCTCATGATTTGCAAGAGGGACATGAATTACTCAACCCCCGCCTTGCCTTTTGCGGCCGAAGTTGCGATCCCGCCGTTGTGAAATGATCTGCAAAGCCCGCCAGGGCAAAACGATCATTGGTCAAGACCGCAGAGAACTCCCTTCGTGGCATAACTGATGTTGGCTTTACCTTCGTCATGGAGAAGCGCAACTCCAGCGTCGGGGAGTTCACCGCGCGGTGCAGTCGTTCTCGCCAGTGCTTCTCACCGTTTTGCGGCATAGTGGGTTGACCCTAGCAAGAATCCCTGCAAAGAACTCAACAATAGAGTTTCATCTGGACTCGACGCTTCCTATTTGAGGCTGCTTCGCGACCTTGAACCACCAAACCGCCGCGAGCAGTGCCTGTGAACGGCCGTCGCCCATTTCAACAAGGTTCTCTGCGCTCATCTTCTCCACCGATTCTAATGGACAAGCTTTTACTGCGTTTCGACCATCGGCGTAGCGTCAGATCGAAATTGTACTGTACCAATCCCCAAAGCACTGACGGCGACTTGCTGCCTCACCCACCTGAGTCCCGCAAGACAGCATGCACTGTGCCCATTGTATCATGTGCATGATGGAAAGCCGTTGCCTCGGTGTGTGATGACTCCCGCCGGAGCATGATACTTGGGAACATCTTGTTATGAGAGCGCTCAACGGTTGCCTTCCTCTGAGAAGGATATAAGAATCTGAAATCTCGCTCACCTAGAGTTTTCTTTTCCCCAAGCAGACCGATCCTCCAAAAGACAAGCCTAGAACATCAACGAGCCAACACTCTCGCTACTTCCATCATCAACATGAAGGTTTCTATCGTTGCTCTCGGCCTCGTTGCCGCTGCTGTCGCTGCCCCGGCTCCCATGCCCGAGCCTACCGCCGCCCCCGAGCTCGACCTCGAGGCTCGCCAGGTCGGTGGCAAGGTCCAGGGCTCTGTTGATGGTCTCTCTGGCTTCGTCTCTGGCGTTGTCGGCTCCAGCACCCTCGCTGGCTGCATCGGTGGTGTCCTCCCCAACGGACTCGGTGCCACCCTTTGCTTCCCTCCTCAGTTCGCTCTCCCCACCAAGGCCCCCAAGGCTTCCCGGGTAAGCATAGAACTCCTCGAGCTCAATATATGAATACAACTAATCATATGATTCCTCAGGTCGCCCGTCAAGTCGGTGGCCAGGTTGGTGGCTCCGTCGGCCCTGGCCTGAACGGCTTCGTCTCCGGTGTCGTTGGCTCCAGCACCCTTGCTGGCTGCATTGGTGGCAAGCTCCCCAACGGTCTTGGAGCTACCCTCTGCTTCCCTCCCAAGTTCGCCCTCCCCACCCGCGCTGTATGTATATCGCTTTCATTGCTTGCGGCCCGACAGCTGGCTAACATAAACTAGCCTCGCGATGCTGATGCTGAGGCTCAAATCGGCGGTGCCCTCGGTGGCTTCGTTGGTACCGGTCTCTTCGGCACCCTCTCCGGTGACATCAACACCCAGCTCGAGGGCCTGATCGGTGGCTTCTTCGGCAACAAGGGTACCACCGTTACTGCTGTCAAGCCTCTCCCCAGCAAGGCTCCCCGCGATGCTGAGGCTCAGATCGGTGGTGCCCTCGGTGGCTTCATCGGTACCGCCCTCGCCGGTACCCTCTCTGGCGAGATCCAGAGCACTGCTCTCGTTGGTGTCATTGGTGGCCAGAAGGGCTCCAAGGGCAAGACCGTCTCCGTCTCATTCCCTCTCCCCACTAAGGCTCCCCGCGCTGCCGACGCTGAGGCTCAGATCGGTGGTGCCCTCGGCGGCTTCGTCGGCACCGGCATCTTCGGTACTCTCTCTGGCGACATCAACTCTCAACTCGAGGGTCTGATTGGCGGCTTCATTGGCAACAAGGGTACCACCATCACCACTGCCAAGCCCCTCCCCAGCAAGGCTCCCCGCCAAGTTGGTGGCAAGGTCGGTGGCTCCGTCGACGGTCTTAACGGCTTCGTCGCTGGTACCGTCGATGCCAACGGCATCCCCCACGGCTGCGTCGGCGGTGTCCTCCCCAACGGTCTTGGTGCCACCCTCTGCGCCAAGGAGGCCGCCCCCACTGCTTAAATCATCAAACTCGTTGATGACGCCTTGAATTGAGATTCTTTTTGCAGAATCTATTCTTTCTACACGCGATCGATGAGCTTTTCACGTTTTGATGACCCATCCGATTAAAATGAAATACTTGTCCGCTCTCCCCTACTGTCCGCGATACTTAATCGGTTGCTGCGCGATGGATCCCCTCTTATTAGCTAGGAATAACTGGAAATGAAAGCTTTCTGGCTTGTCATGATGACTTTTCCACTGTCTCTCGCTCGTGATCATTGCTCCAACACCATATGATGATTGTTTCACCGTATCTCATTTGTGTCAACTGTGCTACAGTGTTTAACTTGTGAAAGAACCTCGCGTTGCTCGGAATGTGGGATTGTTGCAAAGTGTGTCCCCGTACTCGCCAGCACCCAATTCTCGCGCAGAATCGACGCGTCTCGACTCTCCCAGCACAATCTCTTCCATTGTTTTGTTATCCAAGTTGGGCGTGATTCCGTCAATTTCACGTTCAACTGAATTTCTCTCATCGAACTCAGAGGCCTTGCGCCTCATTTCATTCAAGTGTAAACAAGACATTCGCCATCTGGATGTCGCAAGATCGCCAACACGCCTCAGTTGACCATGGAGCGACATATCATATCAGTTGGTGCGAGCAGAATTCTGTAGTGCTGCAACACAATGCGTCGCTCAAACATCACTTGACAATCGGTCTTCCGCCGCACACAAGTCTCTGCGCCAGACTTGTAAGACCCGTCTTTTGCGACAAGCATATTCTCGACGATTGGCATTTTTAACGACGCTTCGAGCGTCATGCGAAATGATGGAAGAGGCGATGAAATCGAATCACTGCGAAGCTGCATTGGACAATTAGTCGTAAGAGCATGTGTTAGGCAGGTAGCAATCACAACTGTTCGCTCCAGCAATCCCACTGTACGATCAACACGTGAAGCCGATGCTGATCATATGTAAACCATGGCATCGTCTGTACTTTTCTGAGTGTCTGGGACTTACTGTTGCTTTTCAAGATCTGCTCTTATAAGACATTCCGATCACACTTTACTCTTCGCATTGAACATCTCAACCTGAACCTTGGTACAACTCTGATTACAGGATCATCACTCCGCCTCATTCATGATCATCTCTCTCACTTGGTGAGTTTGTCACCACCTTGACATGTTCACAGTTTGTGGTCAGTCAAAGTCATGTGCTCATGAAGTGGGTCGAACAACAATCGCAACGAAGCAAGCCTTGCCAGAGTAGAACTTCGATGTCATGAAGTCCAACAAGTCCAAAAAGAACGAGAGCAGCTCAGCTTCCATCACAAAAATGCATAGTATGCGCAGAATCGTGAAGGCGGTTGGTCTTGTGCCTCGTATGCTAACTCGCCTAGCAGCTTTCAACGATTCCGCTCGTCAGGCCGGCGTCGATACAATGAGCTCGCGAGAAGATACTAAATCTCCCAAAGAGTCCACGCTGTCGCTCTTCAGAAACAACACGGAAACGCCACCTCCACAGCATGACGATAGTGCTGAAATGACTACTAAAGGGAAATCGAGGAGCGCTAAAGCGGTCGTCGAAGCACATGGGCTTCATGCTCGTCATTATCCAACTATCTTGCGCACCGAAGAATACTCAAATTGGAACGAATACATCTCCCATCTCGTTCACAAAGTCGCCAGGCAAGTTATAACACCAGGTAATGTCAAAAGTCGATATGAGCTTGTCGAGGAACACATATGGAACGATAAATTTTTGATGAAGGTATGGAAGCTTGGTCTATCGAAGCAGACATGTACTGGCCTGGCAGGGGCGGCAGTCAGCTCGAAGGTGCAGAATCTCAGAAAGCAAGAGCTAGCGAAAGCAAATAATGCCATGGCTAGTGCTTCCTCCAAGCCTTTGTCCCTGAGCGTACCGATGATCGCGTCTTGTCCGAGGCGTGTCGTCGGTCACCCAGGTTTCCTGGGCGAAGCGCAATCGTCCACAAGAATTGCGACACCTAAAGTCAGCGCCCGGCCTGATTCCATGAATGACACCACGATAGCAGAACAATCAAAAGTTGACCAGGTCAACACCAAAAAGGCTCAGGCTAGTGCAGAGGTACCGCGCACATCCTCAGTCCTTCGATCATCGCTGCATTTGCCACCAACACAGCTACCAAGCACTCTAAGCAGTGATGCGCAGATCAAACTTCACTCAAAACTTCCTGCAGCCAATCTTTCGAAACAGTCTCTAGCTGCTTCTTCTGCGAGGAGCTCAAGTCCTACAATAGCGCGTACTGACGTTTCTCCGAGGACATCGATTACGCCTCCCGCAGAGACGCCAACAGTGATTGCTGCGGCGGAACGAACAGACATCCCTATCTCGAAGACGCCTACAGCTATTGTCGCGAAGCCGGCCATAGAGCGGAATCCGACGACTTCAAAGCTAACACCTACCCGTGTTTGGTCAGAGCAACAGAACGCTATTTCGGAACAGACACGCGCGACCGCTCGATCCCATTTTGATGCGTTAATTGCGTCATATTTCCCTGAGGGCGCTGGTGCCAGATATTCCCAGCCCGTGGCCGCGAAGGTAGCTGAGGCACCACAATCACTGCCATCTGCTACCGATCAGTCCTACATACCCAGAGTCACTCCATCCGACTCACTTGAGATCAAAAGCCCAAGTCCACTGGCAGTTCTACCCCCCAAGACAGCTCAGGCGCTTCCTACAAACGATCGAGCCCAGGAGATCGGAGCTACCAGTGGTGACCTCCAAAATCACGAATACGAATGGAAAAGCCGTCGGAAAGTAACTTCAAGCGAGCTCGAAAACAATCTCGCAACCGCAAAAGAACCAAGAAGCCTGAAGTCGCCAGCCAAACGGCCCAGAGAAGAAGAGGAGGGTGATTTACGCTTTGTGCGATATACAAACGAATATGACGACACTAGCCCAGCCCGTACGAATCTATACCTAGAGTCACCGTTAAAAAACACAAGCTTGAAATTTCTGAGGGAATCGAGCAACAGACGACGAGAGGTACTCCCATGGACACTCCCGAATTGGACTGTCTCATCCGAGCATTATCTACAACAGGTCAATTGCAGCCAGATCACGACGTAATTATCTCGATTACGGGCGCACCTACTCGTGAGAGCATCGTCTCGAAAATTGCAGAGACTTTCGAATTCAACCGTTTGGCACCAACCGCTCTTCTTTTCGGATTTGTACCAGAAACGAATGTTATTCTTGCGCTGACATCATCTACCAACGTCAGAGGCTGGGTCAAACTTTCGTCTAAGCCAGCTCATTAAGATCTCCCTACTATCTTTTTGGTCAACGCGCCGTGTGATAAGGTCAATTACAAGCTTGTGATCAACCATTTGCGCTGTCCGTCCGCAAAGAGAAAATGAGCACTCCAATGCACCTTTGAAGCAACTGCTTGCGACGGGCGCGATGTAAAACGCGATCTGAGAACATCGAATCTACGTTTTGGCGCTTGACATATGATAGGCTGCTAAAATCCTTGTACATCGTCGATCGATCTATGCATGTGTTTGCATGTGATGAAGAGCGTAGTTTTAGGCGCGCTTAGCAGGCAAGCGCCTCACATGCACCCCACAAAGCGTAAAGCACCGAGGGTCGTAGATATTCCATGACTTGACAATAAATTATTGGGGCATAATTAGTGTACAAAGCCTGCACAATTTCCATTTCGGACCCTTTCACAACATCGGGAGGGAACCCTACCACCACCGATGTGGTTCACGTCGAGTACTACAACTCACTTGAAATCGTCTCGCATGTATGTTTGGAGTGTTATGGCCTTGACTACGCCTGCATTCTGATAACGATTTACGGCCGTTTCATTAACGAATTCAAAAGAGCTCACAGCGCCAGCCATAATCATATAAACAGCCCATGTTCCAAGAGGGAGCAAGCGGGACCGTTGACCATAATTTGTACAAAGTCACGAGAGGCCAGATCGCATTCGCCTCGTCTGAGAAAGTGTCAGACCTCTATGCGACATATATGACCACATCTCGCTCGCGAGTGCGGATCATGCCTGGAAGGAAGCGCTTCGGTACTTCTTGAGCGCGGTGTTGACCGCCGAATACGCTCCGAAAGATGCCTCACATACCAGCTTCGCCCACCCCGGGCTCGATGCGAAGCCGTGCGACAACGACCACGACCCGGCCTGGCACGAGCAAGGGCACACACTTCGCACGCCCGAGTACCAGTGCTGGGGTTGGAAGCAATGTCTCTCCGGGCCACGAACGCAATGGCACGCCGAAACGTACCACGACCACAACCTCCACCACCGCGGCCAGCACTCGACAACGTACGACGGCGGACAAGGAGAATAAGCCGCAGTCAATCAGTCGCCGTCGATCTAGTGTGTTGGGACTGCGAGATCGGCCGCCAGCTCGTGACGGGACCGCACAACGCCATGCGAAAGAGGTGGAAGGGTTGAAAGACTATCAGCTGGGACACTGCCTAGGGCGTGGTGCTTTTGGAAGCGTATACTCCGCCTTGAATTGGTCAACTGGAGAGACCGTTGCGATCAAGCAGGTTCGGCTGTCGGATATGCCAAAGACGGAGCTCAACGTGATAATGCAAGAGATTGATCTGCTGAAGAATCTGAATCATCCCAACATCGTGAAATACCATGGATTTGTCAAGAGCTCGGAGGCGCTGTGGATCATTCTCGAATACTGCGAACAAGGGAGTCTATATACGATCTGCAAGAACTTTGGCAAATTCCCCGAAAACCTGGTCGGACTCTATATTGCTCAGGTCTTGCAGGGCTTACTCTTCCTCCACGATCAGGGTGTGATTCACCGCGATATCAAAGGAGCTAACATTCTGACTACCAAGGAAGGACTTGTGAAGCTTGCTGATTTCGGTGTCGCCACGAAACAGCAAGGTCTCGCAGAGGGTTCGGTGGTAGGAACTCCCTATTGGATGGCGCCGGAAGTTATCGAGCTTGCCGGTGCGACGACTGCTTCCGATATTTGGTCTCTGGGATGTACTGTGATCGAACTGCTCGATGGCAAACCACCATATCACAAGTTTGCGCCAATGCCGGCTTTGTTTCGCATCGTCAACGATGATCATCCTCCGCTTCCTGAGGGTACTTCGCCTCTCGTTCGCGACTTTCTCATGCAGTGCTTCCAGAAGGATCCCAACTTGCGGGTATCAGCCAAGAAATTGCTGCGCCATCCATGGATCATGAGTGCAAAGCGTGCGGACGTTAGCACGAAAGGAGAGAAGAAAATGGAGTACAACGAAGCAGTGAAGCATGTTCAGGAGTGGAACGAAGCTTTGAAATCCAGCCCGCCTCCTACACAAAGTCAAAGGAACGCGATCGCGCCGGGGAGGAAAGCTGCTGCGCGACCTTTATCGCGAACCTCTGTGACATCTGGTCTGGATCGACCAGGTTCGCGGAGTTCGAACGAGAACCCCAGCGATAATTCCAGACCGCCTTTCAGAGTTGCGTCTCGAAAATCATCTGGCAACTTTCCGAGCAGGCGAAAGACGGGTAGCATGAGCGACAACAATCCATTCGGAGAGGCCTTGGCTAATCACGTTATGGAACCTTTACCGCAAATTTCAGGAGAGCCAAGTCAAAGGAAGGATAATTGGGATGAAGACTTTGAAGCAATGAACGAGGATTTTGATGCTTTGAAATTGCCGACACATCGCCGCCCTCAGGACCATTTCAAAGGACTCTTCAGTTCTGAGAGGCTAAAGCAATATGCGAACTTCGATTCTATTCCTGAGATCGATTCAGATAGCAGGCTCGAGGCATGGGACGAGGATTTCGAGGGCGGCGATGGCGAACTGACGGTCAGAAGCCCTCTGCCACTTCCGACCAGGCCAGGGCAGCATGAACGCAACCAGAGCAGAGATTCACAACCGCGGACACAAATATTGAAAATAGAAAATGCAGCGCAGAAGGACAAACCGGCGGCGTCGCATCAACAACGCCCGACCGCATCTCAGCTACAACTCAATAAATCAACGCAGATTCGGTCAGCATTGGCAGCGTCGACGAGTTCAAACCGCTGGGTTGAGGAACCGGAAGACGAGGACTACTCTGATCTTGTCTGCGACAACGCCGATGAGGATGTCTTCCGGAAGAAGCTAATGGGCTTCTCTCCGAATCGACCTCTGGTTGCGAGTGAGCTCGCAAACCTACAGACCAAAATGGCTGGGAGTATTCGGAGTCGTCGGAGAACTCACACACCTACCCAGCTGGTCCACGACGCTGCTGCCATGCGCAAGACACGCAGCTCGTTGGAGATCCAGAAGTATGCCGAAAGTGAGGACGACGAGGACTTTGGACAAGACCTCGTCTTCGACGAAAGAGCCCGAGGTAAAGAATTCTCACAGGTCAATCAAGGCAAAATTCGAGGTTCACCCAGCACTAAAAGCTCTGTTGAGAGCGAATCTGGAGACTCCACCTCGAGCGAAGTCCAGCTACAGCACGCTCCTCGTGGAAGCACACTGAAACTGACCAACTCCCTCTCATGGGGTGACGACGATGACGAGGATGAAGATGAAGAGGATCCTTTTGCTCAGCTCGAAGAGGAGCTGGACGATGTCGATTTGGAATTGAATGTTGCCCGCGACAAGCACGCACGTCTGTGTACTCTCGTGGAGAGCCTCGTAGGAGCGATCAAACGTGACATGCCCGAAGACGACCTGTGCATGCTGCTGGATCAATTGCTTGGCATTTTGGACGACGCTACGGAAAGCGCGGGCGGAGGTGATATCAGGAATGTCATTGTCTCTAGTCACGGCATGCTTCCCATTCTTGAAATCCTCGAAGAAGCCAAGCGGCAAGACATCGTTCTTCGGCTACTTCGCGTGGTCAATCGCATCCTCGACGGCAGCGCTGAAGTTCAGGAGAACCTCTGCTTCGTAGGTGGCATTCCGGTTGTGACGAAATTCGCTGGTCGAAAGTTCGCAACGGAGATCCGCTTAGAGACTGCGGCATTTGTACGCATGATGTACACCACACCACATTCGCCTGGAGCGGCGTTGATCATGGCCGCCAGTGCGTGGAAGGAGGCTGCGCCGGTCACTGCCGCCCCAACCATGACGTTACAGATGTTTGTGGCTTGTGGTGGTCTCAATGTGCTCGTTGAGTTCCTCGAAGAAGACTATGATACGCCCGCTGGTCGCGAGTTGGTCCTCACTGGCGTGAACGGCATCTGGTCGGTCTTCGAGCTGCAAGGCTCCACTCCGAAGAACGATTTCTGCCGGATATTCAGCCGTAGCGCAGTTCTTTACCCACTGAGCTTGGTTCTCAATCGTGTTCTAGACGAAGAAGGCGATCTAGCTCGTGTGGTCGAATCGCGTATCGTCAATATCTTCCTGCTATTCTCGCAGGCAGAGAATCATGTCAAGGAGACTGTCGCCGATCGGATGGTGCTCAAACGAGTCCTAAAAGACCTTCGACGCATGAGTCCCATGTGCCAGATCACGATGCTCAAGTTCATCAAGAACCTGTCCATGCTTGCGACCACTTTGGATGCACTACAGAATTCAAACGCGATTGAGGTTTTGACTGACTTCCTGGGCACTTCTATTGAGCAACAACAATCGCAACATCGACGACGGCAACATAGTACTGCAAGCCCATCCGCCGGGAGCACCTCAAATTTCCGCGAAATCACGAATCAGCTTCTCAATACGATGTTTAACCTCTGCCGTCTTTCCAAGTCGCGTCAAGAGGACGCCGCCTTGTCTGGATTGATACCCTTGCTGCAACGCATCGTTCAAACGGAGCGACCACTCAAAGAATTCGCGTTGCCTATCCTCTGCGACATGGCACATTCTGGAAAGGTAGGAAGGAAGATTCTCTGGCAGAATAAGGGTCTGGCCTTTTATGTGGAATTGCTTAAAGAGCCATATTGGGCTGTCACCGCACTAGATGCATTGTTCGTTTGGCTCCAAGAAGAGACCGGGAAGGTGGAAGAGTGCTTGCTCACTGAAATCTTTGGAAGCGGCGGGTTTGCCGAAGCCATCGTCAGCTGTTTCGTTGAAGCCAAAGCCGATGCCTTTGAGAACCTACTGGAGCCTTTGCAGAAGATGTTGCGTCTAAGCCCGGCTATAGCGGCCAGCCTAAGCTCGAGCAGACCCTTCTTCGAGAGAGCTGTGGGCAAGGTGGTCGTAGCGAAGAAGGCGCTCGTTCGATTGAACATTCTGCGAGTTGTGAGGAGTGTGGTTGACGCTGCGGTCTCTCTTGGTTTTGCACAGCAGCAATTCGAGCGAGGCGCCCTAGGCGTGGGCCAGCTCACACGTGAAACGGGCCTGTTCGGTACTGCGCAGAGACTGCATAACGAGGACACGGCCATTCTGGTTAGAGAAATAGCCGGTGAGCTTGTACGGAGCTGCGAGCAGTGCGAGATCGGGACCAAAAGAGGTGGCCTCAACGCAAGGAGAAGTTCAACCAGTCTGAGCGGCAACACACCTCTCAGCGCGATCAGCGCCGGCCGCAGCGGTACGGGTTACTTCGACTTCCAACCGTCCATCCTTGGCCCGTCTCCTTCAAGCCTTTCCGGCACAAGCTCCAACCCACGAAGGCAGTCAATGGTTCCGACGCTCGAGCACCACCGCAGCAACACAGCATCATCTCTAGCAACGACCACAGTCAGCCCGTCATACATGACTCCTCCTAGTCTCAGCATTTTCACGCGCTCTCCAAGCCGCGCAAGCGACATCTCCGAATCCTCCACCACAACCACCTCATCTCGAGGCACCGGCATCCCCTCCCTCATCAGCAACAGCAGCGGCGGCGAACGTCCACATCGCCCCACCAGCCGCCAAAGTCTCGCCGCTCCTAGCAGTCTCAACCCGCTCCTCGCAGCGACGACACGGAATTCTCGCACTGGCGCTGCCGGAGGCCGCTCGGGCTCCAGCCGCTTGAGCTTGGCCGTCCCATTACCACCTTCCCTCTCCGTCTTCTCGACTTCGCCTCGCGAGCAGGATCCACCTAGGGTGCAGACGCCTCCTGTCCATCAACATCATGCCCCGCCGAGTGCGAATACTCGGGCAGCAGCGCAATTGGCGGCGCAGGCGAGACGGAAAAGAGGCGATGGAAGAGATTAAGGCTGTCAAAAAGAGTATCGGACCTGTCAGGCCGATCATGCGTGATCATGCGTCTGTTCCTGTCATGATGTATTCCTGCAATGCTTTCTGCGTATTTGGTATTTGTGCCCCTTTAGCGAGTCTTTTGTTTATGTTTATTTCTGCATGGAGTTCGGGGGCTTGTTGTTGAGTTGCATTCTGAAAGTTCTTGTTTTACCGATCTATACCACCTGATATCGCATGGGTTTGTTGTTTGCCCAGATTTGGTATTTGATCCTTGCACGCCCGCGACTGTTTTAATACCCAAGTAGTCGTAGGTGCTTCACACTATAAACACTCATCTGGGAGGAGAAAGTCTTTGTCCCAGCGAAACCGTAGGGCTGTCCACGTCAAGTCACGTCACTTTGATTTTTTGACCACCATTTTCGAGGAAGCCCACCGACGATACAAACCCACCTAGGTACATCTAACCGCCAGTAGCCAGACATTAACTATCTCAAGGACAACCGAAACCAATCATTCCCACACAAGACAAATCCGAAAGACTGACGATGGAGAACGATAACCCTGGGGCAAATCAACCCTAAGCCTGCTCCCTTCCACGTTCGGAGAGAATTTCTAAAATTATCCTCCGCTACTCTTGCATTGGGAATCAAGCCTCCTTTTCGGCGGGCCAAAAGGGCCGCGGCGTGGGATGGGAGGACCGCCCCGTGTTCTTCCCACCCGCCATTGTCGTCAATGGTGAGGCCGCCAATTAATTAATTGATTGATGCCATAACCCTGAACCCTGCTTCGCGCTGCGCGTGGCCTTTCGTACATGAGGCGAGATAAATGTTATCAACCTACACATTGACTGTGAACCGACGATTGCTTTTTTTTGCACCCACTCCTCGTTACGTGAATCTCGGTACTGTACAAACAACCTTTCCATCTTTGCGATATCTCGATAACCTTCTCGTCGCCTTTGTCCCGATCTGCATCATTACGAATTGATACTTAGAGCACTTCTCAACCATCAGCTGGAACTCGTGCCCCATCAAAGACTCGTACCACCAGCCCACCTGCGCCTCAACAATCCGCCGCCGCCCGGCCATAAGCAACCAGAAACCCGCGTCAGCAGAGAGCTCACTCTTTTCGCGACCGCCTGAACGGCGTTTTCCAATCGATATTTCATCAATTCATCGCCGTCATCAAAAACCACATTATCATGTTGTTGCCAAAGGACGGAATGGACTGGAAGGCTGCTCGCTCACGACTGCCTCCCGTACGCACAGTCTGGGCAACGCTCCTTAAAACACGAATCGCCATCATCGCTGTGACGGCGATAATAATACTCATTGTGGTTTGGGACGGATATCGCGGCACTGCGAATGAGTGGCAGAGGTAAGATCCAAAAAGAAGAGACGAAATGCATTTTGGAATAATTACGGCTGACTGATCGGGCCTCCTGCACATGACAGATTCTACTGTTTTGGACCTGATAAGTCACCTGTTGACATGAGCTCGAATGAGCATGCACAATGGACGAGTCACCTTCAAACACCCGTCATATTCAACCATCACCACCCGGTGGAGATCAATGCCTCAGTCGTTCAGCACGTGGATCTGAACAAGGTCAAGTCGACCGTCAAAGCTGCTGCGAACGAGGAGCGAGTCCTGATCCTAACGCCCTTGCGAAACGCAGCGTTCTACCTCGAGAAGCATTTCGATCTGCTCTCACAACTCACCTATCCCCACCACTTGATCGACCTCGCATTTCTCGTCGGCGACAGCAACGATGACACCATGGCAGTACTATCGATGGAGCTCGAGCGGGTACAAGCCCGAACAGACGGAGTCGCATTCCACAGCACCATGATCGTGGAGAAAGATTTCGGAGTGACTTTGGGTCAGGGCGTCGAGGATCGACACGGCTTCAAAGCCCAAGGTCCTCGAAGAAAAGCCATGGGCAAGGCCAGGAATTTCCTGCTCTCGGCCGCACTCAAACCCGAGCACAGTTGGGTGTACTGGAGGGATGTGGATATTGTGGATAGCCCGGCGGAAATTATCGAGGATTTCGCCAATCATGATCGCGATATCCTGGTGCCCAGTAAGTTGAAATATCGGATTCGATGAAAAGACGCAGAAAGAAAGGCGGACCGGGGCTGACTGGAATTTTGACAAACAGATGTGTGGTTTCACCGTTACAAGGACGGCCGGGATATCGAAGGACGATTCGATTACAACTCATGGGTCGAATCCGACAAGGGTCGTAAACTTAGCGCAACCCTGGATAGGGATGTTATTCTTGCAGAGGGTGAGATTGGCTCTGGGATTGCTCCTGGCTGCGGAAGAGGCTGACACATGGTGCAGGTTACAAAGAGTACGCTACCGGCCGCGACCACATGGCCCGCAAGGGCGACTGGCGGGATAACAAGGATATTGAGATTGAGCTTGATGGCATCGGAGGTGTCAGCATCTTCGTGAAGGCGGACGTCCACCGCGCAGGTTAGTTTATGAAGGTCAGAAGATGACCGGGCAAGATGCCGTATTCTAACTTTTTATCTTTGCTCTGCAGGAATCAACTTCCCTTGTTACGCTTTCGAAAACCAAGCCGAGACTGAAGGCTTTGCCAAAATGGCCAAGCGCGCCGGCTACGGTGTCTTTGGACTTCCAAATTACGTCGTCTGGCACATCGACACGGACGAGAAACCCGGCAATGCCTGATGACGATCTGCGGAAGAAGGCGAGACCTTCATCCATATTACATCCCCTCGTCCGTATCAAAACCATCGCCACGACAACGATTGCCATCAACATCACATCACAGACATCCTCACCAAAAATCATAATCATAATCAAATTCTCACACCGCAAAGCTTCGCCATCCACTTTCTTCGATGCTTTTTCTTCTTCAGCCACTGCTACTCTCTCGCCTGACTTCCTCTACGCGAACCCATCAGATGATCCCGACACAGCGAGGCCGACAACTAGTTAGCAGCAACTCACAACGTGGCGCCTCACTTCTCTAGCAGCACGGACCTTCTTCCACTTTCTCGTACTCTCCACCTTTTACTTCTTCATCATCACTTCTTTCCCCAGTTCTTCTTTCTTTTTTCCCCCATATAGACGGGATACGGGATGCGGGTTTCGGGGGATCTGGATCTGGACCGGAATCGGAGAAACATCGCTACTTATCTGTATGAAATCTTTGTCGTGTCGTCGCTTTTGGGAGCCCGGATGTGCACAGGGGTTGGTGGGAATTGATGAGTGGGAAACTTTCCAAAAAAATGTCAAAAGCAACACCGCCGATTTTTCTTTTCCTTATCTTTTTGGGTTATGAAACGGTGATGATCTAGGATGTGATGTGAATACTGTGCAGCGCGTCGGGTGCGATTATGATTTTTGGTTTTCTCGACCTGTCGGCATTTGGAGACTTTTGACTATGGTCCTGGAGAGCCGCCAATCGCATACAGTCCCCACTGATTTGATTCGTGACGAGTCTCGCGTCGTCGGCGCGTTAGCCGTATCGCCGCCTGCGATCTCTTCATTCTCTCGCCCTGCGTGTACTTGCGTGGTGTGCCATCGAAACGGGGCGACTGTGCAAAACCCGCACCGATCTTGTCCTCTCCGCTGCTGATGAGCCTCGGATAGCTGCAGATGCAGGATCAACGTAGCATTTGCTCCAACTGTCAGGGTGATTGAGATCAGCAAACACCTGCATGGTCCCATACAATCCACCAGAGGGCGTCGCCTCTTGCTACCACATCGCTGAATAACAAAGATACATGTAGCATACACTCCATCACACTATGCTATTTAGTCGAATGGGACAGTCTGGGCTTACTTCACGTGACCGAGATATCATGCGGAAGGGATGAGGAGATACACCAACTACTCGTCCCGGCGCAACTCAAAACATACACACGGACACACATTCGCACTTGCACAAACCTCGCCTCATATCGACAATCACCTCATTCTCCCCCAGCGATTACACGAGCACGGAAATAGACGAAACCGAGCAGCAAACAAGACTTTTCTGTAAGCGCGTCTAACTGCATGAGTCTCATCTGCCCGAGCACTGCTGTATAACGGCCACCACGCGGGAACGCCGGCCACGCCATAATTTCCAACGGACTACCATCATTTTAATCTCACCGTGGACATAATAAATTCTCCTCAATCACACCCTGCACTGCAAGGGAGTGTCAATGGACGACTAGCCGACCGGGAACGCCATCGAAAGGATAAATTTAATGAGCACTAAAAAAGCCAGTTCGAAAAAGGCAAAACTTGTCCGCCGGCGTTCGGATGATGTGTATACCTGTTGGGCTCGAGCATGACTCCGTCGATCCCTTGCTTCCTCCAAGACATGCACACGCATGTTCCCTGAACCCCTTCCCCCCCCTCTTCAAGATGACTGTGCCACATTGCACAGCATATCCAACATTTGTTACGTGTTGGTGAGCGCGTACGCTGCTATACCAACGGCAGGATTTGCTCACCAAGGACCGAAATCTCTTTCATTTACTGTTGGTCCGAATGGACATGTGATGCTTGCTGGCACGACTACGACGCGTCGATTCCCAGAAAAGACCGGCCTCGCAAAAATAGTAGCACAGAGGTGATACAAGCAGCGCGCGAAGTGACTGCTTCTCTTGGTCAGTTCTCTCCCATTCGGGAATCTCGCGACGAACAGCGAACAACCGCACCAGACGAAATGGCGATTATTTCAGGCGTCCTCGAGCGAAGTGCACCTGGTCATTTCGACGGCGTACGAACTAGCGCCTGGGCCATGGTTGCCGGCGCTAGATTTGAAATTCACCTTACCCGTTCACGTGTGATGGAAGTCGACAAGGATACGTAGCTGTCTCCATCACCAAATTGAAGATGCTGTGCCTCGGAAACACAGGCCATGAGTCCCGTCTGAAAGAAATAAGAGATTATCAAACCTGATGTTACTCCACGTTCGCCGCACCTGGCAGGCACGAGAGCAAGACGCTCGGTCAATCGTTACCGCTCAAAGGCACTCAGGAATCAACGCCAACGGCACCTAGTCTATCACCGTGCTGAGTTTCTGCATGCGTGCTTGCAACGTTAGGCAGGACGCGCGTTGTTGGCGTGTTCGGTGGGCTTTCTAGCTGCGGTTTTGAGCACATGCCGATGCAAGCAGCGCGGCAAGATGCATGCTTTTCGACATGAAAGATAGGCGACAGATGACCTCCTTGCATGCACTGAGAGCGAATTTACATGGGTCGCATGGCGCGGTGTGGTGGCTCGTCGCTGATGTGCTGCATTCAGGCTACCCTCAGTGGGACTTGGACGGTCGATGTTCATGGCCGGTCGTACAAGATAGACGCCGTATATGGCATCGCCCCGTCATAAAACCGCGCTTGACGTCTACTGCATGCACAACGGCGTGCATGCCTATCCTCGAAATCCCTTGCGGTTCTGCAGGGTTGTGGTGGGAGAGGACCATGTCCAATCATCTCCCGACGCAGAGTCCCAACCGGTTGACGATCAGAGCAAGAAAAGGTACATGAAGACATAAGAGAAAGAGGCCACTTTTTTGCTTGCGCTCTACGACTCTATTCTTTGTTTTTTTCCCTCCCGCATCCCGTCTGCGGATTGGTGGCGAAAATAGGACCTTCCAGCCTTGTCCGCAAACGCGATCGTGCCCTGCGGCACAGTCGCACTCTAGAGCCACACCCGAACAGGAATCGTGCCTGCACACGGCTGGCCTGTCCACCCCTCATCATCCTGATGATAAACCTCCCGTTGATGGCGGGACCCGTGCCAGATGGCATGAGGATCGCAACCAACACTGCCGTGAGTGCCAGTGTTGCCGGTCGGTCGTTCTCGTGCTGAGCAGATTTGAACCACCGGGGTCCTATTGCATACCTGCTGACTCCGCCCGTTCCGAATTGTCTTCGGCATCTCCATTTGTTGCATATATATCTGCTCCCATGTCCACCCAGTTGTGGTAGTACTGTTTAGTTGCTCTCGCTCGCCTGCCGAATTCCTCCTCCGCTTACTGCACCTGTCCTTGGTTCGCATCCTTCTGGGCTTGCCCACGTGCCAACGAGAATACGATACCTTGTCAGATTTCTCTGTCGGCGAGAACGTCAGACTATTCTCTCTCCCAACATCATGTTCTATGCCAGTGCTGCTGCTACACCTCGTCAATACGAGGATCGGAACATGTCAAACCAACAAGAATACCACCCTGGATCTACGTACGTCAACCCCGTCAGCCAAGAAACGCACTCAGCGAAAGAGAAAATTTGGAATGCTGACCTCACTCCAGACAACGACGATTGCCGCCGATCCATGCGGTGATGGATATGCAGGATTTCCCATGTTACACATGCGGAGTGAAGTTCGAACGAAGCGAGCAACGCGATTATCATCAGCCAAGATGCGACAGGGCAGCACCTCCGACATGGCAGCCACGTGCCATCTCTCACCACAGCGAACCGTCCTGGAACGGTAGTGTTACCTCATATGCCCCAACATACCAATTACATGGATCTCCGCCTCAACCAGTTCGTAGCATAGAGCAGCAACAACAACAACATCATCATCATCACCTCCATCAACAACAATCTCACCACAACCTCGCGCTACCTCCCCAGCCCGACCGCCGAGCTTCTTCCCCGATCCCCTCTCTACACAACATCAGCCGACGAGGTTCCGACAGCACCGACAAAGGCGTGGACAAGCGCGAACAGAAGAAGAACAAAGAAAAGCAGTCCCGCAACCAACACGCCATGGTCCTGCACTGCTTCGAAGACCTCCTCCAAAATTACATCAACCTCGAATGCAAAAACACCCAAGCCATGGGCAACGGCAATGAAGCCGGCCTTGAGATTGTCAAGATTGACATGTACCGCAACGTCCTCGCACTGCTCAATCACTTCGTCCACCGCGACCACATGCGCGCCCTCCAAGATGGCACCCTCGAGACATGGCAGCAGGAGATGCGTCAAGTCGTTAACAGCTGGCATGGCAGCGAGAACCTCCTCTACGGCACCTGGCTGGATGAAAGCGGCGGCCGTCATTTCGAGGCTTGCGAGCATCTCCGCGGTCAGAAGCGTTGCACCCGTCACAATCATCCCAATTGGCTCGAGTGTCGCAAGGAGCGGCATCGGAAGAAGTATCAGCAGCGCGCTCACGCATGGCGTGCGGAGCAGACGCAGCAGAGGCTTTAGGTCTTCACGATTCCGTCATGGTCGATGCCGTGCTTGTTCCGAGCTTCTGATCCGCATTGCTGCTGGATGAAGAATTGCGAGACGGAATGCCCGGTCTGTCTTTCTGCCTTGTTCTTTTCTCACACATCTTTGCTTCTTGGCCTTACGCATTGCTATATACCCCTTCTGGGTGGCTTTCTGATCTACACGGCAACTTGCGGTGCTTTTGATGTTGAAACGACGGTTTGTGGACCTACATGTGGCGCGACTCTCCGCAACGCGCACGTCGCTCGTGTTGCAAATTCATTGGACTTTTCTTCAAGGCGGACATCTGAGCTCTGATTGTTTTTTGGGGAAAGGAGTTTTTTTGGGAGTTTTGGGAAGTTCTTGGGCGGGTTGTTTTTTTGCGTCCAGATTGAAACTACATAGAGACAGAAGAAAGAGGGATCCGCATGGGAAAGGAAACTTTTTGTATAACGGTGAAGAACACGAAAAGCATCGAGATCATGGACTGGAGAGAGCGACTTTGAGGACGTGGACTCCATTCGTGCAACAAATACTGAAATTCTTCTTGCACGGACTGGTCCTCACTGTGAACGACGTACCCTCTTCGCGAGCGGTTTTTGAAAGGGTAGGGAGAGCAGCAGAAAGAGAGAAAAAGCGAGCTACAGCTTCCCTCTCCAACATTCCAGACTTTTTTCCTCCTCTTCTTGATCCCCCTCCCTCTCCTCAAGTACCTGTCCAGGTAACTGGACACCCACCAGCCAGCAGACTCCACTGACCTTGCGACTCCATCCGGACCTTCTTCAAACACTCACTCACCAACCCGTGCCGTGCCACACAGCGGTGTTCCCCACGCCACACCCTTCCACCTATATAACCAACACGTAGCCCACCCACACTCGACCAGATCGGCTAGTAACCTCCTCTCATGCCTTGCACGAGCTCAACCCGGAAGCGGCACAGGAGCAGCATGAGTGGGTAGGCGATCCTCTTCCTTCCACCTGACACAATCCCCTAAAGGCGGCAGAGAGAGAGATCATAAGGCCCCCTCGGTCCCTCTCGACCCGCTCGATCCGCCCTCTCCACTGTCCGGCCGAGCTTTGCTCGCCTTATCGCCGCGAGCATGAGTGGTCGGCGCCTGGCGGCGCTCCTTGCGGGGACTAAGACTTTCCCGCGAGAGTTATTTCTTTCATTCTCTGCGGCGCGGGTCGGTTGGGCTTCTGGTATTCTGCCTGAGGACGGTTCTGGAGGAGGTCCCATGGAGTTGGGTGGAGACGAACGAGCGAAAAATATACTTGAGATTTGGGCAGTCCTCACTTCTTTCGCCGAAATGATAGATTTGAGGTTCTTGGGATCGACTGCTCGCTGCTTACCGCCACTCTGTAGCTTGTCCGGGATTTCTCTCTTTGTTTCGTTCCGGATGCAGCACCACTCTCAGTTGGATGATACTGAAGGGGCGAGGGAGACGATGAGCACATGCTGTGCTTTGTGCTTAGGCGCGTCTGACCAACACTGCATGCGTCGAGTAACGTCGTTGGCGGGTTTAGGAATAGCCGAGGAAAGATAAACGTGGCTTTCTCTTCTATTCGTTCGTTCGGTCGCTTGCCTCTTTCCTGCGCCCCGCTGGTATTCCTTCCATTGTTACGCGCCTGCTTTCATTTTCTCCAGTAAATTGCCGTCTCAACTCTCATCAAACTTCATACGCCCCCTTGCTCGATCTCCTCCCACCAATTTGAACAATCGCTGCAGTCGCCCAATCACAAGAAAAGAGAGCACGTCCCACCCTCATGAAGAGGCCAAAGGCCACCCGCCGGTCCTCGCATTGGCAATCTCTAGACCCGCATAGGCGTGGAGCTGTTGTGTTCCCCGATGCACGATCGCGATAATAATGTCTCCCCAACTCCTGGTCCATGTCGTACCATGCTTTGATTTGCGGCATATACATACCGATACTTGACAACATTACCTGCAGAACCCTCGCACCTGGCCTCACGCACAGATCGTGATTCTATACTCACTCACTCACACACACATTTGCTTGTTGGAGGCGTAGGAGGTATACTTGAGAGACACTTGACCATGACCGAAAGAAGCTCGATTTGCGTTTCAGGCAGACAGACAGAAAACCTTGCGCACAACCCTCGTTCTCACATGCGGCACGGCGCCTGTCGAAACCTTCATCGCATCGATTCTCGCCGTCGGCCAACAATCTTCCTTGCAGCGGCCAGGGCCGGGGCAGGAGGAAATACTGATGGGCGTCTTGCTTGATGTCCCGTCGTACACCTTACGCTTTTCCTGCACTCAACTCGATTGTCATAGCTTGTTTGGTGAATCGCCGTAGGACATCTGCAAATGATGGTGGTTGGTGCGTTGATTCGTACAACAGCTGGGTCGGGAGTGTTCCTCATCATGGGTGCGGTGGTGGTAGGCGCAGAGCTCGGGCTGTGCACCGCCCGCAGCGACGCCGTATACGTGTGAAGCCGCACGGCGAGACCGGAGGAAGCTCCGATGTGACAGCGAGAGAGAGAGACATGAGTGCAAAACACCTCGTGAAATCCCCACTTGTGTCCAGCGTGTTATTTCCATATCTTACATTATTCATAGATCTCGGAAACACTTGGAAACCATATGCTCTGATGCAGGATGGAGACATAGAAGTCATGGGAGAAGAGTTGCGGTTCTTCTGCTTGGAGTTCAACGGGAGGACTGTAGTGGGGCTTGCACCACATCAGCTCTACATTTGCAAAGGTGTGAGAGAGCTTGAAAAGTTTGAAAGTCATTATGTAAAACATCAGATAATCAAATTTCCTCGTCTGCATCATTCCCGTTTCTCATCGGGAAAAGGAAGACAAGACGAGCGAGCCACAAAATTCGCTGCAAACACTCAAATCTCGCAGAAGGTACAAGACAGAGAACGCCGAGAATGAAAGAGATCCGAAACACTCCACTCCCAACGAGCATAAAGAGGCCGCCAGAAAAAAAAAACAGCCCTAGGAGCATCCAAAGCAGAGAAGAAAAGGGCAAAGCATAATCGTCATCCATGCGGGGGGCCCAAAAAAGATTTCCAAGAACTCCGCCTCAATTGATCCATCAAAACCGTCCAAAATATTACAATCTACTTCTCTCAACCGCAGAAATCGGGCCAGAGATTTCCTCACCTCCCCATCAATCCACCCAACCACCCCTTGCCTCCTCCATTGTTCCCAGAAGCAACGGCAGCAGCAGCGGCAGCGCTCTCGTCGATGCCGAAGAAACGATCGAATCGCTCCTCAAGTCCCGTGCGACGATCATCCCCAGGGAGGGATAGTTTCCCCTTTGCGAGGCGGAAATCGGAATGATGACCGCCAGCTCCTGTAAATTTCTCTTCGCCGCCCTGGGGTTGATTTTGATGTTGAGTGTTGTTAGGGGAGGATGCGTCGGGATACGTCAGAATGGGGGTGGTGGGACGCATGCGGGCCATGAAATCTCGGTTCTGGCTCGAGGGTAATTGGGAAGAGGCGTTGTTGTTCTGCGAGAAGGAGTTGGTTGTGCTCCAGGGACTTGCTTGGCGGGGGAGGGGAGGAACAGGGCGGCGGAAGGGGGCTGCGGAGTTTGCTGGACCAGGTATAGGGGCGGCGGCGGCGCGGTTGAAGAATCCGGAGGTGGAATTGCGAGGTTCGAAGCGCAGGCGGGATTGCTGTTCCTGTTGGCGCTGGATTTGTTCTCGTTGCATGTGGTCTTCCATGGCGGTGAGTTGGCGCGAAATGGTGTCGAGGCCAAGGGGCGGGGCGTTTGTGTGGTTGAAGTAGGTATGTGTTGGCTCGATGTTGGGTCGTTGTTGGGATCCGGGGTTGCGTCGGCGCGTGGAAGATTTCATCATCGGCGCGAAGTCGGTCTCCATAGCGTCTTCATCATCTGAAGAGGCGCCATGTTCGGACTCCTCAGGCGGCGAAAGATAGGGTCGTTGTTGAATAGGACGCGATTTGGCGAGAGACGCCGCAGAAAAGGCGCTTGGTTCGTTGGAACGCAAGAGTCGGAACGGATCTTCCTCGGAAGGTTGGGGATCGTGATGCTCTTCTGATGCTGGACCAGCATATGCACCCAGAACATCCCTCTCCATCGGATTCGGCATAATGTTCCCATTTAATTTCCATTTCACACCTTCAATTCCTGACTGGGCGGCCAACTGCGCAATCGGCAAGAATAGCGCAACGAAAGCGTGAATCACCACGATTTGGGATCTTGTGAGAGTTTCCACAAATTCGGGATCGGACATTTTGTTCCAAGCCACAGCCCTGATTCCCAGCATGATAACTTGGATGGCGAGATAGTTCATCTGGCCTCGAACAGCCTCCATCCTATGAGTGCCGTCGAACCAAAGTTTCAATCCGGTGTTGTATGGTAGTAAGAACAGTGCTGCGACAATGGTGTAGGGAAGGTAAGATCCGAGAAGTTGATGACAAGCCGAATCTGCACGTAGCAGAGTTGCGCGGATTGCGCATACTTGTATCGAAGGATCCGTGGCAAATTCTGTGGGAGTTGTATAAAGGCACCAAAGTCCGTAGAGATGGTATGCGACTTGGGTGTATAGACCAGTATACATGACCAAACCCACAAATCTGAGAGTTACTCTCATGGTCCATTTTTTCCAATCGTCGCGCATGCCCTTTCTCTTCGTAAGCCGACCTCCTCTTGATCTCGTCTCTGCACACAGTTTCGCTGCGTTCTGTGCCATGCCGTAGTAATCTGCCTGGTGAATTTGCTGTTGCGCAAGGGGTGCGCATTTACTACAGATAAGAGGATATCGCTTTTCCAAGTCCGCTTTGAACTGCGGCAATCGCGCTTCGAATTCGCGATATCGAGGATCATCTTCGTCATCGGGTAGGTAGTTGGCGAGAGTTTCGTTATAGAGATGTTGGTTTTGCAGGCATGTTCGACAGAAGACCAGCTTCTTTGGTGGCTGCGACGACTGTTGCTGCTCGTACTCCGGAGACGTCGTCCGTTGTCGCACGGGTGCTATCGCGATTTGTCGTTTGGACGCATTTGATCTTCGTTCGGTCGCTTCAACGAATGAGACTGGAGTGTCGACTACATTTCCCTTGCCGTCTAGAAAGTTGACGGCCTCGCATGCGGTGCACTGATACTGGGTCGTGTTTCGTCGCACCTGCGCTTGTCGCGTATTACAGAAATGGCAGCGGATCGCTCGCGAGAACACCATTTTGGACCAAGACCACGAATTTAGTTTCTGACTCGCGAATATGAGGACAAGGTGAAAAGCAGATGAGCGGGATAAGACACTCTCCTGCATGTACAATTTCCACAACAAAACAGTCGCATCTCCAGATTCTGACGGAGTTAACCGGGGTTGTACAAGGGAGCGGGAAGATCCGTCACCACGTTGCGGCCCAGAAATCCGGAGGAACGAGCGCCAAATCGATGTCATTGGTTGACGGCATGGAGTTTAATGATATGGCATGTAAAGAAGACGATCCACGTACATCTCCGTGGCAGACACATATTTGTTTCCTAAATGCCAGCGAAGTGTGTGCGGAACGCGACATGGATCACGAATGTCACGACCGAATGACAGGAACGATACCTGTCATACACTCAGGTCAAAAGAAAGCAAAAACTCCGAGTTCGACGACGACCGCTCCAGAAATGTGTGCCAGACCCGTGGGATAAAATGGGAGAGTAACAAGAAGATTTCTCGAGGTAACCTAGTACCCGTTACCTTGCGAGGCTGGAAACAATCATTCCAGATTTTCAAACGTATTTCGAAAAGCAAGTAAGGAGGTAGGGAGAGTTGAAGAAAAGTCATTTGCGGTTTATTCGCACCATGAAAAGTAGAAAGCACGTCTTGTCAAGCCACCGAGGACTGCACACGATGGCAGAAGCAAGTGAAGGCTTCGGGATCAAGAAGTCGGTACGAGGGCAGCTTCCTGTGCGTACACACCTATCGAGAGAGAGAAAGAGCCCCGTATTGCACAGAAGAGCTTCCATCGATCCGTACAAGATGGGCGACGGCCTGGACCCAGATCATTCCTTCCTTCGGGGTCTCCGACATGAGCATGTCGTCCTAGATGTGATCATTCGAAAAAGAAACCCACGTGGTTGGTCCAGAGGGAGGAGGAGGAGGCTCTGCAGGTACTGGAGATTGTACGCGCGGTCAATGACGAGAGGGGAACATTTCCCGACGGAAGTCAGATGCAATGGTTGGAACCATCAGCGAACAGGAAGGGACAGATTCGATGGCATGAATGAATGTGTAGTAGATGGTCAATCCGTTTCCGGACTGTTCTCCCGAAGGTATGGTTCGTGGTTTGTCTTTACGCTCTCTATCGTAAGAGGTCGACTTGAAGGGTGGCGTGTTTTCGTTCTACGGCCAGGAGCTAGAAGGATTTGGTACATTTCATGTCGAAAAAGGATTCGGAGTCCGGCGTACAATGAGTGATGATGTGACAGGGAGTGGCGTTCGGAGCGATGACTACAAGTTATTCCATGAGGCGTAGCCCCAGGAGAACACGTGTGCGCGAAGTTGGGAAGTTCCAGCGCCAAATGTGTGGAATTGTAAAAAAAAAAACAAAACACGAGGCCAGTCAGCAGTAGCAGTGATTAGTAGTATTTTAGCAAGAACCAGGCGGATGGTCGTGGCAGAATGGCAAACATGTTCCTCGTTGGTCTGGATCTCTTGCACGTGTATCCATGCTCGAACGTCGCAATTGCGTGCTGCAGGCAGAACAGATCTGATCTTGGAGATGATATTTTTTCGCTCGGGAGGATCGTTCTCCTATTCATTATTACTGGCGAAAGGTTCTTTGTTCGAAGAATCAATTCTGGAAAACGTCAATTTGTGATCTTCTTCGAACCCGTCTCGTACAGATTTACCCCGTCGATGGAGAGTCTCGAACGGTATGTGCTGGTGGTGAATTTATTCGGCCACGTTGCGTGGGGTGTCTGTCCGACGAGATAGACTTTCCCGCCAGAAGCATGTAGCCTCGATCTAACCCAACTTCCACGAAATCAACGACGACGGCCTCACCGATGGGAGGAGAAAAGCAAGTTCACAGAAGAGAGGACTCCACTCGTCGGTTCGATTTCCCAAATCCACATCTTGTCATCAGTCGTTGCATGTGCCATGAACAGAAACCAATACCTCGTCATATAATTTGAGATTTGGTAGATGGATGATGAGATCTGAACCAACGACCTGGACCCGGAGATGGGTGAACGCCAGGCGCGCACGCAATCCCCTCCGGCCGTCGTTCGCTTCACAACATCATCATCAAATCAGCCTCAAGCTGCTACTGCGCGCGCGAACGAGAGAAAAGACAGATCTATCTCTGGAAGAAAAGCCAGCGGCGCGGTCGCATCTACTGCACAGTCTATAGTGGGCGCATCGCCCTCGAATTTTTATTTTTTGGGGCTTTTCTCAATGGGGAACCAGACTGAGCATCGCGCGCTGGCCTCTCGAAGACAAAACACGTGCTGCGCGCCACAAGGATTTTCCTCCCTCTTTCCTTCCGCGATTAAAAGAATTGACGGAACCATGCAGCTGCCGATCTCTCTCACATGCACATTGTCGCAGATTCTAGTAGCTGTCTTGCGCTGTGGCGATATGGTGGTGAAATGGATCTCCTGTGAACGTGGTCGCGCTGGTGTATGCTTATTTCTATTTCCTTTCCCAAGAGTTTCTCGACCGCCATCCGAGTCCATACACGCCGCCAGAGGGAAGAGCCTTACCATAGACATGGCTAGGACATCTGCGGCACAACCCGCACACGAATATGTCCTTTGGCCGCATCTATATCATGATGGACTACTGTAGATGGACTACTGTAGTATGCGTCGACGGTCTGCCAACATTTGGGTATTTTTATCATGCTCTGAGGCGGGAATAATGTCCAGCGGACAGACCGTCGGGAAACATCGATTGGGTCGCTGCATCCGTCGGCGGGTATTGGAACCTAAAAAGCTGGGGGCCCAGTCCTGCAGAGCTCATCGTGGACAATTGCTTGTTTCAAAGGGACACTGTCTCCAGCCATGGTCATTTTACAGTACGGTCCAGAATTATCACGATTTCGAAAGGCGTGGAGGATGATGATCTGGAATTTGTAATATATACCGTGCGCGTGGAAATGTCCCATCTCGTGCGGCGCACAACGATGTGGAATAGTCCATCTCGAGGGTTTGTAGTTCCACCCGCTTCACATCGTCATCACCAAGCAACATACCTAGCTAGGTAGGGAAACAAAGGTTGAAGTCTCCCACGCACGTGTCCCTTCCAAAGCTTATTTAGCTACAACCTCCCAAGTGTCGACAGGATTAAGCGCCACAGGTGGTCTCGACGACACACCAGGGAACTCCCACTATGCCTACTACGCGCTGACGTCCGAGAGAAAAAAGAAAGAAATGTATCCCCGTCTCATCTCAATCCTCTAGCCTCACGATGTAGGCGCACACATGCCGGTTCGCGGCGCACTTTGGCTTTCTGTACACCCATCGGACCAGCAAACCATGCCGCCGTTGGGGGATGGATACGCAGCAGCTGTAGGTCGCACGTCAGACGTTCCTTTTCTTTTGACTTTTTGTCATCATTGGAGGCCTGCCTCACTGCAGAGCGTAGCAGGCGTACCGTGAAACCGACCTGGCCGCTGTGCCATGCGGCGTGAATATATATCGGCCATGATCGTCCGTTTCTGGATCCCGTGAAAACATCACAAACGTTCAGCGGCTCCCAGCAGATCATCAATCGTCGCCATTGCATTCTTCTCCTCTCCCGGCTGGGTCCCCTTTCCACGACCAACCACGTCTTCCAACGGCCGGCTTTCTCATCGTCGCTCCACCTACCTGCCGTGATTGAGAATATCTCCGAGGACTGCTGATCGTGACCTCATCCTCCCTCGCCGTCTTGCTGGCTGTTTTTGCTTCAGACAATATCCCATACTCAAGATGGTCCGATTCAGTCTGGTTGCGCTGCTCGGCGCTGTTGGCATCACCGGTGGTAAGCTTCTCCACCACGCATACAACGTGAATATCACAATGTTTCTGATCATACCATGACAGTCAACGCCGGTGCCCAGATCCCCTCTTTCTCGAAAAACAACAACGCCGGCGTGCCTCTACGAATCATGCCCGTCGGCGCCTCTCAAGTCGCCGGCACTGGCTCCACCGATGGCAACGGTTGGCGACAAAACCTCTACAACCTCCTCACCTACGACGGCAAATCCGTCAGCTACGCCGGCACCCAGAATTTCGGCAAACTGGTCTGGCCACTAAACCTCGTCGAAGCCTACCCAGGCCTCACCATCATCGAGGTCCTCGGTAAACTGCTCAACGACAACGTCCTTTCGCAGCAGAAGCCCAACGTCATCATCGCGACCATCGGCTCCAACAACTGCGTCAAGCGCAGCAAGTCCCCCTACGACGACGGCGTCTCCCAGATGTCCCAGGTTCTCGACCAGATCCGCGACCAGCTCCCCGACACCCTGACCCTCGTCGCGGGCGTCACCCGCTGGCTGAAGGACAACCAGAACGACCCTTGCATCCAGAAGGTCAACGCCGGCATCCAGCAGGCGGTCGCGAATCACCAGGCCTATGGGCAGAAGGTCCAGTTCGTCGATCTGTATGATGTCCTGGACCCCGGGGCGGATTACATCGGTGATGGCCTCCACCCGAATGATGGCGGCTACAAGAAGTTGGCGAAGACTTGGTTTGAGGCGATTTTGGCTTGGCAGGGGGAGATTTCTGCGCCGCGGTAGTCTGGCTTTGTTCTTTTTTTCTCTTTCCCTTCAATTCCAGTTCCCTAGATTTTGAGGGGGGGACTTGGTGTTCTTTTTGACGATTTTGCCGAGGTCTTGTTTGTTTTCCGTGCTTGGGCTTCATTTTCGGGGGTTCTTTTTCTGGGACATAGATTTTCTGGGCGAACTCAGGCGGGGAAACTAGATGCGAGGGACATTCCATATAGATAGATGGCGGGCGGCGGCTCTTCTGGTATTTTCACCATGGGATATCTCCCCTTCGGAATTTTTGGCATCTACGGCACCTACATTTGATATCGAAAATCATGAGCGAGTCTTTCCCGACATAAGTTCTCCTTCATGTTCAAACAGAGATCTTAGTCGATGTGTGTCTCTGGTATCTCATCGACCCAAGCGGATCATTCCACCGCGAACGAAATGCAAGATCAGCTTGGTTCGTAGCTGGGAAGGCGCGGGTCCTGCAGCCGGAACCGGGGGATGCATGTTCAAGAAAAGGAATCTGGCGCGACCAGATATTCGATTCGGTGGCTAGATCTTCGGGATCTTCTCCGATGGGTGACATGAGGCAAACGTATTTAGAAGAAGAGGCCTGTAATGCCCTTGCATCGTTGCATCTTTGCACCTATTGTCTTTTGCGTCCTTCGTTTTCTTAATTGTGCATCGTATCGATGTTGTGAGAGACGTGAATCGGGGCTTCTGCCAGCAATACTGAAATATCCTACACTTCCCTTCTCTAGCGCATTACTGACGCGGGATGAATTCCGCACATCTTCGCTGATTGCAGTGCTAGCGTCGATCGGCGGTTCACTTTCGCCGGGCATCATCGACGATTTGACGATCGGAACTTCTTTCGTCTTTTTGTCTGCTTTTTCGCTTGGTGCTCACAAGACTCTTGTGCTTGTTGTTGCGATCCTTTACTCCGCTGTGGCCAAACGTCGGATTGACACACCACGCGCGACATCGTGGTAGAGCGGTTTTCGCATGGACTCTTGAGCTTTTCCCCGTTGCGCGACCACTTACATAATTTTTCCTTGATCTGCTTGTACGACTTTGCGACATTCCAACAACAACAACCACGGTCCGGCGTCCTACCGGAATTTTCTGCCATCATGGCGGACGCCGATGATATGTTCGATGTCTTCAATGAAGATGGAGCAAAACCGGGCGATGCTGCGAAACGGGATCGAAAGAGCAAGAAGAGGTCGGCGAATGGAGAAGTGAAGCCGAACGTCAGTGAGGATATAGTCGAGGATGCTGTTGAAGAGGTGCCACGGCCGCCAGGAAAGGAGCCGAGTCTACCTGAACAAAAGCGACCGCGACGAGACGGTGAACCGGAACCGGTGGTCACGGACACCTTTGAGACGGAACAATCACGAGAAGTCGCTGCGGCCGCCGGCTTGCAGGCCTCCAAGGACGACAAAGCCGTCATTCTTTCACATCAAGTCCGCCATCAGGTCGCGCTGCCCCCGGACTGCGATTATGTCCCCATCTCCATGCACAAACGACCCGAGAAGCCCGCGCGCGAATGGCCTTTCAAATTGGATCCCTTCCAGGAAGTCTCGATCGCATCGATTGAGCGGAATGAAAGTGTTCTGGTATCGGCCCATACCAGTGCTGGAAAGACCGTGGTCGCCGAGTATGCGATTGCACAATGTCTCAAGAACAACCAACGAGTCATTTACACCAGTCCGATCAAAGCGCTCAGTAATCAAAAATACCGAGAGTTCAACGCCGAGTTTGGAGATGTTGGCCTCATGACCGGAGATGTCACCATCAACCCAACGGCGACTTGTCTCGTCATGACGACGGAAATTTTACGATCTATGTTGTACCGAGGAAGTGAGATTATGCGAGAAGTCGCATGGGTGGTGTTCGACGAGGTCCACTACCTGCGCGAGAAGACTCGAGGTGTGGTTTGGGAGGAGACGATCATCCTCTTGCCGGACAAGGTGCGATACGTCTTTCTCTCGGCCACCATCCCCAATGCCATGCAGTTCGCCGAATGGATCACCAAGACGCATAACCAACCCTGTCACGTGGTGTACACCGATTTCCGACCTACGCCGCTCCAACATTATTTCTTCCCTGCAAATGCCGATGGAATCCATTTGGTCGTCGACGAGAAAGGTGTCTTCCGCGAGGACAACTTCAACAAGGCAATGGCGGCGATTGCGGACAAGGCTGGTGATGATGGCTCCGACCCTCTCGCAAGGCGGAAAGGTAAAGGTAAGGACAAGAAGGTCAACAAGGGAGGCCGGAAGGATGGCCCGAGCGATATTTACAAGATCGTCAAGATGATCATGATGAAGAATTACAACCCCGTCATTGTTTTCTCATTTTCAAAACGAGAGTGTGAGACGTATGCCTTGCAAATGAGTCAGCTGGCCTTTAACGACGAATCGGAAAAGGCGATGGTGGGCAAAGTTTTCGAATCCGCGATTGAGATTCTATCAGATGAAGACAAGGAGCTTCCACAAATCCAACACATCCTCCCTCTACTTCGACGAGGTATCGGCATTCACCATTCCGGTTTACTGCCTATCCTCAAGGAGACCATCGAGATCCTTTTCCAGGAAGGTCTCATCAAGGTTCTTTTCGCGACAGAAACCTTCTCCATCGGTCTGAACATGCCCGCCAAGACGGTCGTCTTCACCTCGGTGCGGAAATTCGACGGCATCGCCATGCGATGGGTGACGCCGAGTGAATTCATTCAAATGTCGGGTCGCGCTGGTCGACGAGGTCTCGATGACCGCGGTATTGTCATCATGATGATCGACGAAGCCATGGAACCTGCCGTCGCCAAAGACATTGTGCGTGGTGAGCAGGATAAGCTGAACAGTGCCTTCCACTTGGGATACAACATGATCTTGAACCTCACGCGAGTCGAGGGCATCAGCCCGGATTTCATGCTGGAAAGATGCTTCTTCCAATTTCAGAATTCATCCTCAGTGTCGAGTCTCGAGGAGAAATTGATGGAGTTGGAGGACCAGCGGTTGAACATGTTCATCCCCAATGAAGAGGAGATCAAAACCTACTACGAACTTCGACAGAATCTCTCGACCTATGGCAAGGAGATGAAGGCGGTCATCACAAATCAGCGATATCTTCTCAAATTCCTCCAATCGGGACGTCTGGTTCGAGTCAAGTATAACGAACACGACTTTGGCTGGGGAGCGGTCGTCAACTTCACCCGCGTCAAGCCGGGCAAAGGACAGACGGAGGAGGATATCCCACCTTCGCAGGCCGTGGTGATCGATGTCATCATGAACGTCGCTGCCGACGCCGTCCCGCCTGTTCAAGGCAAAGCGAGCGGCGATCTCCCTCCTGGCATTCGACCACCGTTATTCGGCGAAAAGGGCAAAATGGAGGTCGTCCCCGTCATGAACGGCACCATCGACTCCATCGGCCACCTCCGAGTCTTCCTCCCGCAAGATCTGCGCACGCCGGAACAACGCAACACGGTGCGCAAAACGCTCGAAGAAATCGCCAAGCGCTTCCCCGACGGCGTCGCCATCCTCGACCCGATCGAGAACATGGGCATCAAAGACGAAGCGTTCAAAAAACTCCTGCGCAAGATTGAAGTCCTCGAACACAAACTCCTCCACCACCCCCTGCATAAATCCCCGGACCTGCCCGCCCTCTACGAGAAATACGCCGCCAAAGTCGCCCTCACCGCCGACCTCAAGCTCGTGCGCAAACAGATCTCCGACGCCCTCAGCGTGCTGCAACTCGACGAGCTCAAAAACCGCAAGCGCGTCCTGCGCCGGCTGGGCTTCGTCAACGACGCCGACGTCGTGCAGCTGAAGGCCCGCGTGGCCTGCGAGATCTCCACTGGCGACGAGCTCGTCCTGTCCGAGCTGCTCTTCAACCGCTTCTTCAACGAGCTCTCCCCCGAGCACTGCGCCGCCGCCCTGTCCTGCTTCATCTTCGAGGAGAAGGCCGAGGACCCCACGGGCATGAAGGAGGACCTGCAGAAGATCTTCCGCGACATCCAGGCCCAGGCGCGCGCTGTCGCCAAGGTCTCGATCGAGAGCAAGGTCGTCGTCAATGAGGAGGAGTATCTCCAGGGCTTCAAACATCAGCTCATGGAGGTCGTCTTGGCGTGGACGCAGGGGGCGAGTTTCGCGGCGATTTGGTATGTCCTCCCTCTCTCTCTCTCTTTTTCTCCCCGTCTTTTCCTTCCCATCTCATCCTCCCCATTCTCTGTCTTCCATTTCTCCCCCCGATCTTCTCCCATCTACTGGTACTGACTTTTCCTTTTCCCATAGCAAAATGACCGAAGTCTACGAAGGGAGTCTCATCCGTCTCTTCCGCCGCCTGGAGGAATTACTCCGACAGATGGCCGAGGCGTCGAAAGTCATGGGCAGCGAGGAACTCAAGGCGAAGTTCGAGATGGCGCTCACCAAGGTCCGCAGGGACATCGTGGCGGCGCAGTCGCTGTATTTGTAAGAAGAGGGATTCCTTGAGAAGTGGAGACGGTGTGGGGGGAGAATGGAATGGCTCATCTCGCTCTTCCTTTTGGGTTTTTCAACGAGAGGCGACGGTGGTGTTTAGTGGAAAATGTAGGAAATGTCATTGCGGAATTGGAAGACTTTCAGTACAACCCAGCCTTCTGCTCTTTCTCGCCCTTTTCCATTCTCTCTCTCTCTCTATCTCACACACACACACACACGCACACAAATGATGGTAGGGCGTGAAAGGGGAGGCTGTGGTCTCTTGCCGAGATGTTGTCGTGCCTATTTCCAAAATTCGCTACAGCTGTATCGTTCAATCCTTATCGTCTGAACAACCAAATCGACCTCCATCTTCCCCGGCCGCAACCCACCCCTCCAAATCTAGAGATGCTGAATTACCAACCCGGAGTCTACCTGCACCGCCTGGCCCGTGATCGAAGTGTTCCTCGCCAGCATGACATACGCCTCCGCGCAATCGCCCAGGTCCGTCTCGCGCTTCAACACCGCCGCCTGTTTGATCGCCTCGATCTTCTCCTCCCCGAATTTCATCCCCCACTCCGTCAGCAGCAGGCCGGGGCAGACCGCGTTCACCCTCACCTTGCCCTCGGCCCCGCCCTGCGTGTTCGCCAGGCATTTCATCAGATGCAACTGCGCGGCCTTGGTCACCGAATACGCCATGCTGCTGCCCTGCAGCGCCCGGCCCGCGATGCTGCTCGTCATGATGAAACAGCCCCCGTCGGGGTTCCTCTCGAAGATGGGCATCGCGGCCGCGAGCAGCGCGTGGTTGCCCTTCACGTTGACCGCGAAACAGCGGTCCCAGTCGTCGTAGCTCAGCGCGGACAGATCGCCGAAGGGCAGGCTGGTGTGTTTCGTCCAGCCCGCGTTGCCGATGATGATGTCGAGCCCGCCGAGGCCCTCCACGGTCTGGGCGATGCAGGCCTGCATGTCGAGCGGGGACCCGCCGTCGCCGCGCAGCGTGATGGCGCGGATCGCGTGCGCGCCCGAGAGCCGTGTCGCGAGGGCCTCGGCGGTGTCCCGGTCCGAGAGGTAGTTGATCGCGAGATTGCACCCTTCGAGCGCGAACTTGAGGGCGATCTCGGCGCCGAGACCTCTGAGAGAAAAAGGGTGATTCCGTCAATGAGGGATCTTCTGGAGTTGATGGAGATGTGTGGTGAGAGGGATGGTGTTTTTTTATAGTTGGCATGATGCTCGACGATGGCCGGTGGGAGGGTTCTTTTCTTACTTGCTGCCTCCGGTGATGAGGACGTTGCGTCCTTTGAGAGAGTAAGGCATCCCGAGGTGATTTTCTTGTTTCACGGGTGACGGATTGACTTCCAATATCCCTCTGTCTATGGCGCGTTCTGATATCGTGGTTTTACCCTCAGTCAGGAGTCGAGATGGAAACAGATCAGAACATCTGGGTTCCGGCTTATAACTTACGGGAAGGTCCTCACGACGATCTTTCTTGGTGGTCGTGCCTTGTCGATGATTGTTAAACCAGGTGTTCATTCAGAGGAGATGTGTAAAATCTAGCAAAAGACTCGCTACGATTCATGATAAAAACCGGAGCCCGGTCCCGCCCATCACGATCACTGTCGTCGTCGCCGACGTCGTCACAATTGCGGGGCGTTGTCGTCGTCTCCCCGCGAAACCCTACCTGTCACGGTTCTGTTGTTGATGATCATTGTCGTGGTTCGCAATGGATGATCTTCAGGTGACAAAAGCGCATCGGTTTCGTCTGGTCTTTTGTGGGACGGTATTTTTCCTGCCAAGGTGGTGATTCTTTCCAGCTCAACACCACCACCACCACCATCACCATCACCACTATCACCAGATTATATGTATCCCGCCATGGCCCTGCTCTCGCGAACAACTCTGATCGCAGGCATGCCCATGGACATGTCTTGTCCTCTTTCTCAGCCAACCAACCAACTCCTTGTCTGCCCTAGTCGTCGCAAAGTGAACCGCACTCTTCTTATCAATATCTCATCAATATCTCATCAATATCTCATCAATATCTCATCAATATCTCATCAATATCGCATCAATATCGCATCAATATCTCGTTAACATCTCATCAATATTCTCATCAATGTTCTTATCAGCATTATCATCAACATTCTCATCAATGTTCTCATCAATGTTCCCATCAATGTCCGGTAGAGTAGTCGGTCCCTTTCGGCCCTTTCGGCGCCTTGGATGGTCAAAGATTTATATTATTATTTATATGAGAGACGCGTGTTCACTGGCGGAGATTCCTAACCCAATATTAGTCTCGTAATATCGACCTCGAACAACCTTGGAATGGAGGGATTTCCCCTTGAAAAGGAGGGATTTCCCTCGTAATTGCTCCTTATTTCATTTTTTGTTTAATTATTTCTTTGTTGTAGCGGAGAGAAAGAGGGCGCTACGATGGAGAGAAATGTAAGTCCTGCTCTACCTAGTATGTATGGGTGGGGGCGCAGTTCTGACACATGCCGAGAGTGTGATGGATGGACAAGGATTATTTATTCATTTGTTACTGTTGTTGTTATTATCCATGGATTATATGCTATTTCCATCTCGTCTCTCAAGGATGACCTCGGGAAGAGATATATGTAGGCACAGTAGTAATATAACAATATAATCATGTAATGTATCAGCCTTTCCGTCCCTTCTGACTCAACCATCACCGGCGTCTCTCTTCTTCTCCCCTCGCCGCCGACTCCCATTGGATTCGTCCCCTTATTATTATTATTATTGTTATTACACTACCTTACACATCTGTGCGCTCGTGCACGAGATCCACGACACCAACACCGACAACGACAACGACAACGGCGATCGTCCACTACATATAACAACAACAAATCATTCCTTCACGGACGGCAAGGACAAACAATAGCTCAACGGCGCGGCAGAGAAGAGGGAAACTGTCCTGTACTGTGCATACAACAACATACACGACTAGGAAAGCCAGCCCGCCCGTCCGCCCCTGGATCGTCGTGCAATCCATCCATTCCCCATTCCCCATTCCTTCGTCCCGCCGCGAAACCCGTCGGGCGGGTGGTGATGGTGGGGATCTTCATCAATTATTCGTACTGTGTGTGGTGTGTATGTACACCGGCTGGCGGTTGCGCGCGCGCGCGTGAGGGTTGACTGCATTTCCTTCGTTTGGCTGTCTCGATTGGTGCCAGTCCACTTCCAACCATGCCGCCATTCACCTCCTTCTCCTCCATCGTCACCGCCAATGGGCATCACTCATCAAACGTCTCCACGGGCATGACCAGTGCCTCGACCCCATCACTGCTCTCGCCCACCTCTCCACCGCCGCCGTCGCATTCTCCGCCGTCCATCCCTCTCCCGCCAACGACCCCGTCGCCGTCCTCCTCCGTCTTTGCTCGACTCACCGGACGGAGACACCCCAATCCCACCTCACCGCCTCCGCCGTTGCCGACCTCGTATCCTCGACCCTCCACCGCCCACGACCCCGCCGGAGGAGAAGAAGAAGAAGACGAAGACGCCGCGCCTCCTTCGTTCCTCATCCGTCACGAAGATCGGACCTCCACCTCCTCTTCCACTTCCACCGCCAAGGAAAAATCACGACGCTTCGGCAGCGGACATCATCGTCGGGAGAGTAGTCTGTTGAGCCTCACCAATTCCGTCACCGACTTGACTCGGTCCGTATCCTTGCGCTCGCATCGCACCTCATCCTCTTCCGCCGGCCGCGGCTCTCGGCACTTATCATCCGCCGGGAACCTTCTGTCGTCCTTCTCCTCCTCGACCAGCAACACCACCACCTCTCCGGTTGAATCGTCCGAAGAGCCTCACTTTGCCGCTCTGAATAAACGATCCCAAACCGCGACGACACCATCTCATACAAGAGCAAAGCCTTCGTTGTCGGTTCGGACATTGACCCACAAGTTCAAGTCGTCCGACGCTCTCAACTCCTTCACCACGGTCGAGCGACCGACGACGAACGGACACAGCCACGAGCGCAAGCTATCGGCGGCGGCGCTGCTCCCGCCGCGACTGACCTCCGCATCCATGTTGGCCAACCTCCACGCCAACCCTGCACAGTCCACGCGACCTCCCCTCCCGACGCAGATGAGTTCCTATGGCATGCGCGAAATGTCTTCCATCCCGAGTGTCCCCGCCTTACAGCGCTCCACCACCGCGAACAGCACCGCCAGCGGGGCCCCGGCGCCGTTGAGCATCTACCAACAGATCCAAGAGACGGCTGCGAAGAGATGTGCGACGATAGAATACCTGCGGCAGGTCCATGAAGGGGACGTCTTCTACTTCGGCATGTACCACTACTCGGCAGGATCACTCTCCCACATCCCTTCCCTCCAACCGCACAAACTCGGCCGACGCGCCACCAACTACTTCATCCTGGGGTACAGCCTGCCCGCCATCCTCGACCAGAACTCCAACTCCCCGCTGGAATACCTCCGCGCCCTGGCCCTCCTCCTCCAGGAATTCGAAACCTACCAGTCCCTCTCCGGATATGACTCCAGCGGGAGCAGTCTCAGCCGCGGCCGCGTCGCCGGCATGCTCAAGAGCGGCATGAGCCTCGGCAACCGCAGCGGGCGCGGCCGCCGCTCCAGCACCGCCGAAAGCCTCGCCATGTCGCACCACCACCACAACGATCCCCGCAACAGCAACAGCACGACGACCTCCAACGGCACGACGACCTCCTCCTCCACCACGCCCATCCTCCCCTCCTCCGCCACCACCAGCGCCAGCACCGCCAACCCCTTCTTCTCCACCGCCACCGCCAACCCCGACGGGGCCCCCTCCAGCGCGATCGACACGTCCGAGTTCGGCATCCTCTCGTCCCCGCACCCGCACCACCACCACGCCGACCTGACCTCGCCCATCGTCCCCACGGGCCTCGACTTCTCCCACCTGCTCACCCCGCACCTGCCCTTCGAGCCCGACTTCCCCACCACCCTCGCCGCCCTCTGCGACACCCTCCGCGACGTCTACACGCGCCTCGCCGACCTCGTCGCCGCCCACGGCGCCGCCCTGCAACAGAACCTCTCGATCGCGGCGGAACACTCCTCCTCCGCGTCTCCTTCAGGGGGAGGCGCGGCCGCGGCATCCCCCCCGGAATCCGGCGCCGGGGGCGGTCCGCCCAACGGTTCCAGTGCAGCGGCGGCACAAGCAGCACAGGCCAACGCGAACGCGCTCCTCGCCGAGGGCCCGCTCATCGCCGAGGCCTTCGCCAAGGCGGACAAGGCGCTGCGGAAAATCTTCGCCGCCAACAGCGTGCGCGAGTTCGAGGAGGCCAGCCGCGCCGGCGTCCGCACCGAGGTCGCCGGCCTGGGCAAGCTGATCCTCGGCGGCCTGATGTAGACGGAACGTGATGTGATGGCATCGGGAAACCGGGGAGGAGATGTGGATTTGGGGATTGCGATGGAGGAGGGAGGGAGAAGAGAGAGAGAGAGACTACAAGGGAGAGTACCAGAGGAGAGAGGATAGAAAAGAGCGATCGAAGCTAGAGGAAGAGGAAAGACGAGACGAGAGGAACGCTGTACGATTTTCACGATTCACGCAGAGGGATATGCTTGCTTGCTTGCTTGCTCGTTCACTCACTGCCGGAGACAGACCCCATGATACCCCCCTATACTTTTATACTTCTTTTCTGCAATTCGGATTCTATCGTTTTTATCTGACGATTGTTACCATGAAAAGTTTCTCGTTCTTTGTCTTTGTCTTTGTCTTGTCTTTGTCTTTGTCTTGTCTTTGTCTTGTCTTGGATTTTTGGGGGGTTTTCTTCGTGTGGAGAGAAGGAGAAGAAGAAGAAGAAGAAGAAGTAGTATCATGGCCGTTTTGTCTTCCATATACTGGTCGTTGTTACAGTACAGACTCCTCCTCCTGGTTTTGTTTTCTTTTTTCTTTTTTCTTGTTGTTGTCGTTGTTGTTTCCATGCTCTTCACCTCTTCTAACGACCAATTTCCCTTCCCTTCATCGCATAATGCATAGAGGGGGGAGGGGGGATGCTCCCTGGTGGAAAGAAAAGCAATCGGAAATTTATGTAATATCGATGTGTATATACCGAGGGTTAAAACATATAGTGCAGTATATCCGTTCGTTCGGACCCGTGTCGTCGTCGTGAGATCATCATGAGAGTAAGAAAGTACTGGATAGTCGTCAGGATTTCTATCTCTCACAGCGCGAAAAGAAAAAAGAAAGAACAAGCGAGGAGAAACGGAAAAAGAAAATCCTATATAAGGCTAGACGGGCGATGCAAAAACAACAACAACAATAATAATAACAATGATGATAAATGAGCTACAGAATCAGAAAACGAGGCTTCCGACAAGAAAACAAAGAAGAGAACCCTTCCTATCAAACAGAAAAATCATCGATACTGCCCATCGCAACACCAGCAGCAGCAGGAAGCGGGGGAAACGAGGCCCTCTCGGTTCAGCTTCCTTCCTCCTCCCTTTCTTTCCCGATCGCCTTCCTCTCTCTCTCTCTCTCTTCCAATATCCTAACCATCCTACTAGTTACTTCCAATGGTATATCTAGGATGCTGCTCATCCCGACCACGCTCCTGACGCTCCGATGACAAGGATTTTCAAAATGAGGGAGGGGGGAGACAAAAATCGAATTTCGTTTGACTCGATTCTCTCGCTCATTATGCGATGCGGCTTCGGGAACGTTGTGCTCTCTTCCCTTTCACCCGGGTTCTGCTACAGGTAGCGGCAACGATGATTCTGCACGTAGGTGAGCCGTGGAGAAACTGGTCTGTGTATTCCATTTTTTCTCTTCGATGCACAAAATGCGCCGCTTTCACATGGACCTGTTTGATGAGATGGCTTCTCACGGCGATGGTGATGGTCGAGGTCGTGGTGGGTTGCTGGTGTCACGTCTCTTTGCTCGTTCTGACCATCTTGCGTATTAGCCCTTGCGCTATTGTAGTGGGTGAATCGACAACCCTGCGATGTTGTCAGGAGCACCCATGGCGGAGGCCATGACTGCAGGTGTGATGTTCACGTTCTCTTTCTTTGTGAGACAATTCTCGGCGGTTGACTCGTCCCTCCGAAATTATGGCTTGAACTTGAGCTCAGATACTAGTATCTCAAGTTCAAGTATTCAGCTGAGATGTCGAGCATATATATACAAAAGTGGACACGGCGAAAAGAATATAAGATAGCAATTGCTGTTCTCTTTCTAGGCCGGGGTACTGCGCAGCTTTTCAAGCATTGTCGACACTGCGACCAGGAGATGGTTCGCAAAAGCAGCAGCAGGCGGAGCACCGACATGACTCATCTGGCTAACGATGGCCACGATATGCCTCAGCTTTCGAGCGATGAGATCATAAGCGAGCATCGTGCTTTGTCGAGGATTCAATTCCATATTTCCCATGAACATCGGAGATGGAATGCAGACGATATTGCTCGGTCCGAGGGATGTCTCGAGGGAGAGACGCGCGGGAAAGGGCGTATGAGCGAGGAGGGCGGATTTCAGAAGGAGTGTCATCTGATGACATGTGGTGAGGAGGATGTCGCTGTTTCGAATCACACATGATGCGCATGTGTCCGTGTTCGCGGCGAGATGGAGCAGTTCCTCGCATGCGGGGAGAATCGCTTCGAAGCTGACATGGGTCATGCTGAAGACTAGAGCCTTGATGCTCTCGGCGTCGGCCAGGCATGGGCACTTTTTGGTGCTGGAATGAGACATGACGACAGATGGCGTGTCCGGTACGGCTGTTTCGGCATTCGATGTTGCTTTTGGCAATGAAAGAGAAAAGCCGGTTCTTCTCCGCCAACGAGTAGACTTTGTTGTTTTTCAAGAGCTGTAGTGCGGAGGAATGCCGCCACTTCGTGTAGGATCTTGCTGCGATGGTGTTTGGTCACGCGCCAAAGTTTCAGATCGTAGGAATCTCGCGTGCGTTTGGTTGCATAGATAGTGGCAGCCTTGTAAAGTCTTCTCGACCCGATACATCACTAGCGAGGTGAGGTCCGGGGTTGACGAAGTGGTGTCGTTGGATCGTTGGTGAACAAAGACGATTGGTCGATTTCAGTAGTCACGCATGCAAAGACCCCAGTTGGAGGGAATTGATAATTAGTCGACCAGAACCACGTATACAAATAATGATTCAAGTCTCAGTGGTGTGGACCCACCAAGCCATGCGAGTAAGATTGAGCAGCATGTCACTACGACAATGGTGTGAACGTATGGCACGATGAGGACTAGCCATGTTGCCCCGAAGTTAAGCAGATTGCGGAGTAGATGATGACAGTGATGACTCCCAAAGTGGCAAGTTCAGACAGTAGCTCGATCACTTGCATATGACACTGCCCCGAGTGAGTCTGGCCTTGACGGAGTACTGGCTGTCAGTACAGACTCCAGCATGGGGCCAGTTTGGATCTTCATCGGAAATCCCCATGGAGTAGTCGAGCCGCGGACAGCCACAACGATGCAAGCGTCGAAGAAACCGATCGTACTCCAAGCGGTTTTGTCATATGACCGCGTCTTGCTACTTGTCAGGGCTCATCTTTGCTGCAGGTTCATCCCGTACACAACCAATGAAATGCATCTTTATGACCCATGTTGGGTAGACGGGTCGCGAAAGTCTGCCGTTCTTGTGAGTAGTCGCAACAATCCCATCCGTCGAAAGCCGCGGCTGCATCAATGTCATTGAGCGAGCGTCCCAGCAGACCCCCTGTAGTAAAGCTCTAGCAGATTCAGAAAGCTTGTGCCGACTGTGGTGCGGCAAAAGCGTGTGCAGTAGCCGCTATTCGATTGTGCTCCGCGCCACGAGCGATTTGCAATCCGATTATGGGGTCGATTCCCGAAACAAGGGACTGGGCCCCGTCATAAACCTGTTCGCACGCGGAGTTAAGAGCTTCATGAATACGAAAGTGAAGCTTTGGCGTTTACCGATCACATGTCCAGCCGCAACATGCACATGCCGAAGATCTCTCTGTAATCTTTCGAAAGTGTGTCTCGCCGCGTCAGCGATGGCCGAGAAAAAATTCTTGCTTCTCAGAAGCAACATGCTTCCATCCTGAGGTGGCGAAGCGACATACCTGCAGGTGCTGATTGCCCACTCAGGGTCCGCGCATAGCCTTGACGCCACCGATCTGCAGGGTCGTTCGCAAGTGCAGACATGTGAGGTCACGGTAGCTGGGGAAGTCGTCAGCAGGTAAAAAACATATCCGAGTAGATCGTTGGCTTTCTGGGAAAGCGACGTCTGTATCGAATTGTGTCCGAAATAATCAATAGAAGTGAGTAGTCCCCCAGATCTTTGTGTGCTGGCGTAGAAGACGTATGGGACACCCTGAGGTGGGTGGAAATTTCCGACAAGTCGCACGAAAAGGGACACTATGCATCGAAATTGAAATCATCCCCCAGATCTCCCAGATCAAAGTCCGCAAAGATGTCCTCTTCGGCCGTGTTCGTCAAGTCAGCCTGCTGAGCTGTATTCCCGCCAAGGCCGACATCACCAAAGATTTGTGTATGATCCATATCCATGGAATCAGCCTGTACCGCCGCGAGATCACTCAGCTGTTGAGCAGTCTGCTCAGACAGACCAAGCTGCTGTTGATGATGATCAAGCGCCGCCAGGCCAGAGACCGCGGTGGGGTCCAAGGTTACACTGTTCACCGCTGCGGCAACGGCAAGATCATCGGCCATATCCAAACCGAGATCCTGCATGATCTGGTTCGTGACCACGGGCTCTGCTAGGGACATCGTGAGAGCAGCAGGTGGCACCTGGACCACGGCGAGCTGACTTTGTATTTGCCTTGCTAAGAGCACTAGGACTTCTGCTTCTGCTTGAGGCCGGTCGAGAAGTCCTTGAACGTTGGCTGCGCGCAACTGGATGACATTGCGCAATTTCGTTGTCGCCCCCAGGGTCCGTGAGAATTGCGCAGGGTCTGATTGGATCGATGGAGGAGCGCATGCAATGGCTGTACATACGTCAATTGCAAGAGAGAGCTGTGACGGCGGAAGACTCTGCAAATGCTGCAGAATTGCATCGAGGAGGATATCTCCGTCGAGGATTTGTACAGCCGTTGTGAATTGCTTGTACCCAAAGACAGGCGCAGTAATGGTAAAGTCTGAAGGATTCATCGACCATTGCATGAGACCTTCAATGCTCGCAGTGACGTATTGATCAAGCTTTCCTCCGTATGACATGAGTGTCTCGAGCTGGCTCTTGTTGCAGTAGAAGTTCCTTTGCAACGGCTTTGCCCTGGCTAAGCCCTTCTCAAGCAGAGCGATCAATTCCAAAGCTTTCTTGTTTTCAGGCTTCTTGCCGCGGAAAACACTGAGCGACTCAAGCAAAGGATCGGCGACCATAGCAATGATGGCTCGATGCATGCTCTGTACTTCCGGCGAGGTGCTCAACGGTTTGAGTAGTTTGTCTAATATTTGCAGCAGAATCGAAGCATCATTATGATCCTCCCAGGAATGTTTCGCAAGCCATCCCAGACCCATGATAAGCGATGGAAGTAGAAAAGGCTCAAGAAGAAGCTCTAATCCGCCTTGAAGGGTTTTCATGCTCAGCGCGCCTGTCCGGCATGCAAGAACGCTCTGTTCGAAAAGTGTAGGCACGAGCGTGTAGAATGCGGTTGGCGAGCAGAATCTCATGACCTCATCGGGAATGCCGCTAGCTTCACCAGATTCATCCAGTGCGAACAAGCTCTCGATCCATTTGCCAAGGTAATTCTTTTGCTCGTCACTCAAACCAGGTCCTGCATGCCCAAAGGCAGTCTCGTCCGTGAGAGAGGCCACGAAAGTTGATGGCAAGAGGCCCAGGTCCGATTCTTTCAGATCAAACCGATGGATCGCCGCCAGCGTGAACAACAAGATAGCTGCAAACTCTTCATACGATGGTGTGAATTCTGATTGATCTTGATCGTGGATCCATTCATTGAGCACCGCACACAAGGGTAACAGCAGGGTTGAAGGCTGCGTATATTGCATGATTATGTCGGTAGACGGCATTCTCTTGAGCAGTTCGCTGCACACAGTCTTCAGCGCCATTGTATCTTTGGCCATGCAAAGATTCGAAACCATCGTGACCACACAGCCTGCAATCGCTGCAGCATTACCTTGCATGGCGTCCAAGTCTTCAATGAGGGGTTCTAGCCGGCCGATATCATGGCTGCACTGCGCCACAAGAGTCTCTTTCACGTGCTTTGTTATGCGAGGCAACGCGATGGGTCCATTCAGCACAGTCGCGATGCCATTCTCTGTGACCAAGCCATGCAATGCACAAGCTTGAAAGAATTCCAGACGAGTTGCTTTGAGTGTTTCGTTCATATCGGTGGCGCCGGCCGAGATTGGAGGTAATGGATCCATGGAGATTGTGCCTCCCGCCATGAATGGCATTTGTATGAATGTTTCGGCCGTCATCGGAGGCAGAATAGAATGAGACAGCATGACAAGCAAGATCGGGATCTTATTGCAAATGAAGGAGCGTATGATCTTCACGTTTTGTCGAGATTCTTTTCTCAGCATGGCGTTGGTCAGAACATCGAATGAAGTGGTCAATAGGGACACAATGAGTGACTGGACATCATCAGGAAATCGAGCCTGGATATAACTCAGAATTGCCAAATCATCCGTGAAAGGGCGAGCAGCCAGAGCAGAATCCAACCAAACAAAGAGACCGCCCCTGCCGTGCAGCATAGGCACATCAGGGATCATGCCTAGGATCTGGCGGTCGGTAAAGATGGGATTTCCATTTCTATCCAGCTGGATGAACGGAGATTGGCCGGTCAGTGCGCTCAGCACGCCTGCACATTGCGATTGTATCCATTGTAGGATGGTTGTGTCGTAATTCTCCATCACCAGCACGAGGGGGGAGCGGATCTGCTCCCAGCAATCTTGCTTTGTGAGGGAACGTAGCAAGGCATTTCGAAGAACAACGATCGCCAGTTGACCCAATGCTTCATATGTAGCAGCTGTGAAAGAATCAGCTGTATGTAGGCCGGCCTGTGCAACTTGGTTGCCAATTTCGACTTCGCAGACGACGTGCAGCCATTGTTGGACAGCTTGCACAAGCTCCAGTGCTTTCCATGTCGACTGGGGAATCTCCGTCATGTGGAACTTGGTCAACGAAGTAAAGACACGTTCCTCGAATGACGGGAACCCCAGCTGCGTGTTCGTTTCTCTATGGCCTTGCAAGGGTCGTGCGAAGCTGGAGTGCCTCAGAAGCACCTGAAGAAGACTGTGAGATTCGACGTAGCCTGCCTTGAGCAGACTATCAATGTACCTGGGCAGCAACGAGTCATCGGTTCCCACGCCTGACGTCTTTCGTAGATGGATCAGAATTCGTGCAATACCATCGGAGTGAGCTCGATGTTGTAAATTGGTCTCCTTTGCCAGCATTTTCAATTGCGGTGGGCGCAACCGACGCGCAAGAGAGTCCTTGATTAGTGCTTGCCATGATCGAGGGCCGTTTGTCTTCACTATTGGTGCCGACAGTGAACTACGTCTCTCTGTCTTGATGCCGAGATCCATATTGGGCATGATATTGAAGAACCGGCCACATCTACTCTCATCAAACCCCTTGACTGAGTCAGCGTGGCTCGTATACAGAAACGAAGATCATGGATCGGCGGGTGTTCACCGGAAGATAGTGTCTCACCTCGACAGATCGACAGATAATAATTCCAGTTCACGGCCGCGTCCTTCGGAAAGTCATGTCCGAGCGTAGTCGTGTGTCGCGTTACATCATAGCGAGGGGACGGGCCGTTTCGCGATTTGCTTCCGCCGATGTCCTGCCAGACTGCGATGGACAAGCCCTACTCCGCGACAAAGGCAGATTACATTTCGTGCCGGGTGAACCCCACCATCGGCCCACGCCCTGCGCCCTACAGTATGTCGTTAAGTGGATGATTTCATTGGTGGTCGCACGACCACCGGCTGTGCTTGCGACAATTTATTTGAACGCTTTTCCATTCGAGATTTGAATACACCTACTCCTTCAACACATACACACCATGACAGCAGTCAACAACAACGACGATCCACAGGGTCCGAATGCTGGAAGCGCCGCCGATATTGCCTCCAAGCAAGACCAATCAAGTACAAACAACGGCGCCAATGGCGATGTAGAAGATGGCGACTCTGACGATGACGAGGCCGATGGTGCGGACGAAGGAGCTCAAGGAGGTCCTGGAGATGGTACCGCCAAGAAAAAGAAGAAGAGAAAGCCGAGAAAGAAGAAGAAGGCCGGGACCGGCGCAGCTGGAGGTGGAGCGCGTGCGCAGACCAGCCCACCTACCATCAAAGTCTCAGATCTATTTCCCAACAACTCATATCCCGTCGGAGAAGAGGTCGAGTATAAAAACGAAAATGCATACCGCACGACGAGCGAGGAGAAGAGGCACCTGGATCGCATGAACCAGGACTTCTTGACCGAGTATCGTCAGGCGGCAGAGGTGCATCGACAAGTGCGGAAACATGCCAAGTCGGTGATCAAGCCTGGAATGAGCTTGACGGAAATTGCAGAGATCATCGAAAATGGCACGAGACATCTCACAGGACACATGGGTCTGGAGGAAGGTGACAACATTCTGGGAGGCGTCGCTTTCCCTACTGGTCTCAGCTTGAACCACTGTGCTGCACACTACACCCCGAACGCCGGCAACAAGATGATCCTCAAGCACGAAGATGTCATGAAGGTTGACTTTGGTGTCCATCTCAACGGTCGCATTGTCGACAGTGCCTTTACCATCGCATTCGATCCGCAGTACGACAACCTGCTCGCATCTGTCAAGGACGCCACCAACACCGGTATCCGCCTCTCTGGCATCGACGCTCGATTCAGTGAGATCGGTGAAGGCATCCAGGAAGCTATGGAGTCCTACGAGGTCGAGATCAACGGGACTACATACCCCATCAAGGCCATCCGTAACTTGAATGGCCACACAATCAGCCAGTATAGTATCCACGGTGGCAGCACTGGTAAATCTGTACCCATCGTCAAGGGCGGCAGCAACGAGAAGATGGAGGAAGGCGAAACCTATGCCATTGAGACTTTCGGCAGCACCGGCAAGGGTGTCGTCCGCGATGACATGGAGACCTCTCACTACGCCAAGATTGCCGACGCACCCAAGGTTGCGCTCCGCGTGGCCTCGGCCAAGACTCTCCTGCGCAGCATTGAGAAGAACTTTGGTACCCTGCCATTCTGCCGACGATACCTCGACCGTCTCGGCCATGACAAGTATCTTTTGGGCCTGAACAATCTGGTCCAGTCCGGAATTGTGCAAGATTATCCTCCTTTGTGCGATATCAAGGGAAGCTACACTGCTCAGTATGAGCATACGATTCTGCTGCGACCTAATGTGAAGGAGGTCATCAGCCGTGGCGACGACTATTGATGAAATGTATGAAATGGGCGAGGTATTCCCTCGAAAAAGCACGGATGTCGAAGGTGGCACCCGATACGGCGTTCTTATGTAGCTGAACTTCAAAATGGAACAAACAACATTGGTATCCCAATTGAGCCACAGCATCTTCGCTCCACATGTCACCAAGCGTTCAATGTGAACTACCAAGGGATGTGCTCTTGTGACAATGGCCTCTCCAGTGGAGAGAAAGGATGCATGATTTCGACCGAAGAAACATTAGGGTTGAAATTCTGGGCTTATGTAACATCGCAATCTGAATTCGACTTCATGTCCAGGTGGTCAACTGTGCTGACATTGGATCCGGAATATCGCCGGGAAACTTCCCCCAAACGACGTCCAGCGAACAATCCTTTCGATTACGTTCATAGCGAGTGAGGGTTTCCTTTTCGCCAATGGCATATAATTAAGAAGATAAATCCCAAGCCTCGCTACGAATAGGCATCCTGTCCTGCTACACAACATCACACCCAGCACAATGGAGTGGTCAACGTGAGCATCTTGTACCCCTTCGCCATGTGACGAGCGACAGCTAATGATCTCCAAACAGCATACAAAGTCTTCTGCTCTTCGTCGCGCCGCTCCTTCTCCCTCGCGCTCTCGCGATAATCCGGTCTCTGCGCAACCCGAGGCCGAATCCACGTGGTCCACCTCCAGCCAAGCCTTTACCTCGAGTCACGTCTCTGACCTTACTCCTACTGCTGCTTTCCGCCTCCGCCTTCTTCCTCTCAACATTGCCGACGCTTCACCCAGAGAACATCTTCCGATTGACCCACTCCCGCCTCCAAACCTCATCCGGCGTCCTCCAAACCCGACTCGCGGCCCTACGCGCCCTGACCCCCGACGACCACGCCCTCCGCCGAATCTTCGACTCCACCCCCAAGATCGACCCGCGGCTTCTCTACGCACAATTCGGACCTCGAGACCTCATCGACGCCTTCCCTCTCCTCATCACCCAGACCCCCAACGGCGAAACCCTCGCTCGGGATGCCGGCACCACCCTCCTCTACTTCGCCCTCCCATCCCATCTCCTCCCGCACATCGCCCACCTCCTCGTGATCGGGATCGCCACCTCGACCACCCTCGCCGGCAGCGCCGCCGCCCGCTGGCGTTCCGCCGCCATCATCGCCAGCCTGACCCTCTGCGCCGCCGAGATCTACCTCCTGGCGACCTACGACGACGGCGCGAACCGCACCGCCACACGGATCAGCGAGACGGACTTTCTGCACTGGAAACTGCTGCTGGGACGGGGTCTCGGCGGGACGGCCATCGACGCGCTGCTCGGCTGGGCGATCTACGCGGGGACCACCGGCCGCGGAGGACCGGACTTCCTGACCTCGCTCGCGCGGACGCCCGAGTCGCCCGAGGCGCGGCTCGCGCAGCACGGCGCGCAGCTGGAGAACGCCCTGCGGAAGATTCAGGGCCTGGGCGTGCTCCGGAACGCGCTCGTGCGCGACCCCCCCGCGAGGGAGAGGAGCGAGAGGTATTGGGTGCAGGAGGGCGAGGTCATGAAGGACGTGTTCGAGACGCGGGAGGTGGTGGAGGCGTTGAGGGGTGCGCTGGGCAGGACGGATGTCGCGAGGGTGGGCCGCGATGCGGATGAGTTTGTGGATGGGGTTCTGGCGCCGATGAGGCGGTGATTTTTGAGCTGATGTCGTTGTCCTTTCTCTCTCTCTAGACACGCTACAGTCCGTTTTGCCTATTTCGGAAGATAGATAGAGCATAGCCATCACCATTATCACATATACGATATCGACGAAAGCGTCCATCGCGGAGCCCTGAAATCCCAGACACTGTGGCATATGGTCACGATATGACTGTTGTAAAGGTCGGAGGCGACCTGTACATCACGATCGATGATCTCTCTCCTGTGAAACAATCCCCGGAAGACCTCCAATCTGAATGTATTCCGGAACGGCCTGGACCGAAACGACAAGGGGAGAAAAAAAGATCCCCGAGATGCGACACGCGATGCGAACGCCTACCTTTTCACCTTGGGAAAACTCCACCGCACTGTACTGGATCTCCAATCCGAAATGGATCGCTCTGGAACATGTATATATATGTCTGATTTCGATCGGCGAGGTGTTTTATTTTTTGCGAAAGCACACGAGCGAACGAGGAAGCCAGACACCGCTTGGTCTTGGAGATCTTTTCAACGGCGATGCGCAAAATACGCGGGTGGGCAATTTGTCGCCTTGGACTGTACCTTGGTATGTATAAATAGATATGCCTCGCAGATATGTATATCTACGCGTGCAGTAATTGTAGGAAATGCCTGCGTGGGAGCGAGTCTCGTGTGAGAATGACAATCTACTACAGTACCATGCAGCGCCCGATCCGATGAGCGGGTTGATTCATCATCATCATCACCACCGAGATTTGCTCGAGGGAAATGTTTTGCTCCAGCGAAATGGCACCCGCCGTACGCCGCTGAAGATCGCCGCGAACGCGAACAGGTCCGTCGTGTGGCAGAGATGGTCGTGGACAGATCGTGTCGGTTGATGAGGCGACTGGCGAGACATGCATCTGCGACAACGTCCCCACGGACGGATGTCATCGCGGCGGCGGCGGCGGGTAGATTTCGCTGCACTCCGCTCCCTTTGCCGCGGAGGGGGAGAGAGAGAGAGAGCCCTGGAGAGCTTCTCGGAGAGAGGACGGAGAATTTGTTTCATGCAGGCGGGAAATGGGTGGGATCCGTCTGTCTCTTCTTCATTGTTCCTCCACAACGAGGACCTCGTCGCAGAGTTCTTACCAACTTCGGGGTACGATGATAAGGACCTAGAGGTAGGTCGGCCAGCAATGAACGTCACTGTAGAGTGGTGGGCCACTGTCTGTCACCATCATCGCGGTTCGCGTCCTATCTACGCCCACGACGGCGATGGAAGATGGTGATATTCATCAGGGCGTTGGAGGGAGCCGCGCGCGGGCGCACTGACGGGGCGATTGACTGGGCACACGCCCTCTCTCATATCTAATGAATGGAATGTTAGCCGGGGGGAGAAGATCTAAGAGAGATTGTCATCGACGAACGTATGACCGAATAACGATGGGATCCGGCGGACGATCTTCGCGGCCAGGAGGTGGGAAAGACAGGCTCGCGTTTCGTCCCATCCGTTGTTCGCTCCCTCACTGGGTGGAGACGGACGGAGGAAATGATGCAAACTGGGAGTTCCTGCTAGTGGTCAACGGTTTGCCCTTGCGACGGGCCGAGTCGTGCATTGGGGTGTTTTCCCTCCTGCTTGGTTCATCAATCTCATGGATTATTTGATCGTGCTGTTACTGCATGATTAGGTAGGCATTATTGTTACTGTGTCATTCCATAGTGGAGCCCCGGCCGTTGCTTGGCTGAGCATGGGAGACGCGTGTCCCTGTCTCTTTTCATCCTGGGGCGCGTCGGTGGCTCGAGGGCAGCTGTGTTTTGTTCCACCCATTGCGCGTCTTCCCTGCTCGTCCCTCCTATTCCGGGCTGGATTTCGAGAATCTCCATGGCGGTTGCGCGGTAATCATTACATTCGCCTCATCTCCATGTTGTCGATGATTCTGGATCACCATCATTTCTGACTATCATATCCCATCCTCTGCATGCTCGGAAGAGATGCCGGGCGGGCGCAACGATTATCGCTGCCGCCGCCGCCGTCGTCGTCGTCTCCTCATGCGTCAATGCATACTGTAGATAGATCGACTCCCTGCCTGTCCCTTCTCGTTGGTACAGGATATTGCTATCAACACAACAGTCAAACAATAGCCCCATTGACGAAGAGATTGGAAGAGACCGGCGATTCTCCACTAGGCCCAGACTCTCCTCTCCGACGCGTAGGAATGGTCGTTGAAACTGAATCTGAAGGTTGAACGACGGAAATGATCCGTATACAACAACCGTATCTAGTAGATTTGGTGGACAATCCTCCATTGTCAGCGCATCGTATTGCTGTATATAGAAGGTGATTCAAGAAGACAAGAATCGTTCTTCAACACGTTCACGTTCACGACACGCCGCCGCCACCACCACGACCATCCGCCCAATCCTACCCTTGTCTGCTTGTCCAATCCGCAGAAAACCAGTTTTCCTGTCCGCTGTCTGTCAATTGCAGCATTCCCGGCGCCTCATTTGACAATCTTGTACTAGTGTCTCGCTCATCAAATCAACCTTTTTCCTCCTCCCCATCTCCCCTATACGCACACAGACACACACGCGCACCCGTTTACCCACACACTGACCAACTCTGACCTACCTCCTCGCCCATCTCTCTCTCTCTTGCTTCTTCACACCCGATCTTCAATCTCTCACACACACCACCAACCAACCCACACACGCACGAAGCAACGCAACGCAACGCAACGCACCTTCCCGCTCGTTTGGGGTGTCTAGTGTCTCGTTTCGCATCTCGGGATTGTCTTGCTTTCTCACCTCCTCTCTCACTCACTCACTCTTGTCATCAACACCACCACCTCTTTCGGTCCTTCTCATCTTCCTCTTCTTCTCCGTCGCCGTCCACTGTCGTTGTCACGCACGTCGCCGCCGTCGTTGATTCACATCTTTCACGTCTCTCACTTGATCCTCATTTGTTGTTGTTGCTTGCTGTTGCTGTGGTGGTTTTCTTCCTCTCGACGACTACTACTACTACTTCACACCATCATCAACCCTTTCTTCTTCGACTTTTCTCGCTCAATTCCAGTTCCTTCGGTGCCTTCACCCAAAAGAACTGCTTCAATACCTCAAATCGTGTTGATCTCGATTTGACCATTCTTATAATACTCCTTCCAACAATCACAACACCGAGCCCAGTCCGCCCAGGTAAGCCAAGACTCTTGACTCCCATTGCCGCTCACACGCGATGCCATATCGGTAGCAGTAGTTGCGAGGAGAGAGAAAGACGAGGATAGCATCAAAGACAACAGCAATCAATGGCAACAGCACCTCTGGAGAATTCTCATCGCCACCATTCGCGTCCTCCGCCGCCACCTCCCTCGCTGGATATACTGCGTTCTCTCAACCAATACGAATACGGACTCGCACCTGGGGACATCGCCACTTCCGTCTTACGACACCTCTCAATGCTATCTTTGCTCCCGCTCTCTTCCCGCTGCTGCTGCTCGTCTGTGACTACCGAAAATACGCGCATGCACCCACGCTACCACCGACACGACTTTTCATTCCGCGTCGATTCATATCATCATCTGACTGTTTCTCTTTCCGGCAGTTCCTCATAACGCATCTTTGTCAAAATGGCCGCCTTCAGATACATTGTCCCGGCTTTGGCCATCGCGAGCGGTGTTGCCGGTAAGAGTCAAGAATTTGGGAACAGGTTCATGGGAGGGAGTGTCATAACTGACGTTATTCCATAGCACAATTCGGTAGCAGTGACAGCTCGTCTCCTTGCTCGGTTTCCGCCACTGCAACAATCAAGAGCCAGGCTGATGCCACTGCTCTCTCCAGCTGCTCCACCTTCCAGGGCAGCATCTCCATCGATGCCGACACTGTTGATAACATCGACCTGTCCGGAATCTCGCGCATCACCGGTGACCTGAACATTGATGGCGCCTCCATCACCCAGCTTTCAGGTAGCCAGTTGGCTGTCATTGGCGGTGAACTGCACCTCAATGAGCTGACTCGTCTCACCACCGCAAACTTCCCGTCTTTGGTCAACGTCGGATCCATCAGATGGAACGCCCTGCCTAACCTGCAATCTCTCAACTTCGCTCAGGGCGTGCAGATGCTCAAGGCGCTTGACATCCAGAACACCGGTCTCGCATCGCTCGCCGGTATCATGCTCAACACCGCCGAGTCCATCTTCATCGCCAACAACAACTACCTGAAGGAGATCAGCATGCCTCTGGGTAACGTTACCAAGGGCTTGAACATCAACAGCAACGGCCAGGGATTGACCGTGGCGTTCCCCAACTTGAAGTGGGCGTACAACATGACCATCAGCAATGCCGCCAGCATCTCCACTCCGGCTCTCATGTCTGTCAACACTTCTCTCGGCTTCTACCAGGGCGGCTTCGACTCCTACTCTGCTCCTAACTTGACCACTGTCGGCGGTGCCCTCTCCTTCGTGAGCGACAGCCAATTGAGTAACATTTCATTGCCTGCTCTCACCACCGTTGGCAACGCTCTGTACATTGTCAACAACGCCAACCTGAAGACGATCGATGGTTTCCCGCTTCTCAAGACCATCGGTGGTAACTTGCTCGCCGTCGGTACCTTCTCCAAGTAAGTCTTTCTCGAATTGCTACAGTTCGCGTCTTCTCCCTGCGATGAACTTCTGCTGACATCGAATTCCCCTCCAGCTTCTCGTTCCCTGCCCTCAGCACTGGCTACGTCCGTGGTACCACCAACATGACCTCCACCGAGAACATCTCCTCCTCCTGCTCCGTCTTCCAGCCTCTCCAGGGCAAGGACAAGCAGCTCCGCGGTGGCCTCACCTGCAAGCAGTCCGCCTCGGCCGGCAGCTCCGGCCAGAACGACATCAACAGCAACAGCAACGGCGGCAGCACCGACAAGCCCAACGCCGCCGCCGGCCTCCTGATCCCCAGCACCGCCGTCCTCGGCGCCGTCGCCGTCCTGTTCGGTCTGCTTTAGAGAGTGTGTGTGGAAAATGGCGATGGACAAGAATGCGCGCACGGCTATGAATCTGAGAATTGTTTTTTCCCCCGAGACCCGTTTTACCCGGCGGTTGTTGCTCCCTTCTCCCGCTGTTGTTGTTATCTAATGCATTGCATCGCATCCCGCCGCCGCCTCATCCGTCTCTGCCGGCTGGCTGGCTGGCTGGGGGGCCATTTGTTTTTCTCGTCGTGTGTGTCCGCAGAACCTTTCAATTTTCTTCTTCTTGCTCACTCTCTCTCTCTTTTCTTTCGCTCCATTCCCTAGCCTTTTTTGGCTCAAAGGGGTATCGTCTCCGTGACTCATGAAACGGTGTAATCATAGCCGTCGTGAACTGAAACCGAGGACAGCGTAGACGAGATTCTTCTGCCGCTCTCCGTGCCCGATATCGCCGCGGAGGGGAGGAGAGGGACAAGGCGCAAGTCGTGGAGCAGAGCGCACAACGAGCGCCGATGGTGGCCGCGGTGATGTGGTATTCGGTGGTAGTGGCGGTGGTGGTATAAGAGTGGAATCGAAGACGAAAGCACACCTGCACGCTCTTCAGTGTCGTTATGTTTTCTCATTTTCGATCTGTTTTTCCGTCTCGTCTCGTCTCGTCACTTTTTCACTTTTCGCCCGTCACTTTTCACCTACAAAGTGTCCACCTAGATCATATTGCTGCTGCTGCTGTCTGATACTTCTACTTCTACTGCCGCCTGAACCTCCACCCGCGAAACTCCACCTGTCAATGACATAGCCGATGCAGGAAAAAGCCCCTCCCGAAACATCGGAAGGCCTCTTTCTTGTGCCAGAAAGTCACTTGGAATCTTTCCTTTCCTTCGTCGTCTTCGTCTTCGTCTTTCCGCCTCTCGCCCTCGCCCTGGACGAATTCAAAGCATCGAAGCGTAAATGCATCGCCTATCCTCCTCCTCCTCATTTTTCCTATTCAATTCCTCTCCTCGTCTAGAATGGCACGTCTCATCGAGGATGTTTTCCCCGGTCGCACTCAGCCGGTGTGTGGCTGGTTCAAGTTGCTCGGAGGAAACTTGGGGTTTACTTGCTTCGTTGGGAGGAGAATGAGATGGTCGAGAAGATGAAGAAGAAGAAGGAGAAGAAGGAGAAGATCTCCCAGCCGGCCTTTCAGGAGAGAAAAGAAACGATCGATGTTGATGTTGACGTTTCGCCTACGGTGGGGATTTCCACTCCTCCCACGGACCTCCCCACAATGTTTCGCCTACAGTGCTTTGTCACCATCGCCGCCCTCCCTCTCCTCTCAATGACACACATGACGGTACAAATCGAAAGGGCCGATTGATATTTTCGTTGTTTACCCCATCTGTCATCTCAACCGACACGGGCGATAAACTACGTGAAGCCCTCCGAGAACGGCGATGTGATAAATCTCGGCACAGCATGATTACATCTGGTCGTTCGAGGTTGGAAATTGTAAAGCCGCGTTTGGCCGGCCGTGGCCATTGGTCCGGGATTCGAGGTGGAGGATGGATGATGACGGGGGCAGAGATAGTTCGGTACGGTCCACGATTCCTCTCTCTCTTTCTAGGGGGGAGATGAGGCAGAGGTCATGCGGAAAGGTCATTGAGATTGGGGTTGGAGGGTTTTGTATGTGCCGTACACTCTGTTGTGTATGTATATGGGTAAGGGGAAAGTGAACGACTTGGTCCCGGATCTTCATACACTTTCCTCCCCAGATAGATATATGTACTCTCCTCACCTTTCTACACCTCCCTCGCGCGAGGTCCCGTCTTCATATAGCAGCGATAGCAGCAGCAGCAGCAGCAGCAGCATCGCCTCGCCCGAACACCGACGACACACAGCCCGGCGATAACCCAAAAGGCTCAACGCGCCCTGCGACACGACCAGTCCAGAATCGTGGAGCAGCCGCAACAACAACCCTAACAGGATCAATTAACTCCAGCGACGAAAAGAAAACCGCAATAACGACCTGCAGTCAGAGTCATCATCACGCATTGAAACAAACCATTGACCGGGCAGAACAACCGATCCATCGAGGAGCCCATTGTTCCTTGTTATTATTATTATCATCAATCATCGCACTCCCCCCCGAACGGGTCCAACTGGGAGCGGAACAACAAGTAATAATAAGCCGCAGAGTCACATCCGTCTCACCACTCTCCTGTGCCGGCCTACATCGGCGGTCCTCTGACTCACGGGTTCTCTCAAAACAAGGGATTCTCTGGGAGGTTACATATATATATATATCCATTGGGGGTTGCATTGACCGGATCCTCGCCCTAGCTCTCTTCCACTCCTCTCTCACGACCGGTTCATCCGCCATACGAGAGACTTGGGAATAGTAATACCTGATCACAAGTTCCGCATTGGTGGCAACAAGTCTGAACGGGAGGACAAAAAAGCAGAATTGAACCCTTCTTCTTCTTCTTCCCTCTCTCCGTCGCCCGCTCATATCCGTCCGTCGCTCTCGTCGTCACCTTGCAGTTCGGCCACTAGACCGAAGCGGCGATAAAAAAAAACCACGCGGGAATTTCTCGACCCTTCTTCGACTCGGGTCTTCTGCCGCCCAGCCCCTCTCGGCGATCGATCGATCGTCTTCTTTTCTTCCGGCCAAAAGGAACACGCAGGGAAGGATCCATTGAAAGAAAATATATACAAGGGAACCCCCCGAGTTGCAACAACCCGCAAGAAACGATGGCGACCAACACACCCCTCACGCCGGCCACATCCGGCACCAACACGCCCACCACCGCCTCCGGCCTCACCGCCGCCGGCATCAAGCACAACAGCGACGACCCCAGCGCCGTCCTCCCGGGGAAAACCAGCGACAAGCTCGTCTCGCAACAACAGCAACAGCAACAACAAGCACAAGACTCCCCGCTGGCCGCGCTCGATGCGACCAACACGACATACACCTACACGACCGACCCGCGCCCGGTGCCCGCCTCCACCGACCCGGACGTCATCGGCCAACGCATCTGCACCGACCACATGATCACCGCGACCTGGACCTCGACCCGCGGCTGGACGAACCCGTCGCTGATCCCCTACGGCCCGCTGCAGATCATGCCGAACGCGTCGGTGCTGCACTACGCGACCGAATGCTTCGAGGGCATGAAGCTGTACCGGGGCATTTCCGACGGCAGGCTGCGCCTCTTCCGGCCGGCGCGGAACTGCGCGCGGATGCGGCAGTCGGCGGCGAGGATCGCGCTGCCGGACTTCGACCCCGAGGCTCTCCGGAGCATGATCCTCGATCTCTGCCGCACCGATGGCCCGAAGTGGTTGCCGGACACGCCCGAGGGCCGCGGGAAATTCCTGTACGTGCGGCCGACGATGATCGGCACGGATGCGGCGCTGGGCGTGCAGCGGCCCAAGGAGGCCCTGCTGTATGTCATCTTGGCCGTCTTCCCGGACATGTCGAAGAACCTGGCGCCTGCTCCCCCGGCCTTGTCGGGGTCGTCGGAGGAGGGGGCGGCGCAAAAGACGGGCGGGGTCAAGTCTGGCGGCGGCGGTGGACTGAGGCTCCTCGCGTCGAACGAGGACACGATCCGAGCCTGGCCCGGCGGGTTCGGGTATGCCAAGTTGGGAGCCAATTACGGCCCCTCGCTGGTCGCGCAGGGCGAGGCCCGCTCGAGGGGCTTCGACCAGGTCCTGTGGCTGTTCGGCCCGTCGTGTGTGGTCACCGAGGCCGGAGCGAGCAATTTCTTCGTCGTCTGGCGCACCCCCGAATCCCAGGGGGGTCGCTTGCAGCTCATCACCGCGCCGCTGGAGGAACGCATCATCCTCGAGGGGATCACACGCGCGTCGATCCTGGACCTCGCGCGCGAACGGTTCGCCGCGCCGGGCGCAGGCCGGGAGTCCGTCGAGGTGGTCGAGCGGAGCTTCACCATGGACGAGATCGTCCAGGCTCGTCGAGAGGACCGTCTGGTGGAAGCGTTCGCTGCCGGGACCGCTTTCTTCGTGGCGCCGGTCTCCGTCATCCATTTCCGCGGTCAGGATCTGGACGTCCCCACGGCGGCGGGCGATAGTGGGGAATACGCCAAGACCATCAAGCAGTGGCTCGTGGATATCATGTACGGCAACGTCGACCATGAGTGGGGTGTTGTTGTGACGGAGGCCAAATGAAGGGGGCATATGGAATGTGGTTTAGGTCTGGGGAATCGCTCCGATTCACGAAACCTGGAGACGGGACTCGCTTCGATACGATCATGAATGTGTATGAACGCAGCAGAGCCGCAGCTGCAGAACGAGATATGAGAATTAATGTTTTCCAAAAATTCCGCTCCGCTCGACGTTTTCAAGTTTGTTCACTGTTGATTGCAACAAATGGTCAGCGTGTATGATAGAGGCTCGCCACGAGCCTTCGCATTCAGAACGTAGAGTACTGAAATTGGGGGACCTCACTTACCCAAACGCTAACTTCAATTCCCTGACCGACGTCGTAGCAAGGTAAATCGTCATCACTGGAATCTGGCGTAACTTCGTCGTCGGACCCGGCTCCGGCATCGTTTGAAAAGCCGGCTCCTTCTCATCTCCATCATGAGTTCCACCGTCATGACCTACCGCATCATCTCCATGTCCTCGAGGTCGAGGAGCCGAAGCGGTGTGCCCAGTAGCTCCCGGACGCGGATTTCGAGGAATCTCCATCATCTTCGCCGTCAATTCGCTGTACTGGAACACTTTCCGACCAGGATCCGCTTTGCGTGCCTCGCGCTTGACGATTTCCACGATGCTGATGAGTTTGTTTGCCGCCTTGGCCTGTGCCGTCAGCACGACCAGCGACGGAAGGGCGTCCGAGGTGGGAGGCGCGATGGGACCGCTCTGGATCACTGACGAAGTGGAGTCGTCCACAGCATGAGTGGCGTTCAGGGACGCAGGCCCGCTCGATTCTTGTCCGCTACCCTGGTTCCGGTCGCGGGACGCAGCCTGGCCAGACGACGCTGATAGTGTCCCTGCATCGGAGCCCGGAAAGAGTGCATTCAGGACCGTGGCTGTGCGTGAGGAGATTGCCGTGGAAGAATGCACGTTGTAAGCGTTTATGCGGTATTTGGTCTCCAGGGTTGTGAGGTCGAATGGCGCGGGCGTGTCCACTGCCGCTGTGGTCGAAGCCATGGTCCTGAGGATTCGGGCTGCGATGTGGATAGCGGTTCGAGTGGGGGGGGGGGGATGTGAGGTCGTGGCGGTCAATGTTGAGGATGTCGGGTTCCTGCCGCTGGCAGGGTGGAAACAGTCGCGGCTGGACTTGCTGGTTAGATGAGATGTCGGTTGCGGTTGCGTCGATCGGTCTGGACCGTCAAACAGCCTGGGTCGGGTGTGTCTTTGTTGTGATCTCGATCGATAGTATTTCAATATCTTGTAGGATCTCTGATTCAGATCCGATCATGCTTATCCGCTAGAGACAACGATCTCAGACTTGGGCGACGATATTTGTCTTGTTGATGGCCAGCGGGCTATCAAGCTTTATTCTTTGCCGTCAAAAATCGTATGGATCTACAAGCCGCGATTGTAAGGTTCAAGACAACGTCTCGGATATTCTTGCCACGTTGGCCTTCGCATAACAACAAATGGTGAACATGATCTCAAATTGGGCAGGATGAGCCCTCAGAAAGCCCCAACCGCTCCAGTTTCGAGGCTGGCTCAATCCTTTCCAGACAACCGTAGACGCGCCTGCAGATTTCACTTGCACAACGCGGAACCGACGCGCGACACGTGACCTGACCTGTGTTCTCTAGACTGGTCGATCTCCACACAGGGTCTCACCACGACCGTGGACATATTACTGTGATCGTGATGGTGATGACGGGGATGCCTGGATGCGCTGATGGAGCGAAGGTCTCGGAGACATTCAAGCATGCAGGCTCGCGGACAAGTACCGCGCGAGTGGACAAATTCACGACATTCTTTGCGGACATGACCCAACGCATGCGGACGCGAATGGTTACGGAAACGATCGTGAACGCACGCTCTGGCAAATCCCACTCTTGATGACGTTGCTACGAATATTCTAAAGTTGGCACCCGCGGCGATCTCTGTCCCTGATCAACAGCAGCAGCATTGAAGTGAAGCTTCCATAGAGCCTCTCTTTGACTTTCGCCCACGTCATCACGTGAAACAACCTAGCATTGGAGCGAAATCTGCAGCTACAGTGCTACGGCAGCAGCTACAGCAGTAGCGACTGTAGTTCACGAACGAAGCGGAGATGTGAAACACTCGCTTTTGACCAGACGAGAAAGTCCCTCCCAGTAGTGAAGGCGACAAGGCGAGCATCACGCGCACACACATACATGGTCGCTGGGGACTTCAAGTTTCGACAGACTGTATCTCTCTCGCAAACAGTCTAGACCTTCGTGATCGTCACACGGATCACATCGCGCGCATCCCAAAAGACCCTCTTTCTGCCCATCGTGCCCCCTGGTTTTGATGCACGCGCATCGCATTTTCGGGCGGCGATAGACTTTTGCCTCTCGTGCCTCCCTCTCCCTCCCTCTCCTTCCTTCTTCCTTGTAAGCGGTGCAGGTGCGTGCACGCCGAATCCCCAGTCCGCCGCATCGTCCGGACTTCATCGTGTGAACTATTCTTCCATCCGGCTGTAGTGTCAGGGCGGAAATCCTTCGAAGCTCTTTGTCGATCAGGGGGCACCTGAAGGGGGTTTCTTTGGATAACATTATCGTCGTCGGCGATTGGGACCTTGGGAGGGGATCACCAACATTTCAGGTTTCAACTCCGCGGGTGCAACGTCATCGAGGGATGTGTTTCGCGGGCGTGGGAGGCATCAGGTAGCAGGATGAATCTTAGGGAAGATTGCGGATCGCTGGAGAGAGCAGCGCATGTCAAGGATGACCCGAGTCAATGATTCGTTGTGTGGTTCCTGCTGATTACAACGCATGATTTCTCTCCCCTTATTGCAGGCGATACACAACATCACAGCGTGCAGTGTTCATGTATAGAAATCTATCTAGGAAGAAAACAAACATGCTTGGAATCTCCAATGCGCACACATATATCTCCGAAAGAGCCACCGGCCAAATTCTCCGTAGAGGTACACACAGGCAGAAAAGACCGCGAGTGCCAGCCAGAGAAAACAACCTCGGATCAAAAACCCGCCAGTCGTCACATCCCTGCGATGGACCAGGAAAAAAGGGGGGCCCGATCGCGGTCATGACGCCCACAGAGCGAGGACTAGCACGCTGTCAAATCCCGATCCGGCCTAGTCCCCGCGGCCGGGAGGTCCTCACGATTTGTTCCTCCCGAACCACCGGGGCGCGCAGGCCCGGAGGAGTCCGCTTCGCCGGGTGCGCTACGCTAGAGATGGGCCGGGTGTGGGTGTGTGTCATGATCTCATCATTTCCTTTTCGCCAGGCGATTCTCTGGTGATGAGCGGCGCTGCGGGTGATGGACTTCTTCGTCGCATCCCACCTGTCACGGCGATAAAGAATGATGAGCCGCAGCACGACGTGACTCTGGGACAGGGCGAGGATTATCCCTCGTCTCGCTCGCCTTGTATGCGACCCATCACGCCCGACAAACAACGTGTAGAGAAAGAAGATAGTCCCTGGACCCATAATTGCCATCTATGTATACATGTGTGTATGTGGTTTGCCTTCTTCCAAAGACTAGATATATACTGTATGCACCGACATCCCCATTGGAATGTAGGTATCATCGATGTCGTGGATATGTACGGCTAGGCGCATGCATACATGCATGCATGCGGCTGTATTCTATGTTGCGACTTGTTGATGATGTGATGATGGATTTGGTGACACACATGCATGAGAGCCATGCAAGGCTGGGGCACCCACCTACCTATCTTTAGGCGGAGATGCTGTAGATAGAGCTGCTTTCCATGTCCAATGATGTTTGCTCCCCTCTGTTGGTCTGTCCGGCCGCAGCACAGAGACCATCGCATTGCAGCCACGCCTGCCTTGTTTTCCCTCCTCGTCGCATTGTCGCACTGTCGCATCTTCTCACAGTGTGATGATCTTGTCTGGAAATGATTCCAAACTTCACGTCGCCGCGACACACAGAGACACCGCGACGACGTTTCTAGACACGCCAGGTCCATTTGCAAATCATCAAATCTGGCTCGGATGCGCCGCCCGCGCCGCCGCCTCCGCCATCGCCGTCCATCAATTCGAGGCGGTTCTCTGCTTCCCCGTTTCGCCCGCCCGGCTGGACCTGTATTGTGGTCTAGTGCCACCACTACCACCACCACCGTTTCGGCGGGCGAAGGAAAACAATCTTCCTAACGCCTACCAGATCTATGAGTTTTCTCGCCAAACAGTTGGCGACCGTTGGGCGCTTTCGGAGGGGCGCGCTAGAGGAGGATTTTCCCTGATTTCAATGAAATTATGAAATTGAGAAATGAATAATAATAACACATTATGGATACGATGCTGGCTCGTATCATCTATTTGATTGACACTATAATAATGATGATAATGTTAGTAATGATAATAGTGCAGAGATCATGCTATTTACGACACACGCTCTCGTCAGTTGTAGCACAGTGCATGAACGCGCACACACATATCGAACATGTAGACGGGCGGGATCCCTCCAGTACACATCCGCTGCGCGCGCGATCGCATCCATAGGCACCGCGACGTTAGAGCATGGGACTCGAGGGGATAACCTCTCCTCCTGCCCGTTTCCGCGACCGAACGATGCTGGATGCAGGATGTGGGAAGCTCCCAAAGAGGATTCCCGGATTCGTCGGTCCAGCTGTCCCGTCCTGCGCTTCCATCCACCCGTCCATCCCGCCGTCCGCGCCGCCGAATGCATCTTTCCTTCCTGTCACTGCCGGATGGGTGGGTGTGCCTTGCCATGGGAGAGTGGTGGGTGCCTGCGTGTGCGTGTCCATGTGCGTGTGCGTGTGTTTCCCAGGCCCTTGCCTGTCTCATACCTACCTGTGCTGCTTGTTTCCAAGATTCCAACCTTCCGCGGCCGCCGCTGATGAATTGAATGCCACCACCACCACCACCACCACCAGCACCACTGCTGCTACTCCCGCCCGCTGTCCGCTTGCGCCCGTTATCCTGCGCCGGTCCTACCCCCCGTTGGGCAACGTCCTTCCTTCTGGAGGCCGGCTTTTGTCCCTATCGGCTCCATCAAATGTCCATCAATCAACCATCAATATACTCCACTGGGGCTATCGTGAGCTCTGCACACTACCCAAACTATTGCTGCTTGCTGCTGCTGCTGCTGCTTCAGGATCTCCCATTTCCGTACCCTTCCACGCTTGGCTCTTCTTCACACACGGGCTAGGGCAGATCTCACACCCACCTGGTGTTTCCATCCACCCACACGCCCGCGCACCACACAAATACACACACACACACTCACACACACATCCTCACACGCTGCCTCTCTCTCTGCCTCTCTCTCTCTCTCACACACACACACTTGCGCACGCCGCCGTCTTCGCTCACCCTCGCCCATCTCCTTCTCCTCCTCTCAGTTCCTCACACCACCGCACCACTCCCTCTCACACACACCCACCCGCTCCCCATACGACACCACCACCACCACCATCCACGTCGACATCATCACTATCATAATAGCTCATCGCTCTCACAAGCCAAAGCCTAAGCCAAAGCCCCAAAGCCACCCTCTCCCTCGGAAGACCCGTATTTCCAAAATTCCACGCTTCCATCATTGCGCGTCCCTCTTCGTTTCGCATCATCTCGACTTTCTTGGTTCACCATCCCCAAACCACACACCTCTCGACCACTCTTCCCTCCTACACACACACTCCACCCTCTCGTCCTCTTCCTCCTCTGGAACCTGTACACTCCACCACAGCTGCGCGACTGCTGCTTCCATCTTCATTCTGTATCTCGATGCGGATTGACCCTTGAGCTCCCAACTTTTTCCAACAACACCTGATTTTCCCCTTCTCCCGCAGCTTGCTCCAACGACCGCCGGGTGTTTATTATATACTATTGTTTCTTCCCTCTCTTCTTCCGCCCGTCGATTTCTCCCCTTCTGCCTCGCCTGCATTACTATTACCACCATTACCGAGAACCACTCCGATCACTCACGGACACTCACGCGCGTGCGCCTTGGTTTGCGACTCAACTCACGACATACTGACGCTTACGATCCCGCTTCCACGACCTGATTTGCCCGCGCCAGCGTGTGTGCAGCTCCGTTCCCAGCGACCGTTTCGATCTCGCTTAACTGCGCAGGTCACCTTGCGAAACATCACCACTCTGCTCAACTCCTCCGCCGACTTGTGCACATCAGCTTGGAATATTAGCTGTTGCCGCCGCTGATTCTGTGTGCGTGTGTGTGTTGCGCTGTCGCCGACGTACAAGTACGACCATCTCACACACGACATCATCTCGTTTCCTGTTTCCGTCGCCACGCGGCCCGCGATTACTCAGCCGTGTACCACCGAAACACGCCCGACAGGCTACCACCACACCATCTCCGGCTCTGCCTTCACAAGCTCGCGCGACACCATCCGACGGAACCGTCCAGAATTTCGCTGACGCTTGACGTGATTGATCTCGGCTAATCAGTCCTCCTCCGCACATCTCCAACCGCACCACCCGGATAATAACAACGACGACCACCATATCGACGGCTGCCTAAGTCGCCTTTTGTCGACATCGCGACCTCTGTTGAATGGAGTATTCGCCGCCATCGCTAATCTAAGTTCTTTCGCGCCCGCCGGTTTTTCTCGCTGCCGTCATCCTCAACCATGTTGTCCAACTTTCGCCTGCCGTGGTGCAACGAACAGCAAATGCTCCCGAAAATGTCGCAAGACGCGTTGTCCTACTCCGCTGCGGTAGACATGCCCATGTTTGGCAAGTTCAAGAGGCAGTTGCCGGAAACGGATGTCCCACACTCGTCGCAGCAGAGCAAAAAGCCCAGGTTGGAGGTGGAGACTTCGCGCATGTGCGTGCGACCGCCGATGAAGTCTGAAGCTTCTCCGGCAGTCTCGCGAGCAGTGCAGCTGCCTACTCCAGTGACTCCGAATGTCTCCCGACCGGTCGCTCTGGCGCCCCCGACTCCCACGTCGGAACAAGTCAAGGTTGTCGCGCCGGCGGTGCAGACCGTGACAACGGCTGCGCCGAGTGCACCTCTTCCGGCTGGACCCAAGGAACTACCGCGAACGGAAGTGACCACGGCTCCTCCGGCTTTGGACTGTATCGCCGACATGACGCCTCTTCAACAGGTCATCGACAATGAATTCAACATGGCCATGCTGATGAAGCACAACGAGTTGCGCTTGATCGAGCAGGAACTGGCCAAATGTCAAGTCGCGTTGGAGCAATTGCGCCGTTGCGAGTTGCGACCATACCCTGGTTATGATTGCCCCTCCAGCGACGTCACCGCAGGAACTGGCCCTGCGATCGCCCCTGGTCCCGGAATGAGTCGCCCGGCATACCCTGCGCCTCACGGGGTCACCGACGGTCCCTACTCCCGACACTACCGACAATGGCTCCTACGCGATCCTGAATTCGACTCTGCGCCGATGCACATGTACAGCTCCATGGACACTCCGACAAGTGCGGGTGGCCGGTCCACCCGCAATCTGGGAAGCGCACGCAAGTCCGTCAGCAGCCGAACCCACGCCGTCACCAACCGCATCGATTCTCTCCCGAGCATCCCCAACTATCCCGCACCTGCGCCCAAGGACAAGTCTGCCCCGCTCGTGTTGCGCCGATCCACCGACAATCAACTCGTCAAGCTCATCTGCAACAACTGCCTGCGTGGAAACTTTTCGAGCATTCAAGGTTTCCTCAATCACTGCCGTATCGCGCATAAGGTTGATTACAAGTCACACGACCTCGCTGCGATCGATTGTGGACGACTTCTGGACGAAGCTGATTTGGCCAAGTTGCCCGCGGAAACGCACTCGCTGCCTGTAGCTGGAACCCCGGCACCGAAGGCTCACGGAAGCCGGGCGGCCTCGAACGCCTCCTCGAAGCTGGCCGCCTCCACACCGGTTGCGGCGGCGTCCAAGTCGCTCCCGGCTTTGCTCGTACCTACGCCCACGCAACCTCAACACCGCGAGATGGCCAAGGGTTTCGTTCATGCGCTCAACTCGCCCTCAGCGACTCTTCCGACCCCGCCTTCGTCTGTCGCTCGTCGTCGCGCGCCCGTCAAGTCCAAGTCCACCTTCCAAGCCCGTGCCACGTCCAGCCTTCCTCCTCCGGCGTTGTCGATCACCACTTCAACCAACGACAAGTCTTCTACGACCGCACCTCGTCTGTCCGCGCATTTCGCCAAGCAAGGATTCCGCCCCGAAATGTTTGCCCAGGCCTTCGCCAACGCCAAACAATCCATGGACGAGACCTTTTCGCAATTCGATTCGTGTGGCGGCGACTCGGCAATGATGACTCCCGTCGGCACACCCTCGGACGAGGACGTCGACAGCCCACTGATGTTCCAACGCCAACCGCAAAACAGCACCCGGCCGGCCCGTCCTTCCTTGTTGATCGCTCCAACAACGACTGCAAGCACCACATCCAAATCAACCGAATCTTCAACCCTCGGTCTCGCAGCGAACGCACCAAGCCCGTCAACCACCTCGTCGACGTCATCCCTCTCCCACGCCAACAGCCCGCACCTCCTCCCTGGGCTCGTCAGCGACCACGAAGACGACGACGACCACAGCCATGTGGACGACCACGACGATGACGTTGTCATGGTCGACAGCGTCGTGGATCTCGACTCGCATTTCGCCGATGCGGTGCAGGACGACCATCACCATCACCATCATCATCATGAGAACAACGACGAGGACGAGGACGACGATGTCGTCGTTGTGGCTTGCAAAGCGAACGGCAAAAACTGATTTTTATTCTTTTGCCCAAAATCTCCCCTTCTGCCACATTACTATTTTCTTTCATTTGGCCAACTTGGGTCAAATGCTGTACCAACAACCCTTCTCAACCACCTTGCTTCTGCTCTCGGCTTCTCACATTTTATCCCCGAGAGAAACACCCCTCGACCAACAAACAACTCCACTTCACCAGGGTTTTCGAAAGGGCTCGAGAACCCTTCCTGCCTGCCTGCTCGCTGCAATTGCTATCTTCACTCTTCTTCCCGCCTCTTCTTTGGCCTTCCTTTTCTGACCACACACTGTTTATTCTCACTGCAACTTTGCGACCTTCTCTGTACCACAATTATGTTTTAGTATTACTGTTTCGCCCCGATTATCTTTGCGTGTGTGTGGGGGGAAAAGGGATCACGGGGAGCAAAAAACTGGGAAAAGGGACGGCGGGAGCGTTGGGGACTTTGTCGCGCTTTTGTGTCTCGCTCGGACCTTTCGTCGAACGATCGGCTCCGAGAGTTGTATTTTGTATCATTATCATTATCATTGCTGGCTGGCTGGCTGGCTGGTTGTCGCTGCCGCTGCCCGTCCTGCCTGCGCGCAGACATGAAGGAAAGAAGAAGAAGAAAGGACATGGTCCTTTGGTGACGGTCGTCACTGGCTGGCTCGCGGTCCCATCAGATGGGTACCATCACTCCACTCCAACGTTACTCTCAAATTGAAGAAATTCAAAAAGGGACTTTTACGAAGAACCACAGAATCCCTTTCCTCTTGAGACTGCCGTGGAGACGTTTGACTTGTGTTCCTCGAACGTCTTTCGCGAAGACGCATTCCTGAATCGGTATCGTGGCCTTTTGAACATCCGAACTCGCCCTCAATGTGTGTGTGTGTGTGTGAAATGAAGCGTGGGCTCGACCAACTTAACACCGTTCGCTCCCTCCCTCCCTATATACACCGCTGCCGACCGATCCACAGGCAGACTTCCCGTTCCCGCGCGACATGCACGCCTTCGATGCCGCCGAGAAGGCCCGTCTCGAAGCCCAGCCGGTACACGATCATCCCGGGGCCGAAGAGCGATGCGTATCGGCGACACTGCTCCCTGATCTTCGCCTGCACGAACGGGTTCGCCTTGAACCCGAACATGTCCTTGTATTCGACCCAGCGGCACGTCTCCCCGGCGAACTCGGTCGGCTCGGGGAAGAGCACGTCGGGCGTCGCGACGGACGCCGCCCGCCGCCGCTGCTGCGCCTCGTCGAGCATCGCGGGCTGGAACCGCCGGATGGCCGCGACGAACTCGTCCTCCGCGTGCTGCGCGCGCCGGGCCCTCGCCTGCTGCTCCTCGCGCCGGACCTTTTTGCCTTCGGCGCTGGCGTCGACGGGCAGGAGGCGGAGGGCTCCGTCGAGGATGGCGGATACGATCGCCGGCGGGAGCGTCGTCTGCGTGGCCTTGATGATGTCGGCGACGTCGGGCCCCGCGTGGCGCGAGGCGCAGGCCGCTTTGAAGACGGGCTTGATCTGGCTGGCCGGGATCCCGTGGTATCGCGCCGCGACGGTCGTGTTTGGCTCTGCTGGTGTGGTCGTCATCGGTCCGGCGATTGAGTGGACCACGACGGCTGACGCCGAGGCGCTGGATCGGTGCCCTTTCGAGGACTCGTGTTGGCGAAGCGATGAGAGCTGTCGGAAGCTCCGCTGGCACTGCTGACACTGATGCATTTTTCTGGATAGGCGAGTTTCCTTTGGTCGGTTGGAAACAAGAGCAGTGTTGCTTCATTCTCTCCGTGAAGGAAGAAACGAACTGAAGTATAGAGAGTCTTTGACCCAGTCTGGTCACCCTTCCATTATCTGTGGAATGGCGACTTCATTTCACCTGGAAGGAACAAAGGTGCCAACATGGAACACATTGTCTGCGTCATCCCCAAACATCTTCAAGGAGCTACAACCACCATGGTCCGGTCTGGAATTCACATAATCCCTTTGCTCAGGCAGCGCAACATCGCCGTCTTGCAGGATCAAACAGCCGTTCGGCACCGAAGAGTTGACCGGGGCCAGGAAGCGGCCACGAGCTACTTCAGAAAGGCAATAACAAATGTACCGAGGCGGTCCGATCACGGCGACAGAGCTGTACATCTGCATTAACGTGTCTGATATTTTGCTTCCGCAGATTTCACTGGCAGCTCTCGATGCCCACAGCTCTCTCTTCTAATGGAAATTCGGTGTTCTACCACAGGGATGTAAGACAGCAGCTGCAAGCATGGATGCTGCAAATACCCCCACCATGGTGTCAAAGTCAACGGTCACGGACGGAGGTAAGAGACAAGCGCCTGGATCGCAGCAGAAAAGTTCATAAAGTCCTACCGAAACGGTGTATCCACATGTGTGTGTAGTAATATGCCTGCTGAGCAGGTTTCGATCGCAGAGAAAACAAACTTTCTATACAATGAATATCGATGGAGTTTTGACACTCGAGATTTTGACAGGAGAATGATTCGCCCCGGGAGAATCGATGCGCTCGAGTGGGAAATCCGTTCCGATCGACGGCTCTGTTGTTGTTGTTGTTGTTGTTGTTGTTGTTGTTGTTGTTGTTGTTGTTGTTGTGAATGTCGTCTCGTTCGTTGTGGCCACAGCGGATCCTTCAGATGGTGTCTGTCTATAGCAGGCATTTGTTCCGCTTCGGAATGATATTTGCCGAGTAGCACTGGATCGCCAACTAGCAGTACGTGTGAGAAGCACCCCGGGTGCTGTCGCCGCAGAAGTCCAGGCCGTTTCGGTATTGCATGTAGCCTGAGATCACGGGCAAGTCATAGTCACCGATGTCCGCGGACCCAGCAACGTAGCGGCCGCACCATTTCGTGATCCCCTCAAGCCCGATGGCGAAGCGCTGACCGCTCATTTCGAAAGACCGATCGGCCCGGTTGCATGCAAATGCCACCACGTCGTTCCGGATGGAGTAGAAAGAAAGGTGAGCGCCGATCGCTCCCTGGGTGTCCAGTTGATGCTTCATGTCCTCGACTGCGGCATCGCAGTTCGACGGAGTCATGAAATAGCCGCAGCCACACCAGATTTCGCCATAGTCGCGACGGTCCAAGGCACGGCCATCGTCGTGAGGAGTGCTGCTGGTGACGTTGGCGATCTTGGTGTGCACTTCTGTGCCATCGGTATTAGTGACGACTTGGTAGGTACCCTCTTCGGTAATGTGGCTAGGAATGATGAGAGATTGGCTCAGAGCGGCCGCGGCCAAGATCTGGCAAAGTGTAGTCCAACGCATTGTGGTAGAGATGAGAATGTTTATTGAAGGGAAAGGTGTTTGTGAACGCTGAAAAGGGTGTGTCGAGTTGAGGTCGTGGATTGACGGAGATATCTCTCAGGCCTTGGACGGACAAGATGATGCCTTATGCATCTCTTCAAATGGGTGCTCCATTCCATCCTGAACCTCGATTGCACGTGGGAGATCTTCGGAACCGGCTGATGGAGACATGGGCGCAGTCACAATCCGGCCCAGTCATGATCGTTGTTGTAGCGAACCCAACACGACTAGCGTAATGATTACTGATCTTGACTTAAAGTTTGTTGCATTGGTATAACAAATCCCGCATGTAGAGCGAAATGTTTGTTCTCCCTCACAATCGCGACTTCGCTATGCTGGTTCATGACACCGGCCTGCATCGTGATGTTTTCTGGAAATAGGTCCTCGATCTTGTTTCAGCGCTGCATTGGATTGTCTTCCGAATAGCGAGATCTGTTGTTTCGCGGACTAATGGGGCATCGTAGAAGGCATCGTGATTCGCCATTCTCTCGAAAGAAAAGCGCGCCAGCGTGCCGTCGATCAGAATGGACATAGCGGAGCAGACGCGCTATACCTCTTCGGTCTGACGCCAGTGCTATTTATTCTGAAAAGACGTTGTTACTGCGCAATAACACAGCCCCCTAAGGCGCTTGCTGGCTGTCAGGCTGGTCGGTTCTTGCTTCCAACTGTTTGTCTCGAAGGGACGCTCGAGTCTACTGCCCGCAACCTCCGATACACGTAACAAAAACACTTCATCCCAAGCAAAATTGCCAACTAACATCCTGTCGCACCTCGAATAGATCGCTCTAGGGCGAATCCCGATCTTCAACGGGGCCCTTGACTGCGATGAAGTCCACCCATAATTGCGTGCACTGATGAGCGATGATCGTCTTGAAAAGCTTTCTCGGATTGTGCTTACGCCCCATCTAGATCGGGACAACAAACCGCCAAAGGGTCATCGGGCCGGAATGCTGCGCGGAACGGGCGGTATATTTCCGCCTTGTTGCCGGAAGATTTCCGTCACGTCACCGTCTCGAACGTCGGTACGCAAAAGGAATAATGCACTATTCACAAGCAATTCCCCTCATGTGATGTGTGAGATACACGGCGATAGTTCATGCCTTTGCGTAGAGTCAAGACTGGAACGAGTCACCGAGAACGAGCTGGGTGGGCCAAATAGCTCCTCAGACGTCAAGACGGTGTGTATTCCGGGCCATCGATTGAGCCGAATGGCCATCGTGGGTGTGCACGGGAATTTCGCTCGTCGATCCTCGCCGACAAGACCGAACTTCTGCATACATTGTTGGTGGCGACATCAGAAAGCGGAGGGATCGATTGTTGATTGTCGTTCTGAATGTCTGTCTAGGCCATTGTATGCCAGCTCGGACAATGCGCTCTCTTCCTTAGTGCTGATGTTGGAGGGGCATAAGGGTTGAATCTTTCGACGTGCCGAGTTTGTGTCATGATACCTGAATACCGTGCAGACCCACTGCAGGGTATCGCGGGCGTAATTTAAAAGAACGAATCACGAAATCACAATCAGGACTAGGTGACGTTGGCGTGCTCCGGCCCCCAACGGTTTGGCCCCCATGGGCCAAGGCGAGCCACAAGCCGCACAGGACCTCTGGGCATTTTTGGTTGTCAGTGTGGTCAAACATGCAACACCACGCACATGTGTGTCGCTGCGAATCTCCCACCGATAAACACATGTGGGCTGATTGAGTCACCGCACGAACACGTCCCACGGTGACGGCCTATCCTTGAATCGATCCTGGTCCATTATCCCCCGGCAATCGTGCGCTGCATGGCATTGATCGATTCGATGTTGTTGCGACGAATACATAATGCTGTCCGTTGTCGAGGTGCCGACCGCAGTAGCTTCAAACTATACGACGAAGCAAGGAATGCCAGTATTTCGACAATGTAAGCCGACGTCTTGTTGTATTTGTTTCAACGCAAAGCCCCTCGATGATGATGCGCCAGCAAGTCCGTTCCGCAGTCTCAACGCGAAGGGGCCGTGTTGGAGAGAGCCGAAGCGGCTAGGAGCTGGAAAAAACACAAACAGGACCGCACGACCGGCCCAGATGTCGATCTCATTAGTAGCCCGGGCTAAACTATGTGCCGGCTGCTGTTGGATCTGTTCATTCCCCACGTGCATTCGCAGGAGCGCGAGGAGCTCTCAGAGACTCGTGTATATCACGGAACATGCCCGTCCTCAGCCTGATAGACTACCCTTGTTGATGATTCGACCTCCATATGCAGGGACAGTTGGTTGCGATTTCTGCAACACATGCACGACAAGAAGTATAATGTTGGTCCTCTCTCCTCACACTCATTGGCAGACAGGTCGGGGCGATGTTGGCTGTCCAAGTTGGCAAGACAGCAAGCAAGCGATGGAGGGAGGCGACAACGACAACAGGCGTACATCACTCAGGCGCCAGAGCAACAGTGTGTGCCCCGACAGCACCAACGCGAAGGCTGAGAGCACTCTTCATACGGCCAGGATTTAGACTTTTCACCATGTCCTTGGTGTCTTTCATCCCATAGCACTAGATGTGTGCTAGTGAGATGCGCTACGACCGTTTGCGGCGCTTCGAAGTCACAAATCCGCGTTGCGAGCGGTTGGTTGAAGCTTCGGGGAGGCGCGCCAACCTCTTCATATATGCTGCACACGCCGTAGCATTGGAATCCTGTGATGTTACTGATCAAGTCGCGCGTCTATGAAAGTGGACGCTCGAGCATACGGTCAACTCCCGATCGCAAGTTGATCAGAGTTGAATTTTGCCTGCGCCTTCAAGGAGATCGCACACGGCTTCTTCGAAAGAATCCATCGCAGACCTGCAAGTCATGCCATCGTCACGGCCGGGGCGCCGTGTGCGTACCGCAACAGCCCTCGCCTTCCTGGCAGTTATATCTGGCGCAAGGGCCGAAGGAGCTATTGGTGACTTCATATTACAAGGCCTAGGGGCGACCCAAGATGCCGTCCCGACTTTGACGGTTTCGACTGCACACAGCGTCGCCACCGAACGTGCTTCCTTGAGTCTCTCTGCTGCCCTGACCACGCCGAGTCTACCTGGCGGTAACGGCGTGGCTGCGGCGAAATACACCAAAGTCTCATCAGGATCATCGGCACGCAGTTCATACGTCGGTGAAAGTGTTCAAAAGACAACGATTTTGAGTCCTACGAGTTCCAGTAACCCAACGACAACAACTATCTTCGACAATAGGACACCCGTTCCGACCTGGACGGTCCCCGCGAATGGCTCCGGAACGGCTTATGCCTCCGCGTGTCTGTCTGAACAAGCACTTTTCCAAGAATTATACAGCTTGTCCAAGCTTCCACTTTTGCCGACACGTATTTACAACACGTATTCGACGAGCCATTTCACCGCCTCAATCACCACTCTTTGTGACGGTACACCACGTGTCGCCGGTTCCTTGACGTTTCAATCTGTATCAACATGGTCAAACTTCTACCCTGACAGTCTCCCCGTAGCACCCTCATGTTCGGTTCAGAGCACGGACTGTGATGCAGTTTGCGGCAGTCTGAAGATGACCAGGTCCTCTTGGCTGTCACAGAATCTGGTCACTTTGGCCGTTCCTGCAACCCCCACTGTGATAACAATAGCCAATGCTGCCGACACGACCGTGCTCACTATTGCTACTGCGCCAATCACGGCAGCGCCCACTCTGACCTTATTCAATACCACATATGCTCCAGCCAACAACAGTGGAACATTTTCTTGGTACTTCAGGCCCCCACCAGCGAGAAGCATACAGGGTCCCGTCGAATTGGCAGCTGGTGGTTCAGCTACGGTATCACGACCCGACTCACCGTCTCCGCCCGATTGTCAAATGGTATCCTGCGCCGGCGTCCCAATGTATTTCACGACTCGAGGGACCACGGCATGCCCTGAGAAGTGCCAGATTGCCGCGCAATCAGCGGAGATAATACGCTTCTCCATAACGGAGCCTGTCTCCCGAGATATGTGCACATCCAAACCCCCTAAATCGCTGGGTCAGTATTGCTTGGGTGGCACTCAAATCATGATAACGAGCGACGCGGACTATTCGTGGTACGATTGCAGCTACCCCCCTCTCAACGCAACGTCTACTACAGAAGTGAATGCGGGTAAGACACGTGCCAACCAGACTTCTTTCATAACAGCTGATCTTCGTATAGGGCCGTATGCAGTTTACTCCGGAATGACCTACTACCAGAATCGCGTTTATGTTTCACTGAAAGGAGCAGGAGCATACGATTGCAATGGCCAAATTGGCCCTCTGATAAATACAGTCCTGACGCTCCACTCTTCCGAACTATACTCCGTTTGTCGAACAGACGCTGTTTGGGCCACGGCCTTCCCTTACAATTATGGCGATTTCGAAAGCCCCGTGCCAGCCAGCGCTTGGAACTGTCAGCCGTGGTGTGCAGACTTGGCCAATCCTTTTGATTGGGCAGGAAAGGCGGGATATTCAGAGATATTTGCTAGCGGACATCGATGGCGCGTCGCTCCGCCTCACTCATGGAAAAAGGATGCAGGTCAATGTCTAGTCGGACTCATTGCGGACGAAATTTACCGACCAATGATTGCGATTCCGACGCAGCTCCGAGCCGTACACCCAGATTGGGATGCCTGCTCCCTCGATCTGTTTGGGATCTACGATCCACCGATCGTGCTCACAGCCCAAGCTACTGCCGCTGCTGCAACCTTGGCACCATTTTTGCAGACAACTGCTGCCAATCCAGCACCGGGTATCGCGACTAGCCTGACGCCTGCGAAGGCTACTGCGACAGCGCAGGCGCCTACGGCATCGCCGACCTTGTCTCAGCATGCGGCACAGTTCACATTCGACCCAGAAGCTGACAGTCTGCCCGCGGCCGCTTCGTCAGACACAGCACCGCTAGAGATCGCAAAAGCGCCGCTCACTATTTCTGCGATGGTCATTCCTCAACTCGTGCCGCCATCGACATTAATCGCACCGGATTTGGCCACTGCTCCTGCCACTATTAACTCTCTGCCGACTTTTGCAGATTCGAATCCTACTACACCAGCCAGTGGACCATCGAATGGCAACGAACCGTCTCCTGCTTCAATGACCGCTTTCGCTATTGGTTCTCAGACTGCTCGGCCAGGAGGTCCAGCTGTGACTGCCAGCGGAACCATATTCTCGGCGCTACCTTCGGGAGCCGGAGTGCAGGTTATCGTTAGCGGCCTGACATCTACGCTCGGCATCGCTGCCCCTGGAATCTCAGCTCCCTTATTACAAGCCGGAAACATTCTCATTAATTCGCAGACACTCTTGCCGGGTGGGACCCCTGTTACTCAGGCCGGCACAATCTGGTCTGCTTTACCCTCCGGCAATGGCGTTCAAATTGTGGCCAATGGCAAAACCTCCACTGTCATTCCCCAAGTTCCTGGGATTACAGCTACGGCTTCCCTTAAGGCTGATATTCATATCGGTTCACAAATACTAACTCCCGGCGGTCCTGCTATCACCTCAGCCGGCACTACCTGGTCTGCTCTGCCCTCCGGAAGCGGCATACGGATTATCGCTAATGGCCACACTTCTACTATCGGGCCTATCGCCCTTGCCATCGCGCCAGCCCCGGTTCCTACGAACGATCCCGGATCCGGCGAACACCATTCTACTACTGCCGCAAACAACAACTCTACCAGCCCGACTACCTCAGCTCTAGCACTCCGCCCAGTCGGTCCTGCTAGCCAATCCGCCTGGACTATTGGCGGTAACCATATCATTACCGAGGGCCAGGCCTGGACAGCCAACGGCACCATATTTAGCGACATTTCCGGCACGCTCTTCACCGGACTTGCGTCGTCCTCGATAAGCACAGCTCTTGCTACGGTCATCAAGCAAGGTGCTACAGTACATGTTCGAGACCTCAGCTGGGGATCGACGGTCGCCGTAGGACTTTGTGCGCTCAGTGGAGTGCTGGCCGTAGTCTTATAATTGACATAAATGATTGAGATATACATCCTAAAAAGCTACGTTTCTGCTGCAACTGGATTACAGTGGTTTTGGGTGGCAGGGAATTTCATCGCATATAGAGCTTTGTTGTAGGAAATTAATGAATCACGTCTACCAACTCTTCGCAAACGTCGAGCCTGAATTTCAGTGATGAGCAGAAAAGTTTTGAAAAAACAAAAGTAGACGTCTGAGGCGAGAATCGGACGAGTGCTCCGAATGCCGGCTAGTACGGCACACAGTCACGGGCTCGGCGTCATGTTTTGGCTCGAGCGACCGTCGCCTTTGTCTAAATCGCCAAAAGTACATTTCTGCGGACGAATGCTGACTACATGAGCGAACGGCCGAAACTGTGTTGAAAGGCATGCGTGTTTTTGGAGATCGATACTTGCCATATTCATCTCGAGCCTGAAGCCTCAGAGCAAGGAGGTCCAGCATCACGTGACTGATCGACGACGATATCCTTCATCGGGGCTAAGTCCTGCAGTCATCATGATCCTTCCCGTATGGTTTCGGGTTACACATACGAGAAGTAGTAATGATAATCGTTCCCACTGCCATTTGCACTCTGGCTGTGCACACTCAACAACCCGCCTGGACGTGGGCGCGGTGGGTTCGGCGGCCCTACAGAATTATAGAAGATGTCAGGTGGTCCGCTGCTGCTCGAGATGGTCGGCGAGTGATTGGTTCGGAGTGTTCCGAGATCAATCTTGATTGGCGAGGCAGGTCGACGATAGTCCTCGTTTAAAGTCCTTGGTGCAAGGACAGATTGGTGCACCAAACCGAAGATCTGATTCGTAGTTGTTTTTGAATGTTGGATTGCTAATTTTTTCACCAGTCAACGGCTCAGTTCCGCGGCGTAGGCTTGACGTCCTGTCTGATCGACAATTGTTATGTTAGTCCAGGGCACGACGAGCCTTGTTGCAGTGTTGCATCGACAGGTATTTAGAGTTCAGGGCAGAGTCGGGCAACTGCCAATCTCTGCCTTTGCGAGCGCTCATGGACAATTCGTTACCTAGGTAGTCTGAAGTTCTATGAACCTGTGCTTGACGTACTCATCACACCGAGGTCTGACGATCCACGAGATCAATACAAAGTCCCATCAATGATAATCCAAGACGTCGTCAAACCCGAAAACAACATACGCGGTCGGAGCCAATGGACCGAGAAGAAAAACAGGCTCGAATGCAGGTGGACGTCTCACGTCAGCAGCAACATGGAAATCCAAAAGAAACGCGGACGTGTAGTTCCGACCTAACCTTGGAAGCCACTGTATTTTTAGATTCCCCGAGGAACCTCATCGTGCGCGTTGGCAAAGTGGACGGAGCCTGCATGCACACGGCGACCTGGTCAATATATCTTTATGCAGTTGCAACACTCCGTCTTCGTGTCGACGCGCGACATTGTCTCGAAGAAGGCATTCCTGCTTCGTTCGACCTGCGAAGGAGACAACGGAACCACGAATCGATAATGCGTCGTGCCTGTAGTATATCCACCAGAACGAGTTAGCCATTATCCATGTATAATTATGAGTGATGTTTGGTTTGTGTTCTGTGATAGCCGCGGATGGGACAGCGGCATGTCGATTCAAAGGCACTGCCTGATGAAGCAAGCCGGCCCCTTATGAGGTCGAGAAGGCGTAGAGAGAAACGAGAAGGCGCATTGACGTGGAATTGCCATTCACTGAGCTCCCTTTGTAGCAGTGCTGTCTGGGGAAATAATCCTCGCCTCCAGTGTGTCCATAGACCCAGATCCCTCCAACTATCTATCGATCACTCTGACAAATCCTTGAGAGCGTTTATCCCCCGTCTCCCCCACACTCTGCCTTGCTCCTGGACCACGCTGCAACTGTGAAAGATGAAAACCAATCAGCGATTTAAACCCCCAAGGACACCCTCCACCCAACCTCTCGCATCAACGCCAATGCCTCCACCCAGCGCTCCCGCAGCGGCAGTTCCAGCTCCAATGCCAGCAGCAGTACTCCCAGCAGGAGAATTCGACCCTCCACCTCCGCCAGTCACGGCCGAGAGTGAGGTCCATCCTGTGCCTTTTGCTCCATGGTCTGGTGACGTCGAGGAATAAGGGCGAAGGGAGAGTGCGGACCACATACTCGCCGCGGCACGGCTGAGGCCATCTTGTTGCTGCTGTTGCTGTTGTTGAGAACTTTGCATTTGAGCTTGTGCTGCTGTGAGGGGGGTATTGGAAGGGGAGGAAGAGTAGAGATTGGATTCGGAGGTATTAGTTGGCGCGGGGAGATTGTTGCCATTGCGGACGAGGACTGCGATGCGGTCGTTTGAGGGCGGTGGACCGCGCTGGGAAGGGGAGGTTGTGGAAGGAGGTCCTGGGAGGGTGGAATTGGAAGTTGCGAATGAGATTTGGAACGAGGTCCCATCGTTGTTGTTGTTGGAGGATAAGTTGGGCTTGGCGTTTCGATTGTGGGATGCGGGGGCTTTTGCTGAAGGTTCATCCGAGGGTGGGAGACGAAGCCAGACAACCCACCAGCCGCGAGAGGTCTTACTCGTGCGTTCGAGATCGTGGCGGATCAAACCTGAAGGCGTCGCAGTCGAGGACGAGGGTTGAGATGAAGTGCTCAAGAGGGTGTTGAGGACTTGACTGTGGACATTGAGCGCTTCGATGCGAGTCCAGGCGGTTGTAATGGTGGACTTAGTATTGCCAGAGCCACCGCGAGAAGTCATGGATAAGCCTTCGGCTGCCGGAGTGCCAGGCTCGGGAATATTAGGAATACTGGTCAAAATCGTCAAACGTTGCGGGTCGTAAATAAGATCATATATGGGTGCGGATTCGTCGAGAGAAGTCTGTTTGAGACTCTTCGGATCGAGCAGATGTCCTGGCACAGCAGCTCGAGAAGCGTTAATGCGCTCGATGAGTCGGGCGGGACTGGTCGATGAGACCATGGGCTTGTGGATTGCAATCAAGTTCCGATGTAAGCTCTTGTAGAGTCCGGACATTTGTAATGATGATGTGCGGTTCTCAAAGAGGAAGCAGTATACGAATGGCCTTCGGGCATAGACGACAACTCGGAGCCGACGGAAATTCATTGTAGCATCATTCCCAAATTGCGGCGGCAAGAATTCTACCGTATCGAGTGCATCGAGGCCTTCCATGATCGTGCTATCTCCTAGTTTAGCGCGTCTGTATTCTGATTTGACATGCTCAGGGGTCAATTCCAAGTAGACTGTTCTGACCAAAATTCGTGCAGCATCGTCGTCTTCTCCGGAACCGGTACTACTCTCGCTTGGGTCGCCTTCTGACTTGACATCGTCCAGATCTCCCACCAGGCCGACGACAAAGTGACCTTTGTTTTCAAGAGATCGTTGTCGTACCATCTTAGCTTGTCGTGGCTCGCCATCAGGAATAGGTTCAACTTGCGCAAGTGCTACGGTATCGTCCTTTGAACTAGGTCCACTGTGATCAGTCTGCTTCGATCGGGTTGTAGCTTTGATCGTGTTAGAGCTTGATGTTGAAAGTCGACGCATATGGGGACGCTTAGATGGCGCAGGTTTAGCGAGAGTACTTAGACCCAGGGTGAGATATTTCATGTACTGATCTGGAATCCCCATCGTTGTGCCTGAATCTGACGCCTCAGCCGCACCGTGGTCTGCGTCGGATTCTACTTGTCGGGTAGCCTTGTCCAGCGCTTGCTCGATAGCCACGGCGATTGGAGCCGGAATCTTCGGTCCACTTGTGCTTGACGTCGTTCGGTCCTTGATGTTTGCTCGCTTTGCAGTCTCGACAGAAGACCTTGTGCCCTCTGTTCGTACCTCGTTTGATTCTGCTTTCGGATGCCAGTCTTTAGCATCAACATCCTCTGAAGCTCGTGCTAGTGGTTTGATTGGGTCGGGTTCTCTTGCAGGCGGAGGCCTTCGCCGACCTCTCCTGCGCTCTCTTGAAGGATGATCACGAGCACCATACGCATGCTCGCCATATGTATAAATCTGCCTCATCCAGATAGACAAATTCCGTAACGAGGGTCGAGAAAGAATCTGTGAACCTGCAAAAACGACTCCATCATGTGCCTGAGGAAGATTACCACTTCCCATCCATGGAACTTCATCTCGATCATGTGAATTTTCCGAGTCTGATGACGGAGAATCACCGAATCGTGATACTATCACATCAACGAGTCCTTCTGTTCGCCTCGTCAAGTCCTCCAAGACATCTCTTTCGCCACTTCCCCACGTCTCTTCGCCCACACCCATACCCAACTCTCCTCCGCCCGACAACTTTAGACCACTGAAAAGGTCTGCAGATGGATTGCCATGTAGAAGAACATCCCAACTTCGAGCAAATCTGATCCAAAATCGTGCCAAGAGATTGCAAAACTTAGGCCGTGGCTGTCGAATGTACAACTCAGTTATGGAAGGACCGTTGTGCAACTGGAAGATATGATGCGCCTGTAGGATCTGTTGAATCAAAAGAGGCGCTGGGCTGACTTCTCGTGACGAGTATTCAACGGTTGCTGGCTTGTCGGTAGTCGATGAGCTCTTTTTGGAAGAAGATTTGGATGGCGCTTGATTGGCGGTGGGTAATCTTGTGAGGTCGACAGACTATAACAGAATGAGATAAGTTTCACCGTCGAGGTGACTTCTAGCAGACCACATACCGCCAGCACCCACCAGCCAGGTTCAAGCTCTTGCATTACAATCCTTGACTTTTCCGTATCAACTGAGTCGACGGGTCGTCCATCAGAAAACGTCCTGTAGGCCTCACTCATGTCAGACCAGATTGCTCTTTTCACACAAGGATAGCAAGCGTCCCAAATCTATTCCTCCAAGAACCTACCGAGCGAAATCAATGATCCCCTGTGCCAGCCCAATCTGTCTCAACTTCTCATTCTGCTCCTCCCGGAGCGCATCTCCCCCAGCACCATCCTGACGTGCAGTTTTTCGGGCTTCATCTGTCGCGCGTGAGTACCAAAAGACCAGCTGATCGGGAAAAGTCTCATCGGTCGGACCCAACGTCGGGTTGTAGATGCCGAGAAAGGACAATCGAGCGGGGACGACGACGGAGGAGCTCTGCCATGGCGAGGACGAAGAGCTCATGGCCTAAGGGTATTTCGAAGAGGTGGGTGTGTGTGAGCGTGATAGTTTCCGATCCATGATTTGACCCTGCAGCTAGGCCATAATACTAATTCGCGGCATCGAGTGTCGTCAAGCGGGGAGTGCGCCCGCAAGAGCTCCATCGGGCTTCGGAGGTACCTACCTAGGTAGGCACGGATGACGAACGTAACGCGATAAACACGCCAATACACGTGAGAGGGCTCGCTGCACCGACCGACGATATTATTAAGCATGAGAATCTTTATGCATACACAATTTTCGATACAGTGCATTTCTTGCATTTGAAATCATCCCTACCTAGGTACTGGAAGATACATTTCTGGAACAATGTCCTGATGGTGGACCCTGAGAAACGACATCTGTTTGTCCGGTATTTTCGGGAGTTCCATGCTCCCTAAAGTCCGCATCTTGCATCTCGGACGACTGCACAATGACAGCGGCCAAGGCGCAAAGATCGTCCGAGTCTGCATAGATGGTGCGCCTCATCACAGAGATGCGCCGCTTAGTTTCGAGTTGCGTCGTAGGAAGGCTGCGGATGCCGTGATCGTTTTGTGATGGTGACGATGATTTCGTGAGATTGCATTTGGTTATTGTTGTGCTGTACGAATGTCGAGCCGATGATTTTTGAGGCCATAAACGATTTACGAACGTTGGATCCTGTTAGCAACCCTACTACAGTCTACAGTATTGCTGAAATCATGATTTTCTCATGCACGCAACCAAAACATTTTGATTGGGACCCGGCTGCGATACCGTGTACAGTATCATCAAGAGGGAAGAGCAGCTGCAAATGCGACAGTGCCTACGCACAGTGACGAATGTACAGTTCGGTATAGACCAGTGCCGGGAGCACTAAACGTTTTCGATCCGAGTCTCGTGTAGTGCCCTTGTCCATATCCACGTGGGAATAACCCGGCACTGCCAGGCCCAGATTTGGCGGATCTTTGATCGGCGTTTTTAAGCAACCTGTAGGTGTTCATTGTTAATCAGACGGGAAGAGGTGAAGCCGTGACACCAGCAGGGGGCTTGTCGGAAGGAATTCCACCTCGCGTGTGCAACCTCATCTTTTATCATCTTGATCTAGGGGTCTCGCTTCAACCGACATTGCGATACGGAAATACTGTTCCTTTGCCAAGCCGCACCGGACGAGTTTGGTAGGGAGAACTATGGCCGGACGAATGATATGCTCCCGCTCTCTTTGTCCGGACTAATGCTCCATTCCACTTGTCAGAGAAAGTGATGCGAGAAGACGAAGGGAGAGACTGTCAGCATTTTCGGCGCCGCTGACGTCTCCAGCCCATCGCGGCACAGGGCGATGTCTCTCCCGAAAAATCAAATAAGCTTTTTGAGCCCACGAACAAGTCGCGGGCGAATCGAGATTGTCATCCTAGGGCATACCTAGGTAGCTTGCATAACTTTTAACCTTGGGCATCACCAAATCCGAGATCCGTAAAGATATATCGTAATGTACCGCGCTAAATTGCCATGCGTCCAAGGGGATATCCTTCGCAGTCGTGTTTCTAGAACATTGAGGCTCGGCGGGAGCGCTTGGCATTGGTTGAGGCGTGGTCCTCCTACTAGATTCGGGACGACAACGCAGTCATGGAAATTATCATGTTGAGCATGACGTGTGAGAATAGGTCATGGTGGAACAGCGAAGCTATTGCAGCGACGGCATGCTAATCATTGTCACTGTATCATTGCCGAAGACGTCTCGGAACTGCATCTCCGAACCAGGACAGGGCATTATCCTGCTTCTAGAGCAGTCTTCTTCGAAATCGCTCGGAACCTTGGAAGGCTACAATACTGATCGGTCCGGAACTCCGAAACACAAGTCAGCCTCACGGAATTTTCGATAATCCATCCGAAATGAGTGAACGTGCAAGACAAGCAGGAACAATAAATTGCGAGGGCATGATCCTCATATCGTGGCCCTCCGAGAGGACCCTGTGGCCATGGTGGTGGCTGGATGCGCCAGATGATGGCTTGCAGCAAAGCAAAGGCATTATCGTATCTCGTTTGACCCATCTCTACCGTTTCCGGATACAAATGCAAGAAGTCAGTGTACGGAGGGTGCTTCGGGGCTTAGCTGCATTCGGAGGAAGCGCCTCATGGAGATTGCAATTTGTGAGGTCGTAGCCCCAGAGGATGCACGGAAGCGACGAGGATTTCCTCGAAACGGGGGATATCTCGCCATCACAATGTTCACGACGTACTGCATCTTATGTGCACAGCATAAATCGCTGCTATTGATCTCCGTTGAACCTGTTATCTCCGTACAAACACCGCGAAGACGGTGGTGATGTGCGGCACAGGCAGTGATGTGACTGGTGTGGTAAGGATAAGAAACAGCATCGTCATCGATCATCAGTGTGATAATGGTCTTGTCTGCCGCGAAGTTCCGAGGGTGAGGCGTCGAGAATTTTTATGCACGCGATGCTTTTGCCGGAAATGGATGAGATCGGCACTGAAGTCTTCCGTCACTTCACATCACGTCACCTCACTATGCTCTGCGCTGCGACCCGTCTCGACTTTCCTCCGAGCATTTCTTCGGGCGTCTCATGGGCTAGGACAACAGTGAGACCAATAATTAATGTTGTCCCGCGTGTGCCGAGACCGAATTGAATCATGACTCAAGTAGTATTATGCACACCATTGTCAGCCGCTCCCACGGATTGTATTGGACCAACACCACCTGCATTCCCACGTGTGATGAAATGGTAGAGAAAAAGTTATGCATTCTGGCTGACGTGACCCTCGCAATTGTGAACGCGCTCGACCACACACACACACCACCATCACGACCACCATCATCACGATGGATTAAGAATAAATGCAAAACCCATCCCTCTTCACTTTGTAATTCTCCTACAATCCTCATCCTTCTCAGTTTTCAGCAATCACGATCGCGACAGGGTCTTCACCTATCGTGATTCCGTCCATCAACGACCAACACAATTCATTAACACCAACCGTGATTTCTGAGAAGCAAACGCGTCTTTCATCGATCGCGGTAGTCCGTCACCGCCATTATGTCCCTCGTGGGCAATTTCCTGTTTGGAAATTATGACCGCACCGCAGAGCAAGCCGGTGCTGGTTCGACCGGCTATGGCCGTCGCCCGAGTTTGATGGACCACGAATTGGAACGCCAATCCAACTCATCTAGAAGACCAAGTTTAACGCCTTCCCTCAGCCGGACGCGAAGCAAATCCGTCTCCCAAGGCGTTCAATCTTCTCCCGCAATTCCTCAGACCGCAACGATCCCCGAATTGAATTCGGATCATCCCACGCCTCTCGAGCAGTCCGAGTTGGCCAAACAAGGCTTGGAGGATGCCGAGACGCCTCCAGCCAAATTCGAGACATCCGACGATGAGTACTACGCGGAAGAGAACCAGACCATCGCCGATCTAGCTCTCACCTTGAGCCGGAGGCCGACCTTCAACAATGTCCCTAGCAACCCTTTTGAAGCCGAGAAGGATTCTGCCCTGGACCCGCACTCGCCGAACTTCCGCGCGAGAGAATGGGTCAAGAGTATGATCAAGCTCAACCGCGATGACGGCCGAACTCCTCTGCGTACCGGCGGCTTTGCCTTCCGCAACTTTGGAGCTCACGGCTTCGGAAATGCCACCGACTATCAAAAAGATGTTGGTAACATCTGGCTGGAGACCGTTGGCCTCACGAAGAAGGTCCTCGGTCTCAGCAAGCCACGCCGGATTGATATCCTGCGTGACTTCGAAGGTGTCGTTGAGAGTGGAGAGATGCTGGTCGTTCTAGGCCCTCCTGGATCTGGCTGCTCGACTTTCCTCAAGGCACTCACCGGAGAGACACACGGCTTCAATGTCAACGACGAGTCTTACGTCAACTACCAAGGCATTCCCACCAAGAAAATGCACAAATACTTCCGAGGTGAAGCTATCTACACAGCCGAAGTTGATGTGCACTTCCCTATGATGACTGTTGGCGATACCCTGGACTTCGCTGCTCGCGCAAGAGCTCCTCGGATGATTCCCAATGGTTACAGCAAGCAGGAGTGGTCCACTCACCTTCGCGATGTCATCATGGCGACTTTTGGCATCAGCCATACCATCAATACTCGCGTGGGTAATGACTACGTCCGAGGTGTCTCTGGTGGTGAGCGCAAGCGTGTGACCATCGCCGAAGCTGCGCTGAGCGGTGCAGTCATCCAAGCTTGGGACAATTCCACTCGTGGTCTAGATTCTGCCAACGCCATTGAGTTCTGTAAATCCGTTCGCCTCAGCACCGAACTTCAGGGCTGTGCCGCCATGGTCGCCATCTACCAAGCCCCACAGGCGGCTTTCGACCAATTTGACAAGGCGATTGTCTTGTATGAAGGTCGTCAAATCTACTTCGGTACCACTACGCACGCACGCAGGTATTTCGAGAACCTTGGCTTCGTCTGCCCTGATCGACAGACCACTGCCGATTTCTTGACTTCCATGACATCTTCTCAAGAGCGTGTGGTCAAGGAGGGTTTCGAAAATCGTGTTCCTCGTACTCCTGATGAATTTGCTCAGGCTTGGAAAGAAAGCAAAGAGCGCGAGCACCTCCTCAAGCAGATCGATGCTTATGACAAGCGTTTCCCATTCGAGGGTCAGGCATACCAAGACTTCGTCGAGAGCCGAAAAGCTCAAAAGTCGAAACAACAACGTCTCAAGTCTCCTTACACCCTCTCCTACCCACAACAGGTCCAACTTTGTCTCTGGCGTGGCTTCAAGCGTCTGCGCGCCGACCCTTCCTTGACCTTCAGCCAGCTCTTCGGTAATTTCGCCATGGCACTCGTCATAGGATCAGTGTTCTACAATCTGGAAGTATCTACAAGTTCCTTCTACCAACGCGCCGCTGTCCTATTCTTCGCCATCTTGATGAACGCTTTCGGCTCCGCTTTGGAAATCCTCACACTCTACGCTCAACGCCCAATCGTCGAGAAGCAAGATCGTTATGCTCTGTACCACCCTAGTGCTGAGGCATTTGCATCGATGCTGACGGACTTGCCGTATAAAGTATTGAACGCCATCGTGTTCAACCTTACCGTCTACTTCATGGCCAACCTTCGTCGGGAACCCGGTGCCTTCTTCTTCTTCGTCTTTATCAGCTTCATCTTGACCTTGACTATGAGCATGATGTTCCGGACCATCGCTTCGGTTTCAAGGACCCTCTCACAGGCTATGGCTCCCGCTGCAATCATTATCTTGGCTATTGTCATATTTACTGGTTTCGCAATTCCTGTCAACTACATGCTCGGCTGGTGTCGATGGATCAATTATATCGACCCCGTTGCATACGGGTTTGAAGCACTCATGATCAATGAGTTTTCAGGACGCAACTACGTTTGCAGTGATCGTGTACCAGTCTACGGTAACCTTCAAGATCAGACTCAAGTGTGCTCTGCTGTTGGATCATCTCCAGGATTGCCCTATGTTGAAGGCGCGAATTACATCATGTCCGCCTACCAGTACCAGCCAATCAACAAGTGGCGCAACGTGGGAATCATCTTTGCATTCATGATCGGACTCATGTTCTGCTACCTTGCTGCCACCGAGCTCGTCAGTGCTCAAAAGTCCAAGGGCGAAGTTCTCGTTTTCCGCATGGGCCACACTCCCGCTTCGCTCAAGGAGAAGAGGTCTGACGAGGAGACTGCTGATGCTGGTGATGGCGCTGCTCTGGGAAAGAAAGAAACTCACACTGAGGCTACTGACATCATTCAGAAGCAGACAGCGATCTTCAGCTGGAAAGACGTCTGCTACGATATCAAAATCAAGAGCGAAGAACGTCGTATTCTCGACCACGTTGATGGCTGGGTCAAGCCTGGTACTCTCACTGCTTTGATGGGTGTATCCGGTGCCGGCAAGACGACTCTTCTCGATGTTCTCGCCACTCGTGTCACGATGGGTGTCATCACTGGCGATATGCTGGTCGATGGCCGCCAACGTGACTCGTCATTCCAGCGCAAGACCGGATACGTTCAACAGCAGGATCTTCATCTCCAGACCACTACCGTTCGTGAAGCTCTCAACTTCAGCGCACTTCTCCGTCAGCCAAAGCATGTCTCTCGCAAGGAGAAACTCGAATATGTCGACGAAGTCATCCGACTTTTGGATATGGAAGAATACGCAGATGCCGTGGTCGGTGTTCCTGGTGAAGGTCTCAACGTTGAACAGCGCAAGCGTTTGACCATCGGTGTCGAACTTGCTGCCAAACCGGAGCTGCTTCTCTTCTTGGATGAGCCCACTTCAGGTCTTGACTCTCAGACTTCCTGGGCTATTTGCGACTTGATGGAAAAGCTCAAGAACTCCGGACAAGCTATTCTCTGCACCATCCACCAGCCTTCAGCCATGTTGTTCCAGCGTTTCGATCGACTCCTGTTCCTCGCCAAGGGTGGCCGTACCGTCTACTTTGGCGAGATTGGAGAAAATTCTCACGTTCTGTCCTCTTATTTCGAACGCAACGGCAGCCATGCTTGCCCCAATGATGCCAACCCTGCCGAATGGATGTTGGAAGTCATTGGAGCCGCACCGGGAACCTCCACCGACAAAGACTGGCACCAAATCTGGCGCGACAGTCCCGAATACCAAGACGTTCACAAAGAACTCGAACGCCTCAAGCAAGAGCGTCCTGAAAAAACCGAGCCCTCGGCTAGCCCCAACGACAAGGAGAGTTACCGCGAATTTGCCGCGCCGTTTGGTACTCAGCTGTGGGAGGTCACGATCCGAGTCTTCCAACAATACTGGCGCACACCCTCGTACATCTACTCGAAATTCGCTCTCTGTCTGCTCTCGTCCCTCTTCATCGGCTTCATCTTCTACAAATCCCCGCTTACGCACCAGGGATTGCAGAACCAGATGTTGTCCATCTTCATGACCTTCACGATCTTCGGTCAGCTGGTCCAACAGATCATGCCGCACTTCGTCACCCAACGATCCCTCTACGAAGTCCGCGAGCGTCCCTCTAAGACTTACTCCTGGAAGGCTTTCATGATCTCCAACATCGTTGTCGAACTGCCCTGGAACAGCCTGATGGCCGTCATCATGTTCTTCTGCTACTACTACCCCGTCGGCCTGTACAACAACGCCATCCCCAGCGGCGCCATCGCCGAGCGCGGAGCACTGTTCTTCCTCTTCATGTGGCAATTCCTGCTCTTCACCTCAACCTTCACCAACATGGTCATCGCAGGCATCGACACCGCCGAAAACGGTGGAAATATCGCCAACCTGATGTTCACCCTTACCCTCATCTTCTGCGGTGTCCTCGCCACCGCGCAATCCCTCCCGGGCTTCTGGATCTTCATGTACCGCCTCAGCCCCTTCACCTACTTCGTCGGCGGCTTCCTCGCCACCGGCCTGGCCAACACCAAGACCTACTGCGCCGACAACGAATTCGTCTCCTTCCGCCCCGCCAACGGCGCCACCTGTCGCGACTACATGCAGCCGTACATGTCCGTCGCGGGCGGATACCTTCAGGATCCGAACAACACCGACATGTGCTCCTACTGCACTTATGACGACACGAATGTTTTCCTGGCGCAGTTGGGTATCTCGTATGGTGACCGCTGGAGGAACTTTGGCATCATTTGGGCGTACATTATTTTCAACGTCTTCGCCGCCGTGGCGTTGTATTGGCTTGTGAGGATGCCGAAAGGCGGGAAGAAGAAGGACGAGGCGGATAAGAAGGAGGAGAAGAAGAACAAGGGAGAGAAAGATGTGGAGAATAATTGATCTCGGGGTGTTTGATTTAATCTTGTGTCGCCATTTTGTTTCTAGACAGCGCGGCGATCTCGGGGGATTTTTTGGATGTAAACGATGGGATTACGATATTTCTACTTAATGGATTGCATTCAATGACTTTCGCATCTTTTCTGGATCTCTCATTCAAAACTAATATAGAGCGCTTGAAAGGAGGAGGGTGGAAGTAATAGTTCCAAAGCTTCAATTGAATCAAAATCCGACCACAACACGCGTGCAGTCATTGTCTGTTGACGCCGTAGCAAAGCGTATGGTCAGTGTCTCAATTGCTAGACTACACATGCTCCTCAAAAGCCGCAATCGTATCCGCATACAACTTACGCACAGCATCCGGCTCCTCATCGGTGCCATAGAACAAGCCCCCTTCCCCGATGGGAAACAACACTCGGTGAAGCTGGAGGGCGAGCGGTATCAGCGAACGAGGGGAACATTGAATTCCTCCTCGACCATTGTGAGAAACGCCTGCGGTTGCAAATATTCCCATTTCTGATCGCGCACCTGCCGCCATTTCATCCCCAGCCAGCCTTGTAGACGACCATGAGGCGGAGGAAGGTCTGTGCATTCTTTGCCATTACAACAGATTGCGACCCATAGAAATACGTAGAAGAGCGGTTCAAGACCGTGCCAGTAGCTGTGGACATTATTTCACAGTATGCCGATGGCATGGAGTCCTTGCGATCCGAGGATCCAGTTCTTTGGCGGTCTCATGACGGAGATCAAGAGCCCTTTCCAAGTCGATCAGAATTCCCGTCGGAGCCTCGGGATTGATTCGACTTCCTGTCGATATGATGATATTCCCTCGGCTGACGTCTCGATGTAGGATATTGCCGTCGAGAAAGCGTGAGCGGAGAGCTTTCGCGACGTCACGGAGCGCTTTCAAGAGTTTGGCAGTCGTTGAGAAGGAGTCCAGTGGCAGACCTGTGGATGTATCACGATGAAATTGAAGTGCAAGTTGCTAAACTTCTCAATCGAGCTGCTTACACTTACGACTTGTGCTGCAGGACTAGTCTGCGAGTCCACATGTGTCGCAGACTGCCGTGTACCTACCTTTGATCAACCAAGTTCTTGCGTAACACTCGCTCGGCGTCATAGCTCCGAAGCCCAACGCGAAGTTGCTGAATCCATGCTTTGCATTTCCATCAACAATGATATGAAGATAGACAGTACGAAATAAGTGCATCCACATCCCCTTCCATCTCATACCCAGCCACAATTCTCATCACTCACTCATGGATCCTAACATGCGGCCTCGAAGTATCAAAGCCAAAAACCTCCTTAGCTCGGTACTTCTCCTCCAAGAACGCTTCCTCCTCCACCGTCAAAACCTTCCCATTCGCCGCAATAGCCTCCTCCATCCGCTCCACACTACTAAACCCGATAATCGGACTCGCGATCCTCGCATTGATCCACGCCAGCGCGACATGGCTCATCGGCCAACTTTTCTTCTCCGCAATTTCGCTCACGCGTCCGATGATCTCGGCGTCGGCGTCGCTCGGCGCGGGCTGGTTCTCGGAGCGGATGGTGCTGCTGGCGGAGGTGAGCGGTCGCGCGAGCGCGCCGTGAGCGAGCGGTCCCCAGGGGATGAGTCCGACGCCGGTTTCGTGGCAGAAGCGGATCATTTCGCGCTCTTCTTCGCGGTAGAGGAGGTGGTAACAGTTTTGCATGCTTTGGAGAGTTAGCTTTTTCCTTTCAGACAAAGAACGTGCTTCCATACAATGAGACGTTCTTTTTCTCCCCTGAGGGTTTTCTCCGGATCCTCTCCGAATTTGAAGAGAGCCCGCTAGTCTTTTCAACCATGCAAGTAGAAGAAGAACTAAAGGGAAAGTAAGCGAGGGGGAAAGCTCACCTAATAAACTTCGTCCACCCATGTTTCTCCGCACACCACTGCATCCTCGCAAACTGCGTCGCCCACATGCTACTCGCACCGATGTACCTCACCTTGCCACTCTGCACAAGATCATGCAGCGCCTTCATCGTCTCCTCGATCGGCACGGTCTTATCAAACCGATGGATCTGCAACAAATCGATGTAATCCGTCCCCAGCCTCTTCAGACTCGCCTCGACGGCATTGAAAATCCCCGCGCGGGACAAACCCCTCTGGTTGATGTAATCCGCCGTGTTATCGATGTCTTTGAGCGCCAACGTCTCGGGATCGTTGCCCTCGCGCACCGTCCCGCAGCATTTGGTCAGCAGGACGAGTTTGTGGCGCGGGAGGGAGTATTTTGCGATCGCGGCGGCAATGAGTTCTTCGGAGCGTCCGTTGCTGTAGACGTTGGCTGTGTCCCAAGTCGTGATGCCTCGATCATAGGCGGCTTTCAGGAGCGGCAGGGCTTCGGATTCTTCGAGCACCCAGGGTTGCCAGCGCGCGTCGCCGAGGGACATTGCGCCGAGGATGGGCACGGAAACGCGTAGGCCGGAGGCACCGAGGCGTCGGTAGATGGCTTTGGGGACTTGGTGGATGGTGGATGGCGCCATGATTATGGGTTCTTGTTTGTTCACTTGTTTGATGGTGTCGTTATGGAGTGGAAGGAAACGTGGACTCCGCTACAGTGCAAATCAGAGTTCTAGAGAGATTGACAATGCAGCCTACAACGCCATTGCCATAGTTAAGCGATGAGCAGAATGCGATTACTATTCATATTTCGGATTTACTTTTAACCCCGGAAATGTTCCAATTCATGCAGGAGGCCTTATCGAAGTCATCTCTTGACACTCATGAAAGACAATTCCACACCTGAAGACTCGTCCGGTGGAGTCCGGAGCTCGTCCGGTGAATGATGTTTCGAATTCGTCCGGTTCGAGTTCGTCCGAGAAGCAACTTTATCGAGCTCGTCTGTCCGGCCGGTGACGTAGAAGTGCCACCCGGCGCCCGCCCAGCGCGTTCAGGTCTTAGGGTTGTATGTACCTGATTAATCCAGGCACGCCAGGTTTTGGACTTCTAAGGTCGGGCGTGGACAGAGTGCATTGATGTCAATTCTTCCTTGTTTCGTCTTTCTATCGACATTCATGGATATTCAAAGCAGATCAATCCCCGCAATCTAAACATATCATAAACATGCCCCTCAAATTCTATCTGCCAGCAGTCATCGGCGCAACGACATGCTCCGCGGGATGATCTCCACTGATTAGACTCATCTGACTTTCCTCATCTCCCGCTCCTCCGGCATCGCCATAATCTGGACTAGCAGCTTTCCCGACACTCTTCTGTAGGGCGACGACCATTGCCGAGCCTAGAATCAGACTTGAGCCTAGAATGGACAGCAAACCGGGAGAGTGGCCAAAGACCAGTCGGTCGGCGCCGAGGGCGAACAGCATTTGTACATAGATCAAGTTGGTGGCGCGAGATGACTTCTCGTACGCTAGGGCGGAGACGAGGAGGTATTGCTGTTCATTCAATTTTAATCAGTGTCTGTTGTCCGAATTTTTCCATCGAAGCGTTTCGAGGATCGTCATTGTACATACCATGATAAATCCGCAAACTCCCAGGAAGATGAGGTAACTCCAATCTTTCAGGTCAGTCGGGAGCAAGAATCCCACCTCCGGCAGAGCAATTTGAAGTATTAAGCATACGACAAAAGTAGTGCTCGCGAAGTAATTCACGCTGATGAGCGGATGTGCTCGTTTCCCGATCCAGCGAAGGACGGTGTAGGCAGTGGCGGCACCAAGGACTCCCAGCATGGCGACGCCAACAGCGCTGAGCCTTTGCAGCGGCGTAACACTGTCCAGATCGCCTACGGCCATTCGTGCGACGACTTCCGAGACATCTCCATCCGCGATCATCACTTTCGCCTTATCTGAATGGACGGCGGCATGGGTCTGTCCGAAAACTTGGAAGATCGTCGCCGGTCTAGCAATCAGGACGACTCCTGCCATCGAGACTAAACCTCCAATCTTCTCCGTCCGGGTGAAGGGTTCACTTAAGAGAATTGAACACGCCCAACTCGCCAATCCCGGCGCCAGAAACGTGATGACCGTCGCCTCGGCCAAAGGCAAATACATCAGGGAATAGTACATCCCGAACACACCAAAGAAGCCCGCGAAACCCCGCAACACTAGGAGTCTACGGACTTCGGGCGCGCCGAAGGGGAAATGTGGCGTCTTGGTCACGTACATGTATGTGCATCCGCAGACGATGGTGAGCGCCATGCGCGTGAAGAGAATCTGGAGAGGATGCATCCCCTTTCCTTGGTTGGCTTGGACTTCGAGGAGGCGGGTCATCACGTTCATCACAGTGCCGAAGAGCTGGGCGATCAGCATGTAGAGAAGTCCCAGATTGTGGAGATAGAAGGCTCGGAAGCGGACCCGCCAATTTTGGGTTGTCAGTGGCCGTCTTGATGACGATGTGGTGGGTGGCGTAGGTTGATCATATTCATGAAATGAGAAATCGGACAGTGTGTCGGGGGAGAGAGGACGGACGGGACCTGTCCGTGTTGCGGTCAGGAAGCCATTGGCGTCGACTCCGGGTCGTCCGAAGCGATCGTCGACTTTTGGAGAGGCGGTTCGGACTGTATGATCTTGACGCGTCAGACGCTCCATCTGCACATCGACTAAAGCGTCTTTGTTGTCCGTGATGGACCCAGTTCTGGGTGGCAAGCTCATGTTGATGGACTGGCGGATTGATCTCTGCTGTCAGAAGTCATGGGTCTAGGGAATCCACGACTTGGTGAAGAACGGTGCAGGAACAACAAAGACATGACGAGCATTGAGTTGCAGAGAGTCATGATGCACTCTGGACATCGAATCGCCCGCCTCCATTTGCACTGACTGATAGCACCTGGGCAGATCTGGTTTAGCGTCCGAATGTGATCGCGTGTGTGGAGAAAGCGGGTAAACGTGGTGGTGGTGGTGGTTGCTTGACCCGCAGCAGGAATTTTCGACGGCGCAGGCATGAATCCGGCTAGAACGATATCGGATGATGCTTGATGATGAAGAAGAAGTGCACCTATTCCGGCGGAACCCCGGCGCACAGAAGAAGTATCCGGCATATATATCCATACGATATGCGCTCGTTGTTATTACGATTGTCGATGACAGATACCTTTGGAATTTTACACCGACACCGACAGAATGCAGTCCTACTCGGAGAGTTCCACGCGTAGTCTGCCACATGGTTTGACGATCAATCGATGACGCGCCTGCGGACGTGCCGCCGAGACCTCGAAATGCTCAACGGTCATATTTCGGGCTGGATCTGATCATGGTCCCAGTAAGACGTCGCATCTCATCGCATCGCATCGCATTGCTTTCTTCCTCGCCCGAGCATCTTGTACATCAGCCGCGGTGCATGAGTTGCTGATCATGTTGTGATCTTATGAGGTCCCAATTGGCAGAACGAACAAACCATCACGATTTGTCCTCGATGTTGCCAGTTTTCATGGCTCACTCTGCGTTATGGAGGTTTTCTATGCAATGCTCACGGGCCTGGATATCTACATATCATGTACAAATCTGGGGTCCTAGAATACTGGCCATAACCACAAAATATCCATCCATGGATCTCTGTATCACTAGGGTTGTCTTCGTGAAGTGTCAACAGAGCCCTGTCGCTGGAGCGCTCTCCGATGGCGCAACAGGAACAACCTCGGCTAATAATTGGTTCCAGACAGGCAATATTGCGACCCTTGCCCTACGGTGGCATACAGACCACTACCGTGCCATGTATGCTCCTGAAATAGTGCTGTTGCGAACCGCCTACATATCAAAACTGTTTCCAAGAACTAGCCACCGATACATCGATCCGGAAATAGCAAGGAAAAAGTTGAGAATTCAAACAATAGACTAGAACGCACTGCCCAAGCAAGTTTCATAAAAACAATTCCCAAGAACTTAGGCACACCTCCAAGAAAAAAAAGAAAAGCAGGTAAAATGGCCGCCTCATTCGACACCAGCGACCTGACCTGGTGGACAATAATCGCCCACCCAACCTACCAATCCCTGCCGGGCCTCGAGAAACTCAAAGCGCTTCTCAGCCTGCCCGAGCGAGGCGAAGCCCGCTTTCTCTCCCGCTTCATGAAAGACCCAAAACTGATCCCGGTATCCTTCCACCAAACCAGCCCGCAAACCGTCACCGCGGCCTTCACATTCACCGTCGACATCTTCTACTGCAATGGCGGCGACAACCTGCACGGCGGCGCCCAGGCCGCGATCTACGACATGCTGACCAGTGTGGTCTTCCAGACCGTCTGTACGCCGGACTTCTGGGTCGGCGCGGGCGTCAGTCGGACGTTGAATGTTAGTTATCTGAGACCTGCGCCCGTGGGACTCGAGGTTCTCTGTGAAATCGAGGTGGTGGCCGCGGGCAAGAGTCTGAGTCTCCAGAGGGCCACTATGAAGAGGGTCAGCGATGGAGCGCCGTTGAGTACGTGCGAGCATCACAAGGTTGCGGTGCCGACGCCGAAGATTTGACGAGTGAATTTGTTTCCCCGGGCGGTGAGGAGCAAAAAGGGAGGATTTGTGACGACTACGTTTCGGGCTTCAATTGTGAATTTCTTATTTGGTTTGTGAATGGTTCCACCTTTTTGTTGGTCCTGAGCTGTCGTTGCTTTATTGCTTCATGATGACTTTTGGATTGGAACAGGATCTACAACCCTTAGAGCGGCGTGAGATACTTCTCTCGACTGAAGCTATTAGAATAATGCCTGTCAACGAATTTCCGATGAGATATGCTTCTAATAAAGAGCCACACCCCAAGTCTTTGATGGATTGACGGTCCTTCCCTCATCGCCCTCAAGCTTCAGCGCATCCAACGCCTTGAAGTCTTCATCCGACAATTTCCTAACCTGAAGATTGCTCTTAATCCTACTCGGGGTAGCACTCTTTCCCAACGGCACAGTGCCCCTCTGCACAGCCCAGCTCTGCAAAATCTGCCCGACATCCATCCCATTCTTCTCCGCCAGCGCGAGGACCGTCCCATCCTTCAAAAGTGTCTGACCGTCTTTCTTCTGGCCCGCGAATGGTGAATAGCACGTTGTGAGAATATCATGCTTGCGAGCGAATTCGATCAATTCCGTCTGCGGCAGCCAAGGGTGGACTTCGATCTGATTACATGAGATGGGAATCTCCTTTGAATGCGGCAGGAGCTCTTCGATGTCGGCGATGGAGAAATTCGATACGCCGATCGCGCGCACTTTGCCTTTCTTCACGAGCTCTTGCATTGCCTTCCATGTCGGGACGAAACTTCCCTCATGGCCAGCCTTTCTTGCGATCGGTGTGGAGGTGTGTCCCCAATCCACGACTATAGCACCATTCTCCTGGAGAATACCCTTGTCCTCCTGGGACTTTCCGTGGCCGGTTTGCGCTTTGAGGAGAGCTTCACGTGATATAGGCTTGAAAGTGACGGGCCAGTGAACGAGGAAGAGGTCGATATAATCCAACTGCGTTGCTTTGAGGACATGGTCGAGGCAGATCTCCACGTTCTCCGGAGCGAAGAAGTTCGGCCATGCTTTTGATGCTGTTCCACGCATGAATCAACATCTACAGTCCTCGTGTCTCATTTATTGACTGGTATAACACTTGAAACTCACTGACGAAAATCTCCTCGCGGGGAATGCCGGACTCTTTGATCGCAGCGCCGACGGATTCGTCTACACCGTACATCCATGCTCCATCGATGTGTCGGTAACCTTCCTTCAGTGCGGTGAGGGTGGCATCCTTGGCCCAGTCGTTCTCGCCTGAGGACCAGGTGCCGTAGCCCACCGAGGGTATCTCGATAGTGGTGCCATTGGCAGCTTTGAGAGGGAACGTCTTGGGCAGCGACATCATGAGTTTCTTGCTTGTTGAAGATCTGGTTGTTGCAATAATGATTTATTGCCTTCCTAGGTCGGTATAGTTGTTCTTATGAATGAAAAGCCGAGAAATGTCAAGGTCGTATTTCGAGTTGTAAATGATGATGCTTTTGTGCGTACGTCATACGCGCCCTACGTGCAATTGAAAGCGACACCCGCGGATCGCTGATTTCCAACAACCACACGAACTCGGCCTGTTCCGACTATCCGCAGATACTCACAAATAGACGAGGTGAATGTCATTGTTGCGTTTATTCTACTGGTGGCTGGTCTATTCCGCATCGTTCGGACAATGACCTTGCTTATTGTGAACTGCAGCCATGAACAAACTTCTGTCAAGGTCGATCGTTTGTCCGTCCGTCATGTTTCAACAAGCCAACAGTGTACCAAGGCTCAAAGTACATGATTGTACCTGGGTAATCGTGCCTAGGTTATTGCCATCATTTCCCTGCCCCCGGAGCATCACAGACCCGAATATTCAGATCTCGAGCATGATTCTCAACATCTGCCTCTTCTTCCAGGAAAGGTCCCCTCGTCACTGCATCATTGCAAATTTCGCTTCTGTGATCCTCCCAGTTCAATACGTATCCATTCCATTCTGCGGCCAGGTCTTCTTCAATGTCTTCGGCAATTTCGTATTCTTGCAGGTCACTCATGGCGTAGAATTGCTGCCGTAAGTCGTGATGGAACATTCGAGCGAAGACGAATGCCCGTTCGCGTGTTGTCCAGAATGAATACTTGAGATTCATGATCACGAAGGCCATTTCGCGCTCTATCGGGACGAGTGCTTCTGTTTGGCCATGGCTAATGGTATGTTAAGTTAAAGATCCGTAGTCTAGACCTCTGATGTTGCTCACTCGTGCTCGTCCAGCATACTTTCAGGAGTGTCCATTCTGACGATCAACCTGAGTTCGACAAAATAACCAAGCTGCTCGAGCGCGCGCGAAGAATGATAAGAACCGAGTCATCATGGAAATTTCACGTTTGATTGTGTCTATTTGTATGAGCGTATTGAGAAAGCAGGGATACTGCGATATGACAATTTCGAGTGTCACATCCCGAGAGCACATCAAGGCGTTTCGACAGAAAAAATCCGCCAGCGCATACCAGAACATTTTGCTGTCCTGCACCGAACAGAACTTGCGCGGCTTATCTGTGTACTGCGAGGCGAAGTGCCACGTTTGTGAAAAGATTTGCTGCATGCTGGCAGGGTCGCACAAAACCCCAAACCGTAGGCGGGACAAGGGATCAACAGGCCTCGGTCGAATCAATCCGTCTTCCCAGACAGCAAACTCATTTAGGCGGATCCGGGATCACCTCTCGTGCCTTCACAAATGCCTTCCTGTATAGCGCGCTCACAGTCTCCTCAATATTATCCTGTACCGCGTTCCAGTCCACGCTCTGTAACCTCCGCACTCCGTTCTCCAATTCTGCATTCCATTTGTCTTTTGCGGTCTCCCACGTTCCGCCGCGTACTTCACGGAATGGCGGCGGTGGAGGTAGAGGTTGAGGGTCGACAATGTTGTTGAGGACAGCAGCCTGCTGCTTGATCAACGCTGCCTGGTTGATGCGATTCCGTGTGTGGTATTGCGCTGAGAGGTAAAGTACCGAAGCTGTGAGCGTAAAGCCGCCGAGCTGCAATCATGTCAGTATCAAAGCGATGATGCGACACGAAGGAACATACCAAGCCGGTGGTGAAGCCCATAGCTTCAATGTCTCCTGCGTAGACTTATTTGCGACGTGAAGTACCTTCTATCCTGTAAACGAAGTACGCCTCGAGAACGTTGGTGTTGAGAGCTTGTCGGCGAGCTGGTCCGCAAACTGCCGAAAGGGGATGATCTCCGGATCTTCAATCGCTCGCTGCACTCGATCGTTCTTGGCGTCCAGACTTTCGAGATGCTCATTTGATCACGTCCTCCCATCTATTTGAATTATCACAGACTCATCGCAAACATGGCTGGTGGATTGATGAGATACAGAACGCTCGGTCGCGACTCCGCACATCGAAAAGCTCTCCTACGAAATCTTGTCACATCGCTGTTCAAACACGAATCAATATCGACAACATGGCACAAGGCGAAAGAGGCCCAGCGATGGGCGGAAAAGCTTATCACACTTGCGAAGCGTGACACACAGGCATCAAGACTTAGTGCGATGGGCAAAGTCTTTGTACGTGAGAGAAGTTATGGAGATGAAGATCAGAGGCTGACTTTGAATGCATGAAGGAGCCCGAAATAGTCATGCCCATTCTTTTCAACAAACTTGGAAAACGATATGCGGACAGACCTGGAGGATACACCCGAGTGCTTCGGATAGAGCCCGAGAAGGAGGATCAAGCGCCCTCCGCCATTCTCGAGCTCGTAGACGGACCCAAGGACATGCGCCTTGCGCTTACTGCGCGGACAATCGCCTTCGGTCAGAGCCAGGCAGAGGAGGAGAACCGTGAATTTGAAATCACGGATATGACAGCACACAACATCATGAAGGTGACGCGGTTCCGGAAAAATGGCGACGAGGATTTACATGAGATGGTCAAGAAATTCAAGGATCTGCACGACAAGGGCGACGAGGGCGTTGAAGAGATCAAGAAGAGGAGAGTCTATCCTGAACTGCTGCGAAGTCGATGAAACAGTTTGATACTTTCACGAACACACACGCGCATTGCCCGTTGTGCATCTGCATTTGGGGAGGAGGACGACGAGGGAAATCCTCTCACCAGACATTGTTCCTCACAGAAGCGACAGGCGGAACAAATCAACAGGTACAAATATCGGCTCTGAACAAGTGGGGCTATGTCCTACTTTGACTTGCTGTCGACGGTTGGAGGTAGGCTGTGTCAACAGGCGAGACGACACAGAACAAGTCACCATTCGCGGACCATCCGCAGTTCCAGAAAGATCAGCGGACACTGATCATTCACATCCATACTTCTCGATCAACGATACCGCATGGAAGCCCCATTGCGAAGCTTACAATATGTACAACTCAAAATGTATTATCGCAACTGACCTCAGCGCTCTTCGCTATTTTCTTTAATTTTCTCTCAGGACCGGCATTCCATTTCGAGCCCACTGATTCATCGATATATACAGTCCCGGCGAAATCTGTGAAGAAGTCACCAAAGTAATTGTTTCGCCCGCCTTTCCGCATCTGCATCCAAGAATCGCTGTCATCATTGCCCGGCAACAAGACAATTGTAGTCTACTGGTGTTAGATGTCTGTTCCAACTCAACTACCACTTGAGGATTGAAGCCCAGATCACGCCACACTATCTCCCTAGAACGCTCAGTCTCCATAACGATACTCGTGACTCAAGGCTTCATTACTGACTAACAAAGCTGAACAGGCAACTTCCGCCAATCATTGGGCTCGAACATATGAAGAAGTTGTGGTCGGTTTGCACATGGCTCCTGGCCGTTCTCAAGTCGCGGGAGAAAGCAAAGAATTTGGAAAGACAAAACTCGAAAGCGATGGTCGTATTGACAATTTATCGTTCTCACAGTGGAGGCCGAATTTCTCAAGCACCCTATAAATTGCGAGTAGTCCGAGAACGATCTGGGCTGGTCCTGTCGATCTGCACCATTGGCAAGTCGGCCAACACTCAGGACGGCTTATGATTACTGTACACGACATCTAATTGCGCGCTCACTATAACAATATGCACGTTCATTAGGATAGCGAGAGGCGACTGCCGGCCATGATCAAGGCATCTGTGTGCTTTTTCGGGGATGACACCAACCCTGACGCGCCTCTACGACGGCCAGACAGTCCTGCTTCATTGACCTGGAGGCCGTCTTATCTTCGGCAATAAACACGAAACGGATGGAAGGTGAGCATCATAGATTCGGCTGTCACGGGCGTGAACCAGGAAAACAACGCAGACCAAATTCTCGAATCTCGTCGAACAAGTTCCCACGCCTGACGCTGGGAAATTCCGAATATTTTTTGGAAACGTGGGCAAGCGGACGCGATCCTCCAACACAAAAATATTCCCAATAATTTTTATTCGCAATATTATTCCTCTCCCCGATGGTATATCAGGCCGCGCTGGGCATGCCATTGCCAGAATGTTTTCATGCAGTATCACATCTCACGTTGAAAGATTCAAGTCACAGTTTGTTAACAGTGACCCCCTTTAAACTTGTGCTATCATATTGCAAACCACATTCACATCACAACTCCATTTTCACAATTCATATCACGCAGGTGCTCTTGGGCAGTTGCGTCACACTTGTGGCATTGCTCAACAAGCTCAAAGCACATCTCCTGTGAAGCCATATCACAACATCCGTCAAGTTAACTCACAGCATGGCGACTACCCTCTCCCGTGCGAGTTTCCTCTCCCAGGTGAATGATTCCACCAGGAGCCCATTGAGGTTGGAAAACCCCTTGTGCACTATTTGCTACGAGCAGATGTACGTCCCAACCTCACAACTTTCAAGACGCAGATCAAGATCACCAGCGCGCACACGTGAGAAATCCTCACACTACACAATTCGGGCGCGTAGCCCGATCTCACCTCCACCTCAGCGTCGTGCACTCACAATCCACGACTCACACATTTTGTGTGAAAGCTGCATACAAGTCTGGTTCACCAGCAACAACACCTGCCCGTTTTGCAGGCGAGAAATGTTCACCAACGCGAACCAAGACGACGACGTGAACTCTCTCAACCAAGACTCCGCCGAGGATGAAGAGGACCTCCCCGCTCTCCCAAGAGCACAATACATAACCCGTGACACCGACCTTCTCGAGCGATTTATCTCACGCGAAGGCTGGGTGAAAATATACCACGACGGTCTCAACAAGCACGGCGATCGCCGCGACATCATCTTCGCCACGCGGGAAATCGCCGACATCTTCTCCCGCCGTGCGGAGATCTTTCGACCGCAAGTCGACTTGCGCTGCTGGGGCTACGGCGTGGTGGCATACTCGCGCGTGGTGATCCCCAGCCACGACGAACTCACACTCCGCCGCGTGAACGTCGAGAACGCTCGCATGGTTCTCTGGCGCTGGTGGTGGCACCGCTTCATCTCGACCTGCGGACGGCGCAGCACGACTTTCGTCCACCACCCTTTCGCGATGGAACTTGTCCACGCCGTGTTCAAGGCCATCATGCGGTGGAATGGCTTCTCACAGCAGCTGAAGACCACACGGATGTGTGTCAAGCTCACCCTGAAACCTCTCCTGGAGAAGTACGATGACTCTGGTGAGGTGAACTCTCAGGCTTACTTTGAGGACCTTGTGGAGGCGGCTGCGCAGGCTGTGGTGCTGGGACGCATCGATGTGAGTGAGGGGAGTGATCTTGCAGTGGCGCCTGTTGAGGCTTACAAGCATGAGGACCACGGGCACATCATGGGGATGTGAGTTGCGATATCAACGGTGGATAATGTCACGATGAAATGAATGCCGACTTAGCTCGCTTACGAGTGAGCTGTAACAATAATGTACAATCATGATAAATCATACTACAGACTTAATTCTGCCCTTCACCATTCCTTTTTAAAACATCTATGAATTAGACAAAATCAAAAGTGTCCCCCGCCCCAGCCAGCATACTTTTCACTCTCTCCGTGCCTACAATCCTCTCCAACTTCAACCCATCCCATTTCGAGAACAAACTCCTGATACTAGCCTGTTTCTCAGAGACACGCGCCTCACTAACACTCGTACCGATGAAGCCCTCCACAAATTCGCGATAGAAAATGTCGTTGTCAGGCAAGCCATACAGCACCATGCGTTTCACACCGCGAATCTTGAGCCGGAAGAAATGATGCGCACGCTGCGTGTAAAGCAAGATGCTATGTCTTCCTGACAGGAAATGAGATCTCGCGCGGCGCTGGTTGGATACTTCAGAGTAATCGTTGATAGCCCCGAAGCTGATATTCTCGGTCACGTCTGAGGTCGCGAAGTAATTTCGCAGTCGCAAAAAGTCAAAGTACGAAGGGATAAAGACTAGAATTCCCGGTGCGCCGTCTGCTGGCTTTGGCAGGCGGAGCAGAGCGGGCAGGACGGCCGATGTGAAGTATTTGAATCGAGCGTCTGGGTCTAAGGCTGGATTTGAACATTCGAATCGTGAAAATGTCTGCTTGAAACCCAATCCGGTAAGATCTGCGATGGCACCGACATGGCTGCGAGTGTACTTTGCCTTTCCGACAATGTTGTTCATATCTTGGTTGTACAATCTGTTCATCTCAGGGGTCAAGTAGGCGCCGAAGACAACAGTTTGTCGGATGAATTTGGCATTCCCATCGAGGTACCAATTTCGGACTCGACTGAAATCACAGCCGTGCGCTTCCTTCAATTGCAAATTCAGGTGTTTGAAGACAACCTCGACGTTCTCCCAGTTTTGCATCTGCATCGCATCCGCCTGATCGACAATGACGATCTCGATCGAAGACAAGAAGTCGTAATCCCGTTTTTTGATATCTTCATTCTCGATTATGCGCCGTAAGCCGAGTGGAGATGCGAGAATGATATCACTGCTGTAAAATGCCGAGTAAAACTTCATGCTCTTTCTTGTGAACTTGATCGCGGTGAGGAAATTGTTGTCGTTGTTCCCGTCGAATACTTCGCGATAATCCTCCGGCATGTGTGTCGTTTCTTCATCGATGGGAGCAGTGAAAGAATCATCAAATCGAGATTTGTTCTCTTTCTGGTCAGGCTCAAATGATCTCGTGACACAATCGGCGAATCTTGCAGCAGTTTGTCTTGTCTCACATAAGATGAGTACTTTAGGGCGGACAAATCCTTGATCGCGGAACTCATGCTGCACTGACTCCTCGAGATGGCTGATTTTGTCATTGTTCTTGAGAACTCTATCGCGACCTTTGAGGACGTGATTCACTGCGTGCAGACATGACAGTTTGCGTAAGCTCTCTGCATTATTGACTGTTCGAGTGCTCACGAGTGCGTCGGTATAGTTGAGCAGATCTGTTGCAATTCTGCGCTCGAAATCGCTGAGGGTCGGGATATGCTTCATGGCAGGCAGTACAAGTCTCTCCTTTAAAGAAAAGTCTTTGATAGACTTGAAAGTCGCCTTCTCTGCGCTGTGGTCACTGCGTTCCACAAAAGCATGATGCCTACTTATGTTCGAACCAATTGCTGATTTTCGTGTCGTCCATTGTCCGGATTTGACCAAATCAATACGCGCAGCTAATCCATCACCGCCAGCAGCACTGAAATGAAATTCGTAGGGGTCATTTTGACTTTCCTCATCGACAGTCGATTCATGATCAATTTCTTCCACGTCATCATCGCCTTCGGGTTCAGCAAAGACGCGATCATCTTCGCCTTCCTCGTCAACTTGATTTACTAAAATTTCCTCTGGCAGTGTGTCTGGTTTCTCATGGAATTCAATTTTCCGCCGCTTTGACTTCCGGCTGTCGATCTCGTCGTCGCCATGAAATGACTGTAGTAATACGTTATATGCACGAACAGCAGGTTTCACTTCCTCGTCATCTTCGCTGATGTCTGATTGGTCGATCTCATCTTCATCATCGTCGGTAGCACTATCATCGTCCTGAGAAATTTCATCTTCAGTGGCCGGAAGGTCTCGGGTTCGTTGACTGTCGAATTTCTTGTAACCATTTCTTGTTCGAATGCCGCTTCTTGCGAGTCTGTCGCCACCATTGGATTGCCCATGGAAGTTGCCTCGACTTCGACCTCCACGATTTGATCCACGTCCACCGCGCCCGCCTCTGCCTCTGCCGCCGCGACCTCGAAAAGGAGCCATTGCGTTTAAAAAATTGAATCTTTCTATTCTTTCACGTTTTATGCAACCTGCACGCAAGTCGCAATAAACTTTTTAGATCTCCTAGCGTGCCAGCAGTAGAAACCCTTATCGATACGCAAAGTCTAAAGTTTGGCTGCGGTCATGTACTCTTGGCACAGCCCACTAAAGACGTCGGAGTGTCCCGCCCTGCACATCATCGCGAGAGAGCGCATACCGAATCACGAGAAACTTTTGCCCGGAGCGTGCGACGATAGTCACCAACACATACGCGAAGATGGGTGATAGCTTTCTGCATCTCGCCCGGCCGCTGGCTCCGGCTGTCGTCTCAACACAAACCGCGTCGACTGCACCAGTGACGGTCACTGTTCAACCACAGGCTCTATTCTCAATTCTCGACCATGCCTCTCGACGACCAGCAGAGCAAGAGCGAGTCATCGGAACACTTTTAGGAGTCAGATCAGAAGATGGAACCGAGGTCGAAATCCGGAATTGCTACGCAGTGCCCCACACAGAGACTGCTGAGCAAGTTGAGGTGGACATGGACTACCAAAAGCGCATGCTCGAACTACACCTGAAAGCGTCGCCCAAGGAGATCCTCATCGGATGGTATGCGACAAGCAGCGAGCTCAACACCTTCAGCGCATTGATTCAGAACTTTTATTCGCAACAAGGCGAAGGCACATTCCCGCACCCCGCAGTTCACCTCACAGTCTCGACGGTCCCAGGCCAGGATATTGCAGCCAGTACATACATCAGCGCGCCCATTGGCGTTACAGCGGAACGTGCTGCAGATTCGTGCCTATTCATTCCAGTTCCGCACGAGATCAAATACGGAGATGCGGAGAAGAGCGGATTGGAATTGATTGCAGCTGCACGAGATCGTGAGGATAGATTACATCCGGTTCACACCGATATCGAGACTCTGGAGCGGGCGATAGAACATGTTCTGGAGATGCTGGAGCGCGTCAGCACCTATGTTTCAAACGTGTTGGATGAGGAAGCTGAGCCCAGTTCTGCTCTGGGTCAATTCCTGCTCAACACGCTCAGTCTTGCTCCCAAAGTCGATTCAGAAGAGATCGAGAAGGACTTGTACGTATTTTTGTTCAAAATCTGTATGATCTCTAAGCTAACAATTGCCTTCTTACAGCAACAACCACATTCAAGATGTCCTTTTGGTCTCATACCTCGCCAACACAATCCGCACACAAATCGACCTGTCAAACCGTCTTGCGACAGCGACCTTGACATCAGGTGGCGAGGCGACAGGCAACACAGATCAGAAGGGTGGTCAAAGAGGCGACCGTCAGCAAAACCAACGATCAGGAGCTGGCCAAGGTGGCCGGCGAGGAGAGCAGTAGTCCTTGACATTTCCTTGCGACTAGGCCAGCACTTGCAGGACTTGGTCGGGTTTGAAGAAAGATTTCTTTAGTAGAAAATAGCTACTACTCAATTTAGATTCATGGCTCCAAGCAGAGGAGCCTTTGACTTTAGCAAACGCTGTGTCCAGCATGTGAAAACTTTCGAAGATGCCCGAATATCGTATGACGTGCGTGATTGACAGACCTTGCAAACTCCCGACGCCTTCGCTAACCCGCAGAACAACACGCGTGAGTTAACAGAATTCAGCTCGATGCTCTCTTTGGAGCAGGAGCCTTTGTCGCCCCATCATCCTCCGCCTTTCTCTTTCTTCGCCCCCTACCAGGACCTTTGTACTTCATTTCGGTTTCCTCAACACCCGCCATTCCAGCCATAGCAGTCAAACCGCCAACTTCGCCGCCACCGCCTCCCAATTGGTCCACGTCAACGCCCTTCCTTTGCTCTTGAATATGCCGTCCTCTCGCAAGCTGCTCCTGTACTCTGCCCAGCATGATAGGATTACGGCGGAGAACCCATCGGAAGTCATCCACTTTTATTTTTTGGCGTCGGGAGTAACTGGCGCATAGAGCTGCGGCATGGCATGTTTCGATTATGAAGTCGGTCAGAATCTCGTCTAGGCAAGCTGCGGTGTTTGGAAGGGGTGTCGGGCTGTCGCCGAAAGCATATAGTAGCTCGCACACTGTTTGTGACAGTCAGTAACAGCAACAGTACCATTCAAGCACGGGAATGTCACGCACAGTCGTTCGTATTGAAGACCTGGCCCTTCTGGCGCAAACGCGCGCGTGGCTCTGTCATGATAGAGTGCCCAGGTGCCTAAAGCAGCTTCACGGCCGAGTTTCGAATGGATGTGTAGTCGCGCTATTCGTTATCACTTCTGCCGCGCGATGAAATCGATACGCGAAGTTGGCAATACTGAGAACATGTCAAGCAGAAGCAAGCATGCGGTGTGGTGGTCAACGGGCGAGTTGTTGCACTTCCAACAAGCGTGTGTGCATTGGTTGACGAAATTGCTGAGTCATGATCCTGCGTTTCCAGTGAGCCTCCATGGTTGAAGCTTCATTCAGGGTCCCCGATTCCACGACTCGTGGCATTTTACGAGACGCCCATTTTCACACAATCGCGTTACCAACTCGCCGTCGAAGTCATTTTATGACGAAAAGGCTGCAGAAACGCACAAGATCTATCTGCGACCAACAAACTGATCGTCAAAATGCTCGGCATTCTCAAATTCCAGACCCTTCTGATGGTCGTTCTGCTATTCATCTGTTCCTGCACATACCTCCACGGAGTATTTCCAGCATGGCTAGATCGGAACAAGGCTGGGTGAGATAGCATATCAATGCTTTGCAAACACTTGGTGTGCTAATCCGGCTATTAAGACCATTGGGCACGTTCTGGCGTGCAGCGCGAATTGGCGAAAGATTAAGTCCATATGTTAGCTTATGCTGTGTCGCTATGGCGGTGAGTGCCTCATTACAGGCAAACATGATGTTATTTTGAGATTCTAACTATCGTACAGGTGAGCCTATTGCTCGGCGAGTGAGGTTTTGTAGTGCACTGCATCTGGTGCATCACAAGGCAAATATTTGTGGCGAGGAGCAGCGAGTAGCTGGCGCGCTTCTGGAAGTCATTCAATCATGCTACGAACAACGACTTGAACGAAGATCTCCAGAGACCATCAATCGAATTCCCAGCCTTCCAAATCTGTCTGACGAGCGGTTTCCTTTTCGGGGTGGCAGTGCAGCATGACCAGAACGCAGCGTTGCGTGGGGATTCTATCAGAGCTCGAGACACAACTTTGTCATTACAAGACTCGCTCGGCTTCAAAAAAGGAAAGGATAGAACGCTAGTCTGGGTGCTATCGTTATGTCTTACTGGCGTCGCCGACTGAGTTTGGACCGGGCTGCAAGATGGTTCATGATACCCAAGCACAAGTATTTATTCACATGAGTTGGATTCAATTACGCTCATGAATCCATGTCTTCGGCCAGTCCTGCATCTGCTCAAACGGAAATTCCGATAGATCAAAACCACGTGTCCGGTTGTTGCTCACAGCAATGCCTGCCTCACGGCGCTCTTGAAAGGGAAGACCTGGATCTGTTCGTATTATTCATCAGCTTTTCGTCCAAATGGTTGCCACACATGGCTCTGACCTTCTCAATATCCCAAACTCCGGTTGTGTAATAAATGTCATTTCGGACCCATTGCCAAACCTCATCAACTGTATCGGCTTCAGCCATCATTACACTGCCATTAATCTTGGGGCTCTGGCCCTCTCGGAGCGGTTCATCCAGACTCGCGCCGCCCAAGACGACCAGACCACTTTCTACGTGAGGTTTAATGTTGTTAAGGTGCTCGCTACCCAGGATGCGTCAGTTTTCATGCAGATTCCAAACAACGATCATGAACAACTATTCTCTGCTTTTTCACATTGGAACTTACCTCCTCACTTTCATTCTGGCGTCCAGTGCACCTGGTTTGTCGGGCAAAATGACCATCCATTCTTGTTTACCCATGATGGTCTTCGATGTCGTGAAAGACCGTCTTGTGATCCCGTGTGTCGCGGCTCTGCGGAATGCACCCAACATAAGTTCTCCAGTTGAAGTCTCCAAAAGTCAAATGGGGCTGAGCTGTGGGTGAAGAGAGATGTTCTCTCGTGACATGCAACCCAATGGGGATGTTTCGGCAACCCTGAATGTCGCCAATTGATGACATGAAGCGCGCCCGCTTCATGTCCCACACCCCGCTGGCGTCATCAATGTAGGGCGGACATTTTTCACCAGCACCAAAAGATTTCACTGTCGTCCACGCATTTAAATAATCTACAGATAAACCCGACAAAGAGCACTCCCATTTTAAGCACGTCGACCGGGAATATTCGGTTGCAATGCCAGATCTCCAACCACTCACATCGCTAAGCCCGCCGTGCACATCACGCACGTGGCTCACTACTCCTCATCCACACCTACCGATCGTCGCGACTGCATGCTCTGACAAGACAGTGCGAATCTACTCACTACAGAACTTCCAACAATTGAATACCGTATCCGGTGCACACAAACGTTCAGTAAGGACATGCGCATGGAAGCCGAATAGCCTAGGCGAGAGTGTATTGGTTACCGGCAGCTTCGATGCCAGCGCCGCGATATGGAAGAGATGGGAGGAGAACGCTGGCGGAGGACTGAAAGGTGATGCACAAGAGATTGATTTCACAGGTGGATTGGCTGGTGGAGACCCTGATGCTGCCGACGAGGATGACGAATGGCGTCTCGAAGTCATTCTGGACGGGCACGACTCCGAGATCAAGAGCGTGACTTTCTGTCCGACTGCACCTCTTCTCGCCACGTGTAGTCGCGACAAAAGTATATGGATCTGGGAGGAGTTGGAGGGCGACAATTTCGAGACTATGGCAGTACTGCAGGAGCACGAAGGCGATGTGAAATGTGTTGCGTGGCACCCAACAGAACAATTGTTGGCCAGCGGAAGCTACGATGACAACGTAAGATTATGGAGGGAAGACGTCGACGATTGGGCCTGTTGTACGCTATTGAATGGGCACAAGGGGACAGTGTGGTGGGTCGAATTTGAGGGTGCCGAGAGGAATGGCCTGAGCACATCAGAAGGCTCAGTCTCCGACGAGCAGAAAGCGTTGTTAGAGCTAAGAGAAAAAGCCGGCCCTCGACTCATCACATGTTCAGATGACCTGACTATTCGAATATGGCGAAAAGTCCCATCTGACAAACCTGCGCCTCCAACGGGCCAGGGCAAGATGCCCACAATTTGGAAGAACCGAGACTTCGAGGAGGAATGGATTGAGGAGATGCGATTGCCGCAAGTTCACGAGCGGCCAATCTACTCTATCAACTGGAGCAAGAAGACAGGCCGCGTGGTTAGTACAGGCAGTGACGGCAAGATTGTGGTATACGAGGAAAGGTGGATCACAGCATCCCAAGACGGCGACACAACGCTCCCGGACGCATCCATCTCCAATGTTTTGTCGAAATGGGTTGTCGTCGCAGATATTGAGAATGCGCACGATGTTTTCGAAATCAACCACGTCACTTGGGCGCCACGCTCGGACAAAGCTCGCCGACATGCTGACGAAGAGGTTATTCTCAGCACAGGGGATGACGGCGAGGTGAAGGTTTGGACGCTGGACAAATGATTACAAACATGCTTTCGGCAACAGAATTTGGCAAAATCCAGCTTCACTCTTGCGGAATAAGGTTCTCGATTCGGCACTTCGCCTCATGTCGCGAAATACGTGCCCTCAAGCAGGCACGGCCTCGCCTCGTATTGCCTACGACAATCTGTTCGTCACTCGACATGTAGTCAGGAGGCTGTGCGCGCATGACAACTCCTAGTGCGAGAGTCCCTGGATTATGTGGACAGCCACAAAATGCGAGAGCTGGCTAGCAATACCGGGCGCCATCACTCATTCCGGCCTGAATGGACAATAATCATGAATATTGATTATTAAGATACTTTGAGTCAAGAAAATTTCGCGGGGGGAAAGATGTGCCACGGCGACGAATCTTGCGCTAACGTAGACGCGGAGTGATGTTCCTCCGCGTCTGCTCTGCACGGACGGCGCCCTTGCAGCAATCGCAAGACCCCCGGCCTCCAACTTACAACTCGCTTACATGTCGGATGATAGTCCGCATTTACCAATTGCATTTTCAGGCTTCAGCTTTCTGCTATCATTCTTGTCGTTTTCGCGATCGGGCGCCATGTTACTTATTAATCATGGAGGCACAAAATCCTCTAGCTGCCGCTCATACGATGCTAGATCTTCCGAGGACTTCCAAGTAGTGGCTGTATATGCCCCTATCCAACGTTCGGCATACTACGACTGAGACCTCGATCGGCGTGATGTTATGCCGTGTGGGTACTGTATTGATCGGCTTCAGCATGGAGAGCGTATACGCGCTACTTATCATGTGAAACTATGTATTGAACCCATGTATTGACATAAGTCTCAACCATGGAACAGTTCAGGCGATGAAATTCGAGTTGCACATTTTCGATACCTCCCAAAAATACGAAGAGCTTCTGGTGCGCATCAACCACGATGTCAGACACACTGTCAGAGAAGCACATCGCACCCGCTTCAGCAAAAGGCGACCTTGAGACAGGTGATGCATCGTCGAGGGCCCAAGCACCAACCCGAGATCCTCGCCAAAACTTGCCACTGTGGAAATGGGTTTGCACACTTGTCGGGCTCTACTGCGGTGCTCTTCTTTACGGTAAATCATATCTCGATCACGAGAATTGCTACTTCCGACTGCGCGTATCAGGCGACTGACTTTAAACCTGATCTAGGCCTGGATACTACCGTCGCTGCTGCCGTTCAGACGCCTATCTACGAGCAATTCGGTGAAGTCGAAAATCTAGCATGGGTCGGCATTGGCTTTCCGATGGCCTCGGTCGCTGTCATTCTCCTCCTCGGACGCCTGTATGATCTGGTCGATATCAAAATCCTCATCCTTGTATCAACCGCTCTGTTTGAGGGTGGTAGCGCGCTGTGTGGAGGAGCGCCTAACATGTCTGCCATGATTGTTGGACGAGTCATTGCAGGCATTGGAGGCGCTGGCATGTATCTCGGGTGTGTGCCCGCTTTACTTCTTTTTGGATAACATACTTCGCGAAGTTTGATGGCTAATTGTTGTGTTCAGGGCGTTATCCTACATCTCAACTTACGCCAAACCGAACGAACTCTTCATCTACAATGCCCTCATTGGACTGTCATGGGGCGTCGGCTGCATCCTAGGACCAATTGTTGGAGGCGGTTTCGCAGTAACCAGCGCAACCTGGCGATGGGTAAGATAAAAAGCAGCCAAACAGCGCAACAATGAGCTTACGAGTCGTCATCACAGGCCTTTTATATCAACCTTCCCATCGCAGCGCTGTTGAGCCCGGTGTACTTCTTCATCTTCCCCTCGCACAATCCCGTCCCAAGCCTTTCGACTTGGAAGAAATTACGCTCTGTTGATTGGGTGGGAGCACTCCTGATTGCAGCAGCATTTACGCTCTTCATCGTCGCCCTCACGTTCTCCGGGGCGGCTTTCTCTTGGCAATCAACCACTGCAATCAATTTGTGGGTCTTTTGGGGCGTTTCTCTGGCCGCGCTCGTTGCTCAGCAAGCCTTCTCCCTCTTCACCACTCCGGAGCATCGCATCTTTCCTGTCCATTTCCTGGGACACCGAGACCACGTTCTCCTCTACATCGTCACTTCGTCCGCAGCTGTCGCAAACGCTGTTACAATCTACTACATCCCTCTCTACTTCGCATTCACGCGCGGGGACGGGGCACTACAGGCTGCAGTCCGATTGTTGCCATACATTGTGGTTTTCATCACATTTGTCCTAATCGCAGGAGGCACCTTACCTCTGCATGGTCGCTACGCGATTTACTACGCAGTCGGAAGCGTCTTCATTCTGGCCGGTTCAGCCGGACTCTTCACGATCCGCGCAGACACCAGTCAGGCGATCATATACGCCTACGAAGCATTAGTCGCGATCGGCACTGGGCTGACGTTCCAGAATGCCTATGCTGTGCTCTCAGCAAAGGTCGCGGTCCATGATCGAGGCAATGCCATCGGTTTCATCAACACCGCGCAGATCGGTACCACCGCCCTTGCCCTAGCGATTGCAAGCTGCCTTTTCCAGAACCTCGGATTTATGTTCTTGCAGGACAAACTTGCGGCTTTGAACCCACCCGCTTCCCTGCTACATGCGGCTCTGGGTGGTGCGGCTTCGACGCAGCTGCAGTCCGTGCCCCCAGCAATCGTCAATCTTGCCCTTGAGACTATTGCGTATACGATTGCTCGGGTCTTTGGCACTTGCATTGCTGCTGGAGCTTTGCTCGTAGTCGGCTCGACATTGTTGAAGTACGAGAAGCTCGATTTGGCAGATCAAGCTCCAGTCTTTGGCTGAGATGGATGTATGAAGACAAGACTGCGAGGGACTTTTCATGTGAAGGACGGAACAAGATAGAAGATAGTAATTACTGCCCTGAACATGGACGATGTATAGATACTCGCTAATTTTACCAAGCTCTTACGACAAATATGATGATTGTAAGTCCGACCGTGTCTTTGTTATCGTGAAATCAATATTGCTACATGAAGCGAAAATGAGTATTGTTTGATACACCAAACGGTCAAGCAATCACTTTGCGGCACGGCCATATTTACGAGGCTTTCCTCCTGCAACCATACCATCCATCTTCCCACAAATCTGAACGACATATCTCGTCTCATCTCGTATCGCCTGCTGGGACAACCTCAAAACATTTTCCAGATTCTCCAAGATCTTCGCAAACCCGGGATCCGATCGGTCGCTTTGCAGATGCGACAAAGAACTCAAAATCGTATCCGCCACTTTTTCCACCGATTTTCGGATATATTTGAGCTCGGTAACATGCTGGAGGTGGCTCTCCAGATCTGCGGCGTAGTGCTTCAGGATGGTAAGCTCGGTCTTGACCTTTAGGAGCCGGACTTGTTCTTCTAGGATGGGTGTGGGCACTGCTGGGACTGCATCAGGCGGAATCTCGGGGCCGGTGATTTTTCCTTCGCTCGCTGTGTCATCTTGATCTTCATCGTCTTCTTCTTGATGTTGTTGACGGTAGGGACTACGCAGGTTCGGCGATGATTTCGAAAATGACTGAGGTTGCAGCGATCTTTTCGGCTCTTCGGGGCTGTTGCGAACAGCACTGAACTTGCTGTGAATGTCGAAAGGTCGTGGTGTAACCATTGTTGTTGACACAGAATATGCTTGTTCGTTGCGAATACGCCGTTTGGAGCTTCAGATCACTTGATATGTATGACGATGGAAATTTTGAATTGAGGTCAAGCCCAACGAACACATTTAAACAACATTCTGAGATGATAGGCGAACCGTCCATCGGTACCAGGACAGCCGTTCTGCTGAACAAAGAACTTTCGGAGCAGTGAGTTAGGCTTCATCTTATTCTCATGCTGTGTCACGTTTGCCTGCACAAACATCCCAGTCGTCTGAACAAAATATGAGCCCTGTCATAATCGACGGAAATCATGGATTTTTGCCTTAACAAAGTGTCGTGGAGATAAATATAGTGATCATCCAGTGCTCCGCGATGGCATGTGACCACGCGGTCAATATCGTCACAATGCAAGAATGTCGGAGGTCGCTGCAATGACACTAGGGTTTGGGTAAAGACAGCCCTAGAGGCAGGATGATCTCCTCCGAAATCTTGGCGCGCCCCGCGAACGTCACCAGCATTGGCTCTCCGCCGCCGCATCGGCATCCTTAGAATTATCATTCGCGGCGCAAACAAAGGATTGCTCGCGGGCGGATATTGAGAACACCTATCAGATTCTTGATCTTGACGCACACGAACCGTCCCGCCGCCATGGATATCCGAGTATTGCAAAGTACAGACATTCCGCATGTCCAACAAACGAACATTACCAACCTTCCCGAGAACTACTTCTGCAAATACTACATGTACCATGCATTGAGTTGGCCCGCATTAAGTTACGTCGCCGTTGATGTGAGTTCTACACCTTACTCATGATGTGATGGTCCCGTATCCAAAAATTTCACCATATGCTGACACATTGACCTCTGTGCCGTGCGACAGGTTTCAAGACCGAAGAAGACACCATATGACGCGCCGAAGATTGTAGGATATGTCCTCGCCAAGATGGAAGAAGATCCCGCCGACGGCATTCCTCATGGACACATCACATCCCTCAGCGTCATGCGCACACACCGGAGATTAGGACTTGCCGAGAAGCTCATGCGTCAGAGTCGTAAGTTTCCGTGTCTTCTCATCCTCTGCTTCTTGTCGTTCGTGGACTGAAGAATAACCCTCGTCTCTCGAACAGAACGAGCCATGTACGAAACCTACGGCGCCAAATACGTCTCTCTCCACGTCCGTATCTCCAACATTGCCGCCCTCGCGCTCTACCGGGATACCCTGGGCTTCAAAGTCGGCGGTACCGAAGCGAAATACTACGCTGATGGAGAGGATGCCTTCAGCATGCGAATGGATCTGGATTACTTCAAAGAGGATGTTCTCGAGGACGATTTTGGTGCGGAAGAGGAGGGTTCTCCATCACTAGGCAAGGACGAAGGCGATGCGGTGGGGAGTGCGGGGTCGCAGGGCGATGCGACGGCGGCGAAGAAGGAGGACTTGAGGACTGTGAAGGTCGGGAGACCGATTGGTGTGGGAGAGTTGGTGGAGAGGAATGAGAGCGTGAAGGCCAATTGAGGGGTGGGTATGGAGAATGAGTAAACGAGCGAATGAATGAATGCGGATAAATAAACGAACTGATACCACCCGATCATGGGTTACAAAAGCTACGAGCGAAGCGCTGGTCTCATTGTGAATGGGCGGAATGTTGACTCAAGTACATTCCTGCTGGAATATGTCGACATGTACGATCACAGCAAGAAGCGACGAGAGAAACATAAACTTCTTCGCGCTTATTGACGATATCGACTTCAAAGAATTTCATCAATAGATCTAGCTACTATCGCTCTGGCTACATGTAATTGATCACATTCCTCCGCTAGTTGTAAATCTTACTCCGCTAGTTGTAAATCTTACTCCCAACGTCACAAATTTGCTCTATGATTGATCACCGATATACTTCAACCTCAAATTCATCCCATTCTTCGGCTTCGTCGTGACCACTCCATGCACGATAATCTCCTCATTCGGATCCGCCATTTCAAAATCAAACGCATTCACAAACGCCGCCACCAAACATCTCAACTCGGCCTTCGCAAAGCCCTGTCCGATACAGCTCCTTGGGCCGTGCAAGAAGGTCAAGAGAGCGTAATTCGTCGGCGCGCCGCCGGAGGCATTCGGGCGTCGCTCGCCGGTGGAGGGGTCCGTATCGATCCAGCGTTCCGGAACGAACTCGTCGGCATTGGCGCCCCAGAGGTCCGGGTGTCGGTTGATCGCGTACATGCACAGCACGAGACGGGTTCCCTTTGGGATGTGTTCGCCAAGAACCTGGGAGTCTTTGTTGGCGACTCGTGAGGTCATTGGGACGGTCGGGAAGAGTCGGAGGGTCTCATTGCAGACTCCGTTGAGGAGAGGGAGGCTCTCAAGGATGGAGGCGACGTCGACGTTGGCGGGTGTAGGTGAACTGCGCGATGGCAGACCAGCGGCGCGGACTTCTTCGCGTAGGGCCGCCAGGATTTTGGGGTTTTGCGTCAGCAGATATGTGGTCCAGGTGAATGCTGAAGAGGTCGTCTCGTGGCCGGCGGCTAGGAATGTCAGAAGCTGGTCGACAAGTTGCTGGTCCGAGAAATTGTTACTCTGGATGAGAAGGGACAGGATGTCTTTGTGATTCGCAGACTCGGTTTTCATAGCTTCCTTCTTGTCGCGGACAAGCTTGATACAGATATCGGTGAGATTCTCAGTGATGTAATCGACACGCTTGGCGGTTTTCCATGGCAGCAACCGCGTCAGAGCAGGCATGAAGACCATCGCGACAAACAACAGCTGTTTTTCTCCAGTGGGCTCGAGCAGTTCTTCATACAGCTTGATCAGGGGGTCATCCGTGTTTCGAAGGCTCTGGAAGTCGCGGCCCATTGCCGCCATGCCGATGATATCCATGGTCACAAGATTGGCCCAGTGGTTTATCTCAATGACTGCAGAGTCCTGACCTGGTTGGAGTTTGCCTGCTACCTCTTGAGAAAGGCGCTGGGTCAGAGCGTTGGACTTGTCATTGAAAATGGGATAAAGGTCTTTGATATGTCGGAAGCTGAAAGCAGGCATGGCGTGCTTTCGCTGGAAACGATGGACATCGCCCTCGACAATGATCAGGCCGTCACCGATGATCCTGCGCAGAAAGTTGCGGAGTTGCACCGGTTTTTCAAAGTCGTAGGTCCGGGTGACCAAAACTTCAGCTAACCCTTTAGGATCCGTGATGACCAGACTGTTCACGTTGAAAAGGCCGCGGAACCGAAGCAGACCGTCGTTGGGGATTGTTTTCATCCAATCCAGGAAGACACTTCCACGCGGCAATTTCGAGAGAGCGAGGCCATGGCCAATGAGCGGTTTTGCTCCCTAGTAGTGTCGCTCGTCAGTACTGGTAATTAGTTGTGCTGTCGTCGGTGATGAACTCACTGTGGTAGGTCCAGGAAGATGCCGCAACGGCGAAATGAATCGCGGGTAGATGGACAACACGTAGATTGAATAGACGGTGAATTGCAAGGCGAAAAGTCGCCAAAAAACATAGAGTAGTGGATGTGCAGGAAGGTATTGAGGCACGGCGAGCGTGATCAGCACCGATTCTATGGCCGTAGCCACTACGAAGATGATCGGTTTTGGGATGCTGTCCGCCATGACTGTCGACTTTCCTGAATCACGATGCTCGATGTTCTGTTGTTGTATTTGCGCTGTCTAGATGTCGTATCAATGACGCCGAGTATCTTGTCGTCGACGCCGATCCTCTTGTCTATATCTCGTGTGGTCTAGACAGGCGTCCCTTTACACTTCTTGGTTGGAAGAAGGTGTAGATGCGAAAGAGCTTCCCGTGCAAAGTAAGGATATGTATATCGGTATCTCAAGGCTTGAAGTTGTCTGCGCCCCAATGCATGCGGCTGGGGAATTTAATAGACTCCCAAGGTACGTCTATAGAATTGCATGTGCCAATCGAAGGTGACCCGCTACATTGTCACCACCAGCGAGAGAGTGTGACGTCCTCCACGTCCCTGCCTGGCCGACTAGCCTACACAAGTGTCTCTCGTTAAGGCTTGATCTGGGGAACGCGGGGATGGAATCGATGGGACGGATGAATGCACATTCGTCGGCCAGATCATCCCATCGACTGAGCGAATGTCGATGCCTGCTCCCCCGCGCGCAATCCTTCCATGCTGCGCCCACCGCAGCCAAGATTGTTCAGCACGTGTGAAGCGAGTCCGACCAATGCCATAGAACACCATCGCGAGACCATCAATCCCCACCAAGAACAATCACTCAACCGGTCGATCTCGTTCTCGCTATCACTTAGAAATTGGCCGGTGATGAACAGAATTGGAGTGTTTCGCTGATTGGGGACATTTTTTTACGAGGCGCCAATGCTTCCCTTGTATCTGCTCTGAACGACGACTCGACACCCCGAGTCAGCCTTCTACCTCCAGGGCTGCCTGCACTTTCAAAGGTGCGCGCGCTCCAGAGTCCCGCAACAACGGTCCCGCAACACCAGCCCCGTAATCGATGAGACTCCGCGACGTCCAGGAATAGTCCCGCACTCACAGACAAGCCCTCCTGCTCATAGGCGCATCATGTCTTCCACGGTGGCGGTATCTGGTGCGACCTGTTCTCCGATGTATTCACAGCGACCGGAAAAAAGGACAAGCTTGACCGGCATCTGCGCGAGCTCGTACAGCTTCAAAAAAGGCAACTAGTGTATGACCTAAGCAGTCTACAGTACAAGATCTATGCTGAACACGTCGCATCCATCAATTTCCCAACCTACTCCGAGTCTGACGTTCATCATACCCGTCTCGAGTCATCAGCTCTCGCGTGCTCCATGTCTCGAAATGTTTATCACTTCGGTTGCTGCTGGAGAATGTGTTTGTCTGATCCGATGTGAGCTCCCACGATTCCACAACGGGGCCATGATTCCGCAACACAGGCGGTCCAAAGATCGAAAATGCCTTGAGTCGATGTTCATTCTGGCCGGAACGAGGGCCGTCGTCCACTATCAATGCCGTCATGCCTGGGCGTAGGCGCGCTAAGAAGTCCTGTGCTCCGGGGATACAGGCAGTGAGGAGAGATATGTTCATCGTCATCTGCATCCATATTGCCATGTGACCGTAGTTCCAGGCGAGGTCTCGGTATTGTTCCACGGAGGAAGAGATTTGTCCGCTCAAGGAAAATATGACGAAGATCCTGGTCGCAAATGATAGAATCACGACGAGACGAATTGACCAGCTGGTGTGGACTTTAGGCATGAACACGACAGGAAGCAGAATCGTCATCACCTCCAGCAGCATGTTTGAGATGTTAATGCCATTGCTGGCTGCATTCTGCTCATACGAAAATACGTCAGCCATGTCGATGACTGCCTCGAAATTGGGCCAAGCCACCTACCAGGTCAATGCATCGAGCAGTCAGATCCCACGTATTTGGTGTGTCGCACTGGAATGCTATGGTGAAGAATGATGCAATACTCCAAAGGGTAGTGAGTATCAGCAAGGCGCGATTTGCAATGACGAACGGTCGAATGGCGGCGAATGTGCCGAACAGAAAGCTGATAGAAGCCTTGGAACAAGCTTGCGACGCAACGTTCGTTAGCTGGGCAGCATAATAAAACTTGTTTATAAGATTTAGCTGACAGCACCGATAAGTGGTCTCTTAAACGAACCTTCAAAAGCTGATCAAGTCGAACGTCGACATCTTCCTCATGCCTCCCCAGCCCTGCTTGGACTGCCATCCTTAGACAAGCACTCTGCGGGATCGCGAAAATCTATCAAGTCATGAGTACACATCTAATGAATCTCAACACTCATGTCAGAAGTCTTCATACCACGGCAAGAACCAGCATCACGTCATCGCCTGCGCAAAAGCGTTTCCGCCATCGCACAACGAGACGAGCAGTCCAGAATACCAACGCAACGAGCAGACACGCAAAAGTCGCAAAAACGATATAACCCCCATGATCGCCTTCAGAAACGGAAATCAGGGGACTGAGCTCCACATTTGTGGACGGCGTCGAGCTCATCGCATCACTCGGCGCAAGCTTGCTGGATATTATAACATAATGTCTTCAAATAGATCAAATTGTCGTCGCTCCTTGCTCTGTTTGTCTTCGCGTGGAGAATATTCCCTGTCGCTTTGGCGTCGTGGGCGGAGCTTGTGCCAGAAAGTAAAGGTTTGTGCACAGCACGCTTTTCCCACAATGCGCAAGTTTTCCTGAAACTGCCAAGCTGTCATCAAGGATGCCTGCGGCGATGACATGTCTCTCGCAGTGTACTACGATGCTATTCCGGTCCCGTCTCTCCGACCTGGTACGGGGTTCTGCAACGTTGTGGAATCCCAGCCCGGATCCGCGACCCAGCTGAGAGTCCATGTTGCCCCACGACCAATGTTACATTGATGGCTGGGATGGAAAAGGATCTGCAGCCACGTACAAGTCGATGTTCACAGACACCAGCTTTCAGCGAGAAGGTCATCCAGGAATTGAAGATCTAAGTTTGTTATCGTCGAATTTCGATGCAACTTTGTACAGCTTTTCTGCTGACGTTTGATCGTCGCAATGCCCCTCATTCATCTTGTAATGCTGGTTGCGTAGCGGAGCAAGTTGAATGGGAGTGAATGCTCGCACTCTGGTAACCACTTAACAACAAGCTGCGGACTCTCTTTGCCAAAGGGGTTGACCTCACGCCACGTTCTAACTCCGTTCGTTGGCTGGGATCGCTTGTTCAGTGACCACGGACGCCTTAGCAAGGCACGGACACCTCCCAGCACTCCCCGTTTGCTTCGCGAAGTGTGGGACTCTGGCCGGTCCTTCCGAAAGTACCGCAATGATGGCAGCTGCGTAGCCTCTGTCTCATGGTCCAAGATCCTTCCAATTTTGAGCACCACAAGCTTTCTTGGAGGTGCCGTTACACCACGATCTTGCACGTGTCGCCCGCGAAAATCGGTCTGCATCCTCCTTCAACCTCCAGGCGTGCTCTACGGCGAGGTAGACGCCTGAAGAAGCTACTCAAGATCCTTGCGCAAGTCACCGAGGCGACTCTTGCCTCCTCTTGATGCGATGGAGATCATTGAAATGTCCACAAAATCAGATGGCGATTTGGCTTGGCCAACGCCTCAAGACGTGCAGATTATCTCACAGGCGAACAAGCGTCCGCAACTTCGTGTAGGTCGCACAAAGCGAGAGCGACGAAGTCTTTTGCGAAAGAGGAGCTGAGGAAATCACAGCGTATATTCGGATTCCTACCGACCCTTGCTCTCTCCTCCACATTGCTCGCTTCATGGGAGGCTGTTGGATCGTAAGTCATCTATTTTTGACTCAATTAAGCGCTTCAAATATTGATGATGGTGCAAGATCATTTGCGGCTGGCTTGACAAATGGCGGACCGACGGCATTGGTCTGGGGCATGCTTTTATCTGTGTCAGGCACTCTTGCACTTGCCGCGTCCCTCTCCGAGATGGCATCAATATGCCCCGTGGCCGGTGCTCAATATCATTGGACGTACATGTTTGCGCCTCGTAAAGCGGCCGCTTTCATTACCTGGATGCAAGGTCGGTTCTGGATGGAACCTTGTTTGTGAGAAGAAGATGGCTCACATTGTCTTCAGGTTGGATCACGGTATTCGCCTGGCAGGCAACCGCGACGAGCATCACATACTTAACTGCCACGCAGATCCAAGGCTTGATTATCCTTAACTATGAAGACTATCAACCGCAGAGATGGCATGGCACAGTTTTGATGTGGGCCGTACTGCTTGTCTTCATATGCATCAACATCTGGGGCATGCGGCTGCTTCCAGCAATCGAGTTGATTGGAGGAATCCTGCATATCACTTTATTCATAATTATCGTTGTCGCTCTGGTGACATTGGCGCCTCGAAGTTCTCCCGAGTTCGTTTTTACTGGTTCACTCAACGAGGGTGGCTGGCAAAGCGATGGAGTCTCTTGGTGCATTGGACTTCTCACTGTGGTTTATTGCTTCGTTGGTAAGTCCTAACCCTTTACGCCAGAGCATCAAATGATCTCCGCTGATAATAGCCGCAGGTTTCGACGGCGCCATTCACCTATCTGAAGAGATACGCGACGCTTCAAAGACCGTACCGAAGGTAATCATCCTTACCATCGCGATTAATTCGACGCTCGCCTTCGGATTTGTCATCGTTCTGCTCTTCTGCATAGGCGATATTGCTACTGTGCTGGGAACGAATACCGGCTACCCCATTATTGCGCTTCTTTGGGGGGCCACTCAGTCCAAAGCTGCCGCCTCGGCAATGATGGCTGGAATCATCATCATCGCTTTCAGCTCCGGCTTTGCTCTGCTGGCGTCCGTTTCTCGCCTCACGTTTGCGTTTGCCCGGGATGGCGGGATGCCCTACTCTAAATTCTTCGCAACAGTATGTACCTGCTACGATTGAACTCATACGGCTCAAGATAATGAGCGCTGATTCTTCGATTGCTCAACAGGTTGATCCCCGATATTGCATACCCGTCCGGAGTGTGCTGTTGGTCTCCTCTGTCATCGCCCTCCTCTCACTGATCAACATAGCGAGCTCCGCGGCCCTAAATGCCATCCTGTCACTTACGACTTTGGCTCTCTATGTCTCATACCTCATTCCTATCAGCTTGCTTGTCCTCAAAAGATTACGCAAGGAGACGATCGATTTCGGACCCTGGCACCTCGGCGATTTTGGCCTGGCCGTCAACATCTATGCTCTCGTCTTCGGGATCTTCATAATTATCTTTCTGCCATTCCCGGCGTCAGTCGCACAGCCGCTAACTACGGAGTCTATGAACTATGCCGGTCCCGTCTTTCTTTGCGTTCTGATTCTTGCGCTGGGCGATTGGATGATACGGGGAAGGAAGCACTATGCTGGGCCCGCAATGGATTATCGTGGGACCGGCTCAAGTCTGTGGTCGGCCTCGAAACCTGAGATTGTCACTGTCGTGGTGAGACCTAAGCTTTTTAATGTTTAGCTTCTTACCATCTTGCAATACGCGGGAGACACAATATTGCGGCGAGCCATATTGAAATCCCTTCGCACGATCAAGTTCGCCTGCAGTCCAGACAATAAGAGTACGGTTGTGCTCAGGCTCATCATGGACGGTTTCACGGATTGCATGGTGGTCAATGGGTGCTCAATATAGACCTGCAGCTTGAGAATGAAGTACAGCACTATCATCACTTCCAGCAAGCGCTTGCGCACTCTCTTGATAACCTCGTATCATCATGGTTGGCCAATACTTATGCCGCATGCGATGCCGCCTCCCTCGCCTTGACCAAGATCTCGAAAAACTCAGAAGGGTCATCCGCACCCTCGACTCGGAAACCATTAATCTCGAACGTTGGAACATGGCGCACGCCGTCCAAACGCGCCTGCGCTGCCAGTTCATCAGCCTCTGGTCCTTCCTCATCCGTCTCGAGGAACGCCGCTACCTCATCGCCATCAAGCCCTGCTGCGACTGCCGCGCGTGCGAGATCTTGTCGGCTAGAGATATCGCTCGACCCTTCGAAGAGGTCATGGAAGAGATTTTCGACCACGCGACGTGGCTCAGAATTGGCCTCGCGCTGTACAAAGCGCACGAGGCGATGAGAATCTCTTGTATTTCCGATGCGGCCCTGAAATGTGAAGTTTATTCCGCACCCTCGACCGGTCCGCTCGAGCCGAGTGATGATACCACTGGCCATATCTCCGTTCTTTTGTGTAATACGCTCGCGCATCGGGGTACCTGGCGTGGGCGCATCTCTGTCGAGATAGAAGGGCTTGTATGTGAACTTGAACTCGTCTTTTGATCCGCCGGGGTAGGTCCGCCTGTACGTTTCTATTGCGCGGTCGAGGTTCTTCTCGCCTATGTAGCACCATGGACAGATGGTGTCGAAATAGCTATTTATATTGAGAACCACCATGGTGCGCGATTTGAAGAAAGGTAATGATTGTTTGAAATAGGCTGAACATTGCACAGCTGATTCCGAGAGGTGTTACGACATCTCGAATGTTGTTGCCTTCTGTGTCAGATCTCGGAGGTTGCGGAGTTAACACGCCGAATGAGGCACAGCTCCAATGAAATCTGCCACGAGCAGTCTCATCAGCTATCACTCGATCGAGAATTTACACGTTGAATAGCACTTTATTACGGCGTGTCATTGCGACTAGAGGGCAAAGGACGATTAATCAGTTAGCTGCTATCTTGCGATCGCCTTTGTCGAGTTGTCGTTCAGTATAAAGAATTTTCTGTGACAGTTGATCACGGGTGTGGCCAGGTGGTTGGCTCGACATTAGGCGAGGATTTGGTCTGACGCAAAGGTCGCAGGCCGGCATATCTGCGTGCATCGGCTTCCTTTTGCTCCTTTGTGCGGTTTGGATGTAACTTGGGAAGGGAGGTGGGATTGTACACGATATCGTGCTTCTAAATGCGACTACATCTTGAAATCTCTCTCATTCGCAGCCGCGAGGGCGATGTTAATGCGCTCTACGATGACCCATTCGGCCATGTCTATCCGGAATTCGAAGAATATCTGGAAGGCCGTCTGAGTTTACGAGAAGCATCAAATATCATCGCCAGAAGAATGATTCAGCGCGAGGGTGACCCAAATCTCCCGTGGACGTTTATCCTCGAAATGGCGACGGCCAGCCCTGAGCAACATGACAAACTCATCGAATTTCTCGTGCAGCTCTCGCAGCTATCTGATCCAGTAGGTCCGGACAAGATGCCTGTAAGAATTTACGGCATGCTGGAAGGATCTTCCAATACCGACCTGGCATTTCCGTGATGTCTGGAACTTTTCAAGCCCGGGCGACGTGGAGAAAACACCAACTGTGTCTGGACAGAACTTCGGGCAGTTAAGTCTTCGACTCTTGAACTAGAACAAATTTGCTGCACTACTGATGGCGACAGAGGTGAAGCATTCGGTTCGTACACCAACTTCGTTCAATGAACACAGCGTGGAGCATTGGACCATCCCAACCACAAAATCGGGCACGGGGTCGCCACGAACCTTTGAATATGGACAGGTATTGGTCAAATGAGACAAAGCACCCCGACAGCTTATTAAAACGACATCCTATTGCATTTATTAACCCTTTCGAAACCCAGGACACGCCCACAGCATTAGTCATCAGCAGACTCCTGTATATGATGAGTCATCGCCCATTGGATTTGACCGATGCCCGTACATACATCGATGCTTTGCGGCAATTCGATTCAGCCTAAGCGTACGATTGAGCTTACAATCGTAGGAGTAGCCACGTACCATTCTGTTATCGCTCACGCTCCGAGCGGTCGTTGCTGATCAGAAGACCGAACAAACGCAGTCTCAGGTCACGTGGCAATCCTCAATCTCGACTCAAGGGTGTTCCTCGGACTGGCGCACGATGACGCTTTTGCGCTTGGCGGCTGGCCACAAGCGCCTTCGTCTCTCGTGGCATCCCTTGGCAGTCCTTGCCGCGAGCGACCAGGCTCGATATCCACCAATCACTATATAGCCCTACCGGACAGTCACCTCCGCTCTGACGACTGCCAATGTTGCCGCACTGCTCTCAAGAGTCTGACGAGGTCTTGGTCTTGCCTCATGATTGCGACACGGAGTTCGGGACACCTCGCCCATGACGTCGCGCCTGTTCTTCGGCGTAATCGTTCTGTCTCCATATCGAGAATGTGACCTCGTGATGGTAAAGGGCGGTGCGCACTGCCAAGCTCGCTCGTCGATCCACATGGTAGGAGGTCTTCCCAAAAGAAGGTGTACTATATGTTTTGAGACTCCCCATTGACATGACGATGCAACCAAAGCTGCTGAACTCGACAAATTCTTCTTTCATTGCTTGGAGATCAAGACTTTTGCGTGTGGCCGGTATCTCACATACTTGCCGGATCTTTTCTTGAGGTCCACCCGTTTCTTCATCCTCAAATCGTTCAGAGCGATATTATCAACATGCCGGAGGCTAAAATCGATAGTGAATCTGTTCAGCATGATGAACATCGTCAAAATTCTCATACTCTCTCAGGACGCCGACCATCGATTGCTGCGCAGCTGACCAATCCTCTAACGGGAATGGACGATGAGGACGTTCTGCTCGACGTCGAGACTTGGACCAAAAAGCGCGGGCTCGAACACGAGCTCAACACATTCCGTCGGGGTGCCCTGCTGGCGCGTGTGATCAACACGCCGGGCGCATTTGAGCACATCGATCTTCCCAACGACGAGAAAGAGGTTTTGAGGCGCGAACAGTCTCACAAGTGGAGTCAACCCTTCATGTTGTACTTCCTGGTCGTTCTTTGCGCTGGTTCCGCTATCGTTCAAGGCATGGATCAGACCGCCGTCAACGGGGCTCAAGTTTTCTACTTCCAGGAGTTCGGCATCACTGATCCATGGTTGCAAGGGCTGCTCAATGGCGCTCCGTACCTCTGTTCTTGCCTCATCGGGTGCTGGACTAATGCACCGCTGAACAAAATTTTCGGCCGCCGAGGCACCATCTTCATTTCCTGCACCATATCCTTCCTCTCTTCGTTTTGGATGGCCGCCGCTCATACATGGTAAGAGTGACCAAAACAACCTTTCAGAAAACTCAATTGACATTCTTTAAGGTGGAACCTCTTGATTGCGCGCTTTGTTCTCGGCTTTGCGGTTGGCGCGAAGAGTAGCACTACGCCGGTGTATTCTTCCGAGTGTGCACCGAAAGGCATACGCGGTGCGCTCACTATGCAATGGCAGATGTGGACTGCATTCGGCATTATGCTAGGATTTGTGGTGAGCGTTGCTTTTCAAGATACGCGACCGATTACAGGCGCAGAGACTGAGCCTTGGCGGTGGATGCTGGCGGCGACAGCGATTCCTCCCATGATCGTCATGGCTCAGGTATACCTCTGCCCCGAATCGCCCCGCTGGTACATGAGCAAGGGCAAGTTCGACAAAGCATTTGATTCATTCTGCCGACTTCGAAACCACAAGGTCCTCGCCGCTCGGGATATGTACTATGCTCACAAGCTTCTCGAGGTCGAGGAGTCCCAGCGTGCGGGCAAGAATTTATTCAAGGAATTCTTCACCGTTCGTCGCAATCGTCGCGCCGCGCAGTCGGCCTTCTTTGTCATGTTCATGCAACAATTTTGCGGCGTTAATGTGATTGCATACTACTCGACCCAGATCTTTATCGATTCGGGCTTCGAGCGCAGTCAGGCGTTGCTTGTGTCGCTGGGTACCGGTATCGTCAATTGGCTTTTTGCAATCCCAGCAATTTACACTATCGACACCTTTGGTCGCAGGAATCTCCTCCTTACTGGGTTTCCGATCATGGCTATTTGCCTTCTCATCACCGGCTTCTCATTCTTCATCGAACCGCAAGTTCAACCACCGGAGGTATCCACCCCTCGCCTTGCCGGTGTGGCGACGGGAATCTTCATGTTCATGGCCGCTTACTCCCCTAGCGAGGGTCCTGTGCCTTTCACCTACTCAGCCGAAGCTTTTCCTACCTACATTCGCGACACCGGCATGTCATTCGCCACTGCAACCTGTTGGGGCTTTAACTTCATTTTGTCTTTGACATTTCCTGCTTTGCTTCAATCGTTCGGCCCGCAAGGTGCCTTTGGCTACTACGCAGGATGGAACATTTTTGGCTGGGTATTCTGCTACTTCTTTATACCGGAGACAAAGGTCAGGCTTCCAACTGTACCACCCAGCGATCATTGCTGACAATCATCATCATAGAACCTTACTCTTGAAGAACTCGACACCGTGTTCAATGTTGGAAATCGCCAGCACAGCAAGTACTACCTTGACAAGTTGCCCTGGTATTTCAACAAGCATGTCTTACGTCGCGACGTAGAGCCCGTACCTCAACTGTATGAGTTCGGCGACGAGCGCACAGAGCAAGCGCTCTCGGGCACCGAAAAGCTCGCGACGAGACAACTTTAGACTACCTTCTGAATATATGAATTTTTCTTTAATAGAGACTTGGGCTAGTAAGGATTTGAGGAGGCACTCAAACGTGCATTCCGCCTGGTGAGCTCGCCGTTTAAACTACCTGTAGCATTGACCTCCTAGCCTATGCCTAACATAAGAGCATATATCCGAGACTCGGCCACACCAGGAAGATATAGCGGCATGTCTGCAAGTCGCCTGCCGTAATAGACCACGACTACGAGCGGACAGCGCTACTTAGCAGGCGCAAAGTCTTTCAGAACGCTTCCCGCAATTATTCCAGACATACACACCTGTAACCATATCTACCGAAGAGGCAGGTCTGATTCTGTTTTATTCTATTAAACGTACATATCAGATAGATCGCCTGTCCTAATAGCGGACAACTTTGTAATACGTCCTCGAATTTAGCGACATTTCTACACGACCTTAGCGATACAAAATCATAAGCGACTACGACGCGGTCGCTACGCTTGGCCGCTTAGACGTGTCTAATTCCGCTAGCCGCATTATTAACTAGACATGCCAGCAGATAATCTATAGCGGCCAATCTATTCGCCTGTACACATATCTGCGGCGTGTTATACGTAATTGCGGCTAACGATTACGTATAGTAGTAATATCTATTCCGCCGACGAGATATATCGGCAGTGTCTTATAGCGCTCTAATGTCCCCCGGATCCTCTTAAGACTAAGAGCCGCTTAAAGGAAAGCAAGGACAAAGTAGTGCAAAAGGCGATTACATAGGTGCTCTAGGACTCGAGGTACTAACGGTAGTTAACTAGGGATAATATTTGTCTACTATAGATCCGCGGCGGTGCCGGCAAAGGAAAGATTATAATAAGCATCGGCCTAATCGAACAACTTATTACGTTGTCGGGGAGATCAAATTATAGCTCCTCGGCGGTAACGTACTTCTTTTGTCAAAATGCCGATTATTAAGTAAACACAGTAGAAGTTATTCTTAAGGGGCTGATGCTGCGTCTCTACGAAGCACGAGAGGAAACCCGGCCCGCCTTGAGGCCGGAAAGTGTGTCCTTACTTCTTCGCCGACTCTTTCCCTTTCTATCCTGCTTGCCTCCTCTTCGTAGTGTCTCTCCAGCAGCGGACTAGGAAGACTCTGAGGCCGACGGTGCATCAGCCTGCCTGGGGCGTGTGGCACTGCGTGAATCCATCTTTGCTTGTAGATCACTGTGAAGTTGACGGCGGAGAGGTACTGCAACGCTCAACCCACCAGATTTCAATTTCGTGGTGGATTCCGTCGTCGTTGTGGTCGACTGGGTGGCTTTTTGCACCACTGCTGCGTGGTCTGTGAAGATGACAAAGTCTGCTGTGCCCGCTCAAGGATCGACCTCGTCTTTGGGGCGATGGAAACGGGGCTGATCTCGACACGGACGGATCTCGCGATCTCTGTGCCTCGCAGCACAAGAGCCGGGCGGACTGGCTGAGAGAGTCGAGCCGATCGAACGCGGAAAGGCAGAATGACCCTCGAGGGAAGAAGTAATGCGCGGTGGGTGTAGTCTTCATCGAAACGCCAGTATCCTACATACGACATGTCCGACTCCAGCAAAGCCGCTGGCAATCGCTTGAAGCGGAGGTTCTCGATCCCACTAATTGGTGTTCAAATTTTGTTCCAGTATTCCAGGAACGTAGCGAGTGCCATCCGTACAGTAACGATAGCAAGATGAACCCTACCATCCCGACCAGTTCCGTGTTCGAACCGAGCAATTCAACACGACCAGGTTTTCGCTAAGCGGAAGATGTCCAGACCCGCATCCGTCGTGCTGGGACTGCCTCAAGTCTCGGCAGATGATTGAAAGAGTACTGTCGGGAGTATATCGTAGTCCCATGCGACAAGCCTTTGATCGTCACAACTTTGACAACATCTCTGAATGCTGGTTTCCAAGCATAGCGACATGACCAATGGACCTGATCTGGCCTTCGAACATTGTCATCGTTTCGCAAAGGGCTCTCAGCGCAGATGCACTCTGTAGGTATATACCATATAGGTTGCGACAGGCAAGGGAGCGCCTCGGTCAGGCCAGCATCCGCCCTGGCATTCAGTCCTTCGCTGTGGCACAGGGACGCTATGGCCTCCATCGATCATATGGAAAGACTCGCAGGCAACCCGGAGTGCTTCGTGTCAATCTATCGGACGATCCTGGAAGAAAGACTGCGCAGTCTAGAATTGGCCCGGGACGACAAGCGAAGACGCCGAGAAATTCAAGAGAGCGCTGTTTTGATTGGAGCGGGTGCGGAGATGATCCTCTAGATAATTGTTGTCCTACAGTTTCCTGCAGGACAGCTATTCAAAGGTTTGATTGCTTTCGCTAAACGTCGAAGGACTGTATTTGAAACGTTGAAGGATGCTCGAGGTACACAGCCACAAAATTCACCCCTAGTGCTTACAGCCACTTCGTCGCAACATACCTACTATCTAGAGGTTCTAGGGCTGTCTCAACTCTATGTCGATTGTAACGCAGGTGGGAAATATAATAGTTCTCGTGGTCCCCCAACCGGTCTGACTACTCCCTGCATCCTGTGTACTCTCCGCTTTGACTTCTTGCTGCATTTTTGCCTCCGACGTTCAAAATTGTGGATCTATCACCTGCAGTTCTTTTCGTCACCCTTCACAAGTTCAACGCTCAACCATGGCTTTTACCTATGAGGAAGTTTTGGAATTTCTTCACACGATTGATGCAGGCAAACTCGACGCCGCCCAAACGCTCGAACTCGTGCTTGTACTGCGCAAGGCTCTGGTGAAAATTGAATCACCGTGGCAGAGAATGCAAAAGCTTGTGTGGGAAGCCGTATGTCTAATTCTGACAAAGCCATACTCGTGTCTATGCTGACCTACTGGTAGTCGGGATACGCTGCGTCACTGAAGGCCGTCCATGATCTAGGTATCTTCAAAAACTGGTTGGCACGCGGCAATAGCACAGCTACCTTTGCGGAGGTTGTGAAAATGGCCAACAGCTTCTGCGACGAGGACGTCTTGCGTAGGTTACATCGTGTGCTTGGTATGATCGAGGTGCACCCTTGCTGACCACGCTTACTGGAAGGTTCGTTGCTGAGCGTATTGGTCTTTGAAGGCACACTGACTTTCAGCATGCCCGATTCCTACGGACAAAGCGAGTTTTCGAGAACTTTGGGCGAGCCCTCCATGGCAGCATGCCTGGAATATTGGTTTGATGTCCAGATGCCTTCACTGCATCGCTTTCCCGAATCCCTCAAGCTGACATCTTATCGGGCACCTACTGACCCTACGAAGACCGCCTGGAACTTAGCCACGGGATCACCAAACCCTTTCTTCCAATGGCTGCAAGAGAATCCAAAAACAATGGGGGATTTTGCGATGGTCATGGAACGCTACGCCAGCTCACAATTAGACTGGACGTCACTCTATCCTGCAGAGACTCTCCTCGAAGGATCTGACGCGGAAGCCATTGTAGTTGATGTTGGCGGAAGTCGTGGTCACGACCTGTTGAAATTCGTTGACAAGTTCGGTATTCCTGCAAAGTCTTGCCATTTGCTGGATAGGCCAGAGGTCATCGAGGTCGCGAAGGGCGTTGTCCTCGACCGCGTGACTCTACATGGTCTCGACTTCTTCAAGGACGAAATCCCCATCAAAGGTAAGCTCTCTCCGTCTGCGGTGTCGCATCTTCCTCAACGCTAACAGAGTGTCCCCAGGGGCGCGCGCGTACTATCTGCACAGTATCTTGCACGATTGGAACGACGATCTTGGGCGTCAGCTTCTGGTACGTCTAAAGAGCTCCATGGCACCTCACTCGAAGATTCTTCTCCACGAGTTGGTCAAGTTGGAAGACAGCTCGAAAGATTTCGCGTCACTTAGTGAGCTCACTATGATGGCGATCCTCGGCGCAAAAGAAAGAAATGAGCGCCAGTGGCGAGATCTCATCCACTCCGCAGGCTTGACTGTTACGAAGATCTACTCATCGCCGCACGCTTCTCATTGTATTATCGAAGCTGTAGCCAAATGATGCGACGGAGTTCTTGTTACGATCCCGTGACGCGGCACTGGCGAGGTGATCGAAAAGGGATAACGACAGTCATTGGGCTGTTGTCGGGTGCGTATGATGGCTGCGGAGCACGATCGTCGGTACGGTGTACTATTGGATACACCTTTTGGAAAAATCCCCCTTCTTAGATACATCTCTGCCGTCTGCTTCTGAGTGCGTTTGATCGCGCACGGACTTCGAAGGAGGCCTTCGAAGTCCGTGCATACTTTCTGTGTCGTGATGTGCGGCGGGCATTCACTGTCGTTGTTGTGATTTGTGTATTTTTAGGTTCGTACTCATCGCACTACGTGCATGTGTAGAAGCGAGCGAGCACGATTTATGACCCAAATCGAGCCTAAAAGGCAATCTCCTCGTTTTTGAAGATGTATAGCACGGCTCTGGGCGACGCTAGTCATCCCTGCGGCGTTTCATCACCGACGCCAGTGATGCCTATCTGAACCCCGCATGCAACGGATCACTCTGTACCATTGAGACTTTACCCATGCAGTCGCTTTCCACGGACTTTAGAACTACACCCGCAATTTGGCGGCGATGGCCAGCGCCCGCTTTCCTGCCCGGGCGCGCGATACCTGGGTAGCTGGCTCCACTGTACCATGACACATGTTGATTCGCTCACGTCCTCGCATATCTTTGTACGAGGCGTGCTTGGAAACAAATACCAAAGCGCAAAATTATGGACGGGTGTCGCATTGTTGGTCATTGTGTCTTATCACAGATAATTGCTTGAGATTTGTCGCGCTGACCGCGCGACCTCCTCTCGGCGCACGGGAAATCATCCGTCGTTTGTGCGATTTCGCAGACCTCAGGCAGCGTGGGCTTTTGGTTGGATATCGACCGGTTTGCCGCCAAAACACCCGTGGACTTTTCTCAGCCTTCTTCATCCATGACACCACCAGTGGCTCCGTCCATATGAGCAGAATGACACTGGGACCCTGTTGAAGATCCTGGTGTTCAGGGGTAGGCCGCGCAGCTATAAGAGGGCCAGGCCTGCTGCTCTCGTAAACAGAAGATAAATCAACCTTTTACCCTCATTGTACACCCTACATTTTAACAGACCCCACTATTTGACCCCCATGGATCCCATGGCAACATTTCGCAATACATGATAGCAAAAGCGTACCTGGAACAACGCGCATGTGACAACGCGCAACCAGGAGACTTTGTTCGTCCAGCTCAGCGTCACTCCGTATGGCCAACGACACCCCGGGCCCCACTTCCCCAAAGGGCAGCGTTACATAACTACAAGGGCATCGCACCGGTTGCCGCCCTCATCCGGACCAGCAACTTTTACGATATCACGGCCACGTATTGGCGGGTTGGTCAATACGAGTCACGTGTGCAGCATTTCGCTTTATCCTTCCAGGTCAAAGAAATCGCTATCGATGCTGATGGAGGGGCGCACTAGGCGTGCCTATGAATCAGTAGTGTGGGTCACTACTGGAATGGTGTTGGCCCATGTTTTGGGGTACCTGAGTGAATCGTCTCATCTGCCCTTGAGTATTGATAAATAGCAAAGGCTGCTTTCATGTTAGTGGGGGGGGGGGGGGGGGGGGGGGGGGGGGGGGGGGGAGGACTGTAGGGCGACATGTGTAGGAAGCTACATAAATGTTTAACCATTACTCGAAATCGTGAACTCGCAGGACTCGTCCTTTACTATAACTTTCTATGCACTTACAAAGATGACGAACGATGCTACTGTTCACGATTCCATCTGATTGTGAGGCTGCTGGAACTTTCGGAATTTCAGCTTAGACTTTACGCCTAATGCTGAGCTCCCATAAACGATTGTCACAGGCCAGGCTTGCGCTGCTAGACGATAACTATTTGCTGAGAAATTCAAGGCGTGGAGGAAAAATCTTAACCGAGCGCCTCGCTGCTAATCTTGAGCCATGTAGTTTTGTAAAGGTTTGCTTCATTTCTGCTCGAGTGCAAGGATAAGAGTTACATTACTTGAACGTCGGTCGTGGTGACCTAGACGAAATTATCAGGTCATGGTTAAGGGCGACGCGGAGGGGTATGTAGCGTGATGAATGGTCTGAAAAGATACATATTCGCAAGGGGCATGGCCGGGGGGCCTTCGTGTACTTCGTGCGTAGCGCGAAAGTTCCACACCACAGAACAGCAGGGGTAATCATTCAGATCTAAAAGTTCCAAGTACCTAGTGTCTCCACACCATCTGCATATGCATTTCACCGCGAACCGGAACCTACAGTGGTAGAACCGTCTCAAGAGTTGAGGCTGGCTGCAACATCGACCCATTCATGTCAACCCGGCCAGACTGCCATATCTGGTAAAGAAGGACGAGCTCACCAAATGCAGCAGCACACCCATAATTTCGCCCAATATGCTCCCCACTTCTGTGCCGAATCCTTGCTTCGAGCGAATACATCACAACATCGCCGTCTCGGCCCCTTGGTCGCGGAACCTCGACAGTAGTGCTCGTGGCGAAGTTTTAAGTCTACCTGGGTGATCATCAGCGGAGCCGAAGCAAGATTTTGCTGTGCAGTCTTGAAAGAAGACTGCGCCGCCGACACCCGAGAGTCTATTCGAATTGCTTGCTGGTAAACCGGCGAAGCACTCCTGTGGACCTGCGTTTTGCGCAAATTTGAACCGCCACTGTGCTGTGATCGATCACTGCCCCGGTTCGATCATTCATGCCACAACCTCGCTTTGGTGGGAATGAAGTTATGCCTGGCGCTCAGCCGCCGCCCTCTTCGGTCTTGCATTGAGTGTCTCCTGACTGCACATCAAAAGCGACCAATCTCCCCCATCAGCCTCGGAACTCCCTTTTTGAGCAGTGCTACCGGCCTTAATGGTGAAGCGCAGGCTAGTGCACCGTCTGCATCAAAGTCTCTCTCGTCCGCTGCTGGAGAGACACCAACAAGGGGCGGGAAGCAGGATGGGAACGGGTTGAGTTGGCGATGAACCAAGGACATATTTCCCAGCCTCTGCATTCTGCGCTTCATGGTTGCTGGATATTCCTGCAGGATGCTGAGATGATCCTCCCGTAGTGGTGAAACGAGACCATGTTCCCGGATGGCGGGTATGTCAAGGTCGTGCGGCGACGGATGTGAGTTTACGCTTCGCGGAAGTCTTGGGTGAGGACAACTGAAGGATTTGTATTTACGAGGCAGCATCGTACGCTATCTGGAGATCAACGATATGCAAGGCTCTCTAATCAGGCATAAGAACAGGACGCGAACTGTTAGACTTCATCTTTCGCGGCGTTAGCAAAGGTCATTATTCCGAGTGTCCGAGTGTCCGTGTGGAAGACTTCCAATCGGACCGACATAACAACTAATCTAACGATTGGTCGATGTCATCGAATAACAGTTCCACAGCGCGAGTCTGTCTCGCATAGTAAAGGAAAAGTAACAATCTCGAAAGGATGTCTTAGCAAAACCTCGTAGACGGCAACCTGAATCATCCGCCGACTTCAACGCTTAAACGGATTCAATGATCGCTGCGATCTTCGCTAGCTCCTAGCTTGGTAGAGGAGGAATAGAAATAGTGAGTAGAGCGCGGCCAGCTTTAATAAGTAATCTCTACATGCGATCTTATCGTCTCGTAGTCGCGCAGTAATTCTGCAGAACATCGATACTCTCGAGCGCGAACACTGTGCTCTAGATCCTTCCATCTTCTCTAACTCTTCTCCTTCGTTTCTCCGTCCATCCCTCGGTCCCCTTCCCGCACTCCTCCTTCTCACCTCGCCCTCTCCGTCTCAACCTCTTTGTACGGCTTCCCTCGCCGCCGCCGCCCATCACAACCCCTCCTCCCCCTCCTCTTCCTCCTCCGACGCCGCGAAGCTAGATAGAAAAGGATGTATAGAACATGTAGAGACCGACTAGCTTGGTAGCAATTGTTCCGTAGCAAAGCGTGGTGAAGGAAATTTGAGGCGGAAAATCAAGGCGGAGAAGGCGTAAAGGTATAGAAGGAGGCTACAAAGGAAGGCGTAGTGTAGAGTGTGAGTTGCGTGTATTACGATTTCCATCTCCGAGGCCAGGGCTGGTTTTCGGCCGTCACGTCAAGAGCCTTTGTAGCCTTCGCGTGTGATGGCTTTCTATGGGCTCGATGAGGGATGAGTCTTTATGCTGCTTCCTTGGTAGAATAAAGACCTAATTGCTGCACTTGTAAGGAGACTGTTGGAACGATCCCTAGGAAGTTGAGAAGCGGTCCGAGCAAGGACGGCCGGGGCTTCGTATTCGTCTTAGAAGTTTGTCGTACTGCATTTTAATAGATTGGAATACGGTTGTAGAAAGAACTGTGGGACTAGAGCAAGGAACGGCCTGATCCATCATGCAATCTCTTTGCAGCATACTCTAATGAGTCCGCATGCTTCCAGAGGCCTTTTCAGAAGCTCAGGCAACCCATTAATATCCTTGACATAAGCTGCCGGCGACGGCGACCATCTTTTACCAGCCTTTGGGAATGACTCCCTCGACCAGATGTGATTCCGCTGAGACCATTGCAGGCGAGGCGACTGTAAGCAGAGAGAGTGTGCTTAAATAGGACCGGATTGTTAGTTAGCAAATTCTCCCGTATCATGACCAGGTGTAAGTGTGACGATAAACTGCCAGCTGCGGTATCCCTGCGAGAGCCAAGAAAGTCGGGAGAGGAGGAGACATCCGATGCTCTGTCTCACATTATCTGTCCGAAGTTGCCGGGAATGGAGCAAACGGTCTGCTCCCACGCTCATTGAGATCGAACGCAAATGCGACTTGGCCGGCAGACCGCGCGAGCTGCTTGACTTTGCTCTTGTCGTGACCTTGAACTCGAAATTCCGATGGCTTCGCCTCTGCCTTTGCCCTTCTCTGCAACCTTACCTCCAACGCTCTGGAAAGATTGCCTGCCGTTCTTCTTGATCACGGTATAATCAACATGCCAGCTCATCACACGACCATGCCCGCCAACTGGAAGTAAGGGTAGAGAGCCGAAATTGCTGTGATCGTTTTGTATTAACCTTCCCTCTGTTCCGCCGCGAGTCGCGCTTCTTCTCCGACGATATCCTCACACAGCCTATCAGCCTTCTGCACATATTTAGTCTTTTTTTAGATGTCCAGAAGCGCGCGCTGTGAGATGAGTGTCGAAGCGGGATCTAGTGCGTAGCGTGAACGAACCGCGACGATGTGCTCCATTAACTGAGCAGCCTTCTCAGTTTGACCGTAAGTATCGTATGCTCCTGCAAGCGCGTGCTGCGATACGAGTCGGTCCGGATGCTCCTCCGCGAGGACCCGC